CTTTCCAATACCAACAAAAAGAGAATGTCCTTCCGAAGCAATACATGGATATTCCCTCAGATAGTTACATGAGAGAGTCGCTCATCGTAACGACAGCCGTGGTCTCCTGAATTGATGACGTTGTCCAGGCATGGAAGAATGCCGTGTGCAAAAAGAAAACCCTGCCTTCATCTTTCAGGGTCCGCATACGGTGTAGTATTCCTTGGAGCAGCGGCCTTTTGTGACTCGTCAATTGTTTCTTCACCGTTTCCCTGTTGCTTGGATGTCCATCCCAACTCCGTATCCTTGTTGGGTGGTGCGATTTGTAGGGTGCATGTTTCTGCCCATGTCCTGACTTCTGCTTTTAGCAGCCGCTCACACCTCGCAGGCAGCGATTGGAACCCCGTGCCCTTTAACGTCGACCGGACACGGCCATGGAATGATCGCGGATCTGTCATACCCATCTTCCCCGTTCTTGAGCACCTTTCAAGTCAAGCCAGGACGAAAACAGTGGCCCGGCGCTTTGGGACAGGTTTCGTTACACAATTCTAAAAAAACGTGCACAGCTCGATTTCTGCTCTTCTTCACCAGAGGAGTCATTCACCTTTGCGAGGTCGTATTATTATTATTCTTCTTGTCCTTTCCTTTAAACTTCTGGTCTGAATGCAGAACTATGGAATACGGACTATTAGCCCTCCAGGCGTTTCATCGTCCGACCCCGACCATAATCCGCTCAGGATATACCCACCAAGGGTCCACTAGGTTAATAGGGCTTTCGAAGGATCAACCCAACCCCCGAACGGGAACCCTAGCCCGTGGCCATCGCTGAACTGCAAATGCTGTCATAGTGCAGGTAACGCGACGTTTCTCCCAAGAGCATTGTGTGTCAATAAGAGGGACAAAAGGGCCTAAAGGGCCTGTCCCTGAGAAATGGTTTCGTCCAGATGTCCCATTGCTTTTTCTGCATTTCCACCATTCACCCATGCAAGTCTCCCAACGTGTATCGTTCAAGGACCCCGCCCCTGAGCGCCCACTGCCATGCAGAGATGTATGTACTCATTATCCTGCACAGAACCTCGAATACTTATGGCTCATGTACCTTATGGACACAAGCTATTGATCCACGTCTGATCTCCAATACCCGCAAAAAGCAAAATACCCAAAAGGCCACAAAAACAAAATGCCCCCCTCTCAAGCATCCGATGGCTCACAAAGCCCAACAGACCATAAGCCGAATACTTCTGTCCTACCCTGTTTCAGTAGTGTAACAAACAAGACCGGCAAAATACCGAAAGGGCCAGAAGACGGTTAAAAAACCAACTCCACAGGAGCTGCTGCAAGCTGCCCAATATTCGATGTACATTTCATAATGGCCTCCCAAACCTCTCAGCCCCTCTATCCATAGCAGCTGCGGCGTATCCGTTAGAGTGCCATCAATGATTCAAGGGGATCTCAGAACCTTCCCATATCTCTTTCACCGTTTCACATATTTTGTTATGTTTTTGTTGTAGTGTATAAGTTATAATGGATGTACTATCCCGCGCTTCCGTTGAACCCAGTTGTTTCGATAACCTGAGGAATCTTTTTTGGGCCCTTGTTCTCTTCGCGGGATGATACCACGATTCTGTTCCGCGCTGAGAGCTCCCGAGGCTCTTGATTATATGCCAACGTTACCTGGCATATGCATAATTCCGCAATTTCAGATCAAGGACCAGAATCCTCAGACCAAAATCTCTCGTTCCCGCCATACGTGTGTTTCCAGAGCCCTTCGCCCCGACTCCTAGTTCCTTTTTCTTCTTCTTTTTTTTTTTTTTTTTTTTTCCCGCAGATTTAACCGTCCCCCCTCATTTTTTTTATTTCTTTTCTTTTCTTTCCCCTTTCCTTTCTCCGCTTTTCCCCTTGTGCTATTTTCGTTTCGCAGGATATCGGTATTGGTTCGGATCCAATAGAAGCTTTAAAAAAATCGAGAATTGAAAAAAAAAAAAAAAGAAAGAAAAAGGATTGGTTCTTTAATTTATTAGTTTATTTCGAGGAGACTGTTCACGGGGTTGCAATCGATAAACACTGAAAGAATTCGTAGGTACCATCATTGAGGAAACATAGGTGGCTGGGAGCCTGAGTATGAGATATGAATTGTTTGGGTATTTAACGGGACACAGTGCCTCACTTCGCAATGCCAATCTCAGGCACCCGACCAGCGTGGAAGGTGCAGGTCGCCAAGAGTAACTCAAAACCAGATGCTTCAAGAAAAAAGAATTTTTTGTGTTATCTGCAATCGTAAACCATACAAAATGACTCGTGATTGATCTGGACACAGAACAGTCTGTTATTCAGTTTTCCGTACATTGCATGCAAGTGCAATGCAATAATCCGAATTCCTTTTTGGATACAAGCTCACAGCCATGTCCAATAGAAGAGTATCTGAGCGGGTTAACGGCATGAGTATTGAACGACCGGAAGGCCCTTTCGGGTCGACGCATTGCTGCCGCCAGTCGGTCAACGAAGCGGTTACCTCCGTCTGAACCAATCATCCCTCCTTTCTATCGGTTCCGCGAGGAATTGGCCCCGTCTTTCCCAGCACTCCTCGGGATAAGGGTATTTAGACGGCCGGCGCATAGAGACTAGTTTACATAACCATGCTTATCTCTTTATAATTGTGACTGATAGTACAGGTTAGCATAGCGAAGTTGACTCGAGATTCGGGGACATTGGGTAGTAGGCGTACTGATATCTTCATCTTCGAGTTGGTGGCTAAGCCCTACTCTCTGCGGCTGATGCTTTACAGAACGACCATAAACGATGGCATGCTTGAACTGCTCCACTATAGATTTGTGGATGGCATTGCACTGCAGTAAAAATAAAGGATTAGCAAAGTGACTCGTTAAATCCGGGGAAGGAAGATTCTTACAAAATCTTCCACCGTGCAATTGTTGGATTTCAGGACGACAGGTGCTGTATAATCTGGAGCTTTGCCCTTGGGCTTCGTGTAGATCCGCTTGAGGTTAAGCTTTTCCCACATTTGCTCTAGAAGCTCATCGACGTTCCATCCGTGCTCTGCACTGATCGGGCATGCATTAGGGATGCGGTAAAGCAAGTCCAATTCCTCAATTGATATGGAGTCAATTTTGTTCAAGGCATATATGACTGGAATATAGCTTCGACTTTTAGCTTCAAGGACGTCTATTAGATCATCGATGGTCGCATCGCAGCGAATGGCAATATCCGCGGAGGAAATTCGATACTCGCTCATGACAGCCTTTATTTCCTGTTATCGGTCAGCACTACCCCACAAGCGATAATTGGTCGGTCCATACTTACATCATGATCAATGTGAGTCAAGGGCACCGTGCTGGTAATCGAAATTCCACCTTTATCTTTCTTCTTGAAAACAATGTTTGGTGGAGACTTGTTTATTCTGATACCAAAGCCTTCCAATTCCGCTTCAATGATCCTTTTATCCGTTAAAGGTTTGTTCACGTCAAGAACGATAAAGATAAGGTGACATGTCTTTGCAACGGCAATAACCTGCCGCCCTCGTCCTTTACCATCCTTTGCACCCTGAATAATTCCGGGGAGATCGAGAATCTGGATCTTTGCACCGTTATATAGGACCTGACCGGGAACCGTCGTCAGGGTTGTGAATTCGTAAGCGGCGGCTGTAAAATGTAACGTAAGCGATATTCCATGATGTAGAATATGAGTAAAGTCAACATACCTTCAGAGTGTTGACCAGTCAACTTGCTCATCAGGGTACTTTTGCCGACAGACGGGAAGCCAATAAAACCACTACAAGGAGGTGAGCTAGAGCTCATCCCTGCGCTAGACGAGGGTCCAAAACTTACACGCTTGCTACACCGGTACGGGCAACATCGAAACCGGCTACAATCAGAGTGTCAAACGCGGCCTTTGCCGAAAAGTCATACGATCATATCACGCACCTCCGCCGCCACCACCACCCCCGCTCGGTGTGAGCAGTTCTCTTTTTAATTTGGCAAGCTTAGCCTTTAACTGTCCTATGTAGCAAGTATTGTCAGCGCCCAATCGCCCGACCTATGAGTTGAGCGGCCGTTATGCCAATTTCCGGGACATACCCAAGTGAAAGGATGTAGCTTTGTTCTTCTGAGTTCGCGCCATCTGTGAGAGGGTCAGATTAGCGATTCACGGAAGTGAAGCGGGATAAGGTAGTCTAACTTCGGCCTCGATCTCCTTGATCTATACATTCTCAATCTGTTAGCATCGTCGCTCGACGGTAACATCGCCTGCAGAAAACGAGGGCGCGCAAACCTTGTCCACGGTAGTCGCCATGACTGCTCGGTTTTGGGTGTTAGCCCGATGGGAGATTGGAGATACGAGAGTGCAAATTAAATGCAAGAAGGATTAGCGGTCTCTCAGCGCCTCGTTTTTCTTCCGATACTAGTTAGTTGAAACAGCAATCAACAGCTGGATTTGGGACCACCGACGCTCTGAGAGCCTATGGCCTTTGTGGGGTTTGATGTTGATAACAAATTGAACAAGGTTTGATATCGGAATAACATTTCTTCCATAGAGGCTGACTAACAAGCTCACTAGCGCGCCGCCGGCAGATAAACTCGCTGGTCAAATTTTTGGATGCCGAATCACCCACAGCACGACCCAAAACCATGACAATTGAGACACACAAACCAATAAGTACTACTATTTTGGGGCAAGAGTATTGTTTCAAAGGGCTCAACATGCAAATTCCGAACCGCGGATTCTTCGCAGTGGCTTGGCGGCCACCAGGGTAGTAGTGAGTCGCCAAGTCGCGAGAAACGGATGCCACTGAGCAAACCGTTACGTAATCGGCGATAAAGGTACCCGGCGAGGCGGATAAAAGTTGGTCATAGTAATCAAGAATCGCAGCTGCGCGGTCTCGTGGCAGCGAGTTGACTATGTAATTGTTCTAGCCAAGTGTTGCACTTCCTCCGCCCAACCCCGATCTTCCTCCACAGAACCACCCAATCTCCCCCAACCTCGTCCCTTTTGAAATCAACGGCCATATCCTCAAAACCACCACCTTTCTCCCAATTCATATTTCTTAACCTCACGTATTGTTATCCTGATAGGATCATTCGATCTTGGTAACCACACACGACACCTAATCACCTAAAGTCATCTTCGTCCAGTCCATCAGTCTCCCGAACCCCACTTCACACAATGCCGTTCCTCGACAACGAGTCCCCAGAGAGGACACCTGTCGTCAACAAATTCCCATCCGATCCCTTCCACAAATTGGTCCAAGATCTCAGCGACGTCCTTGGACCAAGCTCGGGGCTCGATTCAGACGATGTAGATCCCATGGACATCCAACGACTGATGGAAGGGTACACCTCCAACCATAGCGAGTGGTTGCACTATGCCTTGGCGGACCCGAGCAGAGCCTATACCAGAAATCTCGTCGACGAAGGCAATGGAAAGAGTAACCTAGTAAGCACTCCCTCTCATCCGACCCGAAGACATGACTAATGTACGGTAAAGCTCATCCTCGTATGGTCTCCGGGACGGAGTAGCCCGATCCACGACCATGCAAACGCACATTGTGTCATGAAGGTAAGACAGGATAGCATCAGCGACGGTCATCGAGCATCAATTGATGGATCCAATCGTAGATATTGAAAGGATCCCTAAAGGAAACGCTGTATGATTGGCCGGATCAGGAGAAGACGGACGCCGGCGAGGCCGCTCCCATGAAGGTAACCAGAGAGAGGGTGTACGGTGAGAACCAAGTCACCTACATGTCTGACAAGGTAAGTGTAGTGAGCTTGCTCCAGTGAAACAAGTGCTCACTCCCGGTTAGCTTGGCCTGCACAAGATTACCAACCCTGATCCAAATGAATATGCCATCTCACTCCACCGTAAGTCTCGAATCACCATCGGTTGCTATACCAGTGCTTTGGTCTAACGAGATATAGTTTATACCCCGCCGAACGCAGCGCATTTTGGATGTTCTCTCTTTGATGAGCGGACAGGCAAGTCGCGCCATATCAAACAGTGCACTTTCTTCTCTCGAGGAGGACAGAAACTTTGAGGCGGATTCGCGGCTAAAAGTGCCCCAGATATGCCCCTCTCGACGGGACGGGTCACGTTAGTACTCAGTTGTATTCTGAAGTGTTCTTTGATACCATATGTAGCCGTGTTGTTCAGCAAGATGCATCTTCCTTCGATGAATTGATAGTTTGTGCACCGACTGAATTTGTTCTCCTTCCTTCATTTATTTTTAGGGGGTAGGAAACACTCCGCTCAGGCATGAAATGAAGGGTCGTTTCTTGAAAAATTCTTCCGCAATTTGCATGGAGGATGAAAGTCCTCGTGTTTTCAGGGCCCCGGGGGGCTTTTGTATGATATCGCCCATTTTTGTGGGGTTAAGGTTGAGCACGCAATCCGCGCTAAAAGCACGTCATCCCGACTAGTAAATTCTAAATTTTCAATGTTCACACCACCACCACCACCAACAACTGGCTTCCATGACGGGAATGCTGGGCTGGATTTTCCGCCGGATGGCTTTGGTGAATCCCTGAATCTTCATTCGTGGGCTTGATGGGCTGTTGTTGGATGCCCAACCCCGCTGGGCGCAAAGCGTCCGAAAGCTTCCAACGGGATCTTAAGTCTGTTGCAGGACATGCCTTCCTTTGCTCTTGGAAGTCCGCAAAGCTTTCTTCTGAAACCCAAGGAGCAGCAAGGTCAAAGGGAACTTGCGGAGGTTTTGGTTAAGGAATGTGGTCCAGCACACTTCCCGCTCAGTGGAGAATTCATAGGGCTGATATTGACTCTTCGCCTCCTACGGAGTAGATGGCTGCAAATATTCCCACTTCTCTATCCAAGATCCATCTGCGGAGGACCAAGCATTCATTTCTTGAGAATCATTCTCAGTCTTGTTGCTGTAAACGACCTGCAGGGATTGCGGTTGACGTGAGCAACGCAACGGTGAAGCCATGTCGAGGGCACCAACGAATGTACTCCGAATACAGTTCATACAATACATACACCGCGAGAGGATCATGGGTTAAACAGGTCGAGTAGTCCGATCGGGCTGCCGAACGTATTGAGAAACAATAAGAACATGATGCTGCACCTGTCTTTCACACACTTTCCGATAAACATTCATACATACAATCAGCTTGATCATAGGTTCTAGAGAGATGATGCCATGTCTAAGGTAGCATATGCCCATGAAAAAAAAAATAAAAATAAAAATAAAAAATTCATTCCTCAAGAGCATCTTCAAGGGCTTCGAGGAATTGATCGAAGTTACGCCATACGTCACTTCATTTCACGCATGGAGTTTCCCGACGTGCTTTGTCCATGCACGGCTCGCGGAGAGTTCTGTCGCCCCAGAGCGTCCTCTGCTTTTATGGAGAGTCCAGCCCAATTGATATTAATAGAAAAGGTATCCGTGGGGAAAAGGAGCCGCAGGCTCTCTTAACATTGAAACTCAAAAGAGCTGTTGCAAATCGCATCGCACTGGAGCAACGTTCGTTGAATGCCTTGGGATCTCAGACTCCCGCCCTTGGCGATTCTCTGAGCGGCTCTTGATTGGTTTGGCGCGGTTAACGAGTCTCCCAAACCTTAATTCGCCGTGCTTCCAGACAAGGCTTTGGACATTTGCGAATTCTCTTTGTATCTTGAGGTTTTCCATGTCCTCCTTATTAAGCAGGCAATCTTTAATTCCCTGAATAACGCTTTTGTCTCAAACCACTTGCGGGAGAGGCCCGTTCCTCTCGGTCAGATTCAGGCGACGCGCGTCCACGTGGTTGGTTTAGTTAGATAACTCAGCATCACAGCTGCCGCATGGGTACGGAGTGGTTTCAACCCATGAACAGAAAAAGTTCCCTGGAGGTGAGACCGCAGCACTACTCTCTCGCAAGCTCAATCCGAATGAGTGTGTCACAGCCTGACACTATATGGGGTCGTCTACCTTCTATTCACAGGCAGCGTTGGGAATGCGATTCCACCGAGTCCTAGCTCTCCTGGGACTTGCTGTCCTTGTCTGGATTTCCCTTTCGTTGATACGCACGAAATCCGCTGCGCCCGTTATACCGGCATCCGGCAGTACGCCCAAGCACGATGAGCCGCTGCGACCCGCAAGCCCTCCCTCCCCAGCTGATAAAAAGACGCATCCAATTGCCCGGCTGATCAACCAATCCAAATCGTCGTGGGATGGTGTCAGGTCGCGACAATCGAAGACACTCAAGGAGGCTGTTGAAGAGTATCGGCGCCGATACAAGCTATCACCACCGCCAAACTTTGACGTTTGGTTCGAGTTTGCACAATCAAAAGGGGTTGAGCTGATCGATGAATACGACACAATTTATCACTCCCTACTTCCCTTTTGGAGTTTACAGCCAAAAACGATACGGGATAGAGTCAAAGAATCTCTTGGGTTCGACAATGCTCTCATCGGAGTTTTGATCAGGGACGGAAAGATCAGTCTGGTTGATGGCGGAGGAAACTCCCAGCAATGGAAGCGAGATGCATTGACTGGAATGATGCAACAATTCATACGATACCTTCCAAACATGGATTTGGCCTTCAACACCCACGACGAGCCCCGGGTGGTTTTACCGAGCGACGATCTCCAACGACTGGTATCCAATGCGCTGGATACGGTCATTCCAAAGGTCGCCAAGCACCCGGTGGACAACGCCTGGACGAGCCCTACCGATCTTAACAAGGGCGATAGAATCAACGAGACAAAAACTACAAGGTTCAATTGGTTCGCCCACCAGGCGACTTGGACGACATCGCGCAGCTCATGTCCTATCGACACACCAGTTAGGGATCTAAATGAGAACGCGCGAGATAAAATTGAGGCATACCTGTCTGGTGATTTGGGTTTCATCTACAACACCACTGCTTTCTCAGACATCTGTCTCTCCCCGTCTCTAAGATATACTTTTGGAATGTTCGAGCGGCCGAACGCCATGAGCGTTGTCCGTGATCTGTTTCCCATTTTTTCTGAAAGCAAAGTATCAAGCTTTCAAGATATCCTCTATCCAAGTCCATGGTACTGGTCTGGAAAGGTAACTTACGACCCGAAACTTGATGTCAGTTGGGATAACAAAAAAAGCCAAGTTTACTGGCGTGGTTCCACCACGGGAGGATTTTCTCGAGCCGGAGGCTGGCGGAGGCAACATCGGCAGTTATTCGTAAAGAATATCAACGCCGTGGATGATGTGAAAGTTCTTGAGAACAAAGAAGGAAACTGGACTATGCACACGGTCAAACAAAACACCTTCACACATCTGCTCAACGTGAGCTTCAGTCATGTGGGCCAGTGTGACCCGGAGGATTGCAACGCACAGTCGCACTATTTTAACATCGTAAAGCCAGACAGCCAGCATGAAGCCTGGCGTTTCAAGTATCTTGCTGATGTTGATGGGAATGCCTTCAGCGGGCGGTTCTATGCTTTACTAAAAAGCAATAGTTTGGTCTATAAACTTGCAGTTTTCCGCGAATGGCACACAGAGTGGATCCAACCCTGGGTTCATTATGTTCCATTGAGTCTCAGGGGTAACGAGCACATTGAAGCCATACGATATTTTGCTTCCGAAGAAGAGGGACAACGTCACGCCAAGTTTATTGCTCAAGGAAGTAGCAGTTGGGCCAAGAAAGCACTGAAAAACGATGCTCTTGAGGTTTGGTTTTTCCGCCTGTTGTTAGAGTGAGCATTGGTCCCCTTCCACTTATGTTCTCGTTTGGGTTCAGTGAGATTGACTTTTACTAGGTACGGACGAATTGTCGATGATAATCGGGAAAAGATAGGATTTTCATTCGGCTCATCCTAATTACGAACCGGTTATGCCGCATACGGAGTGGCGCTATGCGCTGCATCCATGCATGGCGATAGAACAGCATTTGGGATAACGTGCGCCGGCGTATGATCCTTCGATTTTTCCTTCTGGTTGAATGTATTATACTGCAAGGACTCATATTTCATATGGAGCAGGAGCATGTCAGTTATGGTCTTAATGTTGAATACATACACACATTTGAAATGGCCTAGGAGGCAGGGGGATGTCGAATGGGTATATTTCATCAAGACACTACCAGCAGTTTGCATTCATATGCACAGAGTATGCCACACAATAAATAACCCTTCGACATCATACTGTTGGCGGGATTCGGCGCGGAGCGCAGAATCCTTCGTGAGCCATCAATTAAACTTTCGATGTGCTGATCGTCGTCCACAGATGGCCAACTGGCCCATGAGCGTTTTAAGGACGTTAGGGCATGACATCAGCATCGCATCTTGGCCAAGGCAAAAAAAAAAAAGGCCCAGCTTGGATTGCTGTAGCAAGGTTGCGGACTCTATTATTCATCCTGGCACGAGCGACGGAAAACGCCCTTGCTTGGAGGCAAATGTGGATTATCCGACCAACGTCGAAAGGAAGCGAGGAGCGACTCAATAATCCCTCTCATTTGCTAGTATGGGCGTTACTTAAAGGCTGGCCAATCCCAGAAGCCTGCCTGTTTCTTGCAAAAGAGGTGAGCATGTGAATTGACACTGGTGATCAAAGATCAGTTTGTCGCCTGTTGTTGTTTCAACTATGAAGTCGGGGACGGATGCTCTTACAAGCAAATATCGATCCCCAAGGCCTGCGTTTTGCTGAGTTGTAGCCTGTGCTCTGCTGACAATCAAAATGTCCATTCTGGGGTATTTGGGCCTGTTTCTGGTGTTAGCTTATGGGGTGTTTACTTTCATATTGTATGGGATTACTGCTATTTGCAAAGGAACGTTCTTTCACAGACAGACTGAAAAGGAGAACCTAGAGCTGGTATTGGGTAGGTTGCGTGAGGGCTCTTACATCCCTCCATATATGTTTGATGCCATTTGTTCCGACATGTGCTAATAGGCATTGAGCACAGCAAGAGATCGATTCTGGAACCTCTCGAAGCCATGGGCGGGTCTCTTTCACCGATTCCTCACCCTGAGGACAGGGTTTAAATTTCACTACATCACGAGCGATGAGCCGGGAACAGCTGGACGTCAAAAATCCGACAAGCCACTTGTTATTTTCTTACATGGTTTCCCCGATAGCTGGGCCATTTGGCGACACGTCCTCGCTTCTTCCTCGATCCGCGAGTCAAGCACAGTAGTTGCAGTTGACCTTCCAGGATACGGCGGAAGTGACTCGTTAAAGAAGTATGGAGCCACTGAAGTTCTGGAGGCTTTGACAGAGTTTATTATCTCGCTCCGAGAAGAGTGCGGCGTGGATAGTCCTGACAATGAGCACCGTTCAAGAAAGGTGTTTATCGTTGCGCACGACTGGGGTGGTCTGCTGGCTTTTCGTCTAGCTGCTGAAGCTCCACAGGTGGCCGACAGATTCATCATTGTCAATGGGCCTTTGGTAAGATATGATATATTGCCTAACACAAAAGCCCTGACGACTAACTCACTAATGTAGATGGCCTTGGTGAGATCTAACATACGCCTCCTGACTGAATCTTCATCGAAAATGTTCAAAATGTTCCTACGAGAGCCGTGGCACTCCAGGTCACTTTTGTTGAAATCAGTGCAAACATTGAAACCCGTGATCCACCAGTTTTGGTGTTCTGGATACATCTTTGCCTTCCAGCTACCCATGCCTCTTGTCAGATATATGGGAACCGGCGGAAACTATTCCTTTMTGAAAGCAATCCACCGATTATCTGTCGGTGTAGCCGGCAAGTTCACACTTCGAGATGCCCAAGAGTCAATGGCGAGTACCCTCGGCCCCGGGGTACTGGAATGTGAAAGTATGACAAATGAAGGAGAAAAATACCCCCCATCAGTACTTGAGCGCGATAAATCTGGGAATTTTGGCGCTATAGTGTCATATTATCGCCATGGGGCGGCCGACGGAGTCTGGCACAAGTCACTGGAAACGATCTCGTCTGTATTCAATATATGGCCGGACGGACCACGACGAACTAGTAGCGGAACGGGCATGTTTGATATTAAGAATGGCTCACTAAAAGCCAATGCAACAGTTTTATGGGGCCAATCGGATGTTGCCCTCGACTCTCATCTTGCACTGGAAGGGATCGCGGACTATCTTGTCCACGGAAGTCAAGTGATTGTGCTTCCCAGAACTGGTCACTTTCCGCAAGTCGAAGTTGAAAGTAGGGTGGCTCTCGAGAAAGTGATCGAATGGGCCGTTCGTGGCGAGAAGGGTGATTTGGAAGCATTCGTGCGTTCTAAATATCCCGATGCCAAAGCCGTAGTCCGAAAATAAGCCGATAGGTGGACGTTTTCTTTGCAGCTTATCCGTCCTGATGATGCGCAGCATGCTAGTGGACCCTTCGCATTTCAATCAGATTGTTTCCTGCAATTATGAATGGCGCAAAGCTAGCAGTTTGTCCCTTGACAGGTGTATTCTCTGCAAATTTTCTTTATATCCTTGAGCAAATTGTACGCTTGTCCTTGAGTCGGCCAAGCAGGTTGTAGGGAAAGGAGCCTCGCGCGCTTTTAACCGGTGCTTTCTGATCACCTGTACCCTACTTGGTTCAGCACGCCTGAGGTCCTCAATGTACATGGTTCTCTTGCTTCTTAACTTGATGGCGTTTTCTCCGGTCTAGTCGAGAAGCAAATAGAGGCATTATACCTTATCAGGTGTCACAACCGCTACCAATATCAACCACGACACTTCCCAAGGTCACATCAGCCAAACCACATTGGGATATTACTTGGATCACTTGCAATAGTCAGTACTCTGATCCCTTGAACCATTGCATAAGGGTTGAACACGCATAGCTGGAGCCAATACTCCCTGCCTTGGGTCTGGTTTCAAAAACCGGGGGGCGAGATCTGACTTCCGGGCCAACCATTATTCTAGATTGATAATCAACTCATTGATAGAATAAGGAAAGGGGCTCCGGATATGCCGTAAGGGAATATCTATCGCCGTTTATCGCGCTTTCTGAAGAACCTTCGTGGTCTCCGTTAAACCGTGGCACTCTCCAAGGCCATTATCTCGCGCGTGTTTGCCATCCCGTTCTTCGATGCGGTGCACGAATTGGAAACCGATACGGAAATAATCGTAGGATCTGGCTCGGACCAAGGCCCTTGGAAGAATTCCTTGATGCTGAAGGGTACGAGAAACAACCTTTCAGAGCTTTCCCTCTTATAAAGAATGGTTGTCACACTCGACGCAAAATATACACCTATAAGGGAGGAGAAGGTATAGTGAAAGTATCTTTTCGTTGACCTTTGATTCTCCCGTCAAGTATATGCTATTCTCCTTTTATTCGACTAGGCCAATGAACCTCATCGGCGTTTCGAAAGTCTACAGTCTTTTCCCGGTTGCTACATTTATCAAATGCGGAATACACACGCTTAGGGAGGACTAGGGGTGTGTGGGAGAAACACAAACCAAGTGGCTATGAGGTTTTCAAGGCATAATGTGGCATATTACGACACCCACAGGCCTGTACCTCCCCGCAGTGTTGGGGATCGTTACATCTGGTCAATCTAACTGGATAACCCGTGGTTCCCCGAGGGCGAGTTCGAATATACGAGGCTTTTACCGATAGATGGAATCATGATACTCCCCGATAAGTTGAGCTAGGAGTGTACCCCGGACGAAAAGGCATATTTATACGTCTACTTGTATTCGTTGGCTTGCCGGACTTCGCCAACCGTTATGTAGATAGTACGGTGGGATCTCCAATCTTAGCACATATCTTCGCATCGTCAACGGTAGAATACATTGATCCAAGGGATCTATGCTTATGGATTTCCGCCCAACTATTGCGACTTTAAAATTCAAGCAGCCAGAATCTAACCTTCAGGATCGTTCGTGAAGTGATTTCAATGCACTGGTTCCGGCTCTGCTTATCGTGTCACAGTAATTTATAACTGGTGGTGGTTGAAAATAGAAGAGCGCTTGGTTGAAACCCAGCCCGGTTTCATTAGTGCTCTTCCTAAGGGTGAATCTTTCAGGTGCCGATTACAATCTATGTACTCCGTAGATGGAGTAAGAAGGCCGATGAATAGATAGTAATGTAAGCTGGTAAGGAAGAGTTGAAGAGATGGGAAAAAAGGGGTGAGTTGCACGGATTCACAACTCGACTTAGGTGCAGTAACTACGGAGTAACCAGTTAGTACCCCATAGCTACTTTATCCAGGGCGCTGAACGACACTCCGGATTTCAAAGCTGCTTATGTCTCAATTTCGTTCTTGGCCAGCAGGGCTTTGATTCGTGCTTCTTTGGATCTTTTATTTTATACCAGACAGCGGGAGTCAGATCCTGGGATACCTTTTTTTTTTTTTTTTTTTTTTTTTTTTTTTTTTTTTTGGGGTGCGAGGAACGATTGCAATTCAGAGGGATGGCGGCGTTTTCAGGAAGTTAAAAGAACGTCACTCGGTTCACGGGTCGACCAAGGAGAAGGCTGATGTCACACGGTTCCTATCCTGTTCAACCTTCACAGACTTGGGCGCAACTCTCTTGACAACACCCGGTTAATGCCCCGGGTAGCTTCTTTCATGCTCCAGGCTTCCTGGAGCTGGACTTGAGGTTTTATTGTCAGCTAGGAAGGCCCAAGCAAGGCTGGATATGATTGTCCAACATGGCAGATACCAGGGAGGCTGTATACTGTACGGTGAGTGCGAGAGGAGTTCTGCGCGGGGTTGTCATCTTTGCTAATTTCTTCCAGCTCTTAATGAGTGACAATTATCTTCCAGGTCGATATACTCCCAGCTAAACCGCTCTATAACTCTACTCTTGCTAATAAGCGCTAGGCGCCATGGTCCTGGCCCATTCGTTGAGGGATAATGGCACACGGGCGAAGATCGTGGTGCTTGTCACCCCGGATAGCTTGCAAGCCTCAACTATCGAGGAGCTCAAGGTGCGCATTGGATATACAGAGTAACACTCATTCCAGTGAATGAAGAATGGTAATTAAAGCATTGCTTTAGTCCCTTTACGATGAAGTAATCCCGGTTAGCCGGGTGGTCAACGTATCTCCAGCCAACTTGTACTTGATGGACAGACCCGATTTGATATCCACATTCACGAAGATAGAGCTTTGGAGACAGATTCAATATAGACAGATAGTCTATATTGACGCGGATGTCGTGGCCCTCAGAGCCCCAGATGAACTGCTCACACTTGATACCCAGTTGGCTGCCGTTCCAGATATCGGATGGCCGGACTGTTTTAATTCCGGGGTCCTCGTCCTTCGCCCAAGCCTACAGACATACTACTCCCTCGTCGCATTTGCGCAGCGAGGGATCAGTTTCGATGGCGCCGACCAAGGTCTTTTGAATATGCATTTTAGAAATTGGGATAGGCTGAGCTTCGCGTACAACTGCACGCCCAGCGGGCATTATCAATATATCCCTGCGTTTCGGCATTTTCAAAGTAGCATTAGTCTTGTACATTATATCGGACAGAAAAAGCCATGGAGCCTCCCGAGGCAGACTTTCCCTGTCGAAGGCCCCTATAATCAGCTGCTTGCACGATGGTGGGCAGTATACGATCGCCATTACCGACCAGCACCTCCAATGGTATGAAAGTTATCCAAGAATAGTATAGTAGTTAAATACCTAACTCAATTGATTGCTAGGCTATACCTGCGTCGATACAACCTGACTATCTCTCGACTGAGCATGGCTTGAGCCAGCCCGCTTCAACAGGGATTACAGAACCTTTCAGCCCCCCAGACAGCGGCTCTATCGCATCTTTTGGAAGCGCTGGTCTGAAATCGGCAACTGCCTCCGAGGTTTGCCCTTCGGAGATCACTACAGAATCGATGAGATCACAGGAAGCCCAGAATGCTCAGATTCCTACTTTTTTGATACCCAGATCCGCACCGGCACCTGATCTCACATTTGGTCCTGAAGGTGGGGACTTATGCCGTGCGGGCCATGAAATCCCCGTTGCAAAATTTGAACCTGCCTCAAATGTCATTCCGCAAAATATGCGGCGTGAGCAGAGCGCTTCTATCCATCACCCTCAAATTCTTCCTGTGAGCAAGCCATCTGCTCAGCCTGTTGAGTCTTACGCTAGTCGTGAAACCCCAGCACCATCCGAACCTGCTTTAAGTGCTGTTCCACAACATGCACGTGGTGAGGAGAATATTTCTGTCCACCGTCCCCAAATGCCTCCCACAGACCAGCTGTCTACCAGGTCCCAAAATGGCCCATCCCAAAACAGCAATAGAGCTTCCTTTACAGCATCTGATCTTGTTCAAAGTATTGTTCCACAGTATGTCCATGGCGAGGAGAATATTTTGGTTCACCGCCCCCGAATATCTCTTGTGGACCAGCCATCTGCGCGGTCCCAAAAAAGCCATGCGCCTTCTTTTATGATACCTGAACCTGCCTTAAGTGTTGTTCCACAATATGTGTATGGTGAGGAGAATGTCTCTGTTCACCGTCCGCAAATGCCTCCTGTGGACCAGCCATCTACTAAACTGGCTGGATCCTATACTGATATCGGCATACTGACGCCTCGGACTACTGTGCATCGCCCTGTTCAGCTTCATCAAACTTCATTGCCACCGACAGAACCTGCACCTACTGTGGATGGGAGTGGCCTGCCCAGATTTGTATCTGTGGAAGCAAAAGAAACTGCAAACAATGCCAGCACTCAACCATTGCGTGCTGTCTCTCCTCCAATGATGATCTGGGATGCCGCACGGTAGGTGCTCCGGTTTATCTGAATTAATATCGTTATCTAAGGATTTGTTTCAGCGCACCGCCGCCCCTTGACTCAAGGCCTGAAGCTGCGAATTTTCCATCTCAGACGTATGCAATGTCCAATAGCACACAATTATTCCGTCCCCCCAAGTCGTATCCGAAGGTCCCGAAACATATGTATTACGAGGTTCCACCGAAGCCGCCCGTGTCGGAAGCTTTAGCTCGGATTTTTCCTTGGGAAAGCCAGGCTCCGGTCCCCTCTCGGGTGTTCTCTGATGAGGTGCAAGATAATGAAGCACCTCATCCAAGAGCTACTCTATTGGGAAAAACTAAAGGTGGGCCGTTAAAAGGCACCGGCAGAGTCCCAACAAACCCCTGGGATACACACAACCAAACGAATGCCTGGGATGAGATACCTGAGATTGAGCAGTACATGCGGTCTTTTCAGGGATCTCGAAAGGGCAGCGTTCAAGTGATTTCGGGGGCAGAATCTAGCGGAAGGAGACCTAGTTTGCGACTAACCGATTTTCCAACTGAAGCTGAGCGCCCAAGTCTTCCAGTAACTCCCGCACTTATCCGGAGGCGGTACCTCAAAGGATCCAAAGATGGCACGGAGGGTTTACGGGGCGCCAAAGGTGTCCCGCAACAGGACGAATGGGTGTGTCTTACGGTCAATGCCTTTGCGAATATCCTTCGAGTCACGTACTTATACTGGCGTTTTACAGAACCCCGCAGAGCAGCTCGAGAGGCTTCATAAGCACCATTGCAAATTTCTTGACAGCGCATTACGAAACATTCAGAAGGAGGAGGATTGACGAGACGTGACCATTTGCCAGTTTTGAAGATAATTTCTCTTCTGACCCTCCTTTTGTTTCTTCTATCTTATAGGAAAGGAAACTGATATTAGCCCTTTGGCGCAGCACAACAGCCAGATTTTCTTAAATAATTTATTTGACTTTCTCAAAATATCACCAAAACATGCAATCATACTTGCTTGATGTACAGCACATACAATATCTTGTCCTGATCCATTTCAGAGCGAGATTGGTCCTGGGTAAACAATCATCCGACCAATCCGAGCTGATATTTAGCCTTCGCTTTAGCTTTGAGATACTGGTTAAATAGTTAACGTGTTTTCTATTTTCACGTCTTGGGTACTCTCTGTCTAGTTGACCTTTTTTTTATTAAAAAGACAAAGCCAGTATTATTCCACCTTTTCTTCAGTAACCTTTGCTTCCACTCCAAGCTTTTCCAATCGCATACCAACTCACATCCAGCACGTAAATGCCCACCGCCTCAAGAACATACCTCCTCACATATATAACATGAAAATACGCCACGGCGAACAAACCCATAACCATCACCACATGGCCAACATAAAACTGCCGTTTTGTGAGGCTCTTCCCTCCAGAACTCATAGACCAAATGATCCAAGCCAGAAAAATCCCAGTCACACCCCATTGCACATCTGCATCATTGATACGTTTGGAAAACAGCGACTGAAGAATGAAGAAGGCCGTATAGAGTAAGGCATGGGAGGTTAGGAGTGGAAACAACACAATACGGCCGTAGAGTCGGTGGTAGGGGGTCAGGATGGATTGCGGGAGTCCCAAGAGGCGAAGTAGAGGATTGGTGCGAGTTGAAAGCTTAGGTGAGAGGATTATTTGTAGGGGAACCGTGGCCATGGTGGTGTGTGCGAGGGACTTAGTGAGGTGAAGATAGTCTAATGAAACCCATAGGGATATTGGTTAAATACTGATTTCATATCATCAGGGTAGTTTCTTTCTCCAGAGGTTATTGATGACTCAATGTTCATCCGCAGTGTCGCCATGAGACAATCCCATGAATAATAGGGAAATTATATGGATGGCATGAGAACCATCCAAATGACCGCGAAAAACAACACAAGATCCATAAACAATCAAACCTACCATCACCAGTCCGCCATGAAGACAATCCCACAAGCCAAACCGCCCATACGATCGTAAGCAGACACTGCCTCCTTGTCTCCCTCCATCCTTTGAAAGGAGGACGATCAAGCCAAGCTTTCTCCCCTTTCTTCCCGCGAGAGGTACCCGAAGTGCTCCCCAACACCGCGTGTCTATACAGACTTACACCCACCAGCACGATCAACGCAGAAACTTGAGCAATGATGCCACGGTGATCGAGGATCTCCCGCCGTTCCTGGCTTTGAGACTGCGAGAGGGAAACAAACCGATATGGCCAGAAAGAAGATTGCATTTCTCCCCACCCCCCCCTTTTCTCCTTCTCTTTTTTCTTTCGTCTCCTCTAATCTCCTGCCAGCCCTGCGAATAGAAAGTATGCCAGACAATCAAGCAACAAAATCTGGGTATCTGGAGCTGGGGCAACCTTGTCGCTCGTCTAGTCAGGCAAGTTTTGTGATAGATTTACACAGCGCACCCTGAACTGCGAACTCAGGCGATATCGCACCGAAAAGGAAAAGGACAGAAAAAATGCAAAATGAAAGGTATGAGGGTTACACTTGCTCAAAAGAAAGAATTGTGCGCCTCGACTTGCACCTTTTTAAGTAGGAATAATGTAATTATGATGGATAGGGACTTTAAAAAAAATTCCACGCCTTTGGCCCAAGTTTTTATTATTAAGCAATCCGGTTCGCATTCGCCAGCTCGAAGACGGCAACGCAGCTAATTATGTGCAGATTCACTATCCCCACAGCGCTCCCTACAGACGGCTGTTTTGAAAGCATGAGGGTCCAGGGCCAATATAGAGATGAAGAGCTGCCTATGCAAATAGTTACGTCTCTAATCTGACAAGGTCACACCTGTGTCTAAATGATGGGCCCGATCTCTCTCCGATAGGATCGATTTCCAAGACCAGGATCTACCAATGAGAAAAAAAAGGAAATAAAGGAGCAAGTGATCATGGAGACGTTTGCATGGCTTCTCCGTAATTCCCTGCTGCTGTAGTGGCAAAGTATCGCACATCTACGTCCTCATCCTGCTTAAGTTGTTCGAGATGGGGAAGGATCTGATGCTGAATGATGGATTGATTTCGTGGAGACGGGCTTTTTGCCTGATCGGATTTTTCGAGTTCGCTAATAGTGCCCTCTTCCGGTAGTCGCTGGAGAATGTCGATTAGCACTGCATACGACTTTGCTACGTTAAACCTGATATTTGGAATATCGTCTTTGGAGAGTCGGTCCAAGATTGGCAGGATTGAGCCTTCAATCATTTTGAGAGTGATGACTGGCGCAAGGGTCTGGACAATAGGTTAGCGAGGTACAAAGCAGAGTCCAGAATCTTCTTTCACTTACACTAATGGCAAAACAGGTCGTCATTCGGTACAAATAATTCGGATGCTGACCCATAGCAACAACCTTAGGGATGATCGATTCATTTGCCCAGTCAACTCCGAAGAGCTCTGTCAGTTTTTTGAGGTTCTGAGTTGCAGCTTCTCGAATCGAGAACACAGAGTCACCGAGCCAGCCAAGGCAGAGACTGTTAAGTTGTTCATCGAAAAATTTAACGCCAAGCTGGCTGGCCAGCAAGGGAATGTATTCGATAATCGCCAAACGCACACGCCATTGTTTGTCCTCAGCCAACTGAACGATTGCAGGCAGAAGGGATTGAGAAAGCAATTCAATACCAATGACTATCGCCCACCCATTAATTACAATATTCAATTGTTTTGGCACCTGGGAGTGAATTACCTTTGTTAACTAACTCCAATTTTGATATGATGTGGAGTCGGACGTCAGGGAAATCATCCTTTAGCATTTGCAAAAACATAGGAAGCAAATGAGAGATAGTCCTATCCGGTGGGTTAGACATATGGGAATGAAAATTTGAGGCAGAAAAATGGAGGCATACTCTTCCTTGCCGAGGATTGGAGCTAATCCACTGATCTGCGTACCCAATGCTGCACGAACATGCTGAGACTGGTCGGAGACAAGGTCTTCTATGCTTGTCATGATCTCATTTAAAAGTGTCTCACGATCAAGCAGAGAGCAAAAACCTAAGGACAAGTTAGACATCGCATATCGCACATATTTCTCGTGTTGAGGGTGTATACCAGGAATTTGCCCTGCTATTGCTGTTCGAACTTCGGCTTCTGTATCTTTTAGGAGCTTAACAAATGCTGGGACTAAATCACGATTCACAACTTGATCATCGACAGCTTTCGCAATCTACGAGGACTGTTAGCTATATGGTATATATTACGCAATAGGGACTCGAATTACCTTCTCGAATCTGTCAGCGACCATATATCTTACTCTCCAGCTTTTATCCTCAAACAAACTCCGAAGCGATGTAAGGAGAACGCCGTGACTTGACTGCTGTTCCTTGGGGATCTCCTCAGCAATTGAGATCAGAATTTCGACAGTAAGCAACCGGACGCTATCCTGGTCGTCGTTGGCAAGATATTGAAAAAGAGGAATCATTTCTTCTATAATAACTGGTGTTTGCATCTCCTTCACGAACTTGGCAAGATTGTTGGCCGCTTGACGTCGAACCATCGGTGTATCATCATGAACCAGCTGTCCGAATTGTTGACGCATGGCTTGCTGATGCGCGGGGGAGGCGGACTTATACGGGGCGCAGTAAAGGCCGGTAGCAGATATCTTGGAAGTAAACCAGTCTACTTTTGAAAGGCGGACGGTCAGGGGTATAAAGTGCTCTTCGATCTGCCTTGGCGACAACTGCTCGCATATCTTGTTCAGGGACTCTACGGCCTAGACAGAGAAGCTCGTCAGATTTCCATCTTCGTGCTTTGTTGAGTGAATAAGCCTTTGTAGAAACTTGTAATTCCGCACCTTTTCCCGAACCAGTGGTTCTTCAATCGCAGCCAAGTTTTCGAGAGGAGAGAGGAGAACGTGCGCGTACTCCGGACCGCCGACATATTCGACAAACCCACCTAATTCTTCGCTGAGGGCAGTCAAGACTTCATCCTCATCCTCTATGGATTCTGTCAAACAAATACGTTAGAATACGCTCATTGGCTTTGGTTTGGTTTTTTTTGTTTTTGGGTTCGTCGACGGTTTCGCGGGGAATGACGCACCGTCAAGGAAGGGAATCAGCTCGTCGCGAGTCCTTTCCGGACCGAGAGCCAAAGCAATCGTCGAGAGTCTGTGGATAGCATTTAAGCGGAGCAAAACATCATCATGCTAGATGAGATAAGGAGTCAATATCACACCATCGTCCGGAGTGCGGGGAACGGGCCGATGGACGCCAGGTACCTTGAGCTCGTCGATCAACACTGCGATAGGGTAGAGTTCGTCGTTTTCGGCTTGGCCTTCCATGATTAATGGGTGTTCTGACGCCACGATGAATACGCGGGGGGGAAGGAAGGAATTAATGCAGGAAGGGCGGATGTAAGGGGTGAATGAGAAACGAAGAAGTTAGCGCCCTGTTCGGATGTAAATACAGGGAGTCAGAAGGCGAATTAAAACAGAGAAGTCATGGAGGCTTTTCCGAACAAGTATATTCGGCCTGTTCTGAGGACAATCGGTCAGTTCGTGTAGCTTCAAGTCGCGGGCGTGGGACCGAAAGTGTTTTGGACAAGGATTCGCAGGAGAGTCTCGTGGGGTTCCCAAGGCACGAAACTGGTCAAGATCAAGCGTGCCAGTGACAATGAACGTACCTCAAGAGACCACAATTCCAAGAGGTTTGTAGTTGGAGCAAAGACAAAGCTGAGGAATCAGAAGGCAAGCTGGTGAGAAACAAAGACTGGGGGCATCGAGTGGCTGTTGGCTTTTTTTTTTAGGGGGGGGGGGCGGTTTTGGTTGTGGTGGTGACGACGAAGAGAGGCAGATGGTTAACGGAGCGAGCAGGCGGTCCCAGGCCTTGCTTAGTGAGTGAGTGAATGAAGCTTTCGGCGGGCACCAGCGACTTTCTGGCGGTGGCCTGCTGTGGCTGGTGGGGCACGAACATGTGGCGGTGATGTTTGCTCGCCGGACAAACATCGCTACTGTCTTTCGTTTTGTGACTCGACGGCCGTCTCTGCTCCTTTCGCCCTCCCCGTCCAGCACGTTTTGGCCGGACTCGTCCCGTCGACAAGCTTCACAGTCAACCCAAGCTGAAAGCCCTTTGCCCCGCGGTGCCGGCCCCTGTGTTCCTCTTGTCGCAGCGACGACCTTCCTCCGTCAGCGCCCAACCCCGCCAACATGCCCACTATATCCGTGGATAAAGCCGCTTTGTTCAAGGCGCTAGGTCAAGAGTGAGACATAGCCAATTGCCATTATTGCTCTGCAGCCTGTTTTCTCTAATATCTTCTCTTTTTGCTTGGCCTAGGTATACGACAGAGCAGTTCGACGAGCTGTGCTTCGAATTTGGTGAGCCCGATCGTGTGCCCCGCAGCCGGGAGCTCAGCCGCTAATACGCTATGAAATAGGTCTTGAATTGGACGAAGATGTATACTGTGCCCTCCCGTGACCCTTTGCTCGCATTTATCCGTTGCTGAAGCGTGATAGACCTCGAACTCTGAGCGGCCAATTGTCAATGGAGTCCAAGAACCCCCTCAGCTAAAACTTGACATCCCCGCGAACCGGTCCGTCAAGCTCTACCTTATTTCCGGCCTCCTAATAGCTAATTCTTTTTTATAGCTATGACCTCCTATGCTTTGAAGGCATCGCTTTGATGCTAAATATTTTCCAAGGCAAGACCGTATTACCTAACTACCGGCTCGTGACACCACCGAACGGTGCGCTGCAGACAATTGTAGTAAAGAAAGAAGTGAGCAGTGATCACGTTATTGCACAAGGATATTCGCTGAGAGAACTGGAATAGACTGCGAATATTCGGCCGTATATCTCGGGAGCGGTGTTGCGGAATATCCACTTCGACAAAGCCCGCTATGACTCTTTCATTGCTCTACAGGACAAACTGCACCAGAACCTTGCGCGGCAGCGGACGTTGGTGTCCATTGGTACCCATGATCTTGACAAGCTGCAGGGGCCCTTCAGCTACGAAGCTCTTCCCCCGAAGGACATAAACTTTGTGCCCTTGAACCAAAAGACATCCATGAATGGGGAGGAGTTGATGAACTTTTATGAGGCAAGCTTTCGTCAAACCCTACTTGATTAACATTTTCTAAAGCTGCTATAGAAAGATAAACACTTGGGCAAATTCCTCCATATTATCCGCGACTCCCCTGTATATCCGATTATCTATGATTCAAATAGAACAGTATGTTCGCTGCCTCCAATTATCAACGGCGACCACTCCAAAATTACCTTGGACACACGGAATGTCTTCATGGAGATCACCGCTACAGATAAGACCAAGGTTGAAGTTGTGAATAACATCATGGTTGCAATGTTCTCCCAATATACGTCAGAGCCGTTCACGTGAGTCTGCTTTCCGGTGTCGCCCTTGGTCTGCCTCTTAACACTGGCGCTTTAGGATCGAACCTATCCAGGTTGTATCCGAGCACAACAATGAAACTCGTCAAGTTCCCAACATTAAACCACGTTTAACTCAAGCGAGCATTTCATACATTAACCAGTGCTGTGGTCTAAATCTCTCTGCACAAGAGATCTGCGACCTCCTAAAGAAAATGGCATATATCGCGAAACATTCCAAATCATCAGCAGACCTCATCGACGTCGAAGTACCCATTACTCGTGCAGATGTGCTCCATGAAGCGGACATTATGGAGGATGTCGCTATAGCCTATGGTTTCAACGAGTTGCCAAGATCATTCCCTAGCAAATCCGGAACGATTGCCCAACCCCTGCCTGTAAACAAACTGACAGATATCATTCGGACCGAGGCTGCCATGGCAGGATGGTCCGAAGTCATGCCGTTAATTCTTTGCTCCCATGACGAGAATTTCGCGTGGTTAAATCGCAAGGATGATGGCAATACTGCAGTGAAGCTTGCAAACCCCAAGACCGTGGAGTTCCAGGTGGTTCGGACCAGCCTTCTTCCGGGACTTTTAAAAACCATCCGCGAGAATAAAAGCCACACCGTGCCAATGAGAATCTTTGAAGTAAGCGATGTGGCCTTCAAAGATATGACACTTGAACGCAAGAGTCGAAACGAGAGACATTTCGCTGCTGCTTGGTACGGAAGGACTAGTGGCTTTGAGGTTGTCCATGGTTTGCTCGACAGGGTGATGGCCATGTTGAAGAGTGCATTTATTGTCGGCGAAGAGGGACTTGATAACCCGGACGTCAGCGGTTCGCGATATTGGATTGAAGAACTAGAAGGTTGGAGTCTCACTCTTTCTGGTTATCTGTTACGATTTGCTAACGCTGTACCTAGACCCTACCTACTTCCCAGGACACGCTGCATCAATACACGTCTGTATTGGAGGCAAAGAACATGTCATCGGTACGTTCGGCATTTTGCACCCTACTGTCCTTGAAAAGTTCGAGTTGAAATATCCTGTGAGCACGCTTGAAATGAATATCGAGGTCTTTTTGTAAGACATAGACGTATTCGATTTTTTGTGTTGATGGATAGTTTTATGGAACGTGAAAAGAATAGATCGTTAGCTAGCGCTCTTGGGTTTTATGAACTGAATGCGATGATGAGAAAAATAGAACATTGCATTATTCCTGACGCTTGCTCATGATGTATTGTTTCCTTGGATCAGGAAAGCTCTCAGTAAAGTAATCGGACTTTCAGTCATTCACCAGCAGTCTGAACGCTTCCTTGGGTAGAAGTAATCTCTTTTGTGTTTAAACTACACTCCTAATCGCCAAGTTTCCGTCCATTCAGCAGAAAACGGAGAAAATTGTTGCATATTCATGATGCCCATTTTAACATTCCTAGGACAGTAGAAGAAATGTGGGGATGAAAAAGATGGGACTAGAAGAAAGGAGGAAAAAAACAGCTAATTAATTTCACTCCTGGGGGACAGCGGCAGCTTCTGCGCCTTCTTGACCTTCCTGCTCGGCCAATCGCTGTTGCTCAGCAGCCTGCTGGGCAGCAGCGGCCTTAGCACCGTAGTCCTGGCTCATGGGTTGGAGGACAGGCTGCTCCTCCTTGGGCTCGATGATGGTGACGGAGTCTGGGAGAGATTTCTGAGGACCGGACTTGCCCTCTGGGTCGCTACCGCGCATGATCTTGACCTTGATACCGAGCACACCTTGACGGAGGAGAACGTGGCGGGTGGCGCTGTCAATGAAGTCTTTGGCGGGTTGACCGGAGTGGATCATGAAACCATCCTATAAAGAAACCCCTTGTTAGCCACCAATGTAATTTACCATGGACTGTTCCCAATATACGTCGCAATGCGAAAGCGATAATCGACGGAAAGAGTCCCCCTTAAATAAACAAGAACGGCGGGCCCAAACGTACGGTGAACTTCATGCTCTTGGCACGAGCAGCTCTCAGTTTTCCAGAAACAACGACCTCGCAACCCTTGGCACCGCTCTCCATGATGAATCTGAGGACACCATAGCAGGCTCTTCGGACGGCCAAACCGTTGAGCAACTTGTATCGCAAACTTTCGCACTGAGCAACGGCAGAGAGACCACGGTTCTGGACCTTGGCGGCATAAAGGGAGACGGAGTTTTCGGGGAACTTGAAGCGCTTCTGGATGAGGGAGGTGAGTTCACGGATGCGGCGACCTTGCTCACCCAAAACTTCCTGGGTATGGGTAGCGCGGATGACTGTCAAAATAGCGAAACAAGTCAGTTATCTTGATCTTTATCCAATGTCCCACGATAATGCCATATCCTATCCCTGTCCCGAAGTTCTCTGAAAATAGCTCCTCCGCAGGAGAATTTGCGATTGGCCCTAAGAAACAGCCCAAAAATAAGAAAATCACGTACTGATATCGGTTACGGTGGGAGTAACTCTGACTTCGACACCGGAGTATCCCTCCTCAGCCAGCTCGCGCTGGAAGAACTCGTTCAATTCGGCATAGAACACACCGTCAGCCACGAACTTGCGGCGCTTGGAAATCGTTCCCTGAATAGCAGCCATATTTGCTGATTATGCTGACCCGATTGTCGAGAAATCCGCCGGGGGAACGATAAAGTCGTCTGTCGAGTGCTGGTGAGAGAGCTTCGGATTTCTGGGCAGTCGGTCCAAAAGATTGGAGGTTGATTTCGGATACCAATTTTAGTGGGGTCGACAAGCTGGGAAATTAGGGTCTAGGGTTTTCTTTCGTTGCCAGCTATAGCGCTAAACCGCTTTCGGCTGGCATCAAGTCCATGGGATTCAGGGCCATCCATCTTCTCGCGATGGTGGTAATTACGGGGGATTTGGGTACAATAAATTTCGGATTCATGATATATTTGCAACTACCATCTCTAGTCCCTAGAGAATCCTCGTGTAGCTATCTTCACCAGAGAGCACAACGCCAACCAATGAAACCAAGTCCCCCAACAAAGTCCAACTCCCCGTCCCGAATGCTGGCCCAATTCCAAAACACTGAAAGCCGTCGCTGATTTTTAAATAACCCATCGTAGTCTACCTCATCGTTACCCGCAACATGGCAGTGGAAACAATAAAATTCGCTATTATTGCATCTCTACCTCCATTTCTTTTGGTTTAACTGAGGGAGTCCCTGTTCCAGGTGTCCCGTCTCTTCCTGCTCGAAAGCCCAATCCAGAGAGCTCCGCAGCTAATGCGGCAAGTCCCGATGACGGCGCAGGGCTCAAAGAAGGCTTACTCAAGGCTCCACTACCAATCGCCTGATCAGCCGTTTCCACGCCGGTCAAGACTGGCGTTCGAGTTCCACTGGACATGGCTCTGTCGCCCCGAACACTAGTGGTCCGCGCATGTGGTACATTCATTTCAGCATCTTGTCGGCCAAATGCCTCGCTCCACCACCTCACCTCGTTAGTTCGGGGAAACAATAATCTCTCCTTGCCTCTCTGGTTGTCGTCAATATTAGGATCATAGTTGGGATTCAAGAACTGCTCCCTTCTCGCGAGGAAGTAATCCCATACACTCCGCGTCATCTCTTTTGCCTTGGAGTTCACACGTTCCTTTTCACTATTGTAAAGAAATGAGCCATACTGGCAAGCGTAGAGATGATAAAGAAGCCTCCTGAGGAAACGCTCGTTGAACTGGAATCGGGTCGGATGTTGGTAGAGTAGCTGGTAGGTGGCATCGAGAAATTGATGGAAGACAGGGCTCGTCTCCTTAACTTTGGTAATTTCAACGTCGTTGGCCGGAGATTTTGAACGTGGGATGGTTCTCCTGGGATCACTGTCGGATTCCAAGGGGACGATTTCTCCGTCAGAATCCCCTAATGAATCCCGGCTAACGTTGTCCCTGTTGAAGAACCCCTTGGCACTCAAGAAGGCGTTTTCAATTGCTTTTCCCGCAGCACCGGCGTCACCAAATCCGCCCCTCACGTCACCACCAATTCGATCATTCTCAACTTGAAACCACTTTTCGCTATTCAGATGCCCCGACCTATGGCGGAACATATGGCCAAAAGAAAGCCAATCTTTCTCAACAAGTACCATGAAGCCTTCGAGTGTCCTGTAGTAAGGGTCGAGACATAATTGGCTGAGCGCACTAAGCTGGCTTGTCCTATCCCATCCATCTGAGCAATGTATCAAGACGTGGGAGTGCTGCAGTCCAACCTGTCTTGCGATTAGCGCAGCACCGTCTAGGAGGCCCGTAATATGTTTTAACCATCCGCTGCGCGCGAGCTGGTCACGATTGGGCCCCAAGGATGTCACATCGGAGTCTTTCAGGGCATCAATAACCCTATTAAGTGAATCTCGCATGACATGAATATTGTCTATACCCAAATAAACTTTTGTAGCGAATTTATAATTATCCATATTTTCTGAGCCCAGGCCGACCGCTTGCATCGCAAACGCGTTCACTGTTGGGCGAGCATCAACGATGAGATTGTGTTGCTGGGCACCGTAAACTTGTGGTTTTGGTTCTTTTGGAGCAGATTGCACCGCTGATATCACTTCATCTTCCAATTCTTCCGCGTTCGAGAAGTCAAAATCAGACTGAACACCATATTGGTCTTCTAAGCTCGAGTTCGATGATTCATGTTCCAGGGAAGGCGGCGTCCCGTTGGCAGATTTTTCTTGTCTGGAGGTAGAGAAGATCGCAGCGAGGAGCTTCTCGTCTTGAATACTTCGGTTATTGCGGACGCCAACAAGCGGTTGTGACGATCGTGTGATTGAACAATTATTTAGGGGATGTAAATAGGTTAAGACCGGTATTCGAGCTCTCGAGCGATATCGACCAGCATAATTAATGGTATTATCCGATATATTCGTGGGAACAGGTAATAAACAAGGATAGGTTGGTGAGAACTAAAAGCCATCAGCGTCACGTCCAACTTCAATAAAATAGCGAATGTGGCAAGAGTGCCCACATTGTAATCTGAATTTATAGCCGATAACCTCCAACCGGACGGGGAATCCGGGTTTCCAACTCCTAGGCGCGCCCATTCTTCCCGAGGATTGTAAAGATCCCAGCCGTTGAAGCTTCGCTCAGGCAGGGGAGGTTGATACGTGAAGGCGTAAAGTTTCTCAACACGCCCAATTTTACACGTCCAAAGCTTTATACTCTCGTACGCATCTCTTGCTTGCGCTTCGTTGGGAAAAAAGAAGCACACGAATGTAAAATCTCGACATCGTATACGGATCGACGACGGCTGGCGGGAGGATATCGTTGCCGGTCTAAAGGTGCAGAAGCAAATAATCGGATACGTGATCCACAATTCGCGCGGCTTTCCTGGGATATTGGCGTCTTGCGATCCTTCTGGGGCAGGAGGAATATGCGAAAATATCAAATGATGGGGAGTAAGATGAAGCGTGCCTTTAGCCCGTTCACCGCGCCTGGACAAGGTGACATTTTCCACCTAAATGCCCAAATGTCAAGTTAGCTAATATGCGAGAGACGGTGCATATATATGTCGAAGCTCAAACCTTAGCAATCCGTGTCTTTTCCATATCTGTTTCCTGGACTCTAATTTTTATTTTTCAGCCTAATAGGAGTAGTGGCTTCATGGTCTTTCAAGGAGCTGAAAGTTGGCAGAACACAATTAAGAAAGTGCTAGAAGATGAATTCTTAATCAGAGAACGGCAAGACAGCGTCAACAAAAAGCAGACCACTGTTGTAATCAGATCTTTTGAAGTCTCATAACACTGGTGTGGTAGTTCGTTACTGGACCAAGCCTGGAAGTCTCTCTCTCTCTTCGGGTCGGCCCCTCGTCGTTACGTCAGTTTAGACAGCCTCAGGTTCCCCCACAAATGTGTCAAAATCTCTGGTGATTTAGAAACAAAGGATCTTTGCTCGCAAAAATATACAGAGTTCAATTACAGCGAAGCAGAGTCTCCTTCCAACTCATTTTAATACAATAAACTTTGTGTAGCTTTCATCATTTATCCAGCCGGAAATAGGAGCTAGAATTCATGATGTCTGCAGTACAAAGTACTCGGTACTGACTTGTAGCGGCCTCCGATGGGCAATAGGCTTTGATGATGTTGGCAGCAGGGCTGTCTGGGGAGGAGGTGGATCTCGGGCTGCAGGCTGTGGATTTCTCGATGGGTCTCGAAAGGATATCACCAAAGATGGTCCAGTTGTAGTTCCACGAAATAAATTACTTTTCACCTAATAGAGACCAAACAACCATCATGTCGCATTATTATCTATCTAATGTTTGCCAGGATAAAGTGTTTTCCCCAACTCCAGAACCCCTTTCTGCCCTTATAAATTACAGCACCTCATCCTATCTGAATTCCAAAGATGCACATATATGTCTGCCATATTGACCTGCTTATAAACGCCTCACCTGCAGATAGATAACATGAAAAGAATTCTTTTCAAATCAAAAACGGTCTGCTTCATTCAGAGTCATCTGTGTTGTTCTCTCTATGTGCACTCAATTCAAAAGCCAGCTGGCATGCGCGGCTGTACAAAGGCGGGAACAGCAGCCTCAGAGATTCCCTACCCATCGCGGGAGGCGCTGAGCCGCGATTCTCTCGAGAAGCAATCAACGGTCGTAACTCATCGTCAGACCGGCCAACGGACAGACTCATATTGATGTTTTGAATTGGAAACAGAGGCCCCGTTCTTGGGTTGGAGAAGCTGAGCTCAAGGTCTTTATAATTGAACCTCGCAATTCTTGCAGCCGTAAGTGAACGCAGAGGCGGGAAGACGTACTCGCCTTCGATAAATTCTGTATCCCGAGCCGAGCCTTCCGCACCTCCTTCGGTTTCGCCCTTCTGGCCCGACGACGATTCCGACATTGCCAGCAACTTTTTGGGGAGTGAAACCTTGCAAAACAAAGGCATCGGAGGTTGATGGCGAGAAATCGGTAGCAAGTAATTCAAGCTCGCTACGCACTGTAAGAGGGATGAGTGCGAAGGATGTTTGTCGGAAATGACGGAGGCGAGTTGACTACCCTCGAGAAGGTCATAGTGAACGGTCCTGGTAAATCGAATATCCAAAGCTGTTTCTGGCAAAAGCATGTCGGCATGGTTCTCTCTGAGAATTGCGGTCGCTTTTCTAAATACCGGAGTGGCAACGAACCCGCGCCATTCCTTGGTCTGAGGAACTTCCATTTCTAACTCTAATACGGGAAAATTAACGTCATTGCTTGGAGACGGCAAAAGACGAATTCGATGAATCGCTGCGTCAGTGTCAACTGGTGAAAGTGTTTTCAGAAAAGACCAAGTATTCGGGACGTCTGCGATGAAGGTTCTCTTTGGCAATGAAGATTCAATTTCCGAGAAAGTAATCTCATCAGCCTTGAACTTGGGTTCCCTCTGGAAAAGACACTTGCCGACAGCGGCTGTAACGGTTTCGTGCGTGAAAGGCTCGATGCTACTTTGCACGGGATGGTGTTCGAGGAGTGAATCGCGGATCCTACTTTGAGGAGCGGTAGGCTCTTTGCTGTAAATATCTGCCGGCGGTCTCCTAGCTGCTCTTCCACCTTGTATGGAATTTTCGAGAAGAGGCTTGGCCCATCTAAACCAGTTTTTGTTGCGATCCGGAAAGGACATATATTCTGGGTTTATCATGGAATAGACATTCGCTGGTTGATCGCTTGGGAAGTATGTAAAAGGACGATTGGCCTGATCAAGAGGCAAAGATGTAGCAAGAGATATGCTTTTGCATACTTTTTCAGCATCCAATTTGTTTTCATCCAAATAATAGCAGACGAATTTTTTCGAGTCTTTATTTATCCGGCAAAACAATCCATGTTCCTCTTGCAGTGCCTGTATGAAAGCCTCTTCGAATTCCGCATTTTCTTCGCCTGGAAACAGGGAACCATGTTTCGGGAGATCAACTTCTTTGGAGCGAATTCGAGCCACCAACTGTTCCACAGCAGTGTAAGCCTGGAGTGCGTCGGACTCGGGGCCTATTATTCTAATCCGGTTAAAGGCCTTTGTGACATCGATCTTCACGTTGTGCGCTTCCGCAACCGTCCTTAGCGGTACTGAATTGGACAAGAGAAATGTAGAGAGACAGTCGGACTGTACGTGAAGATCCGCGTGCCCAATTTCATTTCGGATCAAAAGCCCCCAGCAATCCCTCATGATCTTTTCGGCCAAATAAGCTTTTCCTTGCACATATCTTGTTTTCTTGAGTTTTGGTGAAAGGTCCTCCTGAGCTTCATGAGGTGTCCCAACTTTCCACTTCCACGTTCTTGGTCTGTCCGAGGGTACGATATCGCCGTTGGGTTTGCTCTTCGTCTTGACTTCCTCATTAGCTTCATACTCCTTAACATAACGCGCCAATTGCGGTTGCGTGAAACCATGTTGAAGAACGTCTCGGAGCTTGTCCCAGTTGACTGGAAATAGGTGATCTCCAGGTTTATGAAGCGAGCGGAGGTACTCGAAATTCGCCGATACCTCAGTCGCTCCAACTACTCTATATCGCTCTCTATCCACCTCCTCCAAGACTTCAGACGGGCGGTTCAATCGCGGATTTTCGTCCTTCTTTTCCGTCACTTGCTTAGTGCGCTTGGCCTTTTGGTCAACGACAAGCACATGTGAAGGGTTCCCAAGAGTTATCGAATCAAGCTGCTCTATATGATAGCCCCGGCCCTTGCGACGCGTGGAGAATTTCGGGCCTTGGCTTTTAGTTGTCTCTGAATCTGCATTCTCCTCGTTGCTGCAGGCGGTCGTCTGGAATTGTCGGTTTGGCGACGGGGCGAGAGAAATGGGAGTTAAGGGTCGCCATAAGGGTCGGAGGCAATTCTGGCATCGTAGACAGAGTGCCGCATCCCTGACTGACCTCTGAAACATATGTATCGAAGAGACCGCGCTGCTAAACAGCTCGACATGCGTGTAACAAGAGCTCAACAGCTCTTAAAATTGTGCTTTTCGAGTTTTGGCTTGAATGGATGGCGCTGACGGCGTTAGGTTTTCCCGGCCCGCCCCACGCCGGAAAGTTCGCTGCCCATTAGTTAAACTCTAAATTCAACCAGCGTTAAAGGGGGCAAGGAGTAAAATTGGAGAGCGAAAGAAACAATTACGAGCGTGGGCCATGAGTATAGCAATATCGATTGACGTATGGAATGGTATTAACAACCAGATCTGCCATTAGTCAAAGTATGCATTAAAATCCCTTCAACGCCAGCCAGAATCGCCTACCATGCCATCCCTTTCGCCGTCATGGTATCATACAATATGAAAGAAAGCAATCCCAAGGCCAATGCAGAAGATTTCCGACAGTAAAAGCTGCTGAGTGAGGCTAAACTTAGAACGTATGGCAAAACAACCAATTTGGCGACCCATCGTAATTTGGAAACGCGCAGAATGAATGCAGTCATTTTGCCCATGAGATTTCCCAGCTTCTAAGATCTTCACGAACTTCAAATTCGTCCACCTCACGATTCTTTCGCCGTTTTCCTTTTCCTTTAAGGTCCTTACCGCCGACGTCGGAGCTGAAAGAGAAGTCTGAATGTTTGCTATGGCTTCGTAGATGAGTTCCCAGCGAGTCTCCCGATCTCGTACTGCGTGCAGGAGATTTATTTCGAGTCGTGCGTCGAGAATAAGTATCACTGAGATATCCAGTATCCTCCTCGTCATCATCACCGACCTTCAGGCTCGGGCGTCCCGATGCCCAACCATCCCCTCCGGCGAAAATGTCCTCGATCACTTGGTCCGGCGGCAACTCTCCAGCCTGCGAGGCCCAGGACGCTGCAAGATTACGGAAATAAAGATCATGGAGCTCGGTAAACTCCCGGGTTCTGTGGTGAAAAGAAGGAACGCGACCTGCATCCTCAGAATCTCCTTTCGCTGCATTCATGAAACCGGCGATCCCGCTGAAGACTGTGGCTGGCTTGAGAGGGGGTCTGGGAGTGTATATTAGCGGCAAGCACCCGCAGGAATAGCCCGAACGTACGCAGTGAAATTGCTTTCTCCCTCAATCTGGTGCATCATAATGCCGATCTTCACTGTAGCATTGATCTTGCTATTCTGCATCAAGTAGCGGCGGACGACACCTTCGTCTGCCTCACCTTCTTCCACATATTCAGCAAGATTCAGATCGATATTTCCAAGCAGCGATCTATCGCTGCGGCTGTTGGGTGAGAATTCCTGGAGGATATCAAAGCGAATCCCACACTCTTGAAGCATATGGTTCCGGTCAACCATCAATCTGACGGCTAATGCCTTTTCGTAACCCCAGGTCGCCCTATGGGCCTGGAGCTGCACCTTGGCCGTTTCCCCAGAGTGTTCAGGAGAGGCCGAGGATGGTAGCTGCCATTTCACATAGGCAGTACCCACCCCAAGGGGCACATTGATGATGTCGATCACCTAGCAAGATCATCAGCACATCAGGTCGAGGAGGCACACTATTCTTAGCCACTTACGCGTAAGGTCAGTGAGAACTTGGGCTAGATCAGACAATATAAGTCGAGACCACAGATCTGGAAAACGGGGAAATGGGGCATACCCGTCTGCTCTTGGGGACTGAAAGCACATTGGTCAGCTCGCTGGCCGCAAACGCCACAGCTGCCAAGGGATTCATTTGTCAAATCCACGCGAGAGCTGCACAAGATGGAGCCGAAAGGAGAACGTGACTGGGACTCACCAAAGGCCTGCATCTTCATGCACAAAACCCAACTTTTCCCCTTTGTGAGCTAATGTTTGCTCGGCAGGCACCTGCTTCCCAACGGGGCTAGTGCTGTTTTCCTGGTGTGAGCCGCAGGATGAGTCCGGGACGCTCTTTTTGTTACCGCAAGGCCCATTACCCAAGGGCGACAGCCGCTTTCGGTCAAGATATTTGGTTGGGTTTTGCCGGTCCTGCACTTGTCATTGTGGAAGGGTGATGTTACGGGAACAAACAACAACATCAAGAATAGGAGATCTACAGACGCAAGGTTGAGCCTAATCGTGGACTCACGTGGAGACAACCAACCAAGCCCCAGAAGACTGGTACGCTAAACAGGTGAGAAGCTTAACAGCACTCTCAATCTGGGGGGTGCACGGCCATCATCATTAATTTGACCACAGAAGACCTGTCCATCTAAGCACTTCAGTATTATCCACATCCGTCTCTCGCAATGAGCCAGCTGCCACTATCCCCTCCGCCGGAGCCACGGTTGGAGCCTCAACAGCCGGTCCCGCTCACTGCGAGTGTTCGTATCACCCCGATCCACGAACTCCTCCCCGACATCCGCGTGCCTGCCGAACCGCTGCCGCCTCATCGATACCATCCCGTCACCTGCGCGCCGCTCGATGTCGTCGAACTCAGCTTAGAACTGCAGCAACTTCGAAAGGAACACACCACACCCGTTGCTGCTCTGAAGGCGCAGAGGGAGCTCGCCAAAGAAGTTAAACGGCGGATGGAACAAACGGAAGCGAAAATGGACAGTATCCAAAAGCAGATGAAGAGGAAGAAAGAAGAAAGAGATACCGAAAGACGGGTATTCTCGAAAATTAAGAAGGAGAAAGAAGGAAAGATGTGATTGCTTTAAGATGACGTATTGCACCCCCTGACGGCGTTACGTTGATGCTATGATCGAGCCTACTTTATTTACGGCGGAGGCATTGTGCCAGTAGCGTCACTCAAGCCTGCGATTCGTTCGGGGTATGATTTCAAGGACCACGAGCCATCAATTCCATGGCACACGTGGGCCTGTGCAGCTCCTGGTTGAAGCGACAGCTCAGCCATCTCACCGTCGCATCTGAACCGCCAGTATAATGGCTATTCCATAAGATGTGAAGTGAAAGTACGACTTGAAGGCGTGAAGACCCGAAATTCACACAAATCCTCACCACCAACTGGAGTCCTCCGAGCCTCCAAATGGATTGCTCACCACCTATGCAGACATCGTATGCAAGCGGGCTTCAGATCCGAAATCTGGGAGCGAATATCAAAGTACTGGTTGTCGGTTGACGATTTGAGCGGATAGTGCAAAGGGAACTCCCATGACTCGGTTTCTCATACGCTTATGGAGTTTCTTTTGTTGTATCTATCCATGTCTCTCCTGCACGTACGCGTTACATTTTAATCATCTCACAAGTATAATTTTGCTTTAAAGCACGTTGCAGGGAAAACAAACAAATAAATAAATAAAAAAGACAGCTACTCTCCATGTAAAGGCATGTTCCCAAGTCTTGTATCTTACCGTTTAGATTCAAGGCTGGAAACGCCTTGCTTAGCTGTCGAATGTTGGAAGAGGAAGTTTGAGGATTTGGGTGCGGTATATCAATCATTGGACTTGGTCTTGCAGAATAGATTTTTTTACTCGAGTCCAAAATCCCGGTTCTCCCAGTCATAATCACACAAGCAGATGGTTTGGACTGGAATACCCGCTTGAATGTTTCAATTTTTTTGATCCCATGCACCCTACTTTGGTTCTTATCAACTGGGAACGCCAAACGGGCTTCCCCTCTTTCCCCGCCGTATAATTCAAGAACGGATGTTTCAGAAGGGATCCTACGTTTCAAGAACAGCCGGCATAACTACGCCCGCTAACATATACGAAACAGACGCGCTCGTTGACCGCCTGTCGCGAAAAAGCTTTGGAGCGCACTGCAAAAACACGCTACCAGGTGACCGCGACAGGCGTAGACGCGAGCTCCGAAAAACCTAGCGGGTAAAAGAGCGCGCGAGACAAGACGCTTGCGGCGCGCGGTTTTTTTCCCAGACCGATGATGCAACATCGGGACGGAAATGTGCGATTCCACGAGAGTTGGCCAGTTGAAACTGGAGAGTGGGGTTCAGTCGGTGAGTAGGAATCGAGACGGTGAGGGAAACCGAAAATCCACACTCGAGTCTCCCAACATTCTGCATCGCTGGGTGCAGCATCCATCCGCAGGTGGCGATATAGCCCGTAAAATAAAAAAAAAGGAAAGGGGGAAAAAAAAAAAAAAAATTCTGGTGGACGCCGGTGTCCTCCGAACTTCCCTTCACCGTCTTGCTCGATGTATGGATTTCTCCAAGTGTGCCGAGGTAGCTAGTGGAGGAGTTACATAGGCAGCGCACCGCCACGGGTCGTCTGGTCAGCAAGGCGTTTTAGTTCCGTTGGTTGCATAGTTCACTAGTTATCGATAAGACACTGTGGCACACGCGTGAGGCGCAGCACTTCTTCAAGGCGAACTCACACATCGACGTGGACGAGGGCAGCGGTGGCAGCTTTTCTTTCATCCTCGACCGCAGAGCAGCCCTCGCTTTCCATCGGAAATTTTGATGACGTCTATATCTTGAGTCCTTCAGCTGTCCCTTTCCCTGCCTCCAGACCGCTTATGGTGAATTTTCCTCAGTCCCGTAAGAGATTGGTCCTGTCTCAAAAGTCGCATGATGCTTGCCATTAGTTCATTGTTATTCTCCGGGCCGCTCCTCTGGGCAGATGTCGCTGTGTCCCGCGTCACAGCTGGGAATTCGGCGACAAGCGAGAGTCACAAGCACCTCTACGCCGCAAACACAGTAGCACTGGACGTAGAAGAGCCGCCCATCACCTGACTGCAGCAGATCTTGGCAGCTGAGAGATATGCAGCCTCTCAAAAATCCAGTCCATACAGAAAATGCTTTGGCGAGATGCAAAGATTGATAGACCGATCGCAGTTTAATGCTTCGGTCTTTCCGCCTGCAAATTGATGCGAAGCCCTTCAGATTCGCTGTTATGATTGATTTCTCCAGATGTTTACACGTTTGTCCCTCGTGGTGGGCCTTTCGCATTGTGTGCTCTCCCCTTTCCAGAAAGTCTGATCATAACTTCGCCACCTCCAATCAGCATGCAGAACAGGGATTTCTTGGAGTCATCGATTTTAGTCCGATAATGGTCAGCGAATCCGATGCCCAAAGTGGCCCAAGACCGCTACCCTCCATCAGCTGCGCCTTTGTGGAAGGGCAAAGTTCCTGTGAAAGGTCTTCCCACCCAGGCCCAGACTGAGCATCGATATGCCGCTTTCTGCGGCTGCTCATACATTCCAGACTCCGTATTACGAGTATGTTTCGAAACCTGGAACCCACTGGGCCATTCAGAACTGCTTGGTACAGACTCTCCGTCGACTGTTGAAGCAAGGTCGTTACAGGTCTATCCATCGACGCAGCAACATTCGGTTTTCCCGACTCGGGGAGAAAGATGATGGGATCGTCCAGCCTGGCGGGTGCTGAGCCGGGTTCCTTTGTCTCCATCCGGAGAATACCTGACCGCGACACAGCGCAGCGTATACATCGCGACTGTGTACCCCCAGAGGGGTAGCGCCGTTGGAGACTAGGGAAGAAAAAATTTTTTTTTACTTTCACGGACTCCTGCCGATTTCCACAACCTTTTTGGCTTCATTATTTTGTGATTCCCTTTTCTCTTCGTGTTCACATCAGGTCTCTGATCATACACAGGTAGCTTGCCCGGGCACTCAATTTCCAGGACCCGCCCTGCTGGGATGTGGGTTGCACCGAATGCCCTGTGTGGTATCTGATCACCCATAACAAAATTTCCCCTCGACCAGGAGATGCTGTCGAACACGATTTTCGCCTCTGGAGTCGGAGTTGTCCTTCACTTGCCGTGTTCGTAATGTTCGGTAAATCCAATTAACGTAATTCTGCGTAACCGTGACGGCATGCTCGGCGCCGTCGAAAACGCGCGAAATGACAGGTAATTTACCCGTTAAGTGACTGTATATTACAACTATGACGCAGGCACCGTCCTGTCAATTCTCGAACAAAGTCCATGCGGCCTTCTGCGGCCGGGTGCAGGCATGGTCAGAGTCGCCAGGAAGAGTTTGCGATGGGGAACATGCAGTTTGCCCAGTTCGAATCAGCAACACGGGAGGCGAAGACCGCGCACCCCTAGGGCCACCAGCTGTGAAAATCTCAACCAGGAGAAGTGCATGCATTGTACGGAGTGCTCTGTGCTCCGTATGCATGTCCTAAAGAGCACAGTCCAGAAAAATGGCTGCTCAAGGGATCAGCTTGACCCATGCCGTTGTTTCTACGGAGAAACGGGTTTTCGTTTAGTGAATATCCTTTTTTTATTTTGTACTTTTTTTTTTTTCCCCTCCAATGACTTTTTGGCATGCAGAAAGGTTATTCTTATACAGTCACATCCCCACCCTTTTCCCCTCCGCCGACCTCTTCTGTTCTATATAATGGTCGCTGAGAATTGAAAAGGGCGGCACTTCCCTTTCGGGCTCCTCGTCGCCACTCCCACTCCCACCACCTCCGCCTCCTACTCTTCTTCCTCTTCCTCTTCTCCATCCTCTTAATCTACTTAATTCTTTGATCTCTCTAATTTATTTTCTCTTTTATTTTTCCCTTGCTCTTCTCCTCGTCTTCTCTCTGGAATCGCACCCCGAACTGTCTTTTACAGCCGCCGTCGTCCTGCGTGTGCTTCTTCTACTATACTTGGAAGTTTAGCAAACGCGCACGGCTAAACGAGTGTGCTGAGCTACGTTCGTGCCATACCTTACCAATTTCGATTATATATATTTTATTCTCTTGTTGAAGACACATCTTATCATAATGGTGACAAGTCTATTACCGGCCTCCGCCGCGGCCTTTGCGCCAAGATCCTCGCCAAACGTTGTCCTACATTCGAGGGTAGAACCCTGGCTAACGATGACACTCAAGAGGGTTAACCGGGTCAAGCGCCCTTTAAATAATGTCGGCCAGCATACCAGATGTTTGACGGAGACGCTCTCATCGACAAATGCCATCTGGACTCTCTGCTCTATCATGCTACCCAAGGCACCGGAATCTGATCTACCCAAGGATGACAACCTTCTCGTGGAGGCGCTTTTCAACTACCAGCTTCTCCACATAGAAGCATACGTGGTACATGTCGACATGGTCTCTCAGAGTGAGGTTGCGTTCAAGTTGACCCCAGAGACCATCGAGTCTTTGGTTGAATACCATAAGGAGGTGTTTTCCGTGGACACTGCTGCCAGCACCTGGAACTGGGCCGAGAAAGAGATCCAATTGAAGAAGCTGCAGGAAGAGTTCGTCCAGGCTGCCAACCGGTTCGTATTCCGCACGGGCGTTCGTGTGCTTGAAGGAATGGAGGAAGAGGGAGCTGGTGAGCTCCTTGGCGGTCGGAGTGACGATGCAAAGGCGGCGGTGATGGGATTGTTTGTTCCGCTGCTTCCACCACCACCACGAGTCGTCGATGTGGTGCAACCAACTCCGCTTCTCCCAAGCTCAACCGGTCCTCAAGATTGGTGGAACAGCCCGATCCCACAAAACCCACCCGTGCCCGTTGAATCGTGGCAGGTAGTTCCTTCGAGCCCCAGCACGGCATCTTCATGTGACTCACATCAAAGCCTATGGGCTAGCATTACGATGAGTGAGATGCACTTGCCATCACCTGCTCCCTCGCAAAGTCCGCCGTTGTCTACTGCTTCGTACACTGCTGCCGAATTCTACGACCCTTCGGCCACAACTGCAGCAATGGCTCCTTTGCTCTTACCGAGTATGATTGCACAGCAGCAATGCAGCGCTTCAGCTGGAATGGGTGGCTTCGGGTGGAATGATCGCATCGTGGATCTCGCATTGCCATATGGCACCACGATGTAACTACACTTGGAGGCATGGCACCCTCAACCGTTCACACCGCAGAATGGGGTGGCCGTTCATCATATCTACGACCCAGATCACCACCCTGACACTCCTTTGACCTGCATTTACTACACGGCATGGCTTTCCATCTGGGCGAACGACCGGGTCCTCGGGGACAATGATCTTGGTTTTGAAGGCATATACCTACTTGCATGGCTTTCTTTGACATCCCTCTATTGGTGCATTTTTAGCAAGCGTTGAACTTCCTTTTTTTTATTATTATTATTCTTTATTTTTGATTTTGCATGAAGAACCGGCGGGTCGGCTGTTTGCCCTTTCCTTTTTTTTGCATGATATACACTCCCAAGTGGATGATTCCTTTCGCTTTTGTCTTACATCCGGCATTTGATGTCATCAAGACCTTGATGTGCCTCGCGGCTTGAAACGTTTTTCCTTTTTTTTATGCCTTTCATTTCTTGCGCATTATAGACTGGGCTACATATGGATGGGCATCGTGGCGGTGGTTTGGCTGGTCCTATCATCAAGCGATGACTACTCCCTGATTGCCTTTCTATTGTCTAACCACTTACATTCGGTACAGGCTGCCGAACTGGCGATCCATAATATGGATTGGGTAAGAGTTGGATCTGCGACAATGCGGCTCTGCATACATCTGGTATGGTATTGTATTCCGCAATTTGAGTTCACTCTGGTGCGCAAAGGGGCAAACCGTCATGGCCGAGGAAGGGAGAGGTGTGTCACGCCCGCTTTCTAATGTCCATCCGTGATGGCGTCTGGAATGGTGGGAGTCAGCGCTTCACAGGATCTGGGATCCCTAGTTGCTTGTCTTTCACGGGGCAGAGGCCGCCATTCTTTCCCGCCCCTGACTGTTTACCTGAAGCTATCCAAGGCCAGGCTCACCCTTGTTAGGATCATCCTCCTTATCTCCGGGCTGGTTTTGTTTTTGTTCATCGTTTTGATTGATCTTTTTCCTGGAGAAGCCCAGCTCTTGTCTTTCCTCTCCCACTGGATGGGGATGGATTCGGCAAAGCTGGGAATCAGATGCTGGATTTCCTTGTGCTCGTTTCGAAGCTGTGCTTCTGATCTCTCTTTGTCAAATCATCTATGCATGTTAAGCTAGTTTGTATAGTTCGAAATATATAATTCATTACATTCTAACTTGACCGTGCAGCCATATCATGCCAAAAGGAGAGTTTTCGAGCTGCTAAAGAGTGCCTATGGTGCGGGCGATGGGCCGTCGGGTGTGTTCCTCTCCGGGCAGAATGACGTCACTATTTAATCCCCGAACCTCTCCTCAACGGCGGCATCCCAACGTTTAGCGGGCTCTTGGAACCCGTGCTCAAATCGACCATGGGCGTACCCTTTGGTTAGTCTAGCAGGGTCTGGAGCAAACAAATAACGCACGAAATTTGCAAAAAGGAAGCCAACTGCCAGTTTGATCCTACAAAAGTGTCCGCCCGCCTGAGCACTGTTTCTCTACAGGGCAGTGGAGAAAGACTGCTCTCTGCCAAAACGCTGGCTCAATGCTAATTTAACCGAAACAAAATAAAACTTATTGATAGACCTTCATCGAGAGGAAAGGAATCAAGAGAAAGAAAGAGGGAAAAAGATGGCGGCGTTACATGCAGCGCTTCAGTCGCTACAACCAGTTTCGATTGAAGAGATCCCTACGAGTAACGAAGGACTATGCACGTATATACGGGACCTTCTCATTCAAGCTCGGCTGATCGTTGAATCAGTACCTGAGACCCCTTCTCCTCCAATCACTTCCAATCTTCCTGCAGGCTCCAAAAGCCCAACGAATGGTGAAGATAGCTCGGAAACCCTCCTTGCCTCGACGACATTACCGGCTCTCATAAAATCTTCATCCACACCTGCATTAGGACCCGTGGATATACTCTCATTACGGAGTGAGTGGGGTCAACCCATCAACAGGATCGATAATGCGAAGGAAAACCCGTTGCGTATCCCCGTATACAAGCTTAGGAGCATAGATGGGAAAGGTGCCTGGTTCGCTCGGCGGAGTGTTCATGCCGGATCTCTTCCGTATAGCAGATTCGAAAAGAAGCTTCAAAGTGAGCTAGCAGAGACTATGAAACTCCGGGAAAAAATAGGTAAGGAAGTGAGTATCAGGGGGGTTGGGAGCGAGGGGTGTCTAGAGAACCTGACTGTCCCGCTGCACTCTGCTCAAATGGATACAACTAGCGGCAACAGGAACCTCCTGGGGAATATTGAGGTGCATCACCTATCGGCTCATTTTCCCGGGCCCTCAGCTTCGAGGGACTTTGTTACGTTGTTGGTCACCTCTAAAAAGGCGTTAGAGGTCTCTTGTCAAAGACGCGACGAAGGCGAAAACGAAAACTCCCCTCCTCCCAGAAATTTCATTGTTATATCAAAGCCGTGTGCGCACCCCGACGTACCTATACGCAAAGGTTTTGTCCGCGGCCAGTATGAGTCTGTCGAGATGATTAGGGAGTTACCAGCCCCGATAGAGGGAGATTCATCTGGAGCCTCGGAAAACAAAGGAGATGCAAACCCTGTGGAATGGATTATGATCACGAGAAGTGACCCAGGAGGAAGCATACCGAGATGGATGGTGGAGAAGGGCACAGTTCCAAGCATCGTTTCAGACGCGAAAAAATTCATAGATTGGGCGTCTCAGGACCAACCAAAGAGTGAGAGCACAGACGAGGATTTCTCGACTTCCCAGCCTTCGCATGATTCTGGAAAATATGAAGAGAAGCAACAGCAGTTAAAGACAGGACCGGGTGAGCAAGTATCAACACAATGCACCCCCGGGAGACAGGCACCAGCAAAGGAGAGAAGGAGCTCGGAAGTGAAAAGCAGCCATGGCGAGGTGGATTCAATGCCATCGCACGAAGTAGGCTTCGCAGCAGGTATAGTTCAAGGAGTCTCCTTAACCCTAAAATCGACCGCACCTAAAGGGCTCTTCGACTATATCGACCTGCCCACAACCTCTAAGCACCCGGGAGATGAAACTGACGAAGGTCAAGTCAACGATGGAATAAGGGATGGTGGAGGCAATGTTACCAGAACAAGCACAGCTTCGCGAAATATGAATAATGCCTCGCCATCTTCATCCACCGCTTCCTTTGTGAGTGCTGATTCGCAACTAGGAGATATGCAAGGGAACAAGGAAGATAGCATCCCTAGCTCGTCCGGGATCGGGAATAATAACAGTCCCGTCATGTTCAACACGAAGGTAACCAGTAGCACTAGTAACAGCATTTTCTCGCTCAAGCAGGAGTTTACGCCGCCAAATGCCTATGACAAGGAACTAGCCAGAATTTTTGACCGCAAAAATAAGGTCCTTAGGGATCTTGAGCTGAACCACGCGCAGCGCAATGAACTAGTGAGCCAGGTCTCACAATCACACGCCCCCGACGTCAACGCGAGCGATGAAATCCAAGAACGCATCGCATCCCCAAGCAAAAGGGGGAAGGATGCAACCTCGAATAAAAGAAGCCTAGCAGCACTAGAACGGAAGGAAGCGAAATTAAACTCTCAGCTGAATAAAATTGAAGCGCAGCAGCAAAAGATTGTAGCAAAGATAGAGTTAAAACGTCGCAAAGAGTTAGAAAAGGATGAGAGAATTAGGCTGAAAGTGGAAGTTGAAACACTAAAGAAAGAAATGGATCGAATGAAGGTAGAAATTAGCAGGTTGAGACAGGAGCGAGGACAATGGGTTAGTATAGTTGGAAAGTTGCAGCAAGAGAATACCGAGCTTGCTGCTCAGCTTCTGAAGAGAGGAGGAATATAGTGGACAACAATGTAAGTGATTTATGAGTGAATTGAACATGTATACTCTGTAGACTGGATGGGTATTTGATTTGATGTCTACATACATAACAGCACAGCTATGTGTATTGTCGCTGCAGATGGATTTGGATAAAGATAGCATACAAGGTGACGCCTTAGTGCAAGGCTGTCTCTCGTCGTAAGTGCTAGGTGTTTGTTTCTTCACACCTTCTTGTTCTTTGAGGGACGTGCGTATTTTCTGCCGGTCATTTTCGAGCTAATCTCCATCCCGAGGCTAGACCAAGGGTAGTAGAAATGCTGCTTTAAGCAAGTTTGGGTCGTCCCTTTGCTTGCACCAGCGTTCGACCTTTTATCGGTTTACTTTCCGGCTGCAGGGATATCGGTATGCCAACGGGGAGCAATGATTTCGCAAATGTACGAATTTTCGTTTGCCTCGTAGGAGGCACGCATCATTATTCTTGTACCTATCAACGCGCATTAGCGACCAACCGTGGCAAATACAAGGGCATATCAATCCATTTGAAAAAAATATATGTGGCCTAAGAATCTTTGGGGCTCACCTCCGGCGGATCCCCTGCTCCTCTAACCATCTTCTCCAACATCATAGCTCTAACTTTCTCTTTGGGCTCGCCCATTCCGATTGCCATGTACTGCAAGAGTGGTGGGTGGCCAACGTACGACGCATAGCTATCGCGAATGATATTCGAGGTCCATTCATACTTTGTGGTATCCGCGTGGCCGGTTCCGACGTAGCGAGCTTGTAAAGCCTCAAGATTTTGGAGAGTACGAAGTTTATCGGCCATGTTTATAGGTTAATGAAATCAGAGGTTGAGGGCGAGCGACAAAAGGCGACGAGTGAGGTATGTAAAACCGGTGGCTCTCAAGGGCTTCCGGGGTTGATCACGTGACTGCTGGTCATGCGCCGGCCGATCGCAGAAAAGAGGAGCTGAAACATCTGGACAACGGTGGTTATTGAACCAAAGCTCCTCTCCAGCGGTTACAGGGTTTCAAGGTGGGAGCCGGGTTTCTCATGGGCTCTAATGACTCCCGCATAGAGTATCGCATTGCGTCCCTCGTTCACTCGCACTTCAATGCTCTTCCTCAACGGTGTAAGCCAACCATCCGCCCAAATGGAACACCGGAATGGATCCCCTTGAGTGGAATTGTGCTCGTGACGAGTAAGTAAGCCGCTGTAGCAGACTTTGAATGTACCTAGTTCTGTATGAATGTATCCCGAACTTTTACTGTGATGCTGTAGACGGTCAGTCTTTAAAATGGCGATAGAACACCTGCTAATATATTCAAAGGGGAGGATACCGCTGAGGAATCTCTGACCTGTGTTGCTCTTGCGTAAGGAGATACACCCTGATTGATAAGCTGATATCACTGAAGCTAAATATTTGCGGTAGAACGGGCGCGAAATGCCTTTCGTCGTCTCAAATTCACCTTTGCCAGGGACTTGTGCTTCATGACAGTCATGCTGAGATCCTTGCGCTCCGTGCTTTCAACCGATGGCTCCTTGAGGAGTGTAAATCGATGTTGACGCACAGTCAGGAGCTTAGTTCTCGCGATAAAGAAGGAATCGGCTGTCAGCTTCGGAATGATGGCAACGGCCAGATCTCCCCGTTTCTGGAGTGGAGGGTTTCCAGGCTCGAGTCTACGAGTGCCATTCCTGGCAACCATGCAAAGGAACTTCTATGGCCGCCTTTCAAATTGAAAGAAAATATCAGGATATGGATGTATTGTACTTGCGCCCCTTGCGGAGATGCCAGTATGGAATTATGCATGGCAGCCCAAGATGATCCCACTCCGTGGGACGTTCGCGCCCTTGACGACGCAGCCACTGAAATTGAATCCGACCTTACGAAAGGTCTCCTAGACGGCCGTGCGCACTTCTCGGTGCTAGGCGCCGTTCGCCGTAAACCATCTCGTGCTGATGCAGAGCCGACGCTAAGCAAATCTTGTTCAGACAAACTTGCCGCGAAGCAAATCACATCATTGCTCTCTTTTCCAGCGAGTCTACTTATCGCACCATCTCCTAATGCATATCTGGCCAACCTCATTCTTCCGGAAGATGAAATCAGCCAGGTTGCCTGTGAGCGATCATTCGGGAATGGGCAAACCGGCCGTCTTCGAGAGCTTAATGGCCGAAAATGGCAGGATTTTGGAGCGTCTGCTCGTTTGGACAGTTATTATGCCTTCTTTCCGTTCACTGTTCGGTCATTACCAATGGAACAGCTGAGTGCCCTCTGGCATTTTTCCAAATCAAAAGACGCCGGTTTGCCAGCTAGTAAATCATCCAACAAGTCTGCAGTCTGGACAGCAGCTTCATCTTTTGGCGCCAAGCCGGCTTATACCTCGTTTCGCCAGAAGCAGTCGACAGGTCGGGCTTCCAAGTCGATTCCGAAAACGTTTCCTACCAATATTATTGAGACCATTTTAAATGGTGTAAAGCAAGGATATCGGATCACCTCTCCAGATGCGCGCAAGGCCAGTGCTTTATCACGAGCTAAGATGTGTGAATTGCTTTGTGATATTGTTAAACTTCTGCCAGAAGTGAGCGTCGGCTATTACCAAAGTAAGGACGGATGTCCCGTTAACGAGAATGAAGCCAGCCGTAAAAGGTTGGATGATAGGTCTGAGATGGGGGAGCGGTTTGCACACCTGAAAGAATGCGTCGTCTCCTCACCCACGTACTTCTTAATGAAGCGCAATGCCGAAGGAGCAAGGCTATTGCATTTGCGAAAGCAAGCTCTGGAAGATGTCCGACAAACCCTAGGCAATTGGATTGAAAATAGAGGTGATGAACAGTGGACATTGGGGCCAGCCAAAGATAAAAATGTGTGAGCAACTGAAAAACTGCCAAAGTAACCACTAGATCAGTTTTCAACTCTAGTGTTAATTGTCATAGATTATTATTATTATCTAAAAGCATTATAAGTATATAATTTGAAGCATTAATACATTTATGAAGTTAGAAAGCGATATCAAGGGTCGCTTTGATCCATCCACTATAAATTCACCCTGCTAATAGAGTAACATGCGCCCCTGGTCACCACACAGCCTTTTTAAACATGTAAGAGCTCCAAACAACCCTAATAGATACCTGGAATGATCCTGCTCTTCACTTTCGAGGTATACTTCGCCCAGTCTGCACCATATTTGTTTCTGCACTTCTCCTCGTCTCGTCTTTCGCGATGGACAAGCAGGATTCCAAAATACACAATGTAGAAATAAGTAAACACCATCCCCCAACCGCGAGACTCTTCTGTTTGCACCGCACGTACCTCACTGGTTCCCGTCAGAGGATTGAGTCTCTCAACCATGGCGTAACCTGCGATACCAGTCGGTAGGCACGTTGTCCATGACATGATCCAGTCGCCCAAATAATTTATGTGACGAGCGGCACCCCACCATCCGGACGTAATCAGCTTCGAGCCCCGAGAAGTCTGGATATATTGAAGATGCTTCACTCTCGGGTCGTTTGGATTCTTGCGGAAACGGTCCTTTTGGTTATTGGTGCTACGGAAGATATAGTACCCAAGAGATTGAACCCCAATCACAAGAGCAGCCCCATAGATACCCAGCTCGAAGGGGTATATGGCCAGGTATCTGGTGTGAATTGAGTATGTGAACGGGACCCACACAAGGTCACCGAAAGCCAGCATAAAACCAAATCCGTCCATGATAATGTCCATAGTGGTGCAGATCGCCGGTTCCATGTATAGGCCATCGAGGACGTAGAAGCCCTGAAACGCGGTCACCAAGAGGATTGACGACGTGAGGCTTCCGTTAACTTTATACTGGTGTGCCACATTCGACAGGTTCAGAAGCCCCCAGCCCAACAATCCCGGTCGCAATTCGCAAAAAACCTTGATATCGATTGTTCTAGAGGTGTCCTTCACGAAGGGAATAGGGAGTTTGACTCTGGGGTTCAGTTCGCGTCCAATGAAGAAGTTATACAAGGCACTGCGCGTTTGCCCGCCAGGAGCTAACTCTCGAAGCATAGGATTTGGTGTACCTGGTGCTGGGACAGTGAAACTATAGAGGTAAACAAAAATAGCAAGGATAGAAGAGATCAAGAGGTTTGCAGTCAGAACCTGGATATAGTTCTCCCAGAGAAATGTCCACAAGGGGAAGTCGACCCCATAAATATATGTCCCGGCACCGCACCCAAGAAGGATCAAAACAGCGGAGTTAAATGCTAAAGCGGAGTGTGAGTCGAGGAGTAATACATGTACTTGGCGGTGAATAGGAGAGTCGTACCATTGAATTTATATTTCAGTCGACCTCCACAGGCCAAAACTTCTCCCTGGGTCTCAGTGCCGGGAAGAAATATCTGCAAGAAAAGACTGAGAAGATAATAACCCAGCACATAAAGGGTGACATGGCCATCGTATAAGCCCTTGATTCCACTCTCCGGCCAACCAATTTCCGTCTTCAGCTTGTCAAGGGACAAGGTGGACGGATGGAGGAGTGACGGTGCAGGACATCCCGAGATATCATTGCAAAAGAACGCAAAACTGTAAACCAGCACCGGCAAGCCGAATGTCAAAACAAATGATCCGATTCTGCGTTATCTCATTAGCTCCGTTTCGCCCAATTGGACCTGGGAAGCAAGCTTACGGCCCCCCGAATTCGTATCCTCGATGATGTTGAGCCTGGGAAACGACCTTCCCGCCCTTTGAAGCCATTTTTTCTAATAACTATCGGTCGCAAGAATATTCGAAGATGAGGGCAAAATGAGCGTTCAATTGAATTCCAGAGCAAAAGGGACAAAATCCCTTTTTGGTCACCATTCGCATAGCTAATCTTGGAAGCTCCTATCGCTCACATGACAACCGGTGGCTAGGTCGGAGCCAGGACACAGATAACTAGCCGAGTTGCTGACTAATACTTAGCTCAAGTACGAGATGTATGTATCTCAATCTGGTACTCCGTAAGTTGATACCGAGATTATCGAGGTTGAACTCTATAATCCAACAACTGGCTCGATGAACAATGGCCAAAAAGACCCGCAGCCTTTTCTATGGGGAGATCATATACTCCTTCGCCAAAGATGAGGAGGTCAACATTCTCCATTGCCTAGGATATGTCAAGCAATGTGCAAAGTTCTTTGATGTCTTGCACCACAAGCGCCTGGATGAGATTGATTGTTGCCCACCATCTTGGTGCATCTCCCAATGCTTGCTATGTGGCTGGCCCTGAGGACTGGATCTATGGCAGCTTCAATGTCTGTATTCCAGTCACTGTCTCCTCAAGCTGGAGGAGGAAAAGGCAAAGACTGATGCTCTGGTTTCCACTTCCATATTGTGTCAGTGACCACTTTTGCCCGGGAAATAGCGATGAGAAGCTTCGATGTGAAGCTGGGACCTATGTGTGGCTTCAGCAGAATGCCACGGATATGGTCGTTCAGCTGACACAATACTCCACAAGTAGACGTCAGCTTCAGTCTTGAAGAAATCACCAAAACACGGAAGCCTAAAACACCACGGAGACGAACAAGCAAAACCTCATGTGCTCTTATCTAGCTACTGACTCATGACGACAAAAGAAAACCCTGCAAACCTGCCCGCCCAGAGGAGCTGAGGGCCTAACCGAATGAGGACAAGGCAAGCATTCGCAAACAAACCCGAGGATTTAGGTATATGGTGTAAATTCGCTTCGGAGAGCGGCCTTTTCGGTAGCTTGAAAGAACCTAGCAACTGAGTATCACACACACCCATAGAGCAGTAGATGTAGTAAACCATCATGTTAGCCTGCTAATAAATAAAGCCTACCCAGTGCTCATGTTAGGCAAACAACTTTCTACAGAACCATTCACTTCATGGAACGGACACTTGACTGGACCACATCTTTTTATTAATCCTCTTCGACAAGATGGGCCAGAAACTCGAATGCAACTCATTACGCATGGCAATTGCTGTGCTTTCACTTAAACGCCGAGCTTCCACACCTTCATTGCCTCCTGAGACACTTCCAAATATTTCAGTAACAGACAAAGTACACATCGAAACTGTTGAATGCTTGGAGAGGATGTACAATCACAATGTCAAAATCCTTACAGACAGAATCAACAAACTATCCAGCGACATTCAATCAGTAACAGAGGACAACAAACAGCCTTTTGAAAAAAAACTTTGACTGAAATAAAAGGCTCCCTAGACAATATGCGCCAGAATCTTTTGGAAGTAAAAGAGGAAATGCAAAACGCACACAAGATGAACTGCGATTTGCACCAAGCACTCATCGATTCTAACACGCAACAAAAGCAGGTCAGGAAGTCAATAGAGCGATTTTACGCCGGGTGCAGGATTATAAAGAAACATTAGCTCGTCTATGCCAGAAAAACGGACTCGACATCAATGAGATAATCAGATCCAGGAACAGACCTCAGTGAAGCAATCAGATTTCTTGGGTTTCAGGCTTTTCAATGCACTTTGCTGTGTTATTCCCAGGATTGTAAACAACAGGGGCGCTGGCTTGGGACACCCCTCAAAATTTGTTTTCAACCCCTTCTCGAGCGGCGTACTTAGAAGTGTAGAATGGGCAGGCGATACTGGCTCCGCGCTGGGTTCTGGAGTTAAGATGCTATGATGCTTGTGAGTTAACTGGTATATGAATAGTTGTATTGATATTGGTACCTTACCATTTGCAAATTATTCTTATTCTGAAATGGTAGACGATGGTCCTTGCAATAATACTTGTAGTTCATAGGCTCAAGGACGTAGGCATATCTCACACTCGAAATCTGGCGTCCAGTGATTTGTGTCGTTCATATGCTGTTGCAGGCATGACAGGTTCAGGTCTCACACTCATGAGTAGACACTGTTATCTCCTGATCGGAAATATTTCATCCTCATTATATAACATTTGCTCCCAGCCATGCAATGTACCACAGGAGAGTAAGGATATATCTTGTTGGCTTCTGGTTTTCAAGACAAAAGTCTTGGCGTTGTCACGAGACTCGTGAGGGGTTTAATCCATTTTTGCTGATGGGTTCATTGTTTGTTGCTACAAGGAGGAATGTTGCGCTGGGAATCCAAATGGCTCAAGAATCTGACAAGTATCGACTCCTTTTTGAGGAACAAAAAAAGCTCCGAGAGGAAACTGAACAACGCCTGCGTGCCACACAACGAGACCTACACACTACGCAACAAGACCTACACACTGCGCAACAAGACCTACACACTACGCAACAAAGTCTCCACGACGAAAGAGAACAGATACGACCGACCACCATCTTTGAGTTCCTTGATGGCTGCCACACCCATTTGTTCCGCGGACTTACCGTTCGTAATGCCAAGGACTCGACAAAGGGTGACTTATCGAATCCGGATGGCAAACTTCGCCCCGAGAGAATTCGACAGTGGCCTGACTTTGCTGCAGAACAAGGGCGCATTTGGAAAGATCTCATTGGGATGGATTTTGTCCTAGAGCGCCACTTCAAATCACTACATGGGCTGGCGGAATCTGGAGCAGAATTACGGACCGAGAAGACAGGGTCTGAATTGGACCTTCGACAGTTTCAGCATGAGACTCTCACTCGCCCGGTTCGTTCGGTGGTCACGAAACTGCACTCAAACATACAAATACGCCAGCACTTCCGCCTCTTGGGCAGCATCACCTTTGAGAATCACGGAAACACACTGAGTGAAGAATCTACTGAAACCAGGTCACTCGAGGGACCACCACGCCCCACAAAGCTTCGAAAAACTGGTCGAGCTGATGCCACGCCCGTTACAACACCGCACTCTTCCCGCCCCCTGGCGGATGAGTTCTGCATATATAACAAGGGTGACGGCGAAAATGTGCCCGCATATATTGTGGAGCTTAAAGCACCGCATAAGCTACCACTGTCGACAATCAACTCCATGCTGCATGACATGGACCTTGAAGATGTGCTCCTGCATACACCCGACGAGCCTGAAGAGATTGCATGTCGTCGTGAGATGGCCGCTGTGATTACCCAGGCATTCTCCTACATGATCAAGTCCGGAGTGGGGTATGGGTATGTGTGCACAGGAGAGGCTTTCATCTTTCTTCACGTTGGCAAGGACCCAACAACTGTATTTTACTACCTCTCCACCCCGGGCAAGGATGTGGGGGAAACCACTGGGTATACCGGCCGAACGGATTCTCCCAACAAGCTGCATTTGACGGCTGTTGGCCAGGTGCTTGCCTTCACCCTCAAGGCGATGCAGGTAGAGCCCTACTGCCAAACTTGGCGAACAGAGGCGGAAGCCCAGTTGAAGCCGTGGAGGCTCATATACCAGGATGATGCCATTGTTTCTTCGCCACGGACGGTGACCACGCAGGAATACACACCAGAACATCAAAACCGAGTGGACTATGCCAGAAGCTCACCCATTGTGACAAGGTCTAAAAAACCTCTACTTCTGCGGTCGTCGCCGTGCAATCCATCGCAGGTGTCGTCGCGAAGTCCGGTGGATAGCAGCGATGAAGACCCCACGGACGTGATGGACTCCCCGAGCAAAGCGCCGCGTAGCTCGGCAAATGTTATGGTTGTGATCCCATCTCGCTCCAGCGACCGGTCGTCGTCCCATAGGTACTCCGAAAACCAGGGTAGGTCGCGGCCGTACTGTACCCACAAGTGTCTTCTCGGATTATCCAAAGAAGGGCCATTGGACGAGGCATGCCCCAACATCGCTGACCATGGAACCGGCCAGCATCAGATCAACCTGTCTAAGTTTTCAGTTCTCCTACACGAACAGCTGCTGAACAAGGCCAAGCGCATCTCTGATCCTTACGAGTCCGATGGGTGCGAGTCGCTTCACATCCATGGCTCTCGCGGGGCGCTGTTTGAAGTTGTGCTCATGCCGTATGGATATAAACTGGTGGGCAAGGGGTTCCCGCCCGGATTGTCAAGTTATTTACTGCATGAGAATGCTGTCTATGGGCGTCTTCGCCCCATCCAGGGTCGTCATATCCCTGTGTGTCTCGGGATCCTGGATCTCTCCAAGCGACCTCTCTTCTATGATGGAATTGCTAGGATTCCTCGCCTTTTACTTCTCAGCCATGCTGGAATTCCTCTTCCGCGCTCTGATGTTGGCAGCAAAATTATCCATAATACGGCGACATCGTCACTTCAGGCGATTCACCAGCTTGGGGTGTACCATGGCGATGCCTTTGTCCATAACATGTTCTGGAGTATAGAGAACCAGAGTGTGATGTTTATTGACTTTGAGCGAGCTCAGATCTGGAATTCTAGGCCCAGTCTACAGGTCACGTCGCTGAACCGAAAGCGCAAGAAGCTGGATGCAAAGCAGGTCACCAAGATGCAGTTAAAGTCCGAAATGCTAAGAATGCAAATCAACCTCGATGGCTAGGGATGAGGTTTCTAAACCTATATTTGCAAATAATCGCATATGAATGCAAAGTGATTTCGCTGGAAGGGAATAATTGTTTGGATTCGCTAAGCTACCTAAAGGGGGATTTCGCCTACCTAGTGGGTCATGTGAGTGAGGTGCTAGTTGGATTACCTAACACCCCCCATGCAATGAGCTCCAGCAGCAAGTGAGAGCCACAATAGATCCAAAGCTTCCAAATTGTCATGGGCCAAGCTGAAGTTACTAGCTAAGGCTCTATATACATGAATGTATTGCTTGAGAAAGAAGAGAGGAGAGAATAGGCAAGCATGTGTATAATATATACACAATGTTCATGTGTGGCACTAGGCCAAAAGAGGAAGTAGATGCTAGGCCAGAAGAGAAATAGTGTGGAGATCTCTCATACAGCATAGCATCAGAGAGCTCAGCTCAAGAGAAATAGAGGTTCAACCCACTACATAGAGAATCATAATAGATACTAGATTAAAAGAGAGTGAATAGTGGAAGTTTGAACAGAACTTTATATAAATTATATAGAATTAATCTTGTCGCCGGGTCCCAGAGCCGGCTCCGTTTACAAGAAACAGCCGAGTTATTTGCATCCTAACATACGCAACAGAACTGTGTATATTTCGTTGGCCTTAGTGTAGTATGACTTAGGCGTTCTAAGAGTCCTTCACATCCGTTGAAAACGCATCACTAAGAGACAACCTGACCGACAGCCGATGGCCACTGTTGAATCTGCTACCGTAAAAGTTTCCGGACGAGACTGTGGAGGTAGCCAAAGCACATTCTGTCCGTTATTCACAATCCATATGCCATTGGTACTTATGCCATAACTGGAACGGATAGAATCGTAGGGTGCAGCCTTCTCGCTATCTGACTTAGCCGTGGCAGAATGGTAGTCCAGGTGAAAGGCTCCGATCTCTGTAGAAAGCCGGAAAATGTCTGTTAGATCGAATGAAAGTCGACCTACAGTCCTGCCAACAAACAGAGTCTGTAGGCAATCACCCGAAGTGGGATCCCAGATCTTGACCGTCCGATCATTGGACCCTGATGCATGTCGCTGGCCGTCATTTGAGAAGACCACTGAGTTTACCACAAATGATAGTGTCTTTTGAGGCTCCTGCTTATCAGTAATCTTACCCCGTCCAGATATGATCACCGGGCTCGAAAACGACGATGACATGACAAGCAACATCGACGGCGACCACTTGCCCCATCCGGATGAACCATGCCCCTGGATATGGAACAGCGGCGATCCGGACGATCCATCAGAAATATACCCTTTCATTGACTGGGTAGTCTACGGAATTTGCACCGGCCCACCATCACACCACAATGGCCCATCCCCTGAAGGACCCGCCCGATCGACCGAAAATCGCCGCCGACATCGGTCCTTGGTTAGACGAGCTGGTCGATCACTACCATCACGCCTCCGTATCCCGAGTTGAGAAACTACCCGAATTTGGATGAAAAGGCCAAGGAGTATTGGAAAGATTGTCTTTCCTCCCAATCATACCATTTCCTTGATACAATAGAGAATCAGTCAAATGGCCAACAGCGCTCGTACTCAGCCTTTTCCTCGTCAGTTTCAGCCAATTGCTCCAATATCAGGCCTTTGACTTTGTGGAGGGCAGCTTTGCACTCATCGTATCGCTCCTGCTCGATGAAGCCTTTCTCCGGCCACAAATCGCCCATTCTCTCCTTGACCTCCGCAACAAGCTCGGTTCCTGCCACTGCACCATCGCTATCCAGTTTAATACGCTCGAAATCTGCTTCTGAAAAGTCAAACGGGAATGGGGTGTCGCTGGTAATGGCAGGTAAGTCCGTCCACGTGTCTTTCAGGTCAACCAGGAGCGATTGGAAGTGCGCCTCGCCGTATTCGAACATTCGGTGGGCAAGAAATATCAGCCCGTAAGCTGCCGTCCTTCGGAATTCGACTACTTTGTATAGGTCTGGGTTTTTGGCATGCATGAGTTTCCGCCATCCAATGAACACGTTTTGGATGGTATACTCATGTACAGCCGCGGACTGTTCTTCAGGCGAAAGCCCGGAGAGATTCGGCCGTGGTGCCAGATCAAGGGTCTCAGACTCAAGGCCATCCCAATCAAGGAAGGCTGGATCGGGGTTGAGGTTAAAGAGGGGCGAGATGTGACAAGACTGCTAGTCAATAATGCCGGTGATCTTTTCGGGATTATGCGGGTCTACGAAGACGTTGTCATCATGCAAATCATTATGCCAGAGGCTGGGTCTGGTAATGGCTGTATCCTTTGGGATAAGGGCATCGACGACTTGTCGGTACCATGCTAAAGCAGTAAGTTTCTTTTCCGTGTCTGGTCGGTAAAGCTTTGGGCCACAGAACAAGGCAGTCGATTTCGGAGGTTCTAGAGACTGGATTGCCTTCACCTCTCGCGTCCCGACTGCTTGCAGATACTGCGTTAGAGAAGCCCCTGTAAACTTATTAGCAACTGTACAAGAATGACACGAACCACAACGTACATGGCCCTTTCTCGATGTCCAAATTTGATCTGCCTGCGTCACACCAATCCCGGCCTGTAGCCGGGCCAACGGCAAACTCCGAATCTCTCACAGCCTTGCCATTCTTGACAAAGTGGTTACCTCCTAGTGGCTGCACGTCTTCCGTGTAATACAAGCTGCCATAATGCGAGAATGAAACGCTCAGCCATTGTTTCTGGAGGCGTGTCATAGCAAGAAGCACTTGGAGCTTTTGCAGTAGTTTCATTGTGCTCCAAACTTGGGACAGAGGAACACCTTCAGTTTTATCCATGATAATAAATTCAGCCCCAACAGGGTGCGATTTGGCTTGCGAGTTCCATGTGTATACACGAGGCGCTGGTGTGTTAAGAATTTTCCTGGCCTCCCAAATCAGACGTGTTAGCAAAACTCGATGTTGATGGTGTTCAGGAGAAACTTACGAAGTCCATCGTGGCGACTTCACTGGCAGTAGTAAAGTGTGGAACGCCAGCATTCGGGTTGGGAACCTTGGCTATAACTTCTCGGCCATCGTCCATAGACATGAGGAACGCTTTGTTGAACATGCCGTCAGGGTACTTCTCGATAGCAATGCATCGAGCAGCCCCGACCGAGTCTGCTGCGACTCTTGCGAGGCTATTCATGTCAAATCTAATCTCTCGCTTCCGAAGGTTCTCTACCTCATCGACAATAAAGCGGCCACGCGTGAATTTAAAGAATTCATCGTTAGAGTTCCAGTCTGACACGACTGAGTAATATGCTGAATCGCGCTCCTATGGGCGTGCATACCTATCTGAGAAGAGCCCATGTCCATGCTCTCAGGACGTTGATGGTAGGATAAAGGCGAAGCTTTAGAGACTGAGCGGCAGTGTTGTTTCGGGCTTGGTAGTATACTCTGAATATAACACCAAGGACGCGCGGATGGGGATCGGCGCATTTTTCACGAAATGTAAGTCCCTGGAAGATCAGGTAGCACTTGATCACGCGAACATCGGAGTGTTGGAAAAATCAAGGGTAAGAATAAGACCAATTCAGAGGATGCTTTTTGCTGCGCAAACCGAGAGATGATAATGCTGGTGTTGTGGAGGAAGATTGAGGCCGTAGTGTGGCAGAGCGATACGGATCATCCCCGACTGGCAAGGGATAGTTGACGGTCAGGCGCCAGGGCATTTTTGGTATAGCTTATTTGTCAGCAAATAATCCCGCCTGGTTCGTGATGGGGCGCCACCCTTTTTACTCCTGAAACCACTTAAAGGATTTTGGTGATTAATCAAATTACCGTAGCTAGTTATATGTTTATGTTCATAGCTTGCTATTTAGAGCTGATAGTAGATTTTTAATCTGAATTATATTCTCTCTTATCTTATTCTGTATTCTTTTTATTATATTGATCTCAGCTGCTAGCTTCTGTGCTGTTGATATATTTCTGGTCTTCTCTATACAGCTCTATACTGTCTAGTAGAACTCTTATTATACTTTATATTAAGTTTCTGTTCTTATCTAGTATGTTCAATCAGAATTTCTTGATAGCTTTGATATCAGCTTGCCAGAGCTCTAGATATCACCCAATACCAAGAAAGTATGGCAAACAGATTGAGCCACCGTGTGAGCTGAATAGAAAGGTGGTTGTGGAGATATTTCAAAAATTAAGTCCTGATGGCTTGAGGTTGTTTTCGGAGCAGTGGCGTTCCGAGATCCAGATAAGATAAGTAGATCCCACGTGACACTGCTATATCTCACCAAAGCCAATAGATTATGTAATAAAGGTACGCGACTGATTGGCCAAGTTGCATCATCGTCTAACGGCGCCAGTGCTATGTCGAGACGGATTTACCAGCAGCAGGCACTGTTGATTCATATATTACAGCTTGATTTCGTCTTTTGATTTGATAGAACGGGCTTGCTGTCGATTTTCCAATGTTCCTTTCTTGAACCAGCCACATAACTACCGCTTTCGACGATTACCGGTGAAGCCGCTCCTCCAAAACCCCATACTTCCTCCGGATATTGAAAACGGAATTTCACTCCCTCTCGAGGTGTGCGCTGCTTAGCGCTACATAGGTTTCATTTTCGCTAACTCCCTATCATGCATATGAACAAAGTTGGAACATTAGCCTCTCTTCTTCAGTTCGCGTTGCTATATCCATCGTTATCCCTCGCAACGGACGACACGCCGGAAGCGAAGCTAAAGCCATGTACCATTTATTCGCCCAACACGGGCGCCTACTTTGATCTGAAGACCATATCACTGCTGCCACCAGAAATGAAAGATGGCAAAAAGATTCGACCTGATGACAGGGAAACCAGCTGGCACTCAAGGGGTTACGATTACGGAGCCAATTTTACAATTAACATTTGCGGACCGGTAATTGAGAACCTGGAGGATGTGGTTGGGGTAGACAAAGAGAGGTGGCAGAATGTGAGCGCATTTTACAATATGGACGGGAAAACGTATTCAATTGGGTACGAACATTCATCCTAATTCTCGCGCAAACGATTTATGTGTTAGAGACTCGCATTTGACATTTGATATACAGGCAGCAATCGTCCGACTTAGTTTTCCGCGGCCGCAAACTCGTTCTCAACTACACCGATGGTTCCCCATGCCCAACATCAGGTGAAACCCGTCGAAAACGGGATCTCGTACCTCGAGATGATCGGGATCATGACCAAGACGATGGCAAGAATGATAATAAAGGCGGCGATAAAGACGAAGATCGAGATTCTGATACAAAATATCGCAGAAGAAAATCTACTTTAATGTCGTTCCTTTGCGATCGTGACCTCGTAACTCCAGCAGCAACTGTATCGTATGTTGGCACGCTCGACTCATGCTCCTATTACTTCGAGGTGAGAACCGCTGCGGCTTGTGGTGGGGTGGCTGCAAGTACAGATGGCGGGCTGAGTCCTGCAGGTGTGTTTGGTGTCATGTAAGTTGAAGATCACAGTGACAGCGGAGTAGATACTGATAACATTATAAAGAGTCGGCATCGCCGTGGCAGTGTATCTCATCGGTGGTTGTGCATATCAGCGAACGGTCATGCATCAAAGGGGTTGGAGACAATGCCCCAATTATGCCATGTGGAGTGGGATGGTTGACTTTCTAAAAGTAAGTGTACTTACTTTATGCTCGTTTTGCTCGTTCTCCTGGATGCGTCGTCGGGGAGGTATGTCGACTTATGAGTCCGTCGGCAACCGGTCACTTCTCCCCGCCTCGCGGCTTGATTAACGCAGTGGGCTGCATGCCGCCCTTTACCATCATGCCCAACATTTCCACAGTAGATATCCTTTAGAATCCCTCACCTTCGAGATATCACTGTTGGCCTGCCCTTTTTTTTTGTTTTTATTTTTTTGGGGCGACTCGACTACTCCAGGTTTTCCCTTCTCTCGCGCTATCCATCTAGAGCCCTTCCGGTCTTCTCATGGCGCTTTCTCATTTACTACACGTTCTGAATCCTAGATTTAATCCCTTTTAATGAAGATGCCGTTTGAGTCTAATGTCGTTCCTCATCCGTCGTTCTGCTGATATCTCGCGTTCCCTTGCCCCTGCCCCTGCCCCTGCCAAGATCCCTGGTTCCGCTCAGCCGAACTTTAACTAATCCACTCACTCCACTCGCTCTATCATTCCTTGAACCCTGCTAACCCGGGCGATATATGCATAGGACATGGTGATTATCGGATTTGCTTCCGTTCTAAACTGTTTCAAGTCCCGAGGAGGATATGCACGATTATCTCTAGGACAAAGCAACGGGGATTCCCCACGCCGTGGACTTGTCGGTGCCATCGGTGGGAGGGGGCCCAGGAATTGGAACGTCGGCCGCGGGGGTAGGCCTAATGTTGATGAGGAGAATAGGCTTATCGATCAATTAGATGAAGAGTGGGACGATTGATTTCTTTCTTGCTTGTATAACCCATGTCACCATCCTCTTTTTCAGCCTTGGGAGTTTAGGCTTCTATGAGATGAAACTTTTGCCGTATTTATATACGTATGTAACGACATAGATATGATCGAACTGACCGGTGAACGATAAACTTTTACTTTCCTGAGTCCGGGGGGATTACGGAGAACGGAGTACGTCAATAATGGGACCTTTCTACGGAGTTAGCAGGCTTCGGTGGACCTCCATCACCGGTGGGTCTGATGGGCGTCCACACCCGCAAGGGGGGTAGAGCACGTCCCATAGACATCCTGAACCAAACAAACAAATCCGGACAGACTTGTAACTTTTTTTTTTTCTCTTCGATCGGCACACCCTTCCCGCAGTTGCAGCAAATGCCAACACAATATGCCCTATTGAAACACTTTGCGGGGGTCTTAGAAGATAATATATAGGTCACGAGAGTAGCTAACTGCGCCAGATATATGCCCAAAAACAGGGGGGAAACAGAGATAGCATCATCTAATCTGTCGCAATGTCAAAAGATCGAGCCAAAAAAAAAGGCGAAGATGAAACGATAGGAATACTCCTCCCAGGCGCGTAGAGGTATCTCGAAAACTATGCAACACAACAGAAGGCAAATAGATGTTGTAGAGTAGCGTCCCAAAACTAAAAGAGGAAAAATGTAGGGCTATCAAAGCTTTCGCCTCCCCGGCCCCGAAAGACTATAAAAAAGAAAATAAAAAATAAATAAAAAATAACGAACAAACATCGTATTAACTTGCACATGCCCCAAAAAAATGCATATTCATGTAAGGAAAACTTTAACTCGTTTGCCGCCGTGCCTTAGAAGCCGTCAGCCGCTTCTTGACGCGCCGCCACCACTAGTATTAGAGTCTCTGACTCCTAAATTGAGGTCACAGCCTTCTAGGCCTGAAGGGCTCCCGAAAAAGGAGCTCCCATTTCCCGGCATCGGGTTGGAATTCGGCTGAGACGCTGCCGCGGCCGCCGCGGCCGCAGCTGCAGCTGCAGCTGCAGAGACATCAAAGTCACTTCCGCCAATTGGGTCAAGATTAAATGGCAAGAACCACGCGCTGGGTTGCAAGGATCCACCCGGCCACCCCATTCCATCCCCAGTGATATCGAGCGGCATATTCCAAAACGAGTTGCTATTGTTATCGGGATGATTGAGTTCGGCCGCTGGGTTAGTAGGGCGGGACGCAATGTTGTTACTGCCGCCGGCGGCTGTTGCGGAATTAAGGGGGTTGGCAGTCATACTAGGGTCGATACCAGAGTATGCGCCGTAAACCAGTTGACGATCGAGATGAGGTAGGTCAGTGCTTAGGGGATATTTGAATGTCGAAGGGTTGAAATCGGTAGCGTCGGTTGGGGAGAAGACGGCTGAATTTGGGAAGTTCGAAAAATCCTGACGAGAATTCTGTGGTGAAATACCTTGGGTACTTGTGACCATCACTGATGACGGTTGCGCCGGAGGCGAAATCCCAGCTACCCCAGGGCAAGACTTCGACTCCTTTGCCGCTGTGTTACGACGGGCTTTCTCTGCAGCTGTTGTTCCACGTCGCTTTACCTCTTTGCGTGGCTGATCGGCATGCGACGGAGGAGATAAACTCGCGAAAAACTCTTCGACACTTTGGAGATCAGACTGTTGGCCCATAACCGCTTCCCCACCTGGCTCACTCCGGATTTCCGGGCTAGGATCTTCCCAGTGGAGCCGCGAAACGCCGTGAGGATACTTGTCGAACCAATCTCCATACTGGAACATGGATGAATCTTCCTCCTTCACACCCACTGGGGGACCTTTAAGCGCGGCATCGGCGAAAGAGCGATATCGCTCTTTTGCGCTTTCGACCATGTAATGAAACATTCCCCAATATTGTTTCATCCGGTTCAAATACCTGTATGTATGCCGGAGGTTCTCTTTGGATGTCTTCTCGAGTTGTTCATTCTTGGAGAAAATCCCCCATATATGCACTGTACTAGCTGCATATGCGCAATAACCAGCGAAGGGAACGGTCAGGAGGTACCCAGAGGCTTGACTGATCAACATCGAAATATGGCCAGCAGCTTCAACCGCTGAACGACCAGCGTCACTGAGGAAGGGCTTCGGGATATCCTTCGGTGGACGTCCGCCCGGAGAGAGCGGGATAGCAAAACGATTTAAAAAGAGTACGTTTTGATGCATGATGATATGGAGAAAGAGAAACTGGTTCGCAATCTTCTCAGCAGCGTGATTCCGGAGATTCTCCAGCGTGAAAACGAGAGAGTTTGGTAAGGAAGCAGAAAATTCCTCGATCTGTTTCTTTAGCTGTGCGTAGCCAGATTCCGGAGACCATAACGGATGTGGATCCTTCAGCTTTCCCCCAAGATTGAGGTAATCGACGATGCGACCCCATAGAATTACCCCGCGAATGATGTAGGCAGAGACGCCCATGTTATCCTTGGGATTGGAAAGTTGTCCAATTCCTTCGGCGACGGGATTGGGCACCGATCCATCCAGATTTTCCGTAGGTCCAGGAATCTCCATCTGAAAGTGTGATTCTTTAATAGGCAGCTGAATCTGCAAGTACTTCTCATTACCAATCGGCGGTCGTTGGCTGCCAGATGAATTGTATCGATCCATTAAGATGCACGCCCACATGGTCCGTCGGCGAATTTCACGGTCTGTAAAGCTCAGCTCAGAGTTTGCTGACTTATTCCCCAGAGGGTCGTAACCGAGCTCTCGATGGAGCTGTAGAGCATATGCCATTCTCAACGCTTGCCCGCCGAAAGACCAGCTTTTGCCACCATGGCAAGCGCCAAACTCATGAAGCCCAAGTATGAGAAATACAGTCAAGATCATGATGTTCGGCTGGTCGTGCCTGCTCAGTGCAATCGTAGCAGCGGCATCAGCCCAATTTTCACCTCGTAGAAAAGCAGGCTCGGTGTTGATTTGAGGGTGTGTCGAAAAGCGGGCCGATACCGCACAGATAGCCAATATTAACACTGGCGGGACGGCTCCAGACTTCAAGCGCCTGATAAAGCTCGGCTTGTGCAGCAACAGATATGATTGCCCATAGACGCAATCAAAGAATACCTCTGCAAGGTGCTCTTGAATCTCCATCGAAGGCAAAAACTCCGCTCCTTCAACCAGAAGCTTATTCTCGTCCCCCACACGTGGCTGCCAACTACCCGGGAAGTTGTCCCTCAAAGCGGAAGCATTGCTCTCCCGCATCCATTCGTCAATCTCAGCCCGAAAAGCTTCATCCGCGGATCTCTTCTTATTCAACGCCTTTGGCGCTCGCGGGGCGTACCCCGGCGGCGGCGGCTTCACGGTAGCCCGACCGATACCGGCCATATCCCTCGCGACATCCTTCGGTATGATCTTGATAACTCTCTCCTCCATCCTCTTCAGCCTCTTGTCCAGCATCGCCATATAGTCCGTCCTAGGCGCGGCTTTTCTCGTCGTAACCTTATACACACACGGGATCCTCGATCGAAAGCAATGCTTGCACGCCGGCTTCTCCCCGGAACACCGGATCTTCTTTCTCCGACACACGATACACGCCAAAGGAAGCCTCTTCCTCTCCTTCCCAGCCTTCGTCTTCAATTCGCTCCATGGCCGTGGATTTTCCGACCCATCCTGCATCGGGGGCTGTCCCTGCTCGTCTGTCTTCACGTCAACCCCACCATCGTTAACCAGCGGCGGGACGGCCGCAATCGTGTCCAGGCTCGTCGATTCGTCAATGGAACGGTGCTGCTCTCCCTGTTCCCTCGACGTCGTCGGGCTCAAAGAGATCCTTTCGTCTGAACCGTCGTCTAGAAGCGATACGTCGCCGTGGAGAAAATCATGGCCGGTTGAGTCCATCTTGAGCTGTTTGGAAACCGTCTCATTCTTTTCAGTCTGATGTCATCTAGCAATAGACACATGAACGCATAACTAGCGCTGCTCTTCTTTGCCTTCTTGCCCTTTTTCTTTTTTCCTTTTTTTTTTTTTAAACCTATTTTCTGTCGCGTGTAAGGGAAACGCCCCGCGAGGTTCAAAAAAAAAAAAAAAAGAGCCGTGGGTTCTGGGCGGGTGGCTAAAATAAAGCCGTCTCTGGGAAACAAACTCGACGGTTCGGCCAGTGGAACCCCATCGAGCTTAATTTCATCGTTTCTCCCAGATGGCTGGTCGGCGGTGGCACATCGCAAAACCACCGAGACGGGCGAAGCTCAGTTGGGCTCAGCTACTCCGCGTCTGTGGACGAACTCATTGGATATCGCCGGGCCAAAGCTACGGATAGATGAGGTTCCCGGAGCTGTGGCCTGGATAGAAATGGCAGCGTCACTCTTCAGGAGCACAACAGCAGGGAATGATGGGGGGCGGCGAGGGCCGTGCTTGGCGGCCTTGGCGTTTGATCTCGCGGGTTCGGCGGGCGTGGGCACGACGCCTGAGATGAAGATGAAGGGGTGTTACATTTCGTGGGCGAGCTCTAGAGCTTTTGGTACCTTGTACTTTTTTGATTCGTTAATCTTCCCCTAGTGGGCTATATCGTCATACACACTGCTATGCGGGTTACCGGGTCGTGCAGCGCTTCCTCGGGCCGCCAGACCGGGGGAAAGGGAAAGGGGAGCAACACGATTGATCAACAGCTTCTCTCTCCATGGCTTCATCAAAAACAGAATAATGGCATTGAGCGTTATTTCGCACCCGATTTCCTTTTGAACATCTGTCAAATAATATGTAGCTATGACGCATGCCACCGCGTACCTTGGAGGCACGGAATCACGGATGCAAACCTCGTATCTACAATCTCATACCCCTGGCGGATCGATGCGCTCGAGAGCTTGGCCTACGAAGACGGGGCTAGAGGAGCGGATAGAGGCTGATTCCTGGATGAATTTCCCACGTAGATCATCTTGGGATGGCTCGTCACCACCCAGTTCTGTGTCACAGGATCCCAGTTGGAGATATCACGTCGAGTCAGGGTTGTCTGCCAGACCGTGTTCTCGCCAGGTCGGAGAGTGACACGATCGAACCCACGCAAAACTATCTTAGCGTCGTTCGGGCCACCAAGTGATAGGTACTGTTTGTTGTCAGAGGTTTAGTTGATTAGCAAATGGCCACAACGTAGCTGACCTAACAGCTGAGGTATTATGTAGGGATCCTTACCAGCTGTGGCACTTCATCTCCTGTCACGCTCCCCGTATTTGTGATGGTGACTGATACTCTGTAAAGCTCCTCATATAGGCCCGGGTTCCCTCCTGGCCCACCTCCTGCTGGGAGAAGCGCCTGTGGGCCTCCATCCGTTGCTCCTGGTGGGACATACTTTTCGGTCGGTAGCCCATAATCGCGGTCCATAGAAGACTCCTTAAGATCGGTCGAATTCAACCACGGGTAGATGTAGAGGTGGACAGGGTCAAATCCGGCAGGAAACTGGAGATGATCGGTCGAGTTACCAAAAACCGGGGCAGAATCCGTGAAACCGCTTGTGGGAACATACGGGTTGGCCCGCAGTGGCTGGACTTCGAGGTCAGAGAAGGTGAAAGTCGTGTAGCTCAAGCCAAATCCGAATTCATAGATTGGCTTTGTGTTTGACTTGTCGAAGGCGCGGTAATCAATAAAGATACCTTCCTCAAAATCAATCTGCGGAGCCTTGGTGCCCGCATTGGGCTCTTTGAGGATGCTGACACCATAGTCCTCCGAGGTCGCGGCCCATGTGAAAGGAGATTTGGCCCCTGGATTGACTCGACCATAGATCACGTCCCCCAGGGCGTTACCGCTTTCTTGCCCGGGTAGCCCTGCCCACAAGATAGCAGTGACATTAGGATGGTCGTACCACTTGTTAACCAAGACGGGCCCAGCAGTGTGCATGACCACGACAGTATTGTTACACATGGAGGCGACTGTTTTAATTAACTCATCCCCGTTCTTCCAAAGAGTCAAGTTCTTTCGATCGCCCTCATTCCCGTCAACACTGATAAAACCTTCTCCAGCGCCTGCGTTCACAAATACAAGCGAGACAGTAGCTTGAGAAACAACCGATTCTATCTGAGACGTTGCGTAGTTGTCAAACACTGACATTACTTCTCCAACTCCTTTCGTTATTACTTCATTCTCAATCGCCTGCGCTGGTGTCACAAGGTACGGAAAATCCGCCGTACCGCTGCCCCAACCCATTGCTAGAGTCCCGTTAGCACAACCTCGATCAGGGCAACCATTTGGTCCCCATAGATTCGGTCCAGCATCTTCCCCGATAACTGCAGTGAGCTTCTCTTTGCCTTTTAGTGGAAGGACCCCTCTGTTCTTAAGAAGCACTGTGCTGGCGCTTGCAACTTTTCGAGCAATAACGGCATGTCTGCCGCGTACGTTGACCATTTGGTTCACCCTGCCATAACCTTCCTGGCCACCAGCATGCAGATATCCAAATTCATCACGCGTCCAGGAATTGAAGTTGATCGGGACTTGGGTTTGGTCACGCCGGACTTTGTAGTAAGCTGCCATGATGCGAACAGCCATATCATCCAGCCTCCACTGGGGAATAGTCCCATTGGTGACAGCGATAGTCAAATTCGGTCCCCAGTATGATTTTCCGGTGAGGAAAAGAGTGTCCCCGGGCATTGACATGTCCAAACCAGCCAATGCATCTCCGACGCCGCTGTGATGCGCTTGCCAATCGCTCATGATGAAACCTTGGAATCCGAGTTCGCCTTTAAGGAGCTTATTCTGAGTGTAGCTGTTGGAGCACCCATAGCTGTTGTTGATTTGGTTATATGAACACATCACAGAGCCCACTCCGGCTCGCACCGCATCGGCGAACGGCCTACTCCTGATAAGAAATGGATGATATCAATGCTGTCATATGCGGACGTGAACTCACCAGAGATACAGCTCGTGCATAGTGACGTCGTCCACGTTGGAGCTGGAGCTCTCTGAGATGTTGAAACCATACCCTTGAGCTTCAGGCGCTTGACGAAAACGCTCCTGTTCGTTCACTATAAAATGCTTGACACAGGCGATCACTCCAGCATCCTGGATTCCTTTTATCGTTTCAGCGACCAGATATCCCGACAGCACCGGGTCAGGACTAAAGCCTTCCCAGTTACGACCTCCATCGGGAGACCTGCCCAACGGTCCGACAGCAGGTCCCAATTGCACATCAACTCCTTTGTCACGGTGTTCTTCTCCCATCGCCTTTCCACGCAAGTATGCCAAACTTTTGCTCCACGTCGCTCCTACGTTGATACCCGCCGGAAAAGCACTGACATGGTCCGCTACTCTGCGTTAGCACAGCTCATATTGTCTGGCGATCAGAGGCGAAATAAATTCATACCGAAACGAATACCAAGAGGTCCGTCCTGCATGCATAATGAACGAAATCCTAGTCGAGGAATTGATCCTACATTGCCAACACAAGCTTCTTGCATCCACCTGTGAGAAATCAGCGAACTGCTTTGTTGATAGGAAATAAGGCACGCGAGGATCTACCCAACGCCGGTCGTGAGGTTCACTTTCTCTGTGAGTGTTAATTGAGAGACGAATTCGCGCGCTTTGTTATATGCCTCGCTCCATTCTCCCTGGCCCGAAGCCCAAGGTGAAGGATAGTATGGAGGTGAGAAGGCCCATTCCTGTCAGTACCAATACACGTTAGTAATAGAACCTAGCGCGTATGCGCATCAGTTAATCAGGAAGAAATGCCATCTGCAAATCAGCTTTTATCGGTTTTACCTTCTCCGCAGCCCCGCCGGCAACAAGTACAAATACAGCCGGCAGCCAACCTAACCACATTGTGAGATAATAATGGAATTTCTCCGGAAGCAGTTAATTCTCAAGAGCGGTGATCGCCAGGTTGGAGATAGGCATCGGAGAGATCTGGCGCGTCGAGAATAATCCAACGATTAAAGAACCGTATCCCGGTATCAAAAGATATAACAGTGCGCAGAACTCCAATCTGTGTTTAGAGAAAAAGAAACAAATAACAATAATGCAACACTGAAGTACGCCCTCTATGAAGCATTCCACTGGTTAGTTCGATGAAGGGTAGTGGTCTTTTAAGGAGAAGCAGCTGGAGGGATCAGGGATGACGGTTGGTCCCCAATCTTTCTTGGAGGATTTATCATGCATTCATCAACCTCGCCGATCCAGGTGGAGATATTGGGAAAGTACAAAGATGTACCTCCCAGTTTGCCTGGTTTGGATGGCGCGACCGCGGAGCTCATTGGTACCCTGAAGTACCTCCATGTACATACGTACGACGTATGCATGTAAGGTTTATAAACATATGTAAATAAAGACCTGTCGGTCTACTGGTGTGCCGGCAACAATGAGCATCAGCGTCACCACAGCTTGTGTAGCTTCCCCATCACAACCACACAACCGGGCAAATTACTCCCTCCTGTGCAGCAATCGGCAGGGATCAAGGCGGGCAGCAAAGGGCATCAGATGATGCCCCGAGAAAGCAATTTCCGGAAACCCTCCCCTCGCCGAGAAGTCAAGGCTCATCGCAGCGAGACTTAGCCCAACAACGAAAGCCATACCGTCCTCTAAGATGCTTGGTAAAAAACTGAAGTAGGAAAGAAAACTCACCGTCACGCACTCCGTATACAGGGTCGATCGCAACGTTCGTTGTGGCACAGAAGAACAAACACAACACACAACACAGGAGACTTTTTCCAGTTTGGTGGATGAACTCACTATCAGCATGGCGCCAATAGTTGCAGTTCGCAGGGCAGGCCTATGTCACTATCTCCAGCCAGCTCCGTTCGTCCAGAGTGGTTTGATGAAGTGACAAGCTTCCTATTGGGTGGCTTGCTCTGTCTCAAAGCCAATGCAAGGATCTGCAGCGAAGATCATGTGGCGCCTTCATTGAGCCAGAGCTTAGCAACCCGGTTGCAGGGAATGCACGCTTGGACAGACTCCAAGGGGGACGCACGGGATGGTCACTGGACGTTCGCACAGTACACATAGGCACACATTCGTTATCCGTAGTACTCTTTGTATAGATAATATTTAGAGTGGACGACTGTCAATAGAGGTCTTGGAGATCAGTGAGATGCCACTGAAGTGGTCTTAAGATGAACACATGTCTCTCCACAAACGTAAGAACCGGACAGTCACGGGGGCAGCTGTGGCCCTGCCGGGTAATCCGTAGGCTCCGTAGGCCCTCCGCATGTCTTCCGGAACAATGTGTGTGGAGACCATGCGGACCATGCGGGAACTTGCTGCACCACACCGAACACAGGCTTTCGGCCCAAGGACAGGCGAAGTGAGACGAGGTGAGAGCAAAACACACGTCGATGGGCGGACACGCTTTGCCATATTTCATTACCCCACACAGTCTTCAGTCCGTTTTCGCTATCTAGATACCGCTCACCAGCAACGAAGCGCGACGACTAATAAAGTCCCGCGACTTATATGGGCTCACAGCTTTCGTCATTATTCATTCTCTACCCCATACTCCGTGCCGAGAACAGAATACTCCTTATGGGAAATAGGCTACAACCCGGGACCTGAGGTTCGGATTTCAGACCAAGCTTCTTATTCCGCGCGGGGGACCCGGAAAGACTTGGAAGGTTGAGTTACGGAGTCCGGAGCGGACGGAAAATTAAGCAACTATTATGTGGCACGCTGCGGAGCCCCGTGACAGCTGGAGATAAGTAGCGGGTAACTCATGTTTAACTTTGAAGCTTGGGTTCGAATGAACCACCAAACTGTTCGAGAACCATGAGGCATGAAATGGCGCTGATTGGAGAGGTTGAGAGAGAGGTAGGGACTCCTCGTACTGCTTCCCCGCACATTTGACAGAGGCCAGGGTGCTTGGTGGTGCTTTTTTTCCTTGACTCGCTGTTCATTTGACAAGGCATGGTTAAAGAGAAGAAAGCTCTATGTTAAACTTGTTCTAGCAAGAGGGGAGGAGCATTCGGAACCGTATGGAGAACACCTCATGTTTCGATCCCTTTTGGGTTTGTGACTTTTCACACAGGCCGATACAAAGTGCGGGGCCAGGTCAAGTATTCCCGGGGTTAGACGGAGGGGCCCCTAATCAATGTGAGAGAGAGGTACTGCGAACACAAAGATATGTTGGTTGGGTTATTGCCACCGGAGGACGACGGATGATCCAAGATGCTGCTGATTTGACGGTTGGGTGTTTGATGAGCAAGCAAACATCCCACAAGAGAAATCGACCAATAACATTTCTGTCTCTCACGTGATCGAAGTCATCGAATTACATAATCTCTGGATAATCTGGGCACGCCTCGACTCTGTACTCCGTGCTTGCCGAATTACCAAAAAGGTTGATGCGAAGTATTCGAATACACGTGAGGAACTAAAATCAAAGCTCTTTATTGGAGCCTCTTGGATGTTGAAGATGTTGTCTCCTCTCCGTTTGCCTTCTCGTGATAATATTCATTATATTTGTTGATCTACCAAACCATGTATATACATGTGCAAAACCACTGAATTTGACAGGAGCATATGAATGGTGATATCAGGGCTGATGTATACATGGAAACAGCTCCTACCACCCAATTAACTGCTTCAATGCAGGGTCGAAAGGAATTCCATCTTTAGAAGATGGTAACCAGCTTCTTAAGCACCTCAAAGTTAGGTGTTCCCAGCCCAGTGACTGGATCCCAGCCCTTTGTGGCATTCCAGCTAGCATAAGGCACGAACGGCGTTGGCAGGCCACTGTACATGTCCTTGCCTGTGCATCCAGTCGAGCCTCCATGCACGATATCCGTGAAGCCAAAGCGCCCGACTGTGTAGAGGAAGGGGTTGAGGAAGCCAAGCACAGGCTTGCCCTTCTCCTGCCGAATTGAGTTGAGGTTGGCGACAATGGCGGCGAAGACCGGCGCAGAGGCACTGCGAGAGTAGGGCATGGGTCAGCACAAAAAGCCACGTTCAAGGATAAAGATCAAGAGATTTCACAAGGGCACATGAATAGAGTGCATTAAAACAATGCCAACCGACCTTGTTCCAGATACCCCGATGACTCTGTCATGGTCCACCACCGAGAAGTTGAGTCCCTGAGCCGCCACGTCTGGGAATCCACGGCCGGCTGGGTTATATAGGCCCTCCCAGCGACTGCCAAGTCGGCGGAGATAATGTCCCACTGCATGTTCTTGGTACCACGGGCGTCGATACCTATCGGAGAATCCTCCAGACGAGAAGAAGATCGCCCTCTCTGGGTTGATGTTGTGTGTGGCACCGACCGAAGTCACGAACGGACAAGCAGCAGGGAACACGGGTAGGAATCGAGTTGTGTTCTTTCCGTCATTTGTCTGGCAAGCGGAGCCCACACCGGTATCACCACTGCTGAATATTACTGACACACCTCGGGCTCCGAGACGGGCAAAGAGGTTACATGTCATATCAGTGTATTTCTTCGGCACGCTTTGCTCGTTTTCTCCGTAGGATGTGGAAAGCACCGATGGGAGTTGGTCGTCAGGCAGCGATAACAAATAATGAAGCTGGTCCAAGTAAGGCTCGTTCGAACTCTCGTTGGCGTGTGGCTGATCCAAGTCAGGGATGAGTGGTCCACGCCCAGCAGTGGTGTAATACACCGATTTAGCGCCAGAGAGACCAATGGCGTAGTCAACGTCCAAGCTGGCCTCTATACTGTTCAAAGAAGAATTCTGGTCGTTACGACCCCCATTGATGGACACCACATCGAAAGTTGTGCCCTTCAATTGTGGAGCGTAAAGATCCAAGAAGCGGGCAAAGTCGTCGTATCTGGCAAACTGTTCAAGATATCCCGAGATACCAAGTTTGTTTCGTGAGTCAACTTTGGCACGGAAGTCTCCGAGCTTGTATAAGTCTCGGAGACAGTCTGGAGTAATCGTTCTATTGCAATCCACGCGTGCATTTCGCACTCTAGGGAGGCCATGTTGTTCAAAAACACTGTTGAACTGAGGTCGAGGTTCGCTGAATTTTGTCGTCGGCTGGATCATGTGGACATATGGAGCGATAATTTTTGGAACAGAGTACTCCAACGTCCGCAAGACCCGGGCCTTGTTGACCTTGTTGTGGTAGTAGTAGAATTGGGTGTTGAATAGTTCCTCGGCCTTCTTAACGGGAATGGTAAAGTGAAGCCAGTCACTGTCCAATTGGATGGACTTCTCAGAAACACCCCCTTCGAGCAACCACGCAAGCACTGCATCAGAGGTATAGGACGGTGGCTGCAAGAATGCCTGCACCTCATCACGGGTCATATGCTCGCCATAATGCTCGTTTCCAGGCGTGGAAATATCGAGAACGCGTTGCTCAAACTGGTCTAATACGTCATTCTGCATCGCTAGGTGCAATCGGAGGGGAGCGTTGGGGGACGGAGGCTCGCCTCGCTGCCATGTCTCAGGAATTCGATCGAGATGCTCGACAACCTGAAAGGATTGCGAAAGATGGGAGGCCGGGGCGCCATTGACCAAAAAGGGCAAGCTGAGCAAAGCGCCAATGGCACGAAAATTGAGGGCAACCATGACGAATGATGAGTAGGGAGAAGGATTAACTTGTCTACGAAGGCTGCTCCAGGAGGACCACGGCAACCGGATCACAAGCGAAGAAGGTTTCTCTCCTAAAGGGGGAGTGAAACCTTTTTAAACAATGGGCACCCTCCATGCTGTTCAACCCGACGGAGAGACAGCTCAGCAAGTAATCAAGAACCCCATGCGGTGCCAATCAAAATCGAGGTGGGGAAGGGCCGAAAGGTTACAAACCCATTCCTAGAACAATACGATGCCTTGAAAAGCTCTGGTAGCGGAGGAAAATACGGGTTTGTGTGGGGCGAAGGCCTCCATGGCTGTGTGTTCTCGAAGCTTTACCACGGATCGAATATATGACAGGAGTAAGAGCCGGGCCCTTAGGCGATGGAAGCTCCTGAATGCATCAAGAGAGTCCAGCTTCCCCTCACATGGGGTTACATGCGATGGTTTGCATTATCGTCGTCCCCCTGGTAAGCAGATCCGCCTTTCACCAATCAAGAGGTTAGCGGAGCCAAGGTATGCAAATCCTGTAAGAGCTGTTGACTGCTTATGCGGAGCAAGGAGCCAGGGCCGAGTGTGTATATATATATATTTATATTTGTACATACTCAACACAGTTGATGTTCGATTTGTCTCCTTTCAACAATTCTAAATCGTTATGTTAACGTTGGTTGGTGGCACAAACGAGGTTACTCCCAAGCGTCCCGGAGGCTAACTAGTTAGTTCCTCAAAAACAATGACAGATATTGTTGGACCACTTTTTTGCTTCCCGCATTTTTCCACTGATTGATAGGGTCAGTATCCCGGTCACTGTTGCATCTGATTCTCCCGAGCCCCATCTCACTAGTGCAAGCGAGAATGGGAGGATTCGGTTGGGTGCTTCATCCAAAATTATTTAAGCATTCATGCCAAGGAGGCTTGAGGATGCTTGATGCTCTAGGAGTCCTTCCATTGAGCCAACCCAAAAAAATACTTGTTGACGAAATGTCCGTGGTCGAGAACTAGCAATTTGGTCTGCGATCGTGCTGAAATAACTTACGATGGATAAAAACAAGGCCGTCAAGGGCTAGCTACCTACCTTTTGGGGGTTCCAGGACGTTGTGACGATACAATTTTAATCCCGACCCTCCCAACAAGGTACCCTCTCGGATGAACCGGAGTCTAGTTCCTACACGGGCTTCGCACGTGCAGGGTGTAGGAACATGTAGAAGGATGCGTCGCTTCGACAAACGTACTTGTTGGTATATTTGGCTAGCTGGTACGGAGTAGCGTGGTATGGTTTTTAACTTGCGGGGTCACGTCACCCTTCCAACAGTGGATACGATCTATGCCACCGCGACTGTACCCATGATCGTTGGTTAGAGCTACACAATGGCACTTACTTAAGTCTTTGTACGTTTTCGACATTTCCGAACGGTCCATGGGAAAGAAAATTAGCGAGGGAACCCCGAATTTGCGAACATTATATTCCAATCGAGCCGCGATGTCAAAAACTCAACTGAAGGCTAGATGTCCACCCCCTCAAAAACAGTAAATTGGATTTTCGGTTAGCTAATGCGACGTCGCTATTGCATGAGAAAGAATACGCTCCTTATTCCGTACATCAAAACAGCGCAGCAGAGAAATGGGGTTAGTCAAGGCTCCCCGGAGAGCCCTGCTCCCTACGTCGAACCCTGGACGAGGAAATAGGCAGTGCAGGTATTCCGTCGAGTGTCTAGTGTTTGAATCCCTCATGTACCCCAAGTAAAACTTTTCGTTTGCTAGCTTGTCAACGTGGTCACCGCATGTACCTATTGCACTCACACTTGAGTTTCGTTGAGGTGTGATCGATGCTCCCGAAATTCCGAATGGACCTATGAAGAAATTGTGGGCAGGAAAATACCTAGATGTCAAACACTGCCCCTAGCTTCAGAGGCAACCACATGACAAAGCACTACCTTGCAAACGGATGCGGAGAGCAGAGAAGCTTTCCTCGTCCTCTTGTCGACACCATGGAACTGACACTCAGTCCTGCCTGCTGAACATATTCTTTTCTCCAACGTTCTTTCTTACAGATTGTTCCGTACCACGGGTGAGAAGAAAATGGTCTTATCCAACCTTTCAGTCCTGTGTAGATTGTACACAAGGGTCCGTTCACCATGGCAGCTCCGAGTTGTCTTTGGTAATGGGAACATCCTCGATTGACATTCATTTTCCTGCACTTTCATCGGCGAACTCCTTTTCGATCCCGAGTTCCAGGGCCAATGTGCACCTGGGCTCTGAATGCCGGGTTTATGTTGACAGCATTATAGCATGAACCTATGTAAGGAAATGTTGGAAAGCTGCAGGTGCTTCAAAAGATCACCAAGAAGAAGCTTATTCAAGCCAGCAGAGATATCTTTCTTGCCCAAGTTTCTTGACAGCCAAGAGTAGCCTTTGTGTGGCGTTGTCGCAGGCTTTGAGAGCGGAAAAATGCACCATGTCGGATGTCCTGGACTAAAGCAGGGACATGTGGAAAAGGGGTGCTAATTCATGGCTATTACAACAATCTTTGTAAAAAGCAAAGTGTAATACGGAGCAGAGAGAATGAAGAAGCGGCATTACTCCAGAATCCGTAGGAATTGCTCCCAGGAAAGGTAATGTCGCGTTAAGGAAGTGTGTATGTCCATGTGTACATACATAGGCACTCCCAGGCTTGCAACCACAGGCGGATAATGATAGAATCAATTCAGGCAGTGGCCATTCACCGGACACCTCTCCAACCGAGCGAACCCTCTAGCCTCAAGAATGAGATGATAGGCTTATCATTAGTCAACGAAACCAACCTTCTCGCGTCTACTCACGTGATGCAGCTTATTTCGATGACGCGGTTCGCGCCGCCGGCAACAGGGGAGGGAGCGAAACGTTGCGGCAGTTCCTGGGCTTGAGAGACGTCGAGCGGAGAAACGACCGCCTGAAGAGCAACATTCCAACGTTTCCTAGCTAGCGAACTTGATCGCGTTTCTTGAACCACTTGACGGCCTCTAGCTCCACTGCCATTTTGCTCACGAAAGTTATTACGTCATTGGCAAAATTGACCGCTTGAACGGTGTGAACGACTGCTACCGATTCGCAGCAATTCTTGAATTGTCAAGTCTGACCGTCGAATTAGCCGATTTTACGCTCGAACAAAAGTCCGCCATGGTGACGACACGGCACCATCCGCAGGAGTTTCCTCCTCCAGCTACTTCCGCCTCAGCGTCGAAGCAAGCTATATCGAAACGGGAGCATTCCCCGGCTGTCGCGGGCCATTGGATGCATATTCCGTCGACACTGGTAATTCTATGGCTGGTAGCCTCGATCCCGTTGGTAATCTGGGATACTGGTTATGTCCTCTTGAGGCCTCATAGCATGCCCGGTGGCGCATTGCATTCCGTATGGTCCCCGTATGCACTCTACGGAACGGTAGACTACATATATGGCTGGCCAGCATACAGGGCTCGAAACGGCTTCACGGCCGCACAGGCGTCTCTCAACGTTGTTGAGACAATTGCTTATCTATTTTATTTGTGGACTGTTTGGACACATGGAAAAGCGCTCGGATCCCGTGGAAAACTCAAAGCGCCGACGCGAGGCATAAGCTGGTTTTTATTTGCCAAAAAGCATGTTGGTGGAAGAATGGGCGCTGTTGCATTACTGGTTGTCTTCAGTGCCAGTGTGATGACCCTCAGCAAGACCATCCTCTACGGTGAGTGCTTGTCCTTACCCTCCCGGGCGAAGAGCCCGCCTTGCCCACCAAAGTTTATTTAGCGTCATTCCATCAGCCTTTCAGGTTCGTTATGGATATGCTGTCTGATTACCAACGTAAATGAAGGCCTAAATGAAGCATTCTCTGGGTTCGATAATGTTGGACACAATAGCTTTTCAGCGCTGGTCTTTCTTTGGATCATTCCTAAGTAAATTACAAACACCCCCCCACCCCAAACCAACTCGCAAGAGGCGATTGGTCCTCGAATTCCAGTGTCTAATAACTTCAATAGTGGACTTTGGATTGTTTTTCCAAGTTTAGCAACGTACTCTCTCGGAGCAGAGATTATCGACGCGCTTGAAATAGTCAGTGGTGTGTCTCACAATACGGCTGAGAATACAAAGCCAAAGGCTTCGTAATCATGCTTGGGCCCGTACGGAGTATTGGACATATATCTATGAAAACGCATTTCATGGTACCTGCTCTTTGACCCTTGCGCTGTTCGCACTTTTAGCTACTTTGACTGGCTAATCATGTATTTATTATCCTTCTATCGAAATTTCCTTTCCCTTTCCCCACCGATTTCCAAACTGTCCCTGTTCAAATAGAAAAGAGTCAACCTGGAACAAATGTGGATAGGATATACTAGCATACATATCCGCTATGTGATTATCAAGTACTTCGTTTTGACTTCAGCCGCATTGCTGGCCCTCTACGCACACAATACGGGTTGCCTTTCCATGAGAACGGTGGCCTTTTGCTCGTATCCTAGCACGATATCAGGTGGTAACTATCACTTGCCGGGTGCCGTCAAGCAAAACCCGGTCAGATATAGAGTCATTAACCGTTATTTCTCAAAAGCCAAACACGGAGACTAAAGAGGCTTTCCCGAATCACCACTTGAATCCATTGAGGAGAGTGCGAGTCGACCTTTTTTTTCCTTGGTTTCAGCCTTCATTCTTAGGCTTTCGGAACCCAGTACATGCTTCCGCGACAATCGCTTGCATTTATCCCCCAAGGTTGCCAACTGCTCATGCTTGTTGATTGGCTCGGGGAACTGTCATCCTGTTGCCTCTGACCAGGCTGTCGGGCTCATTATTTCTTTTTCGCCTCTTTCCTGATGGATTGTCCTGCCTGGAGCCCACAGACAATGCAGCCAAAACGCGGGTCATTCGCATTCTGTGCCTTCGCTCCCTCCGTTTGGTTCTTTTCCCAAGGACTAACAGATAAAGCGCCCCCGAGAAGGTTTGATCTCTGCAGCCAACGCATCAAATCTTAACGATGAAATGGTGGACACGTGCTAATTCCTTTCGTTTCGCAGCATTCCAGAGAAATAATTAAGAATATGCGCTAGTGTTCGCAATTCTGCAAAGCATCCTGTGCTTCAACTCTGTCTCTGTACGGGCGTAATGTTGAAAACTCAAATGCCGTTCGTTTTATAGTCAAGCATCCAGGTCAGGCACGGAAAAGCCGAGAAATCGTCTGAGTACGCCTGTGGCTTTTGCATCTGCTAGAAAATAAGACTCTGCAACATTACCATAATTGAACAGCAGGAGGTACGCTAATTGGACTAGCTAAATGATGTGTTGAATCGTAGCCGCGGTATTCGGATCGACCGCGTTCCCCCCCGCTCCCGATACCTGAAGGTATGACCGTTTTTTTTCTGCATTTCTTTGTTCATGAACTTAACTCTAATCCTGAAGATCACCGAGTCTAGGAATTGGTGGGTTGGCCGCGGTCAGACATATGAACGGAGCACAGCGGGCCCACACGCTGGGCTACGATTTTAAAGGAAACTGGCCGAGGAGGTCAAAGCTACAAACATCGGAGCTGGAGTGCCTGGTTCCGGAAATGAAGCCGAGCCACCAAGGCTAGGCGATCGGACGAGGATACAGGCTTTCGCCCTGTCATTTCGATACCTCATTTCTTGCGCCTTGCTTCATTCCGGCAGAAGGTAAAATAAGGCGATAAGCCTGACTTGCTCTTAAGTCGGAGCCGTCGTTATGCAATTTCGGTCTATTAGGGCTCCCGGTGGCTTCTTCAGTAGCATGCAAGTCAGAGCAGATTTTCCAGCCACTGAAGAATTCGATGTCAAAAATGCATGCATATGTGACCAGTACGAAAATTGAATCGGCGGTATGAAACTCGGTTGGCTTGACTTCGCAGTGCCCGGCTGAGGGAACCAGGTCCACATGCTGCACTCCGCAATTTCGAACCGCAGATACATACAAAAGTACACGCGAGCGTGCGTATTCTGTGGCGGTGAGTGACACAAATATCGCCCCCCAACAACGCGAATGCTTGGTGCGTATACCGTATAATCGAGGCCACTATGATCTATAAAGCCTCAAGGATTCAGAATATGTGACGGAGGTACTTACATGCGGTGTCTTAAACCGCCTCGACAGCCTTCTATTGCCCGGCTCAGAAAGTCTCTTGTACAACCAACCGAAAGGAGCCCCCCAGTCACGCAAATGGCAAAGTCCTCGGGATACTCTCATCCTAAGTCATGTCCTTAACGACGGATAAGCCTCTCGGCAATATAGAAGAAAAGACAAACAAGCCGACCATGGATTGAATTTAGACCCATCCCTTCTTCCGCGACCAATGTTGTGTGAGCTGTGTAAGGGGTTGGATCTGAAGATTATATACATCAATGACCACATGGGGAAAATCTGATGTATACTACGGAGTAATCCACGCGTAACTTCTCAAAGGCACTTCTCACATTAAAACGGACTACTTTCCGCCCTGATCAACATTGCTTCCGCAACAGTATTCCGTCGGTGCCCAACAGGCCCCCAAACGTCAATCTCCTGACTCAAGACAATGACGTATGGTCTTCTGCCTTCGATTTGTAGTGGTGTTATTCTGGGATCCTCTTTGCGTTCCCGTGCTGCAGCCCTGAGTGGCAGCGCCTGATTGGCAAATCTTTACATCGTTACGCCGCAAAGCTATCCAGATCATTGAGAAGCCTTAACAGATACTATTTCAACGCAAATCGTCATATCTAGAATAAGCTCAGTGGCTATATCATCAGCGCCACCCCATACATATCAAAATAACCATACCAAGGTACGACCGCATTTTCATTTCAAATGAGTAACCGGTCCTTTTTAGAATGCGAGTCAAGCCTATCAACTGCCCAAATGAGCCTCGCAGAATTGGAGGTTGAAAATTCTTGGCGAATAAATTGAAAAAAAAAAAAGTTATATGATAAACTTGATACCATCGCCGACAACAGGGAATCCGTGATAATGCATGAGAACAAATTAGAAACCAAGTTCACCGCCTGATCGTAACGACGCCATGACAATTGAAATAAGCACTGGAATTAATGACGTGGGATTTCGCTGTTCCGTAGCGGGATGCCGGAAAGACAATGCGTGGTCCATCTAGCTCCAACGCACGACCAATGCTTTGTCATTGACCCCAAAGATCATTTTCACTGAAATAGCTATTTCCTAGAATAGCTTGGTACGCTCTGTCACCTAGCGCGTATCCATCATCGGATTCTTCTGCGCCCGCAGAGTCGCTCGGTGAATATACATCCGCATCGGTTGTTTCCATGGGGGAGCTTGTCAGGACATCAATAGGGAAAAATGATGGAGCACACATGCGTATCGGTTCTCCAAATGGGGAAATTCGAGGACCGAGCACCTCCTCTAGCCTGTCCGGAATTTTTGTGGCTAAAAATGCGCGCTCTTCAGAATTAGGATCCGTTCGCGCCAAGTCTGAAATCATTTGGCTGAGCCCAGAGAGCTTTTGGCAGAACTGTCGAAGGCCAAGATGTTGAGAAAGCCAAAATTGTTTTGCACTCTCAAATGTGATCTTCGGGATTTCAGCGTCAAATGAATAGTTCGGATCGATCAATAAGATTTCGTCCGTCTGGAGTTCCGATCTAAGAACATGCCAGTATGAACCGTAGCGGATATGGCTCGCGCATATTCCTGACAACTCCTCCGGACTATACGCCGTTGCAATCCGAGGGTGCCGTCTCTGTAACTGATTAACAAAAAAATTTATCGATGCTTCCAATGATGTTGTGTTGTGCATCAATCTTTGATGTTCTAAAAAGATCTCGAGATACATTTGGCGCCTGCCAAGAGGGGTATCTGAGAGGTCTGGCACGGGGCAACTAGAAGATCGAAATATGGCAGCAAATGGGTCGGGGTAGACCCGAAAGCATTTCATATTTTGCCAGTCGATATATCTAAGGTATTCGAACAGTCCCACCCAGGGGGATGGCGTGGACACCGGCCTTGAAATAACGTTTGACGTTTGCGGCTGGGGCCCCATCGGTAATGCCTGGGTTACGACGGATTGGTAATAGAACTTCGCATGAGGCATGCTCTCTATCAGACAACCTGGGGTCCGTGCCGGGTCGATATCCTTCTGCGATGACCGCCGGGCCATCATATTTTCAGAGCATTCGTATCCGTAGTTTTCGCAGCGGTCGCATTTTGGCCCTGGCCAGGGTCTGTTGTCGGGAGAGCACTATGAACACATTAGCCATCCCTGAGAGGGCATCATAGTTACATAGCTTTCAAACCTTTTTGTGATCTCTGCGACACCGCTGGCACTTCGGCACGCCTTCAGAAGGCATTGAATCGGCTATACAGAGTAAACAGCGGGGTTGTAGGGCTTCAAAATGCGAACAGCAGAGAAGGCAGAGAAATGGGAAGCCAGTCTTAGAGGGAAAGAGGATAGACTTCTCTCGTAGATAAAGTTAAGCAGAGATGAGAGTCTCTCTTGTTTAAATAATGGTATTCACCGAACTGGAATGCTCATGAATGATAAACTGGTGCCCGGCGGTGCTTATGTACCCCGTACGGAGTTAGTTGATGATTCTTTTTTTGGTATTCGCTTTTTCTTTTCTTTTTAACAACCCAGAAAGTGACAGTGATCCGTGCGCCCTACAGATTTCAATGTGGTATTTAGCCCTGCAGGTCAAGCCGTTGCGGGGAACCAGAAAAAGGCGGTTAGTGAAGAATTTTTGATGGGCAATCCACTTGAAGTAAGGCTGAGTTGTCCAGGACACCCGAGCGTCGTTCTGGCGCCCTCTAGAGTAAGCTCCTCTGGAATAAATCCCCGGTGAATATTGCAAGCGGTCAGTAGTTGACTCAAAAAAGTTTTTCTAAACATTAGCCTAGGATGGTTGCCGGATTACTCTGCTATAGGCGCCATCGAATGCTTGGTCGGCAAAGCTGGCAATCCACTTGCGGAGAGAAGACCGTTCCACTGCGGCCTGATAGGTAAGGGGTCGAAACAGTTTCTGGGTTTCAGACCCAGAAACTCGATAACGCTGGATAATATTGACAACAAATATATCAACGCCAGGTGGTCTCTCTGGGCCACACCTGCATAGAACACACGCCAAATAAAAATATCTCAAACACAGAATATGGAGTTGGCGTAACTCTGAATACCTGCAAGCAAAACATTTACAAATCGGATGCATCTCAACTGCGGATTGGGACGCATTCTGCTGCGTGGAACATCCAGTAGTAATAAAGCTGACTCGATTTTGAGTCGAAAACGGTGCGGGATCGACCTGATTCGGCCACTCCTTTTTGGTCACAACGGATGACCCACAGTCGTTGGGGGGACGCTGGTAACTAGAGAGCATGTGGACATAATGAAACGATCAAAAATAAGAGCCTAAAGCCCTAATGACCTAGTCAAAGTACCACATCTGGATCCCTTGCACAACAAGGGGGCCTTGATACAGACCGATCTGCTGGCGCTGTGTGCTACCTTGGCGACCGGAGAACAAGGAAACTCCATGTAATTTTGGATAAATAGAATATGTATGATGAATTTTGGTTGACGGGAGGAAGGGAGGGCGACTCGTCAGGGGCCACTTGAGTTGAAATCATGACTTACTGATTACTCGGAGCCGTTAAGTTTAAGCTTTGGCTTAAGCCGAGCAGGAAAGCACGGGTACTTGTAGTACACCTAACTCAGGTTGTTTTGTGGGACAAAGGAAAGGAATGGTAAAAATCGTAATTGGAGGGTATCTCCACTCGGGTAGAACTTTGTTTGCTCTGGCTCGAGGTAAGAGACAACGAAATCGGAGGGCGTATGTAACTAAACATGAGCGTTGCCGCCTTTGTCGCTTGATGATCACTTTTGTACGCTCAATGTCGGTCGACGGTCATAAGTCTTGAGGAGCGCTCTCTGCAAGGGGCTAGCTCTCATGGTAGTACCGGGTTAGGCGAGGAAATGGGGACTGTTTGTTTGTTGGAACCGGTAGAATAGTCGGCCCCCGAATACTTGTTAGTTCCTCGATATCTTATTTCGCAAGCGCTTTCTTCTTGAACATCGGGTTTCACTTGTGAAGCATCTTATCCGAAGGCATGCTGTATCGCGGGGAAGAACTGCAGCAACAAAGTTTTGCTCCCTTAGAACTGTTAGCTTCCAATCAAACTCAGAGCTAGCATAGCATTTCATCGTTGGGGAGTTTACGGTTTGGGGGCTCTTCCTCAGTTGGAGAGGTTCGGCTCCAAGAATGTATACTGCGACCAGACACCCCTTCATGTAATGCCATCCCGACACTCTTCTTATGGAATCTCTCGCAATTCGCTCTCTAGTCAATGCAGCGCGCATCTGACAGCGCCCATTCCACAACGCCGGCGAGAGTCTTGCTATCGGAGGCGCTGCGGGTTGGCTTGATGTTGATGTAGAGCTAGCTCTCTTATATAAGCAACGCGAGCCGCGGCGGAACTTTTGTTAGTGTGCACTACTCTATACGGTAGTTAACTATTTCACGTGAATATCCGTTTCCGGCTAGCGCGCTCTGCTAGTCACACCGACGTCATGCCATCACATCGTCGCAGCTTGAAAAGTGTTCAAAGACGCTTCCTCGGCTGAGAGTAGGGCCTGGGGAGGCTTGAGGGTTAACTGAACACAGCTTACGATGATCACAACATTCCTTTCGCTCTCTATTTCCTGGTCGTGTTCCTGATTGCTTCTCCTGAAAGCTCACCAAGATCATGCCGTTAGCTGCAGCTAACCCTGTCCACCAAATGACGGCGAGTTCACCTCACTCGTCACATCTACCGGCGGTCGCTTTAGCTATCTACCCAATAACCCTACTCCTTGGCTCGTTCTACTCTTTAATATCTCCCACTGCGCGGCCGTTGACGCCTAATCTTTCCTCTGCTACCTCTGCTCCCCACCACCCACCCAGCCCGGTCAATTATTTTGCCCGGAAAGGCAATATTTTCAACGTTTACTTTGTCAAAATTGGATGGCTCTGGACAACTGTTGCCTTCTTGTCAATACTATCCACGCAACCGGCATTCGTCAGCAGGCGCATCGATCCAAATAAACGACTAAGGAGGATATACCAGGCTCTATTTCGGTATGCAGTGGTTACACTAGCCTGGGTTCTAACCACTCAATGGTGTTTTGGTCCGGCCATCATAGACCGCAGTTTCACTGCCACGGGAGGAAGATGTGAAAGGATCCATGCCAGCGGGATGAAAGAAGCAATATCGGATTCTATTATGACTGCTATGGCTTGTAAGATGGTGAACGGAGCTTGGAATGGAGGACACGACGTTAGCGGACATGCATTTATGCTTGTTCTTGCAAGTGCTTTTCTCGTGTTTGAATTGCTAGGGTCTACGGTTTCGGTGGATGAAAAGAACGACGCCGAAGACGCAACCGATGACGGAGCACGAGCAGAAGTTCCCGTGAATGAAAGTGGGCAGAGTCCTGCCGCAAAATTATCGCGAAACTTTGTTTGGGCAGTTGCAGGTCTATGTTGGTGGATGTTACTCATGACAGGGATCTGGTTCCATACTTTCCTCGAAAAGGTATCTAATCCCAACCGCATTAGCCCAATCAAATATATACGTATTGCGACTAACCGCTTGTCTTTACTCTAGGCGTCTGGTTTGCTTATTGCATTAGCTGCGGTGTACGCGATATATCTACTCCCAAGAAGTAGTCCCTCGTGGAGAAATGTTATTGGCATACCTGGGCGATGAAGTTCCGGTTACAGCGTACAGGGATTATTGTATAATATTATATTTTCGATAGAGCTCATTCCAGCTTGGGGCTAAAAAGGTATGTAGTTGTACAGTTGATTTGGAATACGCAAAAGACTGGGACCTTAAATCTTGGTCATGATTTTCTTCCCTTGCAAGCACCAGGAACAAGAGCTTTTTTTAACTCTCGGGGGCCGCTCAGTCTATGATATCCCTGATAGGCTCAGGGCCAAAAAATCCTGCCTTGAATGCTAATTCAAGATGTGAGCACATTTCCTCGGGCCGCCAATTAACTGTTCCCCAAAAGCCGACTGTGTTATCATGTTACTTACCGCCAGGGATTAAAGCTGTGGAATACATGACTCTCGTGATAGGCTTCAGATCTTCCGGGGTCAAAGCCGAAGATATATACCTTTCCCACTGGGAAAGGATCTCATCTGAACGCGATCTCAACTCAAGAGCGCCATCGGCCTTGCTGTCTGGGTCAAAGATACAACCTATTCCGAGACACGTCCCGAACTCTCTAAATGCAAGGCGAAAGCGCACCGGCGTTTCGAGATACCTGTCAATGTTGAAGAGGTTTCCTGCAGCAGATAGCGCAATACGCAGAAGCGGTTAGTCAACACTGTTAAGTCTGTGTGAGACAAAAATAGATCCAAATAGCCATTGTCAGCGGAGCGTACGCAGTTGGGAGATACATCTCTTCGCCAAATCGGCTGCCCAGTCTTCTTTTATAGCGAGCCAATGGGCTGTCCACAGAGTCATTCCCAGGTCCAGAGCGTCGCTAGATACGTAATGGCTCCCTTTACGAGCCATCACTCTCTCGTAGTCGCTAATTTCTTCCTCTAAAACCTTGCCATCACCATATTTCTCAGCTGATGATTGCAGAATCCGGAAGACGACGAATCCATCTATCGGATCTAGGTTCCCTTCGCTCGCCACAAGCGGTCGAGATAGATCCATTGCTACCTTCCAAACCATTCGTGGACGCGCCGATGTTCGGTCAAGGAAGAAGTGCGGGTGTATGGCTTTAGCCAGAGAGACGGCTTGCCGATTAAATGATGGATCGCCCGTAGCCATGGACAACCGATTCAGTGCAAACATCCACAGGGTTAGATAATGGTGATATTGGCCATCACCGTCGGGTCCTGTTTCTGATTCCTTTCCGATACGCAGCCCGCCTAGAAGCGGCTCTTTGTCGGTGGCATGTGGGAGGCGCGCCCGTCCATCGCGAGTCCGACCCAAGACATCGTGGACAGTGTAAACAAGCCGTTTTGCAAACGTGAGATACCTTTCGTCATAGGTTTGATTCTCCTTGTGCAACGTTAGGAAGTTCAGCACGCCGAAAGCGTCAGTCCATAGATAGCGCCCGCGATGGCCCCCAGACTTTGGCGGGGGTACCCAGGCCGAAGCGTCGGGCACTTCAGAGAATTTTCCATACACGCTTTCCATTGAATCCTCGAAGCGGTGAAGACGAGACATTGTGGCTATTGAAGCAAGTCTTCTGAAGAAAATAGTTCGAAGTGTAGTTGGCAACATGCATTAACTGAGTGGAATACTCTCAAAGAGTCCGTAGCAGGTGTTTGCAAATCTGTTCCGCGCCCCGATGTTCCATAAAGCGTTAAGCTACGGATGGTTGAGGAGTGAAGTCATAGCATCCATCATCCGTACATTGCGGTGGCGGATTTAGCTAATCCGATCTGGCCAGTTTTCGCCATAAGCAGGTTTTGTGTACATAAGTAGCTACTTTGGCCCTGACTCTGCCGTATGATTGCCGTTCATTCATAATTAACGTACAGTTGCATTCAAACTAGTTTTGGCGAGTAATCATGAGCTCGCGACTCGTTGATATCATCAAGACGGCTGCAAAGCCTCTCCCTGCCATTGCAGATGAAACATTCGGATCCTATTTTGATCATCTTAAAAATTACAAAGTTGTTTTGCTAGGTGATGGAAGCCATGGCACATCAGAGTTCTACCATGCTCGAGCAGAAATTACAAAACACCTGATTGAACACCATGGATTTGACACGGTAGCGCTGGAGGCAGACTGGCCAGATGCAGAAGAGCTAGATAGATACGTGCGGCAGCGACCAGGCGTTAAGGGTAAATTGGAGAAAGGAAAAGACGAGCCATTTCAGCGATTCCCGACGTGGATGTGGAGGAATAAAGAGATGCAAGACCTCGTCCACTGGATGAGAGACCATAACGCCAACCTTCCCCCGCAGAGAAGAGCTGGAATCTATGGGCTTGATCTTTACAGTATGGGAAGGTCCATTGACGCCGTAATAAAGTACCTCGACACAGTTGACCCAACGATGGCAAAACTGGCGCGCCAGAGATATGGTTGTTTGCAGCCGTGGGTGGAAGATCCAACAGCCTATGGGTTCGCGAACTTTACCAATACAAAAATGAAAAGTTGCGAAGATCAAGTCATCACAATGCTGCGAGACTTGCTCCAGAAACGATTAGAATACGCTACCCATAAGAACAATGGCGAAGAGTTCCATAGTACAGCGCAAAATGCTTATCTCGTGGCAGATGCAGAATCGTATTATCGAGCGATGTATTCTAGCAGGGCCGATTCATGGTCATTGAGAGACTCACACATGTTTGAGACGCTCCAGCGACTACTGAAACACAAGCCACCATCCTCTAAGGCAATAGTGTGGGCCCATAATAGCCATATTGGCGACGCAAGGTATACTAGCATGGGCAGGCATCGTGATGAGCTCAACATCGGGCAGTTGTGCCGTGAGAACCTTGGGCGTGAGAACGTAGCATTGATCGGCTGCGGTACACACACAGGCACTGTGACTGCTGCGCACAATTGGGATGAAGATGCAGAAGTTATGAAGGTGCGGCCGTCTCGACCTGACAGCTGGGAATATCTGGCGCATCAGACTGGCATCCCGTCCTTCTATCTCGAACTTAGGCAGGGACTAGTCGATCCACATGTGCGGCAGGAAATTCACAAAGCATCGCCACGACTAGAGCGCTTTATCGGAGTGATATATCGCCCAGCAACCGAACGAATGTCCCATTATTCTGCGGCTGATCTTGCCAATCAGCTAGATGGATATATCTGGTTTGATGAGTCCAAGGGTGTCAGGCCTCTGGAGATGACGCAGCCTAGGACTCCTCTCGGAATGGATGAGACTTATCCATTTGGCTTGTGAGGACATCACAGCAGACTATTTGACTGGCATTATTTGTTTCATCGCCTTGCCGGTAGGGAAGGAAAAAAGTGTCTGGTGTTGTTTTGGGGCTGGAGATGACCAAACTGATAAGATAAGCTGAGGTAGGGCCGATCACGTGATGTGATATCATCCGATTGGTTAGTTACATAATCTTAATGTTTGATTACATAACGTTTGTTTACATTTGCCTGCCTGGTGACGGTTTGTTTACGCTCACCAAAGTCTCTCCGTCACATCCTTCTCGCGCGGACACATGGTTTGTTGATATCCGGCCAGAAGCTGTAACTCTCTACGCAAATTGATCTTACATATCTCTGTTCATCGATTCTGAGACTTGTGTGTTTTGACTCCGCATACGCCGTCGACCCCTGCGACTCTGTAGCGTTGCTACATCAACATGCCAGTAACCCGCAGGTCCGCCCGGTTGAGGGGTGAGACTCCAGTATTCGAGGTTCGTTAATATTCCTAGGATAAAATATTCCCTGTGGAGGCTTACTTTTGTAGTTATCCCATGTAGAAAGGAAGCCTTCGCGCTCAGCTGCCAAGCTACCATCGCTTACCGAAGGAAACGACGAAGCACTGACCTCTCAGACCAAGCCCACCTGTCCAACAACTCCTACAAAAAGCATGGCTTGCACACCCGTGAAGAACTATTCCAGCTCGAAGCCATCTATTAAAACACCTGGGAGTGCTAGCCCTCCGAAACCTGCACTCGAGGAGATGCATCCGAGCAAGGTTCAACAGAGCACCTCGAAACAACCAGATAGTGCGCTCGTACTTGGCTTTCGACCAGTCCAGATGGATCCCAATGCGCCAGGCAATACCCTCTTGACATTATCAAATACACCCTCTAAGGGACGGCTCTCGCATCCTGATCAGCTAGAAGCTCTTAGCTACGACTTCAAATTTACCTGTGAGAATTCCGAGTTTGGTGCTGAAGCACGAGAAATTATGAAAAGCGTCCGAGAAGATGCAGCGAGAATTAAAGCGGAGATGATCCTGAAGGCAAAAGACCAAAATCTTGACGGTGAAAAGGCGAAACCATTAGAAGATAGGAAGATAGCGACCGCAAAGGGCAAAATTGGGCGATTTAGTGAAATTCATATGGCGCAGTTCAGAAAGATGGATTCTATAGCCAACCACCCTTCTTCATTTAGAGCTCGCCCAGACCGTGTCCAGCCCCCCGTTTCGAAGGGCCTCAAACGTACCATTTCGAAGGCTCAGCTGGATGCGCCAGAGAAGGCTACTCCAACTGCGGTGAACCCTGTGACAACTACAGGCGCATCGGCCAATTCGGTCACAAAGCGTTTTAGAAGCAAAGACAATGAAGATACTTCGACTCGTCGCCCACTCTTCAAGGATGACCAGGTTGTCAACAGAGGTCTAAAAACCGGCCCAACAGTCTCCAAAGACCTCAGCACTCCACGCAAGCCAACAACTGCCTGTTCCACAGGTGTCAAGCATCCTCAAACCACAAAAATCCCTTCATTGTCTTACTCCCCTTCAAAGTCTTCTCTCGCGCCACGAACTCCCCAGACGGATCTCAACCCGAAAGCCAAAAAAACAACCCCAGGTTTTGGAGCCCTCAAATCAATTCTATGTCGACGCCAGCCTCTTTTCTCTAATGACCCCGTTAAAATTGCAGCTGGAACCCACCAGGCTTTTCCTGATGCCGATCTGGGTAGCAAGCTCGTCTCTGCCCCCGATACTTCCGAGCAAAGTCACGCAGTCCCTTCCTCGAAAAAGCGTGTTGGCTTCTCCGACAGCACTAAGCTCCCTGATGTATCACCGGAAACCCCTCGAACACCTGACTTTGGTCCTATTGCTGAAGGTGCTTCTGATGGCTACATAACATATCCCACTCTACCACCTCTCAGTACGCCGCAAGCTAATAAGCAATATTCGTTCTTTTTCGAGCCTTCTCCTGTCAGTGCTCGTAAAGGCGCAACAATGCCCAGTTCGCAGCAAATGCCCACTTTCTCCACCCCCGGCGCAATTCCGCACGGAATAGCAAACAAGAAACGCCAACGTGAAGACGCTGAGAATAGGGGACAGGGAAATAGGGCATCTCCAAATTATTTGAAGGATGGGCAGCGAAGCGCTAAGAGAGTAAAGACTTCACTCGCCTCTCCGTCAAAAACTTACACCCCAAGTCCAGTCAAGAAGCGCCTGACGCAGCACACAACTCCGCGAAGTGCTGTTCGGACTACACCCAGCTCAACGCAGCACAGAACCGGCCTTAGCTTGAGCCGATTAAGTTTCCTTGCAAGACCGAAACAACGACGTTGAAGATCCTTGCTACTAAATCTGCAAGTCAAATTCATCTTCGGGGTACAAAAGTCGAAACCATGGTAAATACATACTTATCCTCTTCTCCTTTTCTTCTCCGGAAATTGTGAAATCGTTTTTTACTAGCTCAGGTTTAAGTTGCTCTATTTCTTTGTCTTCATAATTGAATAAGTTTTTGTGTGTACCCTGTATTTTGGTTGGGAATATCTGGAGTTTTGATTTTCAATGTGGCAGAGCCGGCGCAACACCCTATGAATGTTGGGAGGCTATTTCTCTCTCTTTTTGTTCGGAAGTCAATCGTGTGGCGCACTTGGGTTATTTACCGGATATTCTATGCACAAGATTCTTGCCCAAGTCCGTCATGTTTTGTGATACAAATGGCTGTGTACAAGTATGAAAAGGCTAGTATGTAAGGATAGTTCCTGAATGAAAGTTATCTACGGGGACGGTTTTCTGTTGTATCCAATCATAGGACGGAGCTCAATGGCATAGCCGAGTCTTCATGTCAGTTCGTGCTCCTTTTCAAGGATGACAGACAGCCAATGATAATGTTGATCATGGATCTCATGGCCAATCCTTTCTTAATCTATGTAACCTGTCGTCTCGGTCGGAAACAACACCTATATTGTACATGAGAGCCCAGGAGCATCAGGGCATCAATTCAACATGACAAAACCTATAAAGAGAATCAAACATTGGGAGTCCATATTTATACATCATTGTGAAGAGAAGGGCAAAGTTCAAGATATGCAGCGAAGCGGAAAATAAGAATGTCGAAAGGGAGAAGATCGTGTAAGCAAAATTGCCGAAACATGGCCAGCTGTGGTTCTTTTTGCGCCCAAGAAAAACGCAGAGAACTCCGCTGAATGCACAACTAGGATGTGTCCCTGCTATGAGAAATCCAACAAAGAGGACTTTTCTGTTGCTCCTGACCATGAACACCTGCCAGGCCGCCTCTTGCAAATGAATAGACAAAAGGAGGGGAAAAAAAAGGAAAGCAAAAATCAAAACATAATTAACAAGGAAACCGTTTACTCAGTCCAACTCCGCTGATTATCAATAACCATCTTTCCCCAAATGCATGGAGTCTCAAACGGAATACCAGACGCCTCACTCCAGAATCACCCCTTCATAGACGCCAAGAAGGAATCAAGGTTGTACTCCTCTTCGTACTGCCGGTTATCCCATAATTCCCCAAGGTCGTCTAGCCAACCCTTTTTACCCTTTTCCTTAACTTCGCCATCGATATCTACCATATCAACTTCATTGCCGTTAAGACCAGCATCCTGGCTGGGTTTCTCTGCAGTCTCGGCGGTTTCGCCTAGATTGAATAAGTCAAGGAGCTGGTCCGTGTCCATTGTGCTTAGGCCAGCGTTTTGCTGATTGACGACAGTAGAGGCGACATCGATTTTGAAGCGTTGGAGACTAAAAAAGAATGTTAGCATCATGACAGATAGCTGGAGCAACGAAAATGTTTCTATGAATGTACATACTTCAAAATTTTCTCCTCTAGTGTTCCTCGAGTGATCAGGCGGTATACATTAACAACCTTTTTCTGGCCGATACGATGAGCTCGGTCCATAGCTTGTATATCTTTTTGTGGATTCCAATCATGCTCGACGAAAATAACGGTATCCGCTCCGGTAAGGTTGAGACCAAGGCCACCAACGCTGGTCGTAAGGAGGAGAACGTCATAGCTAGGATCCGTGTTAAATTGATTGACAATGTTTTGTCGTTTAGTTGCCTCTACGCTTCCATCCAGACGGAGGTATTGAATAGACGGAAGCAGCTTCTTGAGCACATCATTTTGTACAATATCAAGCATCTCTTTCATTTGGCAGAAGATCAGCGCACGATGCGGACTAACGTAGCTTGCAGCGGTATTAAGTTCTCCTTCGGCACTTGGGTCCACGCCAATACCACAGTCTATAAGCAAATCGCGAAGCGCCGTAAGTTTCGGAGCATGCGAGATATCGCGAATATTCGAATTTTTATTCGCAAGATATCTCTGAACTTCCTGGTATTGCCTATGTCCTTCTTTCACGACAAGAGCAGGAGAATTGCAAAGCCGACGCATATATTGCAAGGCTTGGAAAATATGTTCTTTGGCCTCCTTCTCTGTGCTTCCGAGCTTCTTCGCCAACTCCTTCTGCTCTTTTTTGGTGAAATCTTCAAATAATTTCCGCTGGAGTTCGCTTGGATCACAGTAGTAATTTTGAAGAATCTTCGGAGGTAAGTCATTCAAAACCTCCTCCTTCAATCGCCGCAACAAGAACGGTAGGACTTGTTTGTGCAAAGCCTCGATAGCTAGGGCCCCAGCTTCTTGCTCCTTGGAAGAGGACTTGCTAAAGCGACTGGCTGCAATTGGTTTTGCAAAGCGATCCAAGAAAACCTTTTCAGTTCCCAAAAATCCTGGCATCAAGAAGTCGAACAATGACCACAATTCTAAAACGTTATTTTGAATCGGTGTACCGGAAAGTATTAGACGATGATTGCTTTGAATGCGTTTCACTGCCAGAGTAATCTTTGCTCGTGGATTCTTGATCAGATGACCCTCATCAAGGACGCAGTAGTTCCACGCCATTGGTGCAAAAATATCATTGTCGTTCCTGCAAATATCGTAAGAAGTGATCACAATGTCCACTTCAGTGAGCCGCGGCCGATGTCTTGCTCTTTCTGCTGGCGGGCCCATATAGGAGACGCAGGTAAGGAAAGGTGCATATTGTTGAATTTCCTGCTGCCAGTGACCGGAAACACTAGGAGGACAGATAATTAAGGATGGTAGCCGCCGAACTTCAGGGGCCTGCGTGCGAGAAAACTCCTCTGCTCTCAGGTGATGGTCACTGGCAACGATACAAAGTGTCTGTAGAGTCTTGCCAAGGCCCATGTCGTCGCAAAGGATTCCATGGAGATTGTACCGATTAAGGAACGCAAGCCAATTAACACCTTCCTGCTGATATGACCGGAGTTCAGCTTTGATACCAACTGGTATCTCAAATGGCTCCACCTTGCGAACATCTAGCATTTGCGCCATAAACTTTCTCTCCCGGTCTCGACCCTGGAGCAATTCTTCAGAGAGCCCTGGTGGATCAGGGATTCCGGCCTCCAATGGAACAAGCTTGACAAGGGTAGCAAATGCGGTGGTTGCCAAAAGCCTCACATCATTATCAGAATCACTCATTCGGCCGAGAACAGGGACAATCAGGAAAATGACATATGGAAGAATTTTATCTTCCATAACGTGAATCAAATGGTATATGCACTCGATGGCTCCCTGTCGACAGTTGACATCCAATGCATTACTGATAGAAGGCAAAACTTTCTCCACAAGCATGGTCATGCCCTCAACCGGCATAACACTACACAATGTGGCAAAACATTTGGCCGCCGCATATCGAATGACAGAGAGTTCGCATTGCAAAGCCTTCACAATGACAGGCATAAGTTCGGTAACCCATGGGTAAAGTCCAGGATGGAATTTAGGAGACAGGGCACGCAATATCGATAGGCCATCCACCGTTTCTTGTCCTAATTCGTTAAATGGGTCTCTAATATTCTTTGGGAGGTCGCCGGACAATGCCTGTTTCAAAGCGTTTTGGATAAGAATTGCGAGATTTGGCACCTTTTCCAATAACTGAGCACCAAATCTAGTTGCCAACTGCTCCAGAGATTCCTTTGCTCCACGACGCATAATCCTAGCCTCTCGCGACTCTCTCTCGAATTTAGCTGCATCGACCGGGTCCTTTTTATCTTCCTCTTTGCGAAGCGATAATATGGCTTTCTCTAGATGTGCATTATGATGGAATTCGGGTGTCTCTGACGTATCGACGCAGCAAAACTTAACAAGGTTCGCAATGACCTTATCTACCGGACCACGTTTGGCGGCCGTGGTGTAATATTCCACTAACGATGCGATAGCAGATGCTGATCGCTGTTGCAGCTCTATATTTTCTTCTTTTTTGACACTGTCCATCATTGCCTTGATAATATGGCTTGGCTTCTTCGGTATATCTTTCAGTGCAACCAGCGATCCAGCAATAGCAGCCCGAATCCGCATGTCACGCTGTTCCTTAACTTCTTTTGCTTCATCGACCGCAGCTTGGGCGCTTGCACGAGAGTCATTCAACACTTGAAGTGCGGTGATCCGCTGGGTTGGCGTTAAGTCCCTCTTGAGCCTTTCAAAATCCGAACCAACAACATTCTCAGCATCGTGGATTGAGAAAGCGTTAGGCCCGGCTTCGGGATCACCTTGAACCACTACTGCTAAAGTCGGAAGTCTTGACTGAGAAACATGCGCATGGTCCCTGAACGCGTTGAGAAGTGAATGGCATTGGGCTCGTGCAATATGCAAGTAGCATGAAATGTCGCCATACCATGACGGTCGTTCATTCTCTATCAATGGATTGAGCCATTGCGAAAGTAGAGAAGCATGCCGAGAAGCAGGACCCTGGCGCTTTGTATATTCTTCGACCACCATGGCGGCCACCAGTTGGGAAGTAGAGCCAGGCCAATTTAAAGCAGGTAAAACGCGATCCCACAAGTTGAACTCATTAGCAGAATCCCACGTTGCCAAAAATTCACCGAGAGCGATGGCAGCGTAAATCTTCGATCTTACCATCGTATCAGTACCGACCAAGTCGATGTCTCCTTGGAGCATGTGGCCGTCCACATTATGCACCATCACAACGGGCGCTTCTTTCCTTTCCGTCTTTCTTCTCCTGCCTCGCGGTGCGGGTTCGGTGGGTGTGTGAACTGACGGTTTTCTTGGGATAGAAGGCGCAGATGTGAAAGCTGATCCAGAAGGTCGAATAAAGAGAGACAGATCCATTGGGATTGGATAACGTGGAACGCCAAACGGATTCATAGTTGCCGAAATGAGTGGCTGAACCGGAGTGACAAGTTGGTCTGTTCTGAATATGCCTTGAGCACCAAGTACTCGAAGCATTTCTGACCAGACTTGCAGGGATAACTTGAGAACACTTTCATGCCGCTCAACAAGAAGGTTCTGGAAAACAAGTCTTAGTGCTTTGCCGTCCACCCATGAATCCTGACCTTCGTTCTCTAGTTTTAAGAATGTAAGAAGGGCGCGAAGGACAGCAGACCGTACGCTGGAAATAGTATGTCGAAGGAACGGGAAAAGTCGAGGAACAAGGTTGCCAAAGGAGGATTCGGGATCGTGAGCGGCGTTCACTTTCATGGCTTCCAGCACCTGTGGGAATGTACATAGCCTTGCGAGGAGGTCCATGACTGAGCCGGTACTCGCACTAAGGTCGTCTTGTAAATTGGAGAGGCAATTCCATACAATATCGATTAGGGAATCTAGGGCTCCTGGCCGGAGTTTCACGAAATCATCGGCAATTGGAATTAGGGTGGCTGCGCTAACAGCACGAACGTCATCATCAAAGTCGCCCAGGCCTTTCATCACAGCCTCAATTACGCCATCCAAAACGGCGGAGTCTTCGAATAAAATGTCGTTTCGAACGGCAACCAAATATTTTAACCCGATCATCCCTCCATGGCACACTTCCCAAACGGGCTTGATAGTGTCCAGATCTTTTTGCATGATGATTCTGTACAGAATATGATAGACCAAAACGACCGACTTCGAGGGCAAATGGGACAAAAGTGCACCGAGCGTCTGACCAACCGTTTCGCGAATTGGAGCTACAACATTATCTGAGATGTAGTCGCCAAACCGGTCAAGCATGAATACACAAAGAAGTCGACACGCAAGGTCATTAAGCCAACAATGATTTAGTTCATCATTCTCAGCTCTTGTTTTGCCCCATAGACGGCCCGCACCAGCTCCCTGAACACGGATTACTTCCCGGAGGCCCATGGCAGCGCCGTGTCGAATCTCCCAAGTATGGTCGAATAGGTCAACCATGAGGATTTCACACATGCGTTCGTAAGGCCATTCTAGATTTTGTTCCTCAGCATCGGTCTGTATAAACGATCTCTCGGGCACAACGGCCCCTTTGAATTCGGTGACTAATTTTGAGTCGTCGTCAGGCCCTTCTCTTTTCAGGGAGAAATAATCCACCTTTTCATCCTCGTTTTCCTCGCCGCTTTCCTTTTTGATGGGATGAGGCGTAGTCACAGACGGTGTCGCAACGATATCAGAGCCTTTTCTGACCGAGAGGTCAACAACTCTGACTTTACTGCCTCCCATTCTCGCAGACTGCTTGTTCTTTCGTTTCAACTGATTCAACTGGCGCTTACTAAGTCCATGTTCCTCACCGTTCATGGGCGTTTGAGGATCATTAGGGGAAGTTGCCGATTGAGGAGGAATGTTTGTAATGCTATGTTGACGAGCAAGGGTCGAGACTGACGTATCCAGTTTGGGCACGCATCCCGTTCCGGACGAGCCTTTTGGGACGGTGCCGTCATTGATGTCGTGATCATTGATCAAGCTCTCTTCGATATACTCACCCGCCAATCCAAGGCGCGCAGTCAGCGTTCTCTTCTGTTTCTGCAATCTTGCCGCTGGGTCCAGGCCAGCAAGGGAAAACTCATACTCCTTGCCAGCACTTCCGAGCAACTTTTGGCCATGCTTGAGGATTGATACGATATCCAGAGTTTCCAAACTTAGGAGTTCATCCGCAGCCTCTGATTCGGTTTTCAGCTTTGCATTTTCAGTCTCCTCCTCCTTGAAAGGTGAACTGTCATCCGCATTTGGGTCGAACTTGGGAGCATAGCCGACTATGCCGCCAATTGCCTTGGCAGCTGCTGTTCTGGTATCCCATGACCGCGACCTAAGATATGGTAGGATGCGGCCAAGCAGGTTGAACAGCTCCTCTGGATGCTGCTTCTGAACATCGGCCAGCTGCTGGGCCGCAGTGTTTCTGATGACTGGAGTGCTCCCAGTCTCTAAAAGACTAAAAGACGGGGACGGACGTTAGCCAAATTCTCCAGCGCCAAGAGATAAAACTTCACAGCCACCACTAGGGCTCCTTACATGACTAAGCGATCGAGCCTGCAAATGCCAAGACATTAGTCACCAAACGCTAGCGATGAAAACGGCCTGACGCGACGTACCTCGACCCCATCACGGCTTCTTCCTCGTCTCACCATCAAACTCCCCGGTCCATCAACGCGTTTGCAGGGGGAGACCAAAAAAAAAGACGCTTTTGTTTTTAAATTAAGAAAAAAAAAAAAAAAAAAAAAGGAATCAAGGAAAGATCACGACACACAAAGGTTATCAATAAGCATTGTGGACCGACAAATTTAATTACATAAAGTAAGGATTGTAGGGTGAGCGAAAAGTGCCTGTGTGGCCAAAAAGGCAAAAATAAGGGTAGAACCAGGGAAGGTCGCAAATGCTGTGTGAGGCTGGCCCGGTGGATTTCAAAGTGGTTAAGGTCGGGTTGGGTGCTTGGGTTGGGGGGGAGGGAAAAGTCGAGGTTGCAGAGGGATGTTTATATCATTGGGACAACTTTCACAGCAACGCGCCTCTCCATGTTCACGCCAACGCCGCTTGTCCCGATTTGGCCTAGATTATTGCCATCCCTGGATTTAGCCTCCACACGTGACAGTTGCCCCAGCCCAAAGCCGCCTTCCTGTTGGTGGCTGACCGCTTGGCAGCGTACTCACCAACCGTGCGTCAATATATCTCGGGTGACCCTGGAACGCTGGCTGCAAGCTGCTGGCGGGAAGCTGCTGGCTGCTGACTGCTCGAACCGCCCCTCTCAATGGAGGTAAGGTGCAAGGCCACCGACAGTCAGTTGGGAGCTGCTCTGGACTTCGGTTTTAGGATGACTCGAAACTTGTTACTAGATGTTTGAGGTCCCTAACTACCCAAGCACAATTCACAAACAAACTAGGTGCTTGTTTTACCAAATGTGCCTAGCCGAGCGTCTGATAGAAGACGCTTGCCTTTCAAAAAATATCAGATTGTCAAAAACAATAGAAAAATGTTTCGGGTCACCAAGATTGTGTGTATTTAAGTAGCATTTGTGGATGTCCTGAATGCCACAGTGTTCAGCCACGAAACACCCCGTGCCCAGAGACATACAGTACATGGTTGGACGGTGATAAGTAACATACCGGCTTACGCATTATGAAGTCATACATACCTGTACGGGACTGTCGCTACCGGATCATTCCCTTGTTTCAATGATATGTACTCCGTAGTCATGTGTGTGGTACGGGAAGACGATGCCGGCTGAAGGAATTACACGGTTTTCCGCGGTCGTCCAACTTCTGCTTGGGGACTGTGTGGTGGAGAGCTTGATACTCGAAACTGGCCTTTAAAAGGCCCCTCCTACAAGAGCACTCCGACACATTGGTGATGAGAATAAATACAGGGACGATGCCAAAGCTCACTTCGTTGGTGGCAGCGGTGAAAATGGACCCAAGGCGGTAGAAGATATCCAAAAAAGCCAGCTGATTTTTTTTTTTTTTTTAAAAAAAATTTTTTATAGCAGACAAGTGCTAGGCCCTGTATATGCACACGGCGCTATGGCCAAGCGAAATTTCCTGCATCGATCATAATGTCCAGAATCTCTCCATTGAAATCGTTAAAAGCGGGGAAAAAGAGAGCGAAGGTCGAGGTGATATACACAGAGAAAAGAGAAATGCAATAGGTGGAAATCGACTCCTTCTATTTCACATAATCGAAAAGATAAAACTCCGTTACCGCGATTCTAAAACCAACTTTGTATCTTCCTCTTTGCCCAACAAGCCCAGGGAACTGATCTGCTCTGCTCTCGGGACGTTTTCTCGCGGGTGGGCGGCAAGGGCCTTGCGGTAGGCATTCTGTAGCGCTCTCGTTCTGGCAGCCTAAATCCCCCGACGACGCATTTAGCTCTCAAACTCTGATCAACTCTCTCCAGAGTCCGGAGTCCGGTGTTGGGTGTCCTTGACGCACCTCCTTTTTGTGGTGTAGGCACTCGTAGTAGTCCTCCATTACCGGCACGCACTTCAACTTTCCATTTTCTCCTTCTCCCGAGTTGACGACGTAGCAGGCGAGAAGCTCCTGCCAGAAGGGAAAGCACCGCGACGGGCCTGGATTGAAAACGGCGGAGTTAGCATCACGGGCAAGATTGAAATTGGCAGTCGGTATGTCTCATTGAAAGAGAGTGAAGAGAAGAAGGGAATTCCATCCATACCACCAGAGGTACCGTATCCCGAAGCCATTGCGTCCTGGTTTCAATTGACTGATACAAGCTTTTGAACTGACGGACTGGTGAAGGGTGGGTTCTGGCGATAACGATGATGGGTGATCTGAAAATGGCGGAGATTGATTGGCCCACGGAAATGGGACTCTCTCAAAATTCCAGGTTAGACGAGATAGTAGCAGTCGGAAGTCGGCAGGGCGCTTGGTTTAGTGGTATAACATATCTTTCGCATAGATAGGGTCGCCGGTTCGATTCCGGCAGCGTCCAGAAGTGTGCTTTTTTTGCTTTTTTGCCTTGTCATCTTTTGTAATGCTGGTTTCTCGTGATTCCAGCGCAACTTTGTACATAATTCCATCCGAAGCATGTACGGAGTGTGTATGCACAGAAATAAATGCTGAGCAAATGACTGCTAGTTCAGTATGGATAAACGTCACATTCCCATAGTACGGAGTAAACACTTTCCCCCTAAAACCAACCTTTGGCGATTATCTGCCAACCTCGAGGAGAAGACAGAGAATAATACTTCAGGAAAATGACAGGCACGCAACTAAGGACCTAAATCCCCTGCGGAAGTAGTTAGTATCACCCAGATTAGATTCAAACTAGTTGTCATGACTTCCAAAGGCCGGACTCTGGCCGACAGGCAAAACCGGTGTTCTGTACGGAGGAGCGACAAGCCCCGGTGAGCTGTAAGGTTCTCGGTCTCCAAGTGCCACATCAACAAACCACCTTCTGTCAACCAGACACACTTGTCCATAGATCATGAGAAAGCCCAAAATATGACGGTCTTATTAGGCTTATCTGACGCCCATCTGGTCCTGCTCGTCGTCCAGCTCTGCTCGATTGGCGATATTTCACAGCTTCCCGGTCTCCTCTACCACTTCCGCCATCCACCTTCACCAGACGTTCTTCTCCGCATTATCTTGACCTTTCTCCCAGAAAGTCTTGAGCCTAGCCGCTATACCTCCGTTATCAATCGCCTCACCCTCGACCCGTCGACTGTGCCCACGGAGTTGGACATCGATACCTCCGCCATTGCAGAGCTATCCTGTTCCGAGGCCAGAAAACAAGTTCGAAAGCTACGACTTCTCCCTCTCCAGTACCCCGGGTATCCTAATGACCTTCTGGACACGCCTCTGACCCAATTCCTTATCCATCGTGCATACAGAATAGACAACGAGTGTGGTGTGCAGACTTTCATCGTTGACCTTATTCGACCGTTCGTTGAAACGTCTGACTTCCTTCGCAATTGGCTCATTTCTACGATACTGCCCTTAGTTCGATTCAACTACGAATACCATCCGGACAGAGGGAGCGCGCTGTCCCTCGAACTTCTCGAGTCCCTAGACTGCAAAAGCGCGGTCAATACACTCCTATCCAACGCCGAACGACGTGAAAATGGAGGCAATGTAGATCGGGACTTGCGAGGTCTGATTGGGCCCTGGATCTACGGACATGGGAAATTAAAAGGTCACAATGTGAATGGGAATGCTCAGCTGGCCCCAAAAACGAAGCCCCAAGCCTCTCAGGACGATTTCGAGTATATGGGTTGGCAGGACGTTAATGAGTGGCTGCTTTCTACCGGAATTCGAGACTTTGCTTTAGCTGTCGAGACAGTAATACGATGGGCTGGTCCTGGAGATGTGGACTTGGGTGGCTATGATGACCCAAAATCGACAATATCGGAGGATATAGGAGGGGAATTGATTTCAAGTTACGGGCAAGCCGCTATCGCAGCTATATACACCATTTCAGAATGCAATAAAGACACTTTGGAGGGCGCCTGTTGTATTCTGTCAAGAATTACGGGCCTTCTTGAGATCGAAGGCCATTCTGCACTGCAAATACAAAGCGATGAAATCCTTCCTCCTCCTCCTCCTCCTCCTCCTCCTTCTCATATAATACCTTCTAACATTTGCCGCCGGAATTTCCTTCATAATGCCCTGCTGCAACCGTCGAACCCTCTTACCTATCCCACGCGAGAGTCAATTGCGTTTCTAGATGCCATATTAGTTTCCATCCGCATGTTAAATTGCTTTGGCCACTCTATGACCCCTAGGCATGCGGCCGAAACATGTCTTCTTGGCGATGAAGAATCCCAACTTTTTGAACTGCGTGAAGTTCTCGGAATTCTAAAACGAGATTCCAAACAATCGCGTGATTGGGATCAGGCTAGAAAGCAGCTGCTCTGGCTAAAAGGTTGGGGAAGCGAGCAGACTTCCATGCCCTGCAGCGCGGCCTGCGACTCACACGCGGGCTTATTTTGGCGGATACCCCTTGCTCTCTTTGAGAAAGAAATACTGAATGCAATGCTCATGGCAAAACGTAAGTTTTACTACAAGCCAATCATAAGGAGCTCTTCTTGTTCGCCGCTTACATGGCATAGAATGTGCTCTAGGTTTATCCGTCTACACTTCTCTATCATCTCCTTTATCTCGTGACGACGTGGAAGCTGCTGTGGCTGAAACAATCTTTGTATCCTATGACAATGCGTCGAATGGAAACAAAACAAGGGGTGGAATGAAACGGGCAACCGAGATGTGAGTACTATATTAGCTATTCCTCTAGGCACTTGAAAATGCTAATAACTTCTGATAGTCTTGATTCATTTGCCCCTCATTTTCCGCATTCTGTAGCATTCCAGCAGATAAGGTCTCTGATCTCAGCGACACACTCGCTGTCCTTCTATTCTCTTACACTACAGCATGGTGTTCCTTTTCAACCCGTTAGCATTCGAATGCATCAAGACCCGCTGTCGTTGATTGAGCGGGTGTTAGAACAAAATGCAAAGGCCTATACCGAACTGGATAATATTTTGAAAATCGGTCGCGACCTCATCGCCGCTGGCCTTCCACATGGCATTCAGGATGACGATCTTCCCGATACAGATTTATCAGCGCTCTCTCAAGAACAAATTCAGCTAATCTCGGCTCACCGTATCACTTCCCTAGCAATATCGTCCGCTCTGAGCGCAAATGATTTCGACACGGCTTATTCATATACAACGACGCGACTAGCCCACGGTACTAAACTTCTAGGGTCGATGGACACCAGCCCCGTCGTGGAAGACAATATCTCCTGGCGCGCAGCATATAACGCAGGGCGGCACCGCTCAACAGCACCCGAAGCCGAAAACTGCTCTCTCCAATCCCGAATTTCCCGCCTCTCTCAACAAATGGAACTCCTCTCTCTCGCCCTCATCCTCTCCCCATCTCCGGACAACCTCCCCGAGATCCTCGCCGTCTGGCGCCGCTGCGACGAAGAAATGAACATCCTTCAAACCCAGGAGCAAGAAGAGGCAGAAGACTGGGACACCCACGGCGACACAACAAGCATGTCCTCCGTGCCAGGTGGCTTCGGCCCTTCAGATGCCGAACTCGACGCCATAGACACCCAGCGCGAGCGCGCCAAACGTCTGCGCGCCTCGCATCGAAGTAGGAGGGACTATGAAGAAGCACCCATGGGCCTGTTTGACGTCGCGCGCGGCGCGGCCAGGGCCATCAGCAAGAACGCGTTCCCCCTTACCACTGCGGCCCCTTCGTCCAGACCGGGGAGTGTGACGTCCAGTCGGCCTCGGCAGAGTATTGATATTTCTTCTGGAAGCGAGATGGCTGCGGCAGGATTCTATGACGGATCTGAAACGCCTTCAGAAGCTGGTGAGGGCTCGGGGAGGGTTAGGAAGAGAGATGTTGTTAGTAACATGGTTACTGGTGGACTTGTCAGCGGGTTGGGATGGGTGTTGGGCGCGCAGCCGGTCAATCAGAACACGAAGTGATCTATTTCTTTCCCCCTCTTTTTTTTTTTCCCCCTCCCTTCTTGTAAGTTAGCTGGGACTAATGAGATATGCCTATTGGAACATGTCAAAGTGTGGATATCGGGGAAGGGCGTTCGGGAAAGCATGGATTCGCATTCTGCTCAATAAATTTTAGGTATGCCCAATATTTGCATATGTATATGATGGTTGTTGCTATAACGAGAGATCTAACGGTAGTATTCCCCAAACATTTGTTTCTGACGGCTTTGAGCTTCTAGCTAACAGATATCTGTATGCTATTCCTTCGATAAATTTTTTTTTTTTTTTTTTTTTTTTTTTTTTTGTTTCCTTTTTTCCTTTTTTTCTGACTCTCATTCATATATCATATGTATATCCCTTATATCCCTTAATAAAGTAGAAAGGCCAAGGATGCTCACGAGAAAAGAGGTAAAACTAGAGAAAGGATCAGAGCACTCCGCAGAGGCATGAMCCCAAAAAAAAAAAAAAAAAAAAAAAAAAAGGGCCAGGAGAATAGGGGACTTCCAATAATGCATCACAATGACACAATCAGATAAAACAGAGTCATTATTCCGCCACATTATCGAGTACTCAAGCTGCTAAAACCAAAAGGAAAAATGAAAAGAAACATATCCTAGAGAACTCCATATTTTTGCAGAAGCAATCATCGAAGCGGGAACAGAAAAGGGAGAGAGATAAAAACAAGATGAAGTAGAAAGATGCCACTTGAAAAAAGGAGCAAGCTGGGAAGAAATAAAACATGCGTTACAAAGGTGAACATAGTAATAAGCACGGCCAACGACGTCCAGACATCAGCAGGCACACGATGTGATAAATTCACGCGGAAATGTGAAAAGAGAACAAGGTATAAAGGGCATGCAGATGTATGTTCTTATGGAGGCTGGGGAGGGGAATGAGAGACCATGGGTTCAAAGAAAAGCAGACTTGACGGCTTCGCCGGTTCTTTTTTTTTTTTTTTTTTTTAAAAAAAAAAAAAAAGAAAAAAAAAAGATCTACTCTTTCCAATCCCAAACCTGCTTCAGGAAATGCGCCATATTAACCTTCTTATTTTTCATTTCAAGCATCCACGGATGCTCCAACATCCGCCACGGCGTTGCTCTCCGAGGGGGTTCTTTCTCCAAGCTGAATGTCGTATTAGCGCTCGAAATGGCGAGAGGTGATAAAACAGTCTAACTTACCAGCACTCAATGAAGTATTTAAAATTATCACTCCAATATATCCCATTCTCTGGCTCATCTTTCAGCTTGGGAATGGGCTGCCTGACAATATATGTCAAGAGGTCGATCAGGCCTGCTCTTGGCTGCATCACAGTTCCGTCTGCCGGGAAAGGAAACCGATGCTGGGCAACCTCGAGAAGAGTCACTCCAAGAGACCAAACATCAGAAGTTATAGTATATGATTGACCGGTGATCCGCTCAGGAGCCATGTAATAGGATGTGCCAATGAAAGTATTTGCGTCGCCTTTGGTTCCGAATTCGCCGCTGACGCCGAAATCACAGAGCTTGACTTGACCCGTTCGACAAAGCAGGATATTCGAGGGTTTGATATCTACGTTGACTCATTAGCACAACTATCTTCATTGTTGCAGGAAGGTAAATCAAGATGTTAAGACCATACCTCTGTGGATAATTTTGCGCCCATGCAAATAGGTTAAACCGTTTAGTACACCTTCCGCGACTTTTCCAAGCACTTTCTCCCCTGTTCGGCCACCAAGTTTCTTGACTTCCTTGTAAACGCTATCGAGGCTGCCGCCTTCACAGAATTCCATCGCTATTGAAATCGTACTTGACGATCTATCCATAAACGCACCGTAGTACCGACAGATATGCTCTGAAGCGCAGTCTTTATTGAAATTCAGTTCTCGGAATATTTGCTTCTTCACGTCAGGATTAGGGTCGGTCGTAATGACCTGCATATCGAGTTAGAATAGACAATCTTTTTAAAACCAAAAACGAAGTGTGTTCAAAGATATACCTTCAAAGCAAAAACAGTCTTTCCACCTTTCAGTATGCATCGAGTAACCGCTCCACCAGCGCCTTCACCAAGACTGTCAAGCTCAATGATTTTCCTTTGTTCGCTTGCAGCGGCCCATTTCTCATCATCGAGGTCCTCGACGTCCAAGGGCCTACCCAACTCTTGGCTCAACTTATCCAGGTCGGGTAGAACGCCATTCATACTATTTTCTCTTTCCATAGGTAGCCCGCCACCACGGTCGGAGTACACTGAGCTGATAGCGGACGATGGATCCCCGGCGCCCCCGAGAGGATCCCTCATGCCCATGGCAAAAGAGAGGGTTGAAAATGACGAGGACGTAGCGGATGCAGGGCCACTGTTCTTGCCATCATGCATTGTGAAGCTGCCCGATCTCGAGTGGGCTGAGAGGTCGTTCGATGAATTACTGTATGGCTGTGGTATCGGCCGACCATTGTGATATGAGGTGTCTTCCTGTTGTATCATTCCCCTGCTGCCCATCGGGGTTGCGATCCTCAACTCCGGTGGCAGTTGGCGCGAAGGGAGATGCTGTGCTTGTGGGTCACTCTGCGAGGTAGTGCCAACCTGGTTGACGGGTCGAGCGTTGGGCGAAGGGGGGATTCCAACTGTGAGCTTCGGTGGTTTACGGTTACCCGGCGTGGGGATCTTTAGGAGAGGAGCGGGGGAAGTCATTATGACAATCGAATCGCTGACGGACCTGTTAGTTGTGGGAGTTATCAGCGTGAGACCTGAAAGGTTCGAGCGGGAGAGCAATGTCATCACGAGACTCACTGGGTGTCCGTGCACAAAAAAGAATGTCAAGAGGAACGGGCGAGTTTGTCTCAGGAAGTTTGAAACCCCAAATGCAATATCCAGCTAGGTTCAACCGGTTGCTTGTCCGCCTGGGGCCAGGGAGGTTGCAGGGAAAGTCGAAGACCCGGCGCGTGTCAAATGGGAAAGGGTCGGATGGGGGGAAGAGGAGAGAGGGAAAGACGGCGAAAATATAAGAAACGATAGCAACCGCTTGCAAGCAAACGAAGGACACACGTAGAAGATGCTATGTGACTGTGATACAATGTCTCAATGGGTGCCCATCAAGGTGTCGAGCAGTTCTCCCCGCTGTCGAAAGCACGGCGCCCAACAATTAGTGTCCAGATCGAACGGAGCTGATTGGAACAGGGGGGGGCCCGTGGTCGAACCCAAGTACCACTCTGCAGTTCGATAACTTCCACGCGGATCCGCGCTGATGACACCGATAGTATGGCAATGAGTATTAATAGCCTGTTGAAGAAAGGAGTGGCAAGCGTGTCTGTATTAGTAGATATGGCGGAGGGAATGGAGGCGGATGGAGAGTCAGGGAAACGGGCGCCTCGAGAGTTGGCTGAGTGCCCTCCGCACCGGCGAGACGAAGGGCGATGTGGTGGTTCTGCGGTGGGTCCTGTTTCGGGGGGACGCGAGCGGAGGCTGATTCGATCGAATGACCAGCGGTGAGGCTGGCGTTTCGAGAAGCGCCGGCGCGAGCAAGCAATGACAAGGCTGAGTCGAAGAGAGAGAGAGAGAGAGAGATAGTGTGTGTGTGTGTGTGAGAAGTAGGCACTCGATCTTCCTGCGTGAAGTTCTTGTTATGTTTTTGTGGTTATTCGCGAGGACACCGAGGCCCGGAACAAGCTGTCCACAGGCACCACGGGGAGATCAACTGCAACGTCGTGCTGGAAAGAAAAAGTCTACGCAACTCTCGTGGAGGAGGAAGCCTGATGTCATCCGGTGGGACGAGGAACCGGCCAGCCTAGTTATACCTGAATCTGCGGGTTGATGGAGGAAGCGAGTGTTGACAGGACTAGACTACGCTTTGTGAGATATATATATATTTATATGTATATAAATAGTGCGGGCTTTCGTGCTTCGGGACGATAGACCTGGAAGCAGGTGCAATTGCAGGTGAGACCGCCCGTCTTTAATGTGTGTACATACATGCCCGTCGAGGGGAGATGGCCCGAAGTACGGAGTACGGCTGCAGTGATGTATTTTCTTCGTCGCCCTGAGGCACTGAGGTGCAGGCAGACAGAAACACTGGTGGCCTGGCTTTTGGGGGCCAGAAAGGATCCATCTCTACAGACAGTTCGTGGAAGAACCCACCCGCGCTCGGAATCCCTCTCTCTCCCCCACTGAGAGCGCAGAGACAAGAGAGAGGTGGTGGGCTGGTGTCGTCTCGCGGTTTGCATCAAAGACCGACCAATTGCCTGTTCGAGCACCCTTCACCAACCCCCCGGAGCCAGCATTAATCTGCAACACCTGGGAGTCCATGAACTGTACTAATAATAATTTCTCCAGACCAGTCGATTTGCGAACTGGCCAAAGGGGTAAAAATACTCGAAGATAAAATAGATAAAATAAAATAAACAAAAATTTTGCCATTGAAAACCTACCGGGTCTTTTGCAGACAAAGAAAAACTTCAGTAAACAAACCGCTCAAGTTTCATTTCACGGCCACTCATGATCTATCAAGATCTCTGACGAACATGCACCAAAAAAAAAAAAAAAAAAAAGAAAAAAGAAAAAATTCTGAAACGCAAAGGAAAAACATAACTCTGCTAAACATAGAAAAAAGCCTGTCTGAGCGATGCAAATCGGGCTGTAAATACGGCGCGCAGGCCCTTCGATTCAGCCAATGCCCGTGTCTCCCGGGGCTTCTAGAGCGGGAGCCAAGCCAAAATAGCGAGGCGATGATCGGGTTTGTTTGGACCCTGACAACATCCCCCACACTGACGGCCCTCTTAGCTGCCGCCAACAGTGATAAGAATAGCTCAAGGAACGTGTCTTTCTCAGCGTGCATGCCTCGTCTGCGCAAGCATGCATACACATATCCACCGTGCTTGAAGCCACCTACTCATACAGATACATGCGATTGCGGGCGAGCAGGTCGATTGAGACATTTCCCCCCTCCCTCCCTCCCTTCTCGACACACCCATCCTCCTCCACCTTGCCGTTCTTGATGGAGGGCTCTCACGTGGCAGCAGTCCGAATTCCATGTATAAGCTTTTGCGCAGCATGGTTAAAGCGAATGCTTGCTCGCAACAAGGACGTGTCTGTTTAGCTTGTTTGCCAGCTAGCCTGTTGCGCACGTTTATTTGCCAAACTCCGAGTTTCACCGCAACCACTCGTTTGATAACCGTCGGTAATTTCGTCTTCTTCTTCCCTAGTTGCATCACAATGTCACCTTCCGTCAGATATAAATATAGTCGACCGGTAACACTCTTTGTCATACTTCAACATGACAACCCCCGGCGTCGAATCCGTTCTTCTTACTTAATAGAAAGGCTCTGAGGTTCCGGCATAGCGAGAAGCAGGGAGGCTCCGATCAGGTTTCCAAATGATTTCCTCATTTTAATGCGAGGGTACGAGAACCCAGGCACTCCCTGTGAAAGAGGAGCCAGGAGTGCGGGACCTTTTTTTTATTTTTTTTATTTCTTTATTCTTTTTGGGGGGCAGGATTTCAATGGTGAACGGTGAACTCATCTGACAAGAAGCAAACTTGGTCGCTGATTCTTAGTGGGCCAAGAATGTCTGGGGACAGACAAGAATGTTCATCCTCCGCCCCCAAAATAACTTGGCTCTTTGGGAGCAGACTTCATCCGAAACCCCAGTTTTCCCGAGTTTGTGGTTCAGATCCCTTGCAAATTCCGCCGGTCAGACCGCCGTTCCCAGTCGTATATGGCCACGCTTGAGGGTCGATATCAAAAGACCTTGCAGGGACCGCATAGGGCCCCAGATCCTGTCCCATTTTTGAGGATGGCTTCTGGGGGGGACGATGCGAAGAAAAATGGGAGCCCGGAGGACGGAAAAGAAATAGCGAGAGAAGAGCCTCGCCGAAGCCGGAGGGAATCTTCCACTCCCCACAGACTCGATCGAGAAACGACATCATGCCCGGACGGGACGCGGATGCCAACCGTGGTTGACGGTGGTGCTCTCTGCTCGGCTTTCGGACTCTCGCTGGCACTCATCAGGCGACGAGCCAGGCGTTGGTCGCGGCAACTTCCGACGGTGCGCGGGAGGATTCGGGATCGTCCCCAATGACTCAGCGAACGCGCCATCGTCCAACGTCCGCGCACCGCCAACGCTGCACACCAAGCAGCAGCCAAGGTGCGCACGCTTGAGCATTGTGCCCTTCACGGCTCCTCGCAGCATGAAAATCATCTTGGCTTGGTGAGCTGTATGGTAATAAGAGCTGCAGGTGTGTTGCGGCTTCCCGGGAACCGAACCTCGATGGCGAAACGATGTTGCAATAACTTTCACGCTCTCCCGTCCTGGGGGCCCTGGTCTCTCTTTTCGAACCCTCATCGATCGCTTCCTAAGCCGGGCCAATAATATGGCCCGCTTTGCAAAGCAAACCCACCTCTTTCCGGGAGCCAAGCGCTTGTCTCGTCAAAATGGCGATTTTCCGCCCTGCTAGCTTTCGAATCTTGGCCTGCGGAACCACCCGCGGTGCCAACGAAGGCCCTTTTTTTCTTTTTTTTTTGGCACACATGATTCCCGGCATCCGGGCATGCTACTCTCCACATCCGATTTATGTCTCCGCGTGGGTCTGTCCGCTTAATGGGCTTTGCCCTAAGGCTTGAGATTCCAAACGCATTTTGCTTAAGGTACGGAGTATGCCGCTCCGGTCTGGTTTCAATCTCCGCGGAGCGACAGCTTTTCTTGATCGAATTCTGCTTCGAAATTTATTCACACTATCGCATGGTCTTTCGAACCCCCAGGCCGGTGGATTCGCATGTTGTCTAGACCCGTCACACGGCTAACCCCAGGAACGAACGTTGCTCGAAGTGGCTCCAATGCCTTCCCCCGGATGACGTAGTCCCAGCCAGAAGTATTGTATATAAGATCTTTCCTCCGGCTCTTTGAAGAGGATTTGTTTCTTATTCCTTTCAATAATATCGCATTATCAACAAGCAAACTACTTTACCAGTCTTAATAACTTTAGTATTAAGACCTCGATCATCCCTCTGCAGCTATTTTCAATGTTTTCCTTTTTCTCCAGACAACAGCCACAGCAACCACAACCAGAGCCGGCCAAGGAAACAGCTACAATGACATCCATTGAACGGCCACCGATCCAGCACGTCGACGAGGCTTCCTTCAAAGATGTGTCCAGCCGCGTCGCCTATCTCAAAGCTTTCCTCAAATTCACCGATGAAGACGGCGCTGCTCTGAACGCTGCGAAACCCATCATCGCCCCCGCCGTGCCCGCGGTCCTCGATATCATCTACACAAACCTGATCTCATTCGACGTCACTGCGAAAGCCTTTGTGCCTCGCCAACCCGAGCAGGACCAGAACGACGCAGAGGCAACTGGCGTCGAAGACCTCACACTCACGCACCCCAATATCCTCCACCGCAAAGATTTCCTGAAGCTCTACCTTGTCAAGCTCGTCAGCAACACAGATTGGTCGGACAATAGCAAGTTCTGGGATTACCTCGACAAAGTCGGCCTGATGCACACGGGAGAACCTGGCTTCAAACACCGTGCCAAGCGGCCTCAGCTTCGCGTCGAGCTGATGCACTGCAGTGCCTTGCTGGGATTCGTGGAAGACATTGTTCTCAACGCTGTCATGGGCGCGCAAGATGTTGACCTTCCCACAAAGACGAAGATCATCCGCGCCTTTAACAAGCTCCTCTGGATCCAGAATGATCTATTCTTGAAACACTACGCTCCAGAACCGTGGAGCGAACAGGAGGAAGAAGTGGCAGCCAATTGAAATCGGAGTCTCCTGCCGTTACGCACCTTTTCTTCTTTAATGACAGAAAACATCCAAATGGATAGATGACGTGAAATGACCTGTTGACCACTTTCCACTCTGGGGTTCCGGCGTTGGGATATTATTGTGTTAGTACGCAGTGCTTCGCTTTTTTCACTTCACCGTTTTCGTTTGCGAATATCAATTGCCCGCATTTTTCTTCGAAGCCATTGTCGAATTTTCGAAGATAGAGAGCATTCAGGTGATCGGACTTGTAGTGGAAATAGCATCCTCTTAAATAATTCTAAGCTAAGAATCCTCCTATACTTTCTTCCATTATCTACAACCACCTTGGGTAATACCCTAGGAGCAAGCACGAAAGCTTGCTTACGAAACCGATGCGTACAAGGTTGTGGCTGCCGACTGTTTTTTTACGGATGAAGAATTGCCGACAGAAGCTTCTGCAAAGACATTTATGTACACCTGTGACCAAAGGGCATTGCTGCAGCAACGTTTTTTTACCGTAAGATTTGGGCTTTGCAGATGAGTAATAAGCTGGGCTGAAGGTATCGCTGCGGTGGGTGGTCTAACGGCCACTGTTTTTCTATCCCGCAGCAGATGTCGATATGGTGGATGTGATGGTCAAATTCGAAGGAATTTTCGCTTCTTTTAATTGGAAATTTGCTGGCAGTGGCCCAAGAATTGTCCAGCCTTCAGCTGTTCCTTTAAATTCCTGCGTCATTCGTTATCAGTATGGTCGGATTCGCCTGAGTTCATCGTTTGCGGGATCATCTTGGAGTCGCTGGTGAAGTACACGTCGTACTAACGACCATGGAATCGGGGTTTCTAGGAAGACTGTTAAGACCGGTGAAATGGATAAGCAGTCGAGGAATACGCAAAGACTGTAGTTGCGTCTCAAGTTTCAATAAATGACAGATGGCGTCTGCTTGTTGAGGAATTGGGAGCAATGATCTCATACTATGACTCCAGACGTACGCGCCTCGGAAAGCTCGAGCGTATCCCTAAATACAGGCCAAGATGATGTTAGCGGAATAGTTTGCTCGGCAGGTCCAAATATGCCTTCTTGCACATATCCCTCTCAGCTCCTCATCCACCTTAGATTGGAGGACTAGTTTGTTCCGCGAACGACGGCACGCATGATCAATCGCTTGGATCCGGGAGGGCGAACCAGGGGGTCGAGAAGGGAATTTTCTTGACATTCTTTACGTACAAATGCCAGCGACGGCCGGATGAATCAAGGGGAAAGTACGTGGATGATCTGTGCAGTTGACTGTATTTGGTTTTTGGGGTCTTTGAAGATGTTATGGTAAGATGACGAATCTCGGGGTTGGCATAGAGACGAGCGATCATTCTCCATGTTTAGCAACGAAACATCCACAACTGAAGCACATCCTATGCTTGAGAGGTTAGAAGAGTGTCTGAGAGAAATTAAATAGGCGATGCAGCGTTCCAGAGGCTTGCTTTTGATCGAGTGAAGGACAAAGGAAAATGTCTGCTGCGAGAGAACTGATGACGCGTTGGTCTCATGGCATGGTGCTCTAGGACCGTCGATGCCTCGCTAGGAGCGAATACCAGAAACACTGAAACTTGATTAAAGGCTTGGAACAGCTGCCAGTTTTATTCCAGAAATGGAAGTGCAGCTCATAGAGTCCGCATCAGAAGCCATCTGCAAGATTATAAGTCAATCAATGACTGAGGGACATTATGTATGTCCGGAGGAGACTTCACATCGAAGTTTTCCACCAGTCTGCGTTTTACTTGGAAATTTTCGTCGCCGACGAGCTACGACTAGTTATGCATCGTCATGGATGTTAAACAAAGTCTCCGAGCGATCCGGCCGCCACAGGTCGATGCATCGGTGCTTCGAAGATGTGTGGCGAATCTCTGCCAATGGGCACAGCTCTGTTACCTCGACTCCAATCTGGAGTTCAAGAGGACCGGCCGCATTACAGACATGGAGAACGATCGACAGTTGCTCCAAACTTGAGTGGATTCAGGAGATCGCGTGTGTCGAAGCGCTGTGCTCACTTTCGGTCCATACGGTCGTTTCCTCGAGAGTCAAGACTCGGGCTCCGAACACATTCGGTGAGAACAGCCGCCAGATAACAACCATTCCTCTCGAGCAGCAAAACAGTGCCGAAAAGGGGCACCAACCCCTTTTTATCATCCATCGAGCCAGGCCAGATAGAGCACGAGACCGCGAGGCAAGTCGCCTTTCGGCTTGGGAGGCCAGGCGATGTGGGACGCATCTCCATTCCCAATCCACACCGGATTCGGCGCTAAGACAGCACAGGGAAATGGGCGGCACGAAGAAACGCGCGTCGTCCGCTTTGCCAAGCATTGCTCATTGACAGGAAGGCCTTGCAAACTGGCTTGTTTCAAGTCGGCGGTGGGAAAGTGGCCATGTTTGCTTTTGATGAAGAACCATGAATGGAAGTGATCGACGGCTCCCGGATTCTCCGTGCCCTTTCTCGAATACATGATATTCCTCGAGATGACTTTGTTTACATTTGTAGGATAATTCAGGGCTCTTTCAAAGGACAAAGACCAATAACTTCCTCAGTAACGACATTACCAAAGGGGTTTGTGTCCTTGCAACGGCGCCCGTCAACATCCAAATGCCCCTAGAAAGCTTTCACTTCAAAGTTGCAAAAAACAATTTTAAAGCACGGGCCCGCGAGTTAATTGAGAGGGATTTTGGGGACGGATCGATCATAAGTACGGGGTTGATATGTATGGCTGAGCGACTTTCTCTGGGCTCTGGAGTAACTGCAAATGTTCTCCACAGTTACAAAGTACGGAGGGCATAATAATTATGATACATACGGAGTACTCTGTACGTGCGATGGACACTCCCGTGCTCCGTCTTTCGGAGTCCTATCAGCAAGCTCCCTACACTATTTGGGGGCGCTTCGGCGACTGCGAAGTTGACAACTCAACCGGCCTTGTCTAGAATCCACAACTTTCGAGCAAGGCGGGATTGATGTGGTCGAGAAGCGACAAGCTCCTGGTAGCAATGCTTGTCGCGCCGATGGGCAATCTGGCGTCAAAGCCCCTCCCGTCCATGATAGTTAATTTGAGTGGGCGGAGGATTTAAGAGGAAAACCCACCCTGTTATTCCACGGCCGTCCCCCAGTCTCCAGTGTAACTATCCTTTCTTTCGTCTAGGCTCTTGTCGGAAGGATATTGACGGACATGGAGGTTAAGATGAACATGGTATGAACACACAAGGGAACAGTGATCAATCAAAGCGCGAGTCCACGGTCGCGTGGCAGATATTATCTCATGCTTTGTGCCAATTCTGAGGAAGACAGCACAGAATCGTGGCTTGATTGGCTTGACGGATAAATGTCAAAGCCAGGAACCCGTGCCCTCACGCACCAATTAGAAGACGGGATGGTGATGGGTACCTGCAGAACACTCCAACCCTAAATTAATGGCCATGTCCATCGAGAACGCTGGCAAACGTGAAACATCGGCTTGCGCGGGTTGCGTCGCTCTTCCGAACGCATTTCGGGGGATTCAGCAGTCAGGTAACAAATAGATTCGATGAGCCCAAGTTGCGTTTGTTCGTTTTCATTTTCCCTTTTTTTTTTTTTTTTTTACCATGAGAGAGAAAGACAAGAGTTGATGGATTCAAGATGAGATCCTTTAGCATATTATGATAGGCTATCGCATCGTGTACAGTACCGCATTTCCAGCACAACCTCTGCTGGAGGAGGCCGCGGGGCAAGCCCAAGCGACGATGAACTATGGGCGACCAGAGGGAATTAGCGGTGCGACTTCTTGTGGGCGGGCCCCACCGGCTGCCACCCCAGCGGCGAATCACGGGCGGCAGAGAGGGTGCCGCCAAGGAACGCCCCCTGAAGGATGGGCGAAGGCCGGTGGACTTTCAGGCTTCGTGGCGCCCGCGACAGCAAAACAGTCGCCTTGATTTCCAGCCGTCCATCTGCACTAGTGCTGGGGCCATGGGGGTACCCCCTAAACTCATGCCTAAGGCACTCCTCGTTGTCCAAGTTGCGCGCTTTGTTGGGTCAGGGGCATGATCTCCAGCGTAATCTCCCGGTTGCTACAAAAGTTGGCGGTCGTCCCCTGGTGTTTCGTGTTTCCTTTCTTTTTGTTCCGTTTCTTCCTCATCCACACTGATCTTTTTTTATCCCTCAAGCATATCGCTTGCAGCTTTTTTTTTCGACTTCGGTCGCCGACACTCTTTTATCCAACTAATATCACTCTCTTTTTTATTTACCGCGCAAATCGCGATAATCCACCCTTCTACACCTTTTTTCGCCGTTTTCTCCAGTTGAAAGTTTGATACTTTTAATCAGTCACAATGCGTTTCACTGCTGCTTCCGTCGCTCTCTTCGCAGGCGCTGCCCTTGCCCTCCCCGGTTACGAGCAGACCGTCTATTCCACGCGCGAGGTCATCGTCACCGACTGCGGTCCTGAGGTCACTGACTGCCCCGGAAACAACCCTGTTCCCACCGGCACTGGCATTCCTCAAGAGCCCGCCCCAACCGAGTACTCTACTCGCTACATCACCGTGACCGACTGCGGCCCTGAGGTCACCGACTGCCCAGCTGAGTCCACTCGCACTGAGACTCTCGTTCCAACCGGCAGCGACGACAGCCCAACCGTCCCAACTGAGAACCCCCCATACCCAACCGGCGGCAACCCAGGCCCAAGCACCTCCATTGTCACTTACACCACTTGCATCCCAACTACGACCACCTCTGTCGTCACCCTCCAGCCTCCGGTCGTCCCAACTGGTGGCGTGCCAACCGGTGGCGTCCCATCTCAGCCAACTTGGCAACCAACCGGCGGTGTTCCCTCTGCCCCAAGCGGCTCTGGCGTTCCCCCACCACCAAAGGGCACCACGTACGTCATGATATTCACTCCAAAAAAAAAAAGAAGGATCGTTGCTAGTCATTCAGTTTCTAACCCCATTTTTCTTTAGTACTCCCCCACCATTTGAGGGTGCTGCCAGCACCTTCGGTGGCTCCTTCGCCGTCGCTGGTCTCGCTGCCATTGCTGCCGTTCTCTTCGCGTAGATTTCTTTTCGTTGACGATACCCACGATCTGTTCCATTGATACCCCCTGTCGTCATGTTTGCAACATCAGGACGTTGGGCGTGCTATTGGAGCATTCTCTCTGGGCTTTTGAGGCGAGGAGGTTGAACGGGGTTGGGTAAACGGCGGTGGATGTCCCCAGCTTCGCTGGCGGTTGACTTCGGAGACATTGTCAAAGTATCTTCTCAGGCGTCGATCTCTAGCAGAGAGCGCACGTGCTGCTTTCAACTGTGGATATCTATTTACTCAAGAAGACAAATTGCCCTTTTTTCCCATCTCGAAAGCTCGGCGGCCCCCCGTTCGTGCTTCCGTCGAACCGTTTTTGGCTGATGTCCTTTTTTCTTTTTTCTTTTTTCTTAACATGTAACAATGCCTTGCTTGAAGAAATATGAGTATAATTTTTCTTTTTTCCCTTTCGCTTTGAGGTCTGGCCCTGTGCATCGACACGATGGGAAGGCTTGCCAGTGATGAATCTTTTAAAGATACCTTTAGTAATCAAATACATTTTTTTACTCTTCACATCGACGTGGAAGCTCTTGTCCATGTTGTACTTCTGCGTAGTACGCTTGCAGGGGTTGTTGACATATCATCTTCGTCCCATATCCTTTCAACGTCCCTCATCACAAGAGTTCTTAACCCTTTGGGCTTGTCTCGTCTGTAGCCAGGCTTCGGATATTCAAACCTCCAAGCCTACAAAGCTTTCAAGCCATTCCCACATCCAAGCACCGTTCCGGTTCCCGTATCGCTATCCCTTCTCTCAAGCAACACTACCCGCAGGCACATTTCCACAAAAACCGGTCAGCAAACGGCCCCGTCGTGTAACCCACCATCTCGATAGCCCTAACGGAGCTTCTAACACCACACGGCAGAGCCTTCGCAAGTCGTGCACACGTAACCAACAATTATATGTACCCTACCGCATCCGCCGTGCGTAAGAATACCGGCGATATTTTCTTTCTGCAAATCCTACCGCCTCCACCATGTGTCACCAGCGGCTCCAGGAAAATTACTTCCCGTTGAAAATCATAGCTGCGTTGCCAACAATAGTTAGTCGACCCCTTTCAGCGATCCAAAGACTCCACTCGGCATATGTATGGACGCGGTCACTTTGAGCAAACACAGCCTCGGAGGGATAGCAGGATCGGTCCCCACTATCGAAATCGCACGCATGAAGTGAGGACCCGTTGCGAGAGAAGGGCTGTGACCCCGGGGAGTTACTGAAAAGCAGTCAAACAGATCTGTTAGGTAGGAAGGAAGCGTGTTTAACGCGGAGTGATCCCAGATCTACGGAGTTACCTTCTGGTAGATCCTCAACTAGCTCGAAGCAAATTCCTACTGAGCATGGCTTGTGAGAAGACGGAAAAGCCGCAGGAGGGAGTGTTAGTCGCGACTTGATATAAATATCCGTCGAAGATAGAATGCAGCTATATTTATACGGCTGTGTTTTGATGGCTAGTTAGTGCTCCATACTATTAATCAACCAAACTCAGCCACGGCACCGAGAGTTCTGAGCCACGGTTTATATTTAAAAAGATCGAGGGCGCGCCGTCATGAGTTATTTAATTTGCAGGATTCGACATTTAAACCAAAAAATATAAAAAATTTCATCAGTTTTTTTGGCGGCCAGTTTCTATTTTCCAGAGGATTGTTGGAGTTATTGTTATGGGTTTGAATCCTTTTCACGCGGCTGGAGGTCAGACCGGACAAAGCTGTCCAATGGCGGTGTGTCCACCAGACCTGCAGCGACGCTTGAGGCCTTTTTTCTGATAGATATTCGTTCAGAAAAGTGGCCGTTGACCTAAATGCAGGCGTTTGCGAGTTATAACGCTTTTCTACTCTCGGTTGATTCCCTATTTTCTGCTCTCTGCCTTGCATTTCCACCGGGGGGGCGTGTGCGATTCCTTCAGCTTTCGGGGCAGACAAACTGGTTATCGCTGCAGAGGAAAGCCTCCGTTGGATCAAAATCCTGACGAGCAGGCCTATAATTCTCCAATTCGTTTCTTTTTGGGGCTTCAAATTTATTATTATTTTTTTTTTTTATTTTCTTTTTGTGCGAATCGCCAATCTCCGGATTCATCGCTTGATATGATTCGATGGCCTTTTGGTGCGATGACGCGAAGTGGCTTCTTCCCGTGTCCAAGGAGGGACCAGCAGGATTGGACTTCGTACCAAGGTTCCTATTCTGGTTGTCCTCGTCCTTTTTTCTTTTTTGTTTTTCTGCGAACGAATTGTTCTCTAGGCTAACCTTCCGCGTTTCCCAAAAGGTGCGTCTTCTGCCAGCCTTCTACTTCTTACCCTTGGTAGGGAGACAACTTTTACATATGCCCCATCGGGACATCGCATACCTGGCCACTCCCCGTTGGAACGTCAAGACAGCTTTGACTATCCGTCATGCTCCTATTTATATCCTTTGGCCCCGCTTCGGCGCTGCGATGGACACACAGATGCATTCAGTGTTAGCCTTGATTGGACCTTAAGGCGAGAGAAATCATCTCTTCAAAGGATTGTCCAGCTTGGCGAACGTCGTCGCTCGGACTGTGCTTTCTCTTATCCCAGAAAAAGGACGATGGTGAGCGGCCAATTTTTGAGATGGAGGTGGGTGGAGAAAAATCTCTCTACAGAGTCTGCGGAGTACATCCGTACTTGGAATTGTTACGAGGTCACTCAATATTACCGCTCTTCGGGGATTGAATGTCCGCCTGGCTAAGATCCTTCAAGGTCCCGGGAAAACGTGCGGTAGTGGGCAGTTAATACGGCCTGGTCCCATCCTGCTCACCGCAGCGCACGACGCGCCCCCTCCTCCTGGCCAGCTGATGATCTCTTTAGTGATGGGATGAAAAATTTTTGGTTACGATCCAGATTTCGCGCTTGTGCGTGGCATATTGACATACCGGCGTAGCTCGATTGCGGGAGGAGATCTTGAGTCTGGCTCTCCTCGTATGATTCTTGGGAGGGGCGTCGCATCACTCAGCCGTTACTCACATGAACAGACGCCCGGGCGCTCTATGGAAGGCTTCCCAATGGATTTTTTCCCACAACGGTGAGTCCTGAAGGACCTCAGGTTGTTGACTTTACGTACTCGGATAGACGGCGAATGCCCGACAGGTTCTCGGAATTAAGGCGGAAATCGACGCAATCTGACCTCACCGTACTTCATCCTGGGCCCGATACTATTAATATGCTCAGCTGAGACCATGGCGACATTTGGATCAGCCCTCGTTAGGTATTAAATCCTAAGTATCCTTGGTAACGGGGTCCTATGTCCGCTACTTTGGCAACTCTTCAGGTTGAATGACATTCCCGACCGCTGGATCGATGCGGTGACAGTGGCGAGTCGGTCAGTCCTACCATTTTATTACTGTTATGATTATCCTTTTTGCGATCCAGGCCTCCTTGCCGTTTGATCTTCCGAGGTCTCTCGGGCTCCGACATGGTTCTGGGGTTTGGGTCGAGTCATGTCATTTCGGCATTTGTTTCATGAAAAGGGGGAATTGGGCGACGTGTACGGAGTATTCCGAGAAGACTAGCAAAAAGATGGACGTAGTGATGTGGCTCCTGTACATATGTATGGCGTACGGAGTAGACGATGACCATACCGCATTGGCTCCCTAATTTTCAAATTCCCAACCGATTTCTTCGAATAACAGTTGTCAGTTGTGATCCGGGTGGTAGGCTGGATTATTTCAACACACGCCTGAATCAACGGCAAGCAGGGTACCAGGGATGGAGCACCCACCGAAAGATCGGCCTCCAGCCATGTACCCGTCACACCTGGATGGATGTTACTATTTATAGTTAGCTCTTCCCATGTGCGAATTTCTTTTTTGCCTGCAGCGTTTTCTCCTCTCCAGATCTCCAACCACATCACTCCGCGCTTTCAAAAACCGCACTTCACGTTTGGCGCGTTGGCGTAAGCATCTGTACCCTGGAACTATCTTTCTATGTACTGTATGTACATATTTCCTGCGTCCCTCCATACATATGCATGCAGAGTTCGTACGAAGCCGGAATTCCATCGTCCGCGCTTGGGTCACTTTGGCAGAATGAAACGAAATAATTTAAAAACCAGCAAATACGATGACGCCAGTCAGAGGTTTTTATTTTTCCCCACACGAGATTGGCCGGATCGATCACCGACGTTGGTCTGGCTCTGGAGCTGATCACGTCTTATCGCTTGCTTGCTCCTCTGTGCCGCTCAAAAAAAAGAAAAGAAAGCAAAGACTGGGCGCATGAGGGAAGACCGTCTACGGAGTATTGAACGCTGTGCCAAAATACGTATGTAGCAAAGAGAAATACTACTATGGAGTACTCAGCATCAAACGGTGGCATTTGGGCCATCAATGTCCCTACTTTTGTTGCGGGAGCTGGAAATAGATTTTTGCCTCCCAGCCATGCCAGCACGCCTTCGCACGGCTCCGCCGTGCCCCTCTGCTGTGGCGCCCATGATCCTTTCCACTGTTGGCTGTTGGCGCGGGTGGAAATAAGCGACCAAACTTGAGGGCAAATACTCCGCTCCTCGTCCGCCGCGCGTGATTGACGTGTATCAAAATTACGGAGTAGCTCCATGCTTTATCTCTTAGCGCGGGTCACGTCGACAGGGAGAGCAAAGAAATGCTGCCACAAAAATTGAACTTTTTTTCTGCCATCTCGGGAATTTTCGTGGGGAATACGAAACCCATGAGCCTTCTCATTAGTTGGGTGGGGACAACCTCGCCTCCGCCCTGGTGGACTTTTTTGGCGCTGCTGGTTGGAATTTGCGTGTATCTGTTGAATATCAATTCTTGCGGCTGGCAGCTGTGGATTGGTTTATATAGCATGCATGTCCACACATACACCAGGTATTGCTATTTGCGTTGATTGTTGGCTCTTTCTCCCTCCGCCTTGCTTCGGTTCTCATGTTACTATGATAATGTTAACATGTGTCGTACTATGCATTGAGGCGTTGAATCCACTGTCAACGATCCTTTGAAGTGCCTTTATAAAGGCCTGGAAAGTCCTCCAGGTTCTTCCCATTGAAGATCTATCAATAGACACAATATCCCTTACAGAGAACTCCATACAAACAAACGAAGAAAAAGATGGACAATACTCGGCAATCTCGCATCACGGCGTGGGAAAGAGGAGGATATAGCACCCCACGTGCCGTTACTCAGCGTCTGGTCCCGAATGAAGCTGCCACTTGCAGGCTTTCCCCTGGTGATGCCCAACCCGACGGTAGCTCGAGTCTAAGTCAAAGCTTTAGCGAGGTCGAATCTCGCTCCAACCGTCGAAAGAACTTCTGGGCCAAGTTGAGGAGACCTAAAAGCCAAGACGCCCGCGTGCAAGAACAAGTTTTTGCAGTTCGAAACAATGCAGCTCCGCCTCGCCGCGCATCGGCCGGAGAGAAACTCGTCTGGAACGCAGAGCAGAAGCTTTGGATGTTTGGAAAAAACACCGGTTCATCTGGTGGGTCAAATTGCCGTAGGCATCGCGGTTCATCGACCGAGCATGCAGAGGAGGATCTGCTATTTGCACAGCTACCCGGACATTACGCGCTTAGCAGCATTTATAACTGCGCCAATTACGATCAAGCACTTCCGGCATACGATCCCGTCAGGCATGTTGATGATGTTGGCCGGAGGACTAGCCCGGATGGACAGTGGATGCTGGTTGCCGCCACCATGATAGGACAGTCCGCTTCGAGTTGAAAGTGAAGCCGACCAATTTTCATCTAAAAGACTTCTGCATCCAAGCTTCTGAAAGCCAAGTGACTCGCCATAGCACTTGCCTTTAAAAAGTTTAACCTTCGTGCGGCTTGGGCCATGTTGCTCCGATGCATGTACATACGTGCAGTACATACGGCTCTTCGAAGACCGGTTTGAAGAACGTGAGTGCAATTCTTCTTAGAGATAGTTTCGATGAACTTTAGGCAGCTGATTAAGATGCAGGCACTCAACCCGCCCACCACTGCTGGCCTGTGTCAGCTCGTGTGGCGATCGGCTTCATAGCCATATCGTCGTTTTCAAAACAATTTTCCCTCCGAGTTGACGTCGATGTCAACGTGGCGCTTCGTCTTTCTCTCTTCGTTACTTCCAACACTGAAACGAAGGTGTGACATCTGAAGTGGGGTTGGAAGGAAAGATATCGGGGAAATTTTAGAGGTGACATCTCTCTCCAGCAAACAGGCTGACCCTGCCGTTGATGAAGACAAAAAGGATAAAAATACAACGACAACGATATCAACCGGAATAGTTCGGTATTTGGGCTTCGCCATGGTATCACGTCCTTTTCATGGGTGAATTTTAGCTAAAAACGCATAACAACTCCTATCCTAGTAGATAATGCTTCTATATATCGCCTAAGTGTTTCTTAATCGTGGTCTTTGAATCATTCTCAATATCGTCCTATCACCTCGGCTGCGAGACAAGTGACAATAAACTCAGCTAAAGCCCTCAAAGGCCAAGCTGAAAGGAGGTTTGAAAGCGTAGCTTGAAGTGTCATTCTAGGGAAATGATTGGCGGCATTGTTCGTTCCGATGGCATTTGCTCGCCATTACCCGATAATTTAAATCAGTTTCTGTCTATCAGATTGGATCCTTGTCTCTCCTGTGCAAATAAATCATGTCTTCATAGACAAGGATACAGAGTTTTAAGAGAATTTGTGGATCAGCACGGGCTGGCGGACATTCCGTACGAACGCGTTGCTTTACCATTTTTCTTCCCTCAAACCAACATGGATATTTCAGAGTGGCCTGTTACAAGGATGCATGATGGCCATAAAGCTCCCTTTATAAAAAATTTGAACCCAGATCCAATGGTAAAAATGACAATCAGGAAATTTCATAGCAGAGGATAGACCAATGGCTACAACAGCAGGAGTGGAAGTGAATCCTGGTTCGGTTCTGCAGCCCAATGAACAGAGGCGCGTATTGCATCCTGTTCTTCCTGCATCCAGGGAGTATTCTAGTGCGTCTGCGGGAACAATTTTCCATTACCAACATGGACCTCTGTAACGCACAGCTCTAACACTTGGTTTTGGAATCACATAGCAGCTACCCCCTATTCAGTGAGGTCACTGAAACGGCCAGGATTTGTTTCCGTGATTTTTGGCCAGCGGCTCGATAAGCCCACTGGGTGCACTGCAAACGAAAGGAAGAGTGGGGACTACTCTGTAAGGCAAAAGTACGCTCGTCAAAAAGGTCGCCAGTCTACTTCATCCTCTGGTTGCTCATATCTTTCAAAACTGGAATGATTGTGACTGATGCATTCAGCTTGAAATTCAAGGAATGATAACCATTCGCAGCTGGAGGCGCCCAAGTACACACCAGAGTTCCTTATTCGCCTCAATACGTCCAAATTCCCCCGTACGTACCTACTCGGTCGAAGACTACAAGAGCGCACACCTGTAAACTCGTTATGGCCTTTTGCCAGATTGGGTTCGGTTTTTGTGGCACTCTTTAGGCACCATCTTCCAACGACAACCTCTGCTTTGGCCGCATTTTCAAACGTGAGGACGGGAACCTGGAAGATCTTTGGTCAAGGACTCCAGTACACAACAATATGTCCTCGAAACTCAGGAGCAGCTACAACAACTGACTAACTCGATCCCTCGATTTGCCAGATTCCTACGCTCAGAGGACGCATGGTCGAATGACAATCCGGAAGCTTTTCTTCAGGATGCACAGCCTGCAGTATGATAATGTCTAACGCATTCCAGCTACCTCCCAGGAAGTTAAGGAGCTTTTAGTTGACAGATATTTGCCCAGTCTCTCCTTTAGATATCAAGGCAAGTGAAACCAATCATACCGTCCTGTCCGTCTATATTTGGGGAGATGCTGGTAGCATACAACAATGACCCGGCTGTCACGGTTCAAGGCCTTTTTCTGAAGAGCTTGGTCTCACCTCCACTGACCTAATATGCACCGCTGAAATTATGGCGGAAGCCCTGGCAATGATGCATTGGCTTGCTGGAACAGATGCCAAGCACCACCTGCAGGGCAGATACCCTCTGCCATCATACTCAATAGTCTGTGTGGCCGTGTGATGTGACTCCTCGGCTTTGACTGCTGTAACAATATATCTTTTAATGGTGATGTTGTGGACAAAGCAGTTGCAGCCTTTGTGAAAAATGATGCATCCTATATCCAACCAACCTCCGGCCTATGGCATGCCTTTAACCAGAACTACGGATTACATCCAATATGCTGCAAAAGACGTGTGAAACCGGCATCTGAGTGTTATCAAGCGCTTTTATACAGAAGATTGAGAGCGAATTTTGAGCTGAAACCATATGCTTAAGAGCTCCTAATGTCGAAAGAGTGGCTGAATAAATTTCTGGGAGCAGGATGAACATTTCATGCGCAGTATAAAGTAAGGTTCCTGGCCATGCGGGCATACCCTTGTGCTAGTCTCAAGTTTGAATGTTCATCCCTTGTGGACATTTTGCGAGTACTGGTTATCTAAGAAATCATAAGGACTAACTCGCTGGCAGGAGTTATGGCATCCGAAGGTGATGATGAAAGGAGACAGGAGGTCCGGGGCCCTCGGCCAGCTCCGTCTGAGTACAATTCGAGGAACAAACACTGGGGTCTGAGGGTTATTCTATCACCCCATTAGTGACCATAATTCTGGAGGACACCAATCCGCCTTGAGCTTACCAAATTAAGGGTTAAATCAATACCCTCGTTGCAACCTGGTGCTATCTGTACTCTTTCTGGATATTTTGCCATATACGATGCTGTGCCTTCGGATGGAAATCCTATCCATTTATTTAGGCCTTTGTGACTTGGGGAGGTAAGTAATAAATACGTTTATGGGCATGGACACGAAGGCCCAAACATTATATATTTTTCCATTATTCGTCCGTATGATCATTATCGTTATTCAAAACTGAGGTTTGAGCCGATATATATAAATCTGCCAAACCCAGCTGTGTATGAAAAAATGGCATGACTAGCCGCATAGTAACAATATCCTTTTATTCCGGTCGTCGGCCATATATGCAGTAACTGATTTCATGTTAGTTCACAGATTTAACGTTATGATGGGCAAATTGATGCGCCTGAACATACAAGTCAAACAAAAAGTGAATCTTCGGATTCTTCACATCCTTCAAAGCCTGGTCAACAAGGGTTTTGATCTCTGCGGTGGACCAATTTTCGTATCTTGTCAAAACGGCGAGAGCACTGGCTTCGAATCCGGTTTGGGCTTGGAGCATGTTCCACACACCAAGGGTTTTCTCCAAAATCGCGCTCGTCAATGAATGGTCAAGAAGAGCGAAAGATCCCAGAAATGAAAAAGAACTTACAAAGTACTTATCCTTTGGCCAGGCACCCATTGGAATCTTGAACTTCGTGACTTTCACGTCAACAAAACCGGCCTCCACCAACCAATTTTCCAACAAGGGACCTGGGCTGAAGACACGACCAGCTTTTCCGAAAGCATCACCAAGAACTTTGAAGTATCGCTCGATTGTGGTGCCCTTAGCGGAGCCGTCCTCTGAATAGCCGTATACATCCCAATCCTGCATTTCGATCCATCCTCCTGGTTTGGTGGCACTGATCGACGGATGAGCAAAAGAGCATTCGAGTATACGGGAAGGTGGGAGAAACAGGAAACATACTTGAACGCTTGTTTCAGGAGTCTAGGAAAATCCTGAACAGAGCCAGCTAGGTAGCGGCCATGGATGAAGTCGTATTTCGACTCCTCAATCCAGTCATCTTCGAAATCCTCGACAACGAATTTGACGTTGGACGGAACGCTGCACGGGATGTCAGTGATGCTGCATCTTGCTTTGGAATAGAGACTTGACAAGGGTATCTGAATTATACTGACAAAGTGGGTTGAATTGGACTCAGGTCGTTACCGGTCACCTGGAAAGAAGCTCTGTCAGCCCGTGCTACCAATCTAAAACGATGATATGATGTTCACTACCTCTGCGTCGGGAAATTTTTCGGCTGTGAAGCAATAGCTGGACTTTAACAATGATCCCCTGGTAGGATGGCGGTCAAACCGAGCGGGACTCACCAAAGTCAACTGCCCAAATACCTGACCAGCGATACCCGATTAGCCTCAAGGAAAAAAGAATTTTCGAATTTTTTTGGAACACAAAAAGTGTTCTAAATACCTGTTCCAGTTCCAATATCCAGAACTTGTTGTGGGGATGTTCCAATAGGCGCGAAAAACAATTTTCGGTTGAATGTCTCCAGCATCAGTTCGTGGATCGTGTCCAGTCGATCCGCTTCTTTATCATCGTTTGGCCCGAGATATTCTTCGCATTTATGTCAGTATAAATCTACTCTGGGTAGAGATCCCGGCTGCGTCCTGAGAAACGGAACTTACTGCCATCGCGGAATCCATGATACCGTCTGTTATTTTCAAATCGATAATCTAGGACGGATGAAGTCAGGGAAGCCGTATAGGCCGAACTGCACAATGATCAGTGATGATATTCTTAGGATGGCGGTGAAGAGGACAAGTCGCACAGGTTTTCTTGGTAAACTTCGTCATCGCTCTAGTTGTCGAAAGGAAGGTCAGAGCTCCAACAATGTATATACCCTTTTACGTGTCACTTCTGAAAAAAGCTGGGGATACCAACCTGAGAGTCGTCGACCTCGATTGAAGGAAGGTTATTGACGTCGTCAATTGCGGGAGTGGGAGCACCAGCCATCGTCAACTATTCTCAAGATCAGTTCCAAAAGGCCTGAGGTTTATCTCTTTTTAACTACTCCGTAGATGAATACGCAAAATCTGGAGAATGAATCTCGCGGGAAGAGCAGGGGACGAGGGAATATTGTTTAATGACAGACCTTTATAAACCAATCCCCTGCTCCCTGGATGCCAGGATTAGCATAGCCCGTTATCGTTCGCAATGCAACGCCGACACAGGCTAACCCTTAGTGACAGAGCGGCGCTCTTTGTTTCTTTCCCGTTGGTGCTGATTGCATGACGCCCGGCCGATTTTTGCTCGTCCTTTGGCTTGAAGAGGCAGAGGATGCCGTCATGACGGGGCTTCTCGATGGCCCGAAGCCCTAATGTTCGCGATGTATCATTAACTAATGAAACAGGAACTTATTTAGCACGGAAGTATTCGCTGGCACTGATTTTTGGGGGCCCGAGACACGTATTCTCCGCGGATATCTTGTGTGTGTACTTGAAAGGCTACATGCAAGCTGCTGGGCATCTCAACGACTCGCAACCAACAATGTGTACAGGGTATGGAGGACAAACATTGAAATTGGTTCCTCAAAAGGCTAAGCAACGGCTTCTTTCGCGGGCGGCGGCGTGGTGGGCCTTCCCGCGACCGGCCGCCACCGGCTCCCCGCCCTTTGTGAGCTAACTAGCGAGGCGTGGCCTGGGATCCCAGCATGCGTCGAGAGACCAGGAATTGATCCGTCCACTTGTCTTCGCTCCAGGAGACGCGACACGGGAAACAAACATGGCCGTTTCTTAGGTATCACGCCGCAATTGTCCCTGTGCAGCCTTAGAGCCATGCTTGCTGCAATCGACAGCAACTCCTGGAGGCCGTTAAAATGCCCCAATGGCAATGCATGGGGAACGAAACCCTGTCGATTCCGCGTTCAAACTTGCAAGGGATTTTCGAACAACATTCTTCCCGAGGCTGGCGTTGAAAGACCGCTTCTAGCGTTCCTCGTTGGCAGGCCGTGTAAATATGCTCTTCACCCTCGGGACGTTTGTAAGAGCCGCTCGCTATTCTTCAGTGTCCTGTCTTTTTTCTTTTTACCTTTGTCTTCTCTTTGCCCTTTTCTTCCCTTTCTATTGTCCTGCGTCAACGGCCGACAGTCGTTTGCAGCTTATTTTCGTATAAGAGCCCGATTGGCTGTGTTTCAGCGGCTTGTTACCAAAAGAGCTCCCCAGGCACGTGCATCGTGGGATTTGCAAGTTTAACGCGGCATTCGCTCCACCGACCAAAACCCACAAAACGCCTGGCGTTCTCCTCCGAAATGGACGCGTTATCGCCGGAGAATATTGAGCTTAATTCGTCCACAGGTTCAATGATCTGTGCTAGTCCTACGATTCCCCGGTTGAGATTGAGTCTGAAAGAGGCAATATTGCGCCTGTTTTGCCAATCACTACCACCAAGAAGACAAACGCTAATTTGGTTGTGAAGAGAACGATGATGGTCTTTGCTTTCTCCTCGGATAGTTAGCTGCGCACTCGGATTTTTTATTTTTATTTTTATTTTTATTTTTTTTTTCAGTATTTTATTTATTTCGTCCATTGTGTTTGGGGCCAGTACTCCGTACTCGATAGTCCAAAGTCGAACTAACGAGGCTCTGAGTAGGCCAGAGACAGTGTGTGAAACTCCAAACCGTCATCATGGCTGATGCTCTATTGATCTGATAGTAAGCTGCAGATTCCAACCGACGCTTCAAAACCAAGGGATACTCCCAATGATCACGCTCTCTGCTAGGACGCCAACTGTTATCGCCAAGAGGCACACAACTCGCTACATGGTGCGGTGCAGGGCGGAGCATGAGACGGGAGCATCATGGGTGAGAGAGGACCAGGAAGAGGACTCGGCTTTCGAGGTGGCATCTGCGGTCGAAGGGAAGCGCCTGTGTCGCAAGACAGTCTGACGGAGAAGCGTGAAGTCTCGCAGCCATTGTAGGTCCTAGTAATCAGGTTGTAGCCGCGTAGAGACAAGGAGCATTGGCCGTGATGATTCCAGGAGAACGGAGGCGGCCAGCTCACAAGCCGCATCAGGAGTGCCACAGAACCCGCGATGTCAGACGTGAACGGGCAGAGCGTCGCAGATGATCGTAACGGGAGGCCGAAGACGCTCGATGAGGCAAGCCGGGGTAGCGCTAGGCCGGATCGGTGGACGGGCGCTTCGACACCGTTTGGGTTGGAGATGTGGCATCGCTGCCTCAGTTGTCTGCTTCTGGACACTTAGACCCCAGCGTCTGTCCTGATTCGACGGGTTTTAGATTTGACCGTGTTCCAGGGGGTGCTGGCCCTCAACTGTCTTCTCTCGTCAATCTGACCGCCCCCGCGACCTGACGCGCCGTTAGTTTCGCATCCCCCAAAGAGGGCCGGCGCTTCGGTTCACTTCCATGACTGGCCCGTGCTGGCTGGCGGCAACCTCCCTCTCCTCTCTCCTCCTCGCCGCGAGAAGCACCTCCAGGGCGAGCGAATCGTGATGGCGCTACGTGTCTCTCCGTTCTTCACGGCCTCTTGGCGCGCAACCCCCAATCATCATGAGACGTCTCTGTCGTCAGTCCGGGCCACGGCGCCAAACGGCCTGGAGAGCATGAATAATTTTTCGCACTCCTGACGTAAATCCGTCGGCGAGAGGCCATCACTTACCAGATTCTGATCAATGAGACCCTCTTTCGTCTCGCCCTAGCCGCCCTGGCGGTTTCTGGTAAATGTCCGACCAAAAGAACTGGCTTGATATTACGGGTCTGGCCCCTCGATCTCTTTGCAGATGGTTGACCTGCTCTTTACTTTACCGCCGAGACCTGTTTCTCCATCATGGAAGATGCAATCGCATTAATACCGCCTAGAAGATTGATATAGTCGCTCCCTTGGTTTTTATTTTTATCTTTTTATTTTTATTTATTTTTGTTTCCTTCCTTTTATTCATTCTCTCTCTCTTTCTCTCTTTCTCGCCATATCATCAGCCTTATGGGTTGCGGGCGGATGAAGTCGTTCCTTTTATAATATAAAATCTCTTGTTGATAGAGGTGGCTTGTTGAGGCTCTTCGATCGTTAGCTTCCACCACTCTTGAGATCTTTGCGCGTCTACCTTGACAATCTCGATCACCAAGCGGGAACAAATTTTGCATTACTACTACGTATACCAACGCTCGCTGTTCTTAAATAAAACGTTCTTTGAAAGGGCGTGGGCCGCCTTTTCACTCTTTAGGCAACAGACCCTACCAAGCAGGACTTCATATACTCCCTTGCTTTCGCTTTCGCTTTGGGAGCAGGAATAACGGAAAGCCTGCTTTCATTTCTTAAAGGAATACGTATAGATTCTTCCGGGCCCAATGGGATCCGTACAGGGACGAAGAAATTCCACCATCGACACGGCAGGTATCAGCGGAGAGTTGATCCCGGCCAACATGTCGACAGGCAAGCCAGAGCTCAGACAGGTGCCGCAGGAGTATGTTTGTGCATTTCCATCTCCAACACCTTATTATCAGCCATGTGGAGTAGATTTGACTTGATGATTGTGTTATCAGAGATTTGTGGCCGTCGACCCTCTCACCGATCCGATTTCTCCCTCCATGTTGGGGCAGGAAGCCACAAGACGCTGACGACTGCTTAGCTGAAAATGCGACAGTCACAGGAGAGTCGGATCAAAATAATACACTCTCTCCAGGGCAAACCACGTCGAATAATCATGATACCGTGCCGCCAAAACCATGGTATCAGAATGCCTATTCTTTGCCAGTTGCAGAGAGCGGTCCCAAAGACCCAACATGGAACCCACAGAGTTACCTTGTGCCTTCAGACCAGTTGGCTCCCCCTGTGTCTCAGTCTCAAGGTGAGCTGAGTCGATAGCGCTCTTTCCGAGGGAAAAAATTTTTTTTTTTTTTTTTTTTTTTTTTTTTTTTTTAATTCGAACTGCTGCTACACTACGAGCATTCGCTAATGTTATGATAGAATTTTACGAGAGGTTATCTTTGCCGATTCATTCGAGCCCTATGCCCAACGAGCCAGATTCGAATACGTTTGCAGACTCGCTGGGTCTGCTGACTGAAAATGCTGAATCTAATACCAGGAAAAGACCTCGGTTGGCAGAGCAGCAACAGCTTACGCTCAACACCAACGTTCTCACTCCGTTTTCATTCTCTCCTTATTCGTTTTCAAGCAACACGCCATCCATCGATTTTAACTTCTCCGCTTACTCGGATGCCCCATCGTCTTGCTCCAGTTTCACTCCGCAGAGCTCAGTCTATTTTTCTTCCACTCCTTTATCGCCCATGCCTTCTCCCAGGCGACATTCCGATGTAGTCCGATTTGGCACCCGGCCAAAACGGACGTCATCTCCCCGTCCAAGACCCCAGTCGAGCCCGTATTCTCTAGATGTTGGTCGTAGAAGAATGTCAGGCGGTTCCAGCGCTTCTTTCTCTCCCTACGTTCCTTCTCCTCTTGTTGGCCGAAAGCCGGGCAACTCTTCATCATATGCGTCTCCACAGATGCGAGGAGGGCCCTTTTTCCCCTCGCCGATGGTGCAAGGGCCCCTCCAGTCTGGAAATCTATTCGTCAATTCCGGATTCCCTGGTCTTGATCAATATGGCCATCGCTTCGCCGTTCCTGAGCCGATCGCATCGCAGAGGATACCACGGACGTTACGCAGCGACGTCGACCCCGATCAGACGTACTTTGAGGATTATTCTGGGCTTTCAGACCCTCCTGATCTATTGGGTCCGCTGAAAGACACGCCTCTGTCCCCTCCGCCAGAAGACATGATGCCATCGGACCCGACTATGGTTCCCCACGAACAGGACTTGCGGTTTGAGAATGACCTATATACTCCAAAGTGGGTTCGTGGCCATGGAAACAAGCGTGAGGGATGGTGTGGCATCTGCAAGCCAGGTCGCTGGCTTGTATTGAAGAACTCGGCATTCTGGTACGATAAAAGCTTTACGCATGGCATCAGCGCCGTTACCGGACAAGCGTTCGCGGCGCCGAAGGAAATAAGGAGGACGGAGGGAAGTGCAAACATCTGGGAAGGCCTGTGTGGGAACTGTGGCCAGTGGGTGGGACTTGTGACTAGCAAGAAAAAGGGGACGACCTGGTTTCGACATGCATACAAGGTGAACTCCCACTCTTGACGATTAGAAAGTTAAAATGACGCTTGAGACTGACTAGCATTTGTTTCAGTGCCATAACCACTATAAACCGGATGACTCGCATAAAAGGCCACGGGATAATGAAGAACCCCGTGGTATTTCTACTGTGGAAGCATATTCCAAGTCTCCCCAGTGTGTAGCAACATCGAAGCCGGAGTCTGTAGCTCTCGGGTACGTCAACAAGGAGTCTTTAAATGGGCCGCAGGGTGTGTCTTCGATACAATCAATGCTTTCCATCATTTGACGCTGACCAGGGTAAATTTTGTTTTTATTTTTTTTTTATTTTCTTTCTTTTTTCTTTGATATAGCCTAGCACCAAGATCATCTCCAAATTTCTGTGTCTATATTTGGCTTCCCCACCCTCTCCATTTTTTTTTTCTTTTATTCTTTTCCCCCCTTTTTTTTTCTCTCGTTGGTTCACAGCTTCCCCCTTTTTTTTTTTTTTAAAAAAAAATTTCCTTAGTTTTGCATTGGACGTGGAGGAACTCGGCCATCGGACTGCAAAAAGCATTGCGGATGCTCTTTAGACGGATTCTTCGAATTTGGATACGATGACTTTATGAATCTGGCTCATTTGCTGTATTAACTTGGTTGATGACCTATGTAGAAATTGAAGTTTGTTTTCGTTCAATCAACCCATGCCTACCTATAAGTTATATTTTACAGAGTGGTGCGTGACTATCGGCGAAGAGGCGCCAAACTGCGGGAAGCTTATTTCGCCCGTTGAAACCTTGACGACACGCTTTTGTTTGACTGCAGAACGTTGCGATGCGGGCGGGAGAGCAAGTAGATTTTCGAAAAGACATTCATTGGGATTGACAATGTAAATTCAACCTATAGCGTAACTGGTGAGCCTGCACTTGAATATTAAAACTATCTGTGCTCTTGGGTAGGCCGGATCACGATGTATTTACTCCAAAAGGGACGCGGGAAGAATTTGAGAGCATGACTGGATTCTGCGAGCGACCGGACAACCGCCCCGGACCATCACAATCTCGCAGGCTGCATTGTCGGCTGGGATGCTAAGCATGCGGAGGAGGGTCTGTGTTTTTTTGCACGCCGCCGACTCCACCAATCCTGGGGGAGTGCGCGAGTAGAAACCGGTGGAATCCCAAGAGACGCATTCTATTGCACCAGCCCCAACATTATTCGCATCCGCCAGCAGCTCTGCAGTGGATATTTCGCAGCCAAGTGACATCGTATTAATGCTCTCGTGGAGGGGAAGATGACGAGAGACTGGACAGCAAGCCGATTGACTGATTGTGCCTGACGAGCAGGGCAGAAAGAAGGAAAATTAATGGAGAATTCCTCTCAGCCACCTCTTTATTATTATTAAAAGATCACACGATGTAGGTGACCTTCTTTTCTTTTTTGCGCCTTTCTATGCCGCATCTCCATCGCCATCATTTCTCAAGGATGAATTTTAGCTGGGTGAACACCTGTCCACAATCAATGTTCTATTTAGCTTCTGTTCCTCAGTCCTGCTGAAAAATTTCTGTGTTGGTCATAGAACAAGAACGAAAAAAAAAAAAAAGTTTTTTGGTTTCCTGAACAAGAGGGCGAAGGAAAAAAAAAAGTTTCCCACTTCAGATCCACGGCTTGTCCTCATGGTGCTACCAAAACTCTTCAAAAACTCCAAATCCCACCACAAGAAGAAAGAGAGCAGAAGCAGCAGCCCTCCGGACCTTCAATTTGACAACAATCTCTCTTCTGTTCCGGAACACATCGCATCACCACGTCGCAAGCAACACATAGCCGCCACCACTACCACCACCACCACCCCATCCTCCCAGGTGCACGATCCCGCCCGGTCAGAGCATCCCGAACGGAGCTCTTCTCACACCGCTGAAGCACGCAGCAAGCCATCCCACCATCGCCGGCAATACTCCTCCCACCGATCTGCCTCCTCCCCACCTCGCAGAAGCCCTACCAAATCCCAGCCGAAGCCTTCGTCGGCCTCGTCAAGGCCTTATCGAGACTCGCTCCCGCCCTACTCATCCTCAGCCAGCCCGACAATAAGCCCGACGAAGCGCAAGTCCAAGAAGCACTACTCCTCTTCCTCCTACGACCACCCGTTGAACCTTCACCCGGACGAGCTTCGACGCCTTTCCGCCATGGCGGCTGCGAGAGATGAGGCTCGAGGCTCTATGGATTTAGAGTCCGAGACCCCGACTTCGCCATCCTCCTTTGTCACACCTTCGCAAACTTCCCCTGCAACCTCTGCAACCGAAACCAATGGCGTGAACTCCAAAATTGCGGACGAGGACCGGAGCCCAACCCCGCCTCCTCATACCGTTACACCTCCTCCCGCGCCCGTGGTCGATGCGGAAGCTTGTAAGCTGGCGGGGAATAAATTCTTCAAGGCTGGAAACTACCAGAGAGCTATCTTGGAGTATACGAAGGGTTAGTTGGTCCTTTGCTTATTTTTATTTTGACCCTTTTTTTTTTTTTCCCTTCCTGCATTCTGCTCCATTTATTTTTAAGAGACTAGAAAAAAAGTTGTTTGTTCAAGAACTGTTAACATTTGTTTAGCTGTTGAGGCTCAACCAACGTCACCAACCTATTTGTCCAATCGTGCGGCCGCCTATATTTCTGCAAACAGGTACAATGAAGCGTTGGAGGATTGCAAGCGAGCCGATGAGCTTGAACCAGGAAACCCAAAAATCATGCATCGGTTAGCACGCATATACACTGCTCTTGGACGACCCTCAGAGGCCCTGGCTATTTACTCCCAAATACAACCACCGGCCTCTACGAAGGACAAGGCACCTGCAGAAGCTATGCTGAGGTACATCGCCCAGGCCGAAGAGACCCTGAAACAAGACAAAGGGGGTGGCTCAATGGTCTTGTACTCCTTGGACCAGGCAGTTCGAGGGCTGGGTACTGGAATGACACAGCCTCGCAAATGGCTGTTAATGCGAATTGAAGCATACTTGAAAATGGGAAACATCAATGCGTTAGGAGATGCACAGAATATTGCTATGTCCTTATTGCGGGAGAATAGCCAGGATCCGGACGCTTTGTTCTTACGGGGCCGGTTATTCTACCTCCAAGGTGACAACGAACAAGCGATCAAGCATTTTAAGCGCGCGTTAAGCTTAGACCCTGATTCTACGGAGACGGTAAAATATCTGCGTATGGTTCAGAAATTGTTGCGTCACAAGGACGAAGGAAATGCAGCTTTCAAAGCCAGGCGGTACCGGGAAGCGATAAAATTGTACACGGCCGGTCTCGAGATAGACCCAACCAATAAAGATATCAATTCAAAACTTCTCCAGAACCGGGCCCAGGCACACGTCAACCTTAATGAATATGAACAAGCGATCGAGGATTGCACCAAGGCCTTGGAACTAGACCCTACATATTCGAAAGCGAAGCGGGTACGGGCGAAAGCATATGGCGGCACGGGTGACTGGGAGAAGGCGCTGAACGAGCTCAAGAGCATCGCCGAAAGCAACCCTCATGAAAGGGGAATACAAGAGGAGATACGCAACGCAGAGTGGGAACTTAAGAAGAGCCAGCGCAAGGACTATTATAAGATTCTTGGGGTTGAAAAAACCGCTACTGATCAGGAGATTAAGAAGGCATACCGCAAACTGGCTATTCAACACCACCCCGACAAGAACCGCGACAGCGACAAGAGTGACGAATTGTTCAAGGAGATCGGTGAGGCCTATGAGGTCTTGAGCGACCCACAGTACGTTTCCTATTTGTTTTACTTTAGCCGTGAACGTACTGCTCCTATGTTGGAGTTGTTGAAAGATATAAAATGGCTAACCAGTGCTTCTGTAGGAAACGGGCTAGCTATGACAATGGGGATGATCTCCTGGACCCTTCTGACATGTTTGCCCGTGGTGGTGGCTTCAGCCACATGGGAGGCATGGGCGGTATGGGCGGTATGGGCGGTGCGAATATTCGTCTCGATCCAAATTTTATCTTCAACATGATGAATGGTGGTGGTGGTTCATTCGCACACGCCGGCGGGAACCCATTTGAAGCACAGCATGGATGGTAATCCTCTATCATCTCTAGAATGAATCTGGATCAATGAGGATAAGAAAGTGGATGGCAGCTTGGACAAAGTTTTATACTCTTGGCTCAATTTTTTCCCTCTTTATTTCCCTCAATTCAAAAGCAGTTCGCTTTGTCCTCATTGTTCTCACTGTTTCCTTTCCCTGTTGTTTGAGTAATCTTTGAGTTTTTTTTGGTTTTTCTCCCAAATACCTACCATTGCATTTGATATCCAACGTCCAAGCATTCGTCCCCCTGTGCTGGTTTGATAGATGCATGCAAGCATTCATATACATGATAGACGAGAAATACCTGCCACCATTATCTTGCTCTCTGTTGTATTTGTTAAAATATGGCTTTGGTCTATTTTCTGCTGGCATAATACCTATCACAGCCTGCTTTTATCCTCCTCCTTTTCTCTACTTCTCCCAGTGTTGTTTCTAAACCTATTACCTACCTTTTTTTTTTTTTTTTTTTTTTTTTTTTTCATTTTCACCCTCTTTTGAGATGAGTTGAGATAATTAGGTTGAAAGATAGGACATGGTTAGAAATACAGAAAGTTGTTCCTGACTCTAGCCTTGTCATGCTTTTCCTGTTAAATTTGCTCTAACTCGGGATTCTTTTTCTCTATTTTATTATGGGTACCCTGAGAATGTCTGTTGTCCCTTTCATCCCATTGTTTTTTCCTAGCAATACCTTCATGACTTGCTATGAAATGAATACTAACAGCTAGTTTAGCAAAAGGCAATGACTAGGTGAGTCTAACAGATTCATTCTTCCTTTTGCGTGTTAACCATAATAAATGTCAGATTGTCAGGTACCTACATATGTCCATTCCATGAAACGAGAGAACCAGACAAGAAAGAACTTCAGAACCTTTTCAAATCATCACATGCCCAATAAGAGAGGGAGGGAGGGAAACATGTACTAATCAATCAATCATCCCTGACCCAGAATTGAACCATGCTTGTCCGTCCCCCAAGTTTAACATTCATATCTCCTCTGCTTCCCCACCACTCTTTCTCTATCGGCAATGTTCTCTCGGCCTCTTTAACACCGTCTACAAATGTCTTCCCTCGTTGAATGATCTGGACCCCCTCTCCACCAACAAGGATGTTTCCCGTCCTTGAAGCAATCGCGTGGACATGTCCGGCCCAAGATGGCGGGTAGGTAACAAATACAGAGCCCAGGCCTCTTGTGGTGTGCGTCGCCGTGGCAGTCAGTTCATAAGAATGTCGAAGGCCACGCATCCATGGTGGATGCGAGTGGTTGGATTCTGGTCTTTGGAAAATTAGTGCTTCGTTTAGCACGAGATTTGTTTCGCCCTGTCGGTTGGCAGTGGTGATGGAGACATTCTTATATTTCTCTAGGTAATCTGCGTCCTGGAAGACAAGTGGCGTCAGGCGGGCGTTGATGTTCCCGCTGCGGGAGGATATTTTTGCGCCAGTGGAGAAAGCGACGTTGGCGGTGATGCTGCCGCTGCGGGTGGTGATTTTGATTTCGTACGGTCGAGGAGGTAAGGTGGTTAATTTCTTCGTGGAATGGGCATTCCATTTGGATTTGCGGGTTGAGTGCGAACGCATTGGGCGCGATTTCGTCCACCTGGCTCTTCCCTCGTCTCGTATTGATCCGAGTTCGGCTTTGAGATCTTTCATATCATCATCGAATTCGGCATAGTTATACCACCCTTCGTGCTCTGGCATGCGGAACTGCACCAAAACGCTTCCAGATCTGGAGCTTATGTCTACCCGGGCAGGTTTGTCGGGATCGTTTGGGTCAGCTGGTTGTGGATCGATGACAACGGCTATAGAGCCAGACCTGGTCCGCAGAGAAAGCAAATCGTACAGAGGGTATTTGCCAGCGATCCCAGTGGAGCGTCTGCGGATTTTGATCTCCCTCCCGGGGGTTGGCCCGTCACCAGAACCATCGTGATACCCGTCTTCATGGTCGTGATGCTCGTGGTGCTAGAAATCAACTTTAGTATTTGAATTGGGCATCATATCGAAGAAAGTTGAGAGCGGACAGGGGATTGGTTCTGGATGATAAACATACTCCGTCGTTTGTATAGAATAAGCTCTTGAACACCATGCACACTAGACTGGCAAGAAGGATAAACTTGGCGATTCCGACGCATAGCGACCATTTGGTAAATTGGCACCGTCGAGCATCTTTCTCTTTCCGTCGCCCACGATATCCCGCTTCAGCGTCCTTGCGAAGGCTGTCGGCTGGAATATCACGTTCCGAATGAACTTCGTTGCTAACTTTTGTATCGACAATAACATCTTTAGTCCTTTGAGCAATGTCCTGATATTCAGGGGGAGGAGATGTGAGCAGCACATCACTCTCTGAAGCATAATCGTCTTCTTTTAGGTCTCCTTTACTACCGACATTGCTGTCAGATGTTGAAGGAGTGTATATGATATCACCGGTACCTGTCGTTAGCTCCGAACCGCAAGGCGAAGGTGGTACATCATCATCTTGGATATTAACGGGGATGTATCTGAAACCGCTTGGGCGTGCGAATGGAGCCATTGCTGGCTTCTGTCAGACCCAGATAATTTCCCACAAACTTTGCTTCTCTTCTCTTTGCCTTTTGGTCAAATAAATCGTGATCATTCAATGGTGAGGGTGTCCTTTGGTCCATTAACATTTGGCTCTGATGAAACAAGGTGAAGAGAATACGCATTGCTAGGGGTGAAAAGGACATTGTAAAAGGAAATAAAAGGGTCCCAAAGCAGATCAATTTGGCTGAAGTGATCCTTCACTTCTGAGATCGAGCATGACTTCTCTCCTCCCGATCATAGAGAAAGAGGATAAAACTTGGATCAGGCAAAACCAACGCGTGAGTGTGTGAAAACTTGCTGTTAAGAAATGGACACACCTTGATCCTTTTGTAGCTGTTTCAAAGGCACCTTTTCAGCAGTTCCTAATCCCCTCTCGGTTTCTTGGGCTCGTCAGACCAGCCAGGTCAGGTATTTAGTGTTTGTTCGGACCCTGTGAAATAGAAAAACCGACATGAGTGAAACTTGGTGACGGCTCAGCGGTTTGCAGGATGGATGGAGTTGATGCCGGCTAGGCAGCTGAATTATTCCCAAACCACATATCTCTCCACATTCATAGCTAGTTAACTTCAGCCATGCAGCTGAACATGGCTGGGTGTTTGCGGAGTCGATGATTGCCGGAGCAGGGCCCTCAGCCCGCGAATCAAGGTGCTCCAGGCAGCACGATTATGCGTGGCATCGAATGGCCTGGACGCTGGTCGGCGCTGACAGGATCGTTAGTTAACGATAGCGGAGACTGAAGCTTTACCACCCAAGCCATGATGTTCGGTTCCAGAGCTGGGACTTGGTGGAGTTCAATCATGCGGAGTTATTCTGGAGTGAAATTGGAAATACCTTTCTCATTTCGCAATTGGAAATGTACTCTAGCAAAAGAAACATGCACCAGAATCATTCCAATTCATGAATATCGATGTTGTTAGATTCTGTTAACAGTAAATTAATTGAAAATGAGTTAATATTCTTTCCTCTAAGTTTAGTTAACCTACTGTGGCACTGAGCCCTGTATTGTATATTAAGGTTGGCTGCAGTGGCCATGGCAAAGCTTCCCGCAAAATCTCCAAACACGCATGGGAATAACAAAATAGACAAAACAGAATTTCTGGGCAATAAAGTAGCTTGGACAACATGATCCTGTCACAGAGAATTTTCAACTGTCAACAAGAGGGGATACTTGTTCCAAAGCCAGAGAGAAATGCATGAAACTCCATCGCTAATGATTCAAGACAAATGCAAACTGAAATAGTAGTCACAACCAAAGCACCCTTAAAATCAACCCATAGAACTCGCTCGAAAGGACAAGCTTGGGAAGATGCACAAGAGGGAGCATAGAGTGACTGTGATCGCGGGATGCCATGTTTTGTGCAGCCTTTCACCAGGCCGCCGAGTGTTTGCTGTCTGCATCAGGAATGTTCCTGTATCGCTGGGGGGCGACAACTATATTCTTTCATCAAACCTTGTTATTATAATAAACAAGAATCTTGGTTTATCATCTTTCCTTTCCAAAAACTCCTTCTCAGAACTATGTTCAGTATCCTAAGTTGGAGAGGATGGAGTGTGTTTCATTCAAAGGTAAGCCACACACTCCCAATGCGCGAACCTGGCTTCCCTTGCGCAATCGCTGAAGTCCAACGGCGACTTTCCAAGCCTCAGTCTCCGGCAAAACGAAGATATATTTCTTGCCTTCCTGGTCCCGGAGACTGGCCCGGACGATATGAAGGCCTCGCGGGGCCGCAGCAGTCTGTTCATTGACATTCATACCGTCAATATTTAGCCCATTAGAGCGACTACCACCTTTATCACTGGTTTCCAATCGGCACTGGTTCTTGCAGGTCTTGAGCAAAGATGCAAGAAACGCGTCTGAATCCCCGCTGCTGGGGATCTTGGACGCGTGCGAAGTGCTGAAGCGGAAAGGACTGAGCTTGGGCACAGTCGGACGAGTGGTGGTTGATGAATTTGCACCAAGCAGGGGGCACCATACCTCTACCAGTTTCATCGTCCATGCTTTGATGTCCCATTCTCGCTGGGCCACACCTCTCACATCGTCGTCGACAAACATCCCCTCGGTTGTGATGCGCAGTATCAGCCCATCCGTCACTACACCTCGTCCTGATACCAACTGCGCGATTGGGGTTCTCATAAAAGTGTTGTTGAATGAGTACACACCGTGGATAACAACCTTATCAGGATTTTTCGTGCTATATGGTCCTCGTCGGGATGGTGGTGGCGTTGTTCGTGCAGTCGTCTGTGATGCATAGGTCGATTCTGAAAATACAGAGGACGCTGAAGATTGCTGCTTGTGCATACCGGGTCTAGGGCGGTCGTAAGGGCGAAAGGAATACGCATCATCGTCCGTATTAGTTTTAGTACTAGGGAATGGAGGCTTTGGAGATGAAGCCGGCTGCTGTTCGGCCTTTGAGGACTGTACTGACGGTGGAGGCGCCGCAGATTGCGCAACCTTTGCGGCCCTTGCGGCCCTTGCAGCCTCCGCAGCTTTTGCAACCCTTGCGGCCCTCTCCGCAGCAGCTTTTTCTGCAGCAGCTTTTCGTGCAGCTTCCTTCTCGGCCGCCTCCTTCTCTGCGGCAGCCTTTGCCGCTTGCTCAGCGGCTTCTTTCTCAGCAGCAGCTTTCTCGGCCGCAGCCTTCTCAGCAGCTCGCCTTGCGGCTGCCGCCTCTCTCGCTGCAGCAAATCTAGCTGCAGCTTCTTCTCGGGCTTTCTCCTTTGCAGCTTTCTCTGCCGCTTCTTTCTCAGCCGCCTCCTTTTCGGCTCGCTCTCTGGCTCTCTTCTCCTTCCATTCACGATATTCTCTCTCGCGGGTCTCTTTTTCTCGTTTTTCTTGCTCCTCCCGCGCAATTCTTTCTCCTTCCTCTTGCTTTCTTTTCTCATCTTCTGCCCGTTTTCTTCGAAACTCTTCCATTTTCCTGCGAATCTCTTCCTTGCGCCTCATTTCTTCTCTTGCTCTTTCCCAATCGCTCTTTTGCTTGTCTTGCGCGGGTTTCGCCCCAGTATTTGATGGTGGAGGCGATGGTGGAGCTTCCTGCTTAGGTTCTGGCTTGAGCTCTTGTTTCGGTTCTGGCGGTGGTTGGGGCTTTGGCTCAGGTTTTGTTTCAACCCGGGGCTCAGGCTTTGGCACGGGCTTTGGTTCTGGCGTTGGTGTAGCTTCCACCCCAGGCTCAGGCTTCGGCTCAGGCTTCGGCTCAGGCTTCGGCTCAGGTTTGCGCTCTTGCTGAGGTTCAGGAGCAGGCTTAGGGGTAGGCTTCGGAGGTGGTTGTGGGGAAGGTGGTCGCTGGGGTTTAGGGGGTTCTCTTGGTGGCTCTGGCTGTGGTGGAGGAGGCGGCGGAGGAGGAGGAGGAGGCGAGGGATGGGATCGTGGTGGTGGTGGTGGTGGTGTATGTCCTCCAGGATACTGAGCACCAGGGTAATATTGATGGCCGCCTGGGAATTGACCACCCGGATATTGTCCGCCAGGAAATTGGGGACCAGAATTTGGAGGAGGCCCACCAAAACCCGCGCCGGGATACTGCCCTCCAAAATTCTGATATTGATGGCCTCCTGGGGACGGATTGGGGCCGCCGGTTGGTCGTGGCCCGGCCCCTGGTGGCGGCCCAGGAGGAGGACCTTGCGGACCTCGACCTCCATTTGGCGAGCCAGGCCTGTTCCGGTTTCGTGGCCTGGAAGAGCTGCTTCCTTCAATCTGCGTTCTACCCACGGTCCAGCAAATAACTCCCACCCCGATAACGAGCATGAAAACACCCATGCCTCCGCTCTGCACGACCGTCGCGAACCAATTCTTCAAGAGCGGCAAAACATTTATATATAATACCACTCCTAGTAGCGCGGAAGCAACACCGGCCAGAAAGCTATTCCTGTGGCATTGCAACGATGGGAGATAAAGAAACCCCGAGCCAGAAGAGTGTGGGGGGATTATAAAAATATCGTACGGACCCTCTGGCAGGTCTGATGCTTTTCGATATTGTCCGTCATCGGCACCACCTTCTGCGGTGGTTCTCGGGTTTGCCCCGTGAGGGGGTGGAGGGGGAGGCGGACCGTCCATATTGTGCGAGGTGTCGAAGTCACAACCACAAATCCTTGGGGGAACAGCTGTTCTTCCGTCGCGCTACGCGGTGTTAAGATGAGAGAGATTGTACCGTGCTATTTGTTTGACTTGGGGAGCGCTTCTTCATGATTGTGCGAACATATAGCCACAAAACCGATTTGCGATCCGTGTGGCGCTGCGTACAGGAGAACAGAAGTATGTGACTGCGATGGGCGATAAATGGAAAATGGACGGTCAGTGCGAATGTGGTTCCGACAAGGGATAATCTAGAGTGAAGGGCCAAAGTATGGTTTCCCAACCCCTCAGCGTTGGCTCGAAACGTTACACTTAGAAGCGCTCTAAGCGGCGCTCCGCGTTGCAAGATAAGAAATGAGAATAAAAATACGGAGTACGGAGTACGTGGAGAGAAATGATAATAACAAACGACAACAAGTGTCCAATGTCAATGTGGTGGTGAGTGGCGAATGGGAGTTGATTGTCCGTGGACCTGAAAGTGTGCTTGGGGACGGTGGCACAGGAATTATGCCAAATCGAGGAAAGATGGATGTGATCTCGAGTCCACACTGGATCAATGAAGGCAGAGAAACGGGTCAGGGATCAGGACGCAGCGTCCGGAGTACACAAACAATGCAAGAAAGGTGACAAAATTTCGACATGCGTGGGCGGCTGGACGGGATCGTTGCCTGTTAGCCTGGGAGAAAAAGCTAACGGTTGCCTACCTCCAATCGGATGCGAGGAAAATTCCGCCCACTTTTCCAATAGACCGGAGAGCCTCCTGTGCTGTTGTCGGGCCGTTGCCGTGACCCAGTAAGTTTAATTCAAAGCCAGATCTTCACCATCGTTTGTCCAACATTCCGAGATTGTGATCTCAGGAATGAGAGTGTTGTCCCGAGGGTGCATTTACGGAGGGCAAAGGAGTTTGTTGAGTTCCGCAGGTTGACAGGAATAGGGTTGCAAATACAGAGTTTAGAAGAATGGAAAGTTTCCTTTCCCTGTTCGCGACACTGAGCTGCCACGGATTTCAACAAGTCTCACCGCTTCATCGCGACAAGGTGTGGAGATCCGACTGAGCAAGGGAAGGGACAAACACTGCTCCGTTCGTTTGAGCAACCTAGCTGTTCATTGTAGTTATCTGTCTATAATTTATCATCATAACAATCATTTCTCTTCCGATCTCAAATAGTTGCAATACGTTTGCTTCTTATTCTGGTCTGGATGCAGGCTTTCAGATGAGGTTGAATGAATGTTGGGGTTGTTTGTTTTGCTCTTTCCTTTTTTAGACTAGAGGCTCCCAACTGCCAAATGATTGGTCAATCTTAAGTCTAACTAAATTATGGTGCAGCTGAGTAATAACTTACTAGCACAAACAGGGTTAGGCTGGATCACGATTGCGCTAAACTGAAAGCATCAACATGGATTCCGGAGGCGTTCGCTAGAATAAACAAGGGCCTCTCCGTGGTGTGAGTGTGTGTGCGTATGTTGGAAGGGCACTATGACAGGTAAAGGGCACGATGAGCTTACCAGCCGTACTGTCCGCAAGTTGGACCTCATTCTCCTCCCCTTCTTATCACTCCTCTTCCTCGTAAACTCTCTCGATAGGTCAAACATCGGCAACGCCGAAACTGCCAACTTCACCAGGGATGCTGGGCTGCAAAAGGGTGATCTAAACGATGCGGTGGCATGGTTTTTTGTGTTCTTTGTGGCGCTGCAGCCTGTGGGTGCCGCGGCGGGGAGGAAGTTTGGCATGAGCGTCTGGGTGCCGAGTGTGATGACGTTGTGGGGTATCTGTACGCTGCTGCATGTCTGGGTTAGGAAGAGGTGGCAGTTGATATTGATCCGTATTATTTTAGGGTCTCTAGAAGGTAAGAGATCCTCTGACATTTTATAAAAATTTCCCAGCGTGGTTTTCAGGTCTAGAGACCCTCCTTTGCCGAGACAGGATTGCTGCTTGTTTTATGTATCGAGATGAGGGGATATAAGCTCGCTCGTTAGACGTTCATACTAATAATGCAACGGGGCACTTCCAGCGGGCTTTTATCCCACAACTGTGTCATATCTCTCGCTGTTCTATACCCGCTATGAATTTGGGCGACGTCTGGCGCTATTCTACGGCTCGTACGGCGTGGCTGGCGCTCTCGGTGGGCTTCTTGCGTTTATCGTCTTCTCCAGGTTTCCAAAGGATGGAGAGCCATCGACAAGGAAATTCGAAAATGATGATTTCTGGAAACCATGGCAGGTGTTGTTTATGGCTGAAGGACTCTTGACGATTGCAATCGCCTTGATTGGCTTCTTCTGGCTGCCGAAGAGTGCAGGTACTGCTTGGTTTCTAAATCCTCTGGAGAGGCTATGTGCCGAAAAACGGGTGGTTACTGATCGTGAAATGTCCTCTTCTCGTGAATCGTTGCTCACCCCTGATGCAGCCACTGGGGCAATTGATGGGTTTTCAAGCCATGGGGAGCAATGTCGCAGATTGCTAGAAGATGAAGGAGTCACTCCTGAGGCCCAGGCTGGAAATGATCGTGATAACTTTACTGCCGATGCTGGGCTATCGAAGCCGGAGATTCTTTCGACTGTCTTGTTTCTACCTTTCATTTTTCCGATCCTGATCCTCAATATTGCTTCGGCAATTCCTAGCACAGGATTTTCTATTTTCCTCCCGATCGTTCTATCTTCGCTGAAGATGGCGTCTCCGTTATACGCCAATATTCTTACCGTGCCTCCGTTCCTCTTAGCTTCTATAACACTTTACATTTTTATGCACTGGAGCGATAAGTCACGCAGGCGTTTTCTTCCTATACTCGCGAGTCTTGCAGTCATTCTGACCGGGCTTGTTCTAACTCTTCTATTCTCCCCGCCTTCTACCTCTGCTGGGACTGCGGTGCTTTATTTCTGCATGTGTTTGCTATTGAGTGGCTGCTTTATCCCGAGCCCGCTCACCGTTGCTTGGTACGCGGGAAACATCCCCGATCCGGGCAAGCGTGCTATTGTGCTTGGTATCAACGGCTACGGGAACCTGGCTGGCATCTTTGCAGCTCAGATATTTGCACCGAAGTACCAGCAGGACGGCTTTCGCACATCTTTTCTGATTACCTTCGGGATCATATTTTTGAGTTTCATTGGGTTTGCTGGATTGAGAGTTGTGCTTGGAATGATTAATAATGCGCGGAAGAAATACTTGCTTCGCTGGTCTGAAGCAGATTTGGTGGATGAACACGTTTCGGGCTTGGGTAAGAGGGACGGTTGGGGCGAGAACGTGCCTTCCCTGGTGATTGTCGGGGGCCGCCGTTGGGATAAGTACGTCAGAGACATGGTTGGCGTGAAGCTCCTTGGCATGGGCGTCAGCTCAGCGGCCGTGAGGCGTGGAGATGAGAAGATGACATTTGAATATGGGTATTAATGGGCTATATCATCTGGAATTCGTGAGAGTCGGCAGGAGGTTTCTAATCAAAGACCCGCTTTTCATCGGAAGGGGGCATATACCGTAAAAGGCAACGCAGGGACCAGCGACCAGGTGTCGTTTCAGGTTTTAGGTCCTGGGATGGACCAGCTTTGGGGCAGAAGAACGGTCGAAATGTGTCCACACGTGGCTGTCGCTACGTGTTGGTCGCGGTGCGCAGGCGGGCGAACCTAGGCAACAGATAAATGAGTAGGATGAAATATTCATGCCTGATGATTGGGCCAGGCAACAGAGATGAATGCTCCGAAGAAACTGTAGGCGCAAACGCACCGGATTCACGGCCAAGCAACGCTCTCGTTGTGGACAGCGATGAGCCCATATATAGCAGCGAAGTGACCGCGATGTCATTCTGTCCGTGTAGCCCGCTTGACGGTGCGTGACGGTACATACATAACAGCCGGCACCTGATCTGTCATAACAGAAAGTTACCAAAGTTACCCCAGCAAACCAGCCGTAATACAATACCGGTGCCACGATCACCCGCATTCTCCCCGCGCTCTGATTGGTCAAGGCCCGCCCCGTCGCCGGTGTTGGTCACTTGGCGTGGTATTACGCCGTACCTGCTGAGCAGCTCCCCTGCCATCATCATCACCGCCGCAGTCACTTCGACAAAACGGCTGCACAGCTCGATTCACAGGCAAGCCACTCTCCTTCTGGGAGACAATTGCCTTACTGCCCTGTCTTTTATACCCTGCGTTCTACACGGTTATTCCCAATGCAGTGTTGTTCCTAACTTTTCGGCCTCCCTTTCGTTGTCCTCCGTATCCTTTGATCCCTCCTTGCCAAGTACATCCCTGTATGTATCGGGTCTCCCATTCACCAGCAGCCCTCCGTTCATCTACAGCGCACATTTCCACTCCCTTTCCTCACGAACTCCCTCCGTCGTTAAAATAACCAACTGGCTGGATCGATCTCTACCACAGATGGCCGCCGCCGCTGCAGCTCCCGCAGGCACCTTCATGCCGGGAACGAAGGTGCAGGTTGGAAACCACCGGGTCGTCATAGAGAAATACCTCTCCGAGGGAGGATTTGCGCACGTCTATGTCGTTCGGCTTCCACAGCCCGTCGATGGCTCTGAAACCGCCGTACTAAAACGGGTCGCCGTCCCCGATAAAGCAGCCCTGGCCAATATGCGCACAGAGGTCGAGACGATGAAGAGATTGAAAGGTCATCGGCATATCGTCACATACATCGATTCACATGCATCGCAGCTGAAGGGAGGCGGCTTTGAAGTGTTCTTACTCATGGAGTTCTGCGCCGGTGGTGGATTGATTGATTTTATGAACACGAGACTTCAGAATCGTTTGACCGAGCCAGAGGTCTTGAAGATATTCACGGATGTGGCGGAGGGCGTTGCCTGCATGCACTATCTAAAACCCCCTTTATTGCACAGGGATTTGAAGGTGGAGAATGTGCTTATTTCACTTAATGGCTCGTCGTACTGCTACAAACTCTGCGATTTTGGATCTTCAGCGTCTCCGCGGCCGCCTGCATCATCAGCGGCAGAGGGGCGCTTGATCGAGGACGACGTTCAACGGCACACGACCCTGCAGTATCGTAGCCCTGAGATGATCGATGTATACCGGAAACAGCCGATAGATGAGAAGAGCGATATATGGGCGCTGGGAGTATTGTTGTACAAGCTCTGCTACTACACAACACCTTTCGAAGAGGTCGGCCAGATGGCAATTCTCAACGCAAGTTTTAAATTTCCAGCATACCCGCACTTCTCCGATCGGTTAAAACTCTTAATAGGTAGGATGCTGTTCTCCAGTGTGTTTACAGCAAAGACTGATCGTTTTGTGTATAGCGTCGATGTTGAAGGAGCACCCGCAGAATCGTCCAAACATCTACCAGGTTTTGCGAGAGGCGTGTCACATGCGAGGAAAGGACGTGCCCATTCGTGATGTAAGGATATCGCTGTGTATTTGCTGGGAACAGACACTCATGCACTCTAGATTTATTCCGGCCGTTCACAATCCGAGGCTCGTCAGCATCACAAGCTCCCAACGCCTGCCGAGACACCAAAAATCGGTGCTGTATTCTCTCCGCCTATGCAAGAAACTCAAATAATACCAGACATCGCTCCAATGAGGAGAGGAAGGCCGTCGAAAGCTACTTCGGCTCAGCACTCCGCTAAGCCCAGCCCTTCACCTCTTCGAGCTGCATCTCACGATCCATTTGCGGCGCTCGATGGAGGGGCGAAACGGACACACCCTGACGAATTGGCCTCGCGGTTTCCGACGCTGGACCAGTTTACTCTCATACACGAAAAGAGTGGGAAGTTCGAATTTGAACCCACTGTGTCTGCCGATACAAATATACCGACAGATGATCTTTCTAAAAGAATTACAAATGCCCTTGCAGACGACGCATTTGTCAAACCGGCCACTGCTCCTCCTCCCCACAGAAGCCCTGCCTTGGGTATACAACCTACTAAAACCTGTCGCCCACTTTTGGAAGCGAAGACCACTCAGACAAATATTCTCCCCGAACGCTCTTCTCAACAAGTCCCAATATACCAGCCTGCACCCCAAAGGCCACTTATGGTGTCCACCGGCACTATGACTTCTCCATCTCCCCCGCCGCGACCCGGAGAGAGTTCATCGATACCTTCCCGACCTGGACATAGACTCTCCGAAGCGTCGCAGTCTAAACGACAATCATGGGAACATGGCCTTAACATACTGAGCAAATCGCGGGATATTTTAGGAAGGCGATCGTCAAGGAATTTGTCCTCCGAGGAGTTGCCCAAATCACCCGTATCTTCCCGACCATCCTTGGAAGGATCCCGTCCGCATGTGTTGGACGTCAATGATTCTTTGACCACTCGTTCTAAGTCCGCGAACGCAAAATCCCGGCCGTCGAGTGCGTACGTTGGACCCAGAGTTGAATATCTCCGGGATCGAGATAGCTCGGCTTCTTCCTACGATCCCGGCTCTCCGCGAGAGCCGGATGATGGTGCAGAGCTATTGCGTCCGGTACGATCCGGGGCCGATCGCAATATATCATCTGATGTTGATTATCTACGAGCCAAAGAAGAAGAAGAACAAAGTCGCAAGCAAGAGAAGCGCTCAAGCACGGGGTCTAAGCATATCAAACGATCAAGTTTATCGTCATTATCCTTATCTGGAACGAAGACGCTATTCGCTGGTCGGTTTGGCGATGCTTTCCGTCGATTCGAGAATAATGCGCCCCAGGAGATCATGGGCCTGTCGTCGGAAGAGAGGAACGCTGATCTGAGCCCTATCACGGGGTCAGAAGTTGCTGATATGAGCGATGACGGCCGAGGATTCAATGAGGAAGACTTGTCTCCTGAGACACGCCGAGAGCTCGAACGCCGTCGGTTATCTCAAGAGGAAAAACGAGTTGCGCATGCCGCGGCCGAATATCGTCAGAGAGTGGCGGAGAAAGGAGGTCTGGGTGGATCAGCGGAAGGAGGTAGATCATCAACCATACAGAACAAGGTCCAGTCCCTCCTCCGAGAAAATACGAAACCCTCGATTAGAACTGCCTCGGGCTATGGTCGTTATACTGATGCCGAATCTGCTTTGCAGGCAAAGCAGTTTGAAAGGTCACTCCCTGAAAGGCCAGCGCCTGTTTCTACGCGAAAGCCTGTGCATTCTCCAAATAAGGAGCTTAGCTCAAGACCGACATCCAAAGACACGAGTACAGCTGGCGGTTTTACGCCACAGTGCGATCAGCCCCAGTCACCACAATCACCCTTCCCAGCGCGCTCCGGACCGCGCCCAGTCGCGCCTCCAAAGCCAAAGAATCTCCGCAGCCATGCTGACACATCCATTGACCCAGACATGGAAGGACATTCATCTATGGACCACAAACCCTCCACCACAAAAGAAGACTGGGAAATCAGTTTCAGTCGACGCTATCCGAGTCTATCTGGACTTGAATTGGTTGAAACGGAAATAGATTTACCCCCGACTGCCACCAAGGTACCGCTGGTACGCACGAAGGAAGTATAGGTGATGATCCTGTGATATACATACATACATATTTATATCTGTTGTGCATTATGTGAGGGCTTGTTTGAAGCTTTGGATGTATAAATTTCTACTGCATATAATCATCTTGCGAACCCCTCGACCTTTTTATAGACGAGGAATATATCGTTTTAGCTCTGTGAATATCGTCCTGCACTTGACATGGTGCTCCTGGACACGTTGGGATACTTGCCGAGCGTATGTCCAGGGCTTGAGGCATTGCTACGTTTTGCGATCATGCATTCTGAGCGGAGATCTTATTCCTTTTTGAAGCATTAAAGTCCACTTTAATAGCGTTGATGAGAATACAGGATAATTATAGTTTCTTTCCTTCTTTTTCCGACTAAGCCGAACCTGAAGCTGGAGTGAGTCTTTGATGCGATGAGGCCCCGATTTGCGTTGAGATGGGTCACTAACCGTCCGGATTATGTAACTAATTCCTTAGTCTTCACCGATGACGACTAAGCAGGACGAATCCACGCTCTCAGGCGTGCAGTCAGCAATCGGCTGTTGAGAAGAAGTCTGTCTTGCAGCTATGGCGCCGATTACCCTGAGTCAGATTGATGGTAAGCCACGACCACCCACTATTTCCTTGAGGAGGATATTAACAGGCTCTTTGCTCCACACAGAGGATCTCAAGGACGTGATCCAGAACTTCTTCGAGATCCAGTCGGCCGTTCATGGATACCTGGGGCCGGAGACCCAACAAGAATTAGTCAAGAAGCTGTTTGTCGACCTTTTTTCCCCTCCCCCTCTAGCCCCTTTTCATCCGACGCAAGCATCCCAAACTAACCTTCTCGGGCCCCAGAAAATCCCTTACAGTCTCCCTTCAAACCCTCTCTGCTCACGCAGCACCTGACCCTTTCTACGTCCAATCCCCACCATCTCGAACGGGCCTCTCCCCCGCCGATCCTCCTGTCCAAAGCATCCAACTTCCACCCGAGATCATAGACTATGTCGACGCGGCGCGCAATCCGGACATATACACGAGAGAGTTTGTGGAGTTGGTACAGAAGTCGAATCAGGAGTTGAAGGGGAAGATGGAGGCGTTTGCTAGTTTTAGGGATGTCTTAGCCAAGGAAATGGCGAGTGCGATGCCGGAGTGTAAGAAGGAGGTTGAGAGGGTGGTGAAAGCAACCGGTGGGAGTGTGGATGCGGGAGGGTGCGGTTGAAATATGATTGTTTTCAGGCAAGACAGGATTGGATGTTCTTCCACCTCCCCACCCCAATATTACAGCTAATGAGGGCTGGGTTGAGTTTGGACAAGAACCAGGAGATGACGGCTCCGTGCGTTGATCTACGTCCCTAGTACGACGGATCTCGCTGCCCATGCAGGGCACTGGGGCTGGGGAGAATTCTACCATTGCGACCCGGCTACTCGATGGAGTCATGTGGGATGGAAAGCGATGGTCCCTTTATGGCGAATGCGATATACTAGGACGTTAGCTGAGAGATTTGCTTACATGAGGGCTCATATCTACATATGTGAGCAGCATAGCTAGCATTCTGTGCACCATTTTGCCCCTAGTAACTGATCACCTCTTTGGTACAGATGCTTTGTGAAGCGTCAAGTATCAAGCGGCCTTTTGAAAGGCTAATTACTTTGAGCTCTAGTCTATTCCCAAACGACCTTCTCTGGACATTACTTCTAGTTGATTGATGTGATTAATAGTCAGCATCCACTTTTTTTGCGTACATCCCATCCTGCACATCATACACTAACTGCTAGACATGTTTAGCCTGAGCCAGTTTTTGCAGAGGCCAGTGAATTTCAGGCAACACATCATCACTGTGATATCATTTTGCTACACAGCTGCCAGTGTTTCACTTTTCTCTACAAGTCTGTGAGAAGATGACACTGGGCAGCACTTTTGTTCGCCGAATATCAAGGCGTCGTCAGCCAAATTGAGGTCTACTTCTGGCTGCCGCCCGTCTAATGTCCATGGGAATGTAGCCATGTCTTGCACCTTGTCGCCATCCTTTACATGATTCTGTTGCTTGCACCGGAAAAATTTCAAGGCCGGTTTTAGCAAGCCCGTAAGCTGACCCGGAGCAGCTTGACAAGGACACCAAAGCTTCACTCGAAGGATCGATATTGCCACTATTCTCGGCATCGAGTCCAAAGTTGGGGCTCAATTTGTCACCTGTTGATAAGATCCTGGAGCTCCGGCCAACGAGGAGGTAACGAAAAGTAGCAGGGGAAGAATGCAGTAGACAGCGGCTGGATGAGAACAGACGATATTAGCGTGTTCCAGGTGCGGGAAGCAAAGTAAATCACCCTTTTCAGGATGAGTTTCAAAATGATCAGCGGAAGACCAGAATGAATCTAATCTAGCTCTTGAGGATACTAAAACCTTAGGGTGCCAAATCGATGCCATCCTGTAGCATTGCCTTGAGAGATATCTAGTGAGACTTTCTACGCTTCTGTTAACTAACCGTAAGTGTGCACCACGTCGAGTTTTGCTGGATACTTGTGTGCTATTTCTGGCCAGGATGTTAGTTGGTCATCTGAGAATCATTCACAGTGCCCACTTCTCTCTTTCAAATGTGTTCTGAAGATACCTTCTCTGGTGACTTCAACATGGTTTGTGATTCTGGAGAATCGCTGCCGATCACATCAACTATTGCGGAATTTATGCTCAGAAGGTTGCGAAATAGGCAATTCCAGATTCAGGGCGTGCAGCGCATTCGCCAGGGGACTGTTGAGTGACGCCACCTCTGTGCGCCTAAGGCAGACTATACACACTGAATCCAACCACTTCCCCGCCCAGGAAAAGCCGCGACGCAGAAACAAAAGGAGTTGCAAATGGCTTTCAAAACAAGATTCCGCCCTGAAACGGGTTTATTCCCGAGAGTCAGGATTGGAGTTACCACTGACATCAACTTCGCCCGTGGGGCCTGGGCTGGATACAAATGGAATAACGTTCCGAGGCTGACAATCCCGCCGACGAATAAATGGCCAATTCCAGTTTCTGTGTCTGCATCAGTGGCAATCAGCTCCCGTACTCTCCCGGCCCAAAGGGACGTGGGCGGGATAGTAAGCTTACGGCCGAGCAACCAGCCTGATTGGGGAGCGAGGAGTGACGACAGTGGGTAAATCGGTCCACTTCGGTATTTCCGCCATGTGGGCTGGTCGCACTGGTTGCCCAGAATCTGGGACTTTTTAAACAAAAGACGCGACCGTATACGGGCCGCTTGCAACACACACAAAATGATGTCGGGTGGGACGTGCCACATGTTTTGCTTCTGTCAGGCTCCTTCATTTAACCCCCCGTCCCCGCCAATTTTTGCACGGCCCTGATGAAGGGCCCAACTTGCCGAGAAAGTCACAATCTTTGCACCATGGCCTTGCCCAGGGGAGTGGCGAGCGCAAATACGATCATCTTTCGCTGAATTCATTGCGGGAATTGGAAACCGTCCTTTTCAGGCGCTGGAAGGGGCCCTGGCGCCCGTGTTCGAGATGCGGTTCGACGGCCTAACCGGAGAGTATCAAGAGAGAAGTTTTACCGTCAAAGTCGCGATTGCGACGTTTATCGGGATTGCATGGTATAATGCAGTTGAACTCTGTGTCCTCGTCTTCGTCACCTTCACACGATTTGAAGGGCTTTACTTCTGGAGTCTGCTCGTCGCCGGTGTTGCCGGTGTGGTGCCGTACTCTGTTGGCTACTTGATCAAATTCTTCCACTTGATGGACTCTGTCTGGCTCTCGATCGTTTTCATTTCAATTGGTTGGTGGTTCATGGTTACAGGTCAATCATTTGTACTTTATTCGAGACTGCATTTGGTTCAACGTGACCAAAAACTGCTTCGGCGTGTGCTAGCTGTCATCCTCGCCAATGTTTTGGTCCTCCATGTCCCAACGACGATCTTAACGTTTGGGTCAAATTCGGGCGCTGGTGAAAGATTCGTCAGGGCGTACGCGATAATGGAAAAGATACAGATGACCGGTTTCTGCCTTCAGGAATTACTCCTTTCGACTCTTTACATTATCGAGGCGATCAAAATATTACGGCTATCATCGGAAAATGGAAACCGACGGATCATGTACCAGTTGCTGAGTATCAACTTAATGTTTATCGTAATGGATATGGGCCTCTTGGGCGCCGCCTACGCCAGTCTCTACGCAATAGAAACAACCCTCAAAGCGACAATCTACAGTATCAAGCTGAAACTTGAATTTGCAGTCCTGGGGAAGCTCGTTCGTCTTGTCAATCCTCACTCGTGGAACCCGGGGTTTAACCGTGGGCCGAATGGACTTCCCGATTTCGTCGACGCCAGCCGTTTAACAAGCGACGTGACCCACGCCCCAGCCTCAAGGAGCGATCCTCTAAAACCACCATGGGCGCTGCATGGGGACCCAGACATGGCGATGAATGAGCAGTGTGGTTCTCAGTATAATGCTTCGAAGGCGACGCGGTCCACGCACTCGAGTGCGTGGAACACACTCTTTCCAAGGAATTCTGCCATGCCAGAGAATGCTACTATGCCGGTAGATATTGTTTCTGGGGTGCTACCATCACCAAGAACCAGCCGGGCACACAGCCTTCCAAGCTGGCATTCGTCATGAATGGTTGCCGTGAGGGAGAAGAAGAAGAAAGAAAGAAAGAAAGAAACCTCGATTATAAAGGATGGCCTTGTGGAAGACTGGGAAAATGGGGTTCGGCATAACTACACGGTGCGAATGTACTCCGTATGCCCGGTCTTTATTCTTCCGTCCACCCATAGCCACACACCCCAAAGAAATCCTGTTTTGGATACGGAAGACTTATGGAGTAGAGTTACATGTTTCTGAATGATACCCATGAACTGTACATAAAATTTTTTTTTCCATAAAAGAGGACACGAGAGCGGTGTCTATAGTTTGCCAATAGAATTCGTAAACCAAAAGGAGTACGCTGTACGGAGCATTCGGTAGAAGAAGATAAATAAGGATCTTCCTGTCCTGCAACGCCCGTTAAGAATCCCCAGCCGGCTGGATGTTTGACTGCCAAGCAAACATCGACCTAGGCGTCACGTGCAAGCTGAGCTGTTTTACTGCCGCAATTCTCCGCTCTCGCGACGGGAGAAATGCGACGTTCGACCGATCCCCGCAACCTGCTCGTGCGCAGAGGCCCTCTCCTCGTCGATGGAGAGTCTGCGATATCTGAACTGGATCCAGGTTTCTTCCCGACGGGTGATGCGCCCAAGATGTCGTCGACAACGCGACGCCGATTCAACCTGATCGCCTTCACGCCCGGGCCAGTGACGGTGATATCATCGCTCGTGTACCTCGCGCTTCTCATTCCGCTCCTGCTCGTCCATACCATCGTTCCCTCAGCACCAAAGTCGAATCCGAAGGGCGTAGACCTTTCCGAAGCATGGAACGACCTCCAGCACCTAACTAGCGGCTTTCATCCATATAACAGCCACAGAAACGACGAGATCCATCAATGGCTTCTCCAACGTGTCGGTCACATTTTGGACGCGTCCCGCAAGGCGCACGAGGACGATGCGATGGGTAGCGTGGCTCCGGACGTGTTCGTGTTTGATGACCAGCAATCCAACTTGACCTTTTCGGGCGGTGGAGTTGGCAACAAACCTATCACGGGAGTTTACTTCGAGGGCAAAAATATCATCGTTTATATCCGGGGCCTTGAGGATGACAAAGAGAATTGGTGGGACTCTCCCGGTGGCAAACCAAAAGGGAAAGGAGGTGTGCTTGTCAACGCCCACTATGACAGTGTGTCAACTGGTTTCGGCGCTACCGATGATGGGGTGGGAGTCGTGAGCGTTCTCCAGCTCATCAAGTTCTTCACTTCTCCTGGGAATCTGCCCCGAAAAGGCCTTGTTCTCCTTCTGAACAATGGAGAAGAAGATTATCTTAACGGCGCCCGCGCGTATAGCCAGCACCCGCTGTCGAAGTATACACACACCTTTTTGAATTTAGAGGGTGCTGGTGCAGGAGGGCGCGCTGCTTTGTTCCGAACAACGGATATTGAAGTTACAAGATTCTATAAATCTTCTCCCCACCCATTTGGCTCAGTACTCGCTGCAGACGGGTTTAAGATGGGTCTTATCCGTAGCGAGACTGATTACGCCGTTTTTAAAGGTGTTCTAGGTCTGAGAGGCCTTGATGTTGCGTTCATTGAGCCTCGAGCTCGATACCACACGGACCAGGATGATGTGCGGCACACAAGCATTGACTCCGTCTGGCATATGCTATCTGCGGCCATTGCTACCACCAAAGGTCTTGTTTCTTACACTGGTAGCGAATTCGACGGGCGAGCTCCGGGAAAAGGCATGGTCAACAGCGGAGTGGGCACGCATGGCGTATGGTTTGACCTCTTCGGGTCATCCTTTGCAGTGTTCCGCCTTCATACCCTATTCGCAATCTCCGTAACCCTCCTTGTGGTCTGCCCTATTGTCCTTTTTGTCATAGGGATAATCTTGAGCAAAATGGACAAGATGTACTTATTTTCGATCCACGAAACGATCCCTGAAACCAAGGAGAAAGTCTCCGTCCGAGGTCTTCGTGGCTTGTTCCGCTACCCCATAATCCTTGTCGTCTCATCCGGAATCCTAATCGGGCTTTCATACTTGTTGGCAAAAGTCAACCCCTTCATCGTCCACAGCAGCAGCTATGCTGTCTGGAGTATGATGCTATCTTCCTGGATATTCATGACTTGGTTCCTTTCCTGCATTGCCGACTTTTTCAGACCGTCTGCATTGCATAGAGCTTACACGTTCACCTGGCAGCTCCTCGTTATGTGGGTCTTGCTAGTAATTAGCACAGTGTATGTGAATCAACATGATATTGCTGCTGGCTATTTTATCGTCTTTTACTTTGCCGGGACATTTTTGGCCACTTTGATCTCTTATCTCGAGCTTTTCGCGTTACCGAACAAGACCCGGTATGCTCGTGAGCAGAGCCAGTACCCGAGCCGATTAGGTAGCAATCGAAGTAGCCGAATCCTTTCTCCTTCAGCAGATGAGCTGCCAACCGGTGGTGATAACAATGGCGAAATCTACGATGGCGAAGAAGAGCCAACTGAATCTTCATCTCTGCTTGGTAGACAACGCAGAACGACCTTCGCTAATTATACAAGGACAGGAAGGGACCTAGCTTCTAGTGAATCCGGGACTTATGAAGATCACTCTGAAACTGGTGTTTTCGGCGAAGAGCAGAAATGGAGCGCAAGCTTACCTACATGGACATGGGTTCTGCAGTTCCTATTCGTCGGCCCTGTTGTTATTATGTTCATCGGGCAATTGGGTCTCTTCTTGACCTCAGCCATGAATCAAGTCGGCGCGGATGGAGTTGGGCTTCTTGTGGTATATATCGCCATCGCTGTGTTTTCCGTGCTGCTTTTAATTCCTCTTTCTCCTTTTATTCATCGATTTACATATCATGTTCCAACATTTCTCCTCCTTGTCTTCATCGCCACGCTAATATACAACCTCGCTGCCTTCCCTTTCTCTGCTGAAAATCGCTTGAAAATATTCTTTGTCCAAGAGCTCAATCTGGACACCGGCCGCAACCAAGTTTCTCTCACTGGCGTCGATCCGTATGTCCAAGACATCATCCGCGCGATCCCAAGCGCCTCCAAAGAAAATATATCTTGCGATTCCGAATTAGACTCAGGACGCAGAAAATGCTCTTGGCCAGGCCTCGCCCCTGAAGTCGTACAAGACGAACCGACCGACAGATGGCTATCCTTCAACATCTCCAAACCATCATCCCAGGAAACCAAAGACACACCCGTCCTCCACGCCCGCCTCCACGTCTCTGGCAAAAACACGCGCGCCTGTAGAGTTAATTTCGAACGTCCGATCCGAGACTACTCCCTCCCGGGCTCTGCGTTGGACGATCGAATGCCACATACCCTTCCACAAGGTATTTCGGAAATAAGACTCTGGAGTCGCACATGGGAGAATGTCTGGACCGTAGATGTTCAGTGGGATGCAGAGGACATGGATGAGCTACACGGCAGGGTGGTGTGCTTATGGAGCGATGCCAATCAGCTTGGATCCATACCAGCTCTAGACGAGCTTCGGCTATTTGCGCCGCCGTGGGTGGCTATTTCCAAGTTAAAGGATGGTCTGGTGGAGGTCAGTCGTGGATTTTGAAAGGACTTCGGAAAGATATCACCTTTTTGATAGGGTTTTGGCTTATTTCTGGCTGGGGAGGGGGCGTTGGATACGTTTCTGCCTCTATTCGTACCTACTTCTAGAGATGGACACACTAATCCTTGAGGCTATTGTATTTGGATTATATCATGGCTTTTCTCGCCTCATAATATCTGTTAATTAACCAGTTTTCCCATTTAAATGTACCGTTAAGCAACTGCCTAGCTAAGCCTGAGGAATAATATGGTTTGATTACGCTCTACTCCAAGAATATAGTGCGCCTGGCAAGAATGCGAAAAAGAATGGTCGTAAACATCTTTCTTCTCTGGAGATGAAGCGGTATATGGCGCTTATGCGAGATTTACCGATACAAATTACTATATCGAATCCCTAATTGCCTTTTCACTTACGTCTTCGAGAACCCGGAAATAAAGGCCCAAACGAACGATATCATACCCCTTCTCAGATTCCATAATAATGCTCATTAACGATAAGTGCAAATGCAGTGCTTATGCAACGGTTGCACCCTTGCATGGCTCGGAGATTTTGACACTGACAGGGTTTAACGGAGAGGACATCGCCCGGAAAGAATCAGAAAAGCTAGAATGAGAAAGAATAATGCAACAGAAGATCTTGTAGAAAAACATATGGAAAATTCGGAAAGATATGAACCAGCGCAGTTCAGGAAGGTCTCCTTGTTCCGTCTCCATCAAGCCAGCTCAAGCCACGACGACCATAAGTTGTGATCTACATATTGCTCCTCGCATATAGAATGCCCAGGAAGAAAATGGTCGGATATCGCATACTCTATTTAGGGAGAGCACAGCAGGCAGTCATCCTTGGAGAAGGGTAAAAGTGACCTATGATGGGTATGCATTGACGTAATGTCCATAGTGGTATGATGAATTCGCCGACAAAATATCGGTGTATCCACTAGCTTTGAACGGGGGCCGTACCACCATCCGGTGTTCCATCGTTATCGTCATTAAGGCCTGTGGCGTTCATAAGACCTGTTACCTGGCCCTCATCTTCATCGAGTTCATCAGTGTCGTTAAACATGGTTCCCTCCTCAAGTTCACGATGGTAAGCGATCGCAGCTTGGTTGAGGAAGTCCCTCAACTGGCTAACCCCTGCGCCACTGAAAACACAGAATACCTCCCGTTGTTGTGGTGTGAATTCTGGAGGTGCTTCACGGCAGAAAGCAGTCAGTTCTTCTCGCAGAAAAGCATGGACGCCTGTTAGGCTGAGGTGGGTAAGTCGTGGGCAATGGTTGAGTAGTTGATGAATACCCTGCAACTGGAGTTAGCCCAGCCGAGTTCATATGCCTTCAAAGCAATAAAACTTACATATGTGCTCAAGTTGACGCAATAGCTTAGATGCACCCGTTCTAGGGAGCTGACCAATGGGTGTTGTGGGATCCGTGGTTTCGCTAAAGCCAGGATACTGCGATCTGTTATCGCTTGGCATTTAACCAGGCCTATTCTCCGCAGCTTTGGCAGCGTTGCTAGTTGTTGCACGCTGGCGTCGGTTAATCTGTTGCAGCAAGCTAAATCTATGTACCGGATTCGGTTACATGACTTGACTAGCTGTATCACTGCATTATCGGTGATGTTCGAACAATGTCCCAAGTGGACATAATGTATATTCCTGCCCAACTTGCATATGGCCTGAACCGAGCGGTCGGTGATAAATCTGCACTTTGCGAGAACTAGATTTCTTAATCTCGGGGATGAATTGATAATCCTTTCCACTGCGTCATCTCTCACGTTCTCGCAAGCTGTCAAATCTAGGATTCGAAGGCTGTCGAAGATTATTCCTTCTGGCAAATCGAGAAAGGCCTGCTCGGTAATATCCGCGCAATGCGCGAGACGCAACTCACGGAGGAACCGAAGTGTACAGAGTAGGTTTGTCACGGTAAAGTTCGTGATGAGACGACAACCATGCAGATCAATTTCAAGTATGGAGGGGCAATTATCCGCGAACGCTCGAATCGCTCGATCGGTGACTTGCATAACGCCGTTAAGTTTTAACTAGAGCAGGGTCAGTATTTGGCCGCTTTAAAGGTCGTGACTCTCGAAGACAATAGGTAGGACTCACTCTTTTGAGCTGACGGCAATTTTCTGCAAGAGCCACCAATGCATCGTCAGTAATTTTGACACAGCCAGTTATGTTCAGCCCTTGCAGCCGGGGACAGTTCCTAGCAACGATAAACAGAGTGTGGTCCGTAAGGCTCTTGAGTTCGGACACGTCGAGCGCCTGAAGATGGCCGTTCCCGTCAACGAGATCGGAGACTCCAGTATCCGTCAACATCGAGCAGTTGGTCAACGTCAATCTCTCAATTCGTTTGCACTGGGCAAACGAGATAATCGTTCCATCATTGACCCTGGTGCTCAGGGACGAGAGATTCAACCGCTTCACCATATCATAGTACGGAAAATAGCTGCCCTGAGTAGTGATGGCGCCCGCCACTCTTTTTAGGTTCTCCCAAGTATTACACGACGGTCGATGCCAGAGGATTGCCACGCAATTCGTTGCCCATTTTTGGCAAACCATCATGCAATTCAGCATGTCCGTAGGAGAGTTGAGCTTCGCAAAGATCGCGATCAAGAGCTCCGGAGGCAGCCGAGAGATAGGTGGTAGAACGATATCCTGGCCGGCATCCACCCGAAGGTCCCGTAGGGTTCCTACTCCGACTGACGATTGTGAATCATTGGGCTGGTTAAAGAAGTCCGTGTCATCGTCGATAACTCTTTCGGGTGAGGTGGACGAGGAGGATTCAGAAGCCGCCCCGAGAGATTGCCGCAAGTGACCCCGTGAACGAAACATTCTCATAGACGCGAGATGTTGGCGATGCAGGAAACAAAAAAGACTGTATTCTCTCCCCTTATATTCAAAGATAGGTCGTAGGTATAGTACGAAGAGGACTCTGAAGCGGCCGGTTTCACGATGGGCGAAGGAATCGCTGGGGGCGTGACAGAAAGACGGTGTTAGCAGCAAAAAGCTTGCTTCGGGTGGCGGTTGTATAACGAGTGCTGTCCGTGAGCTCGGTGTAGAAAGGTAGGCGCCGTCTCGAGCCTTTTGTGACGACAGGGCGTGTCAAGCGCGGCTGGGGTCGTACAGTCAGGGAGGGAAGCGCCCGGAGAGATGGCTGGAGGATTTGCGGCGGAAGGAAAGACGCGAATAAGCTATCAGCAATGACGGAGCGCGAGGATAGCGTGCTGCATCGAATGGGATGCCTGCGAAGGTGGTTGGATTTCAAGCGCGTTTCATATTTTCAAAGGTCCGGTCCAGCGCAAGAGGCGGCGGCACCTGCAGCGCATCGCCTGGTCAAATACGTAACTAGCTATGTGGGCAAACTGGGCTTGGGATGCAGGGCCCTAGCAGGCCAAAATACCATCTCAAGCAATCGAAGACAAGCAGACAATTTCACAGTATTCAAGAGAGTCCAAGCGAGAGGTGAGGATAGTGATGGTGCTCAGCATGACGGGTGATGTTCCTGGGCTGTCATGTGGGGGAGATTCTTTGATGTCACTCCCCTCGCTGGTCTGCCCCATCTGCCATTTAACTATCGCCTGGCATGCTGCAGGTGCATGTGATGGCTGTTTTGATCTTTCAACCACAACTCATTTCTGGCCAAGTTGATATTCAAAACACATCTAGATTCATCATTGCTGTGACCTATAAAATATTGTTTATAGCATACATGGTATATTGTGCCAAAACAAAACCCAGCCTTTAGTAAACAACAGACGAACGTGCACAGTGGGTATACATAGACTTGTCGCCGTCAAAAATTCAACGAATAGCAGTAATATAGCCAAGCTGTTTCCGGTCTATCTTACCAGAGTACGGTCGGCCCCCTTGGCCCACTCGCGGAGCACATTCTTCTTGACTTTCCCTGTGCTTGTCTTGGGCAGCTCAGCGAGAACCTCGACTTCCCTGGGAACCATGAACCGGCTGATGCCGCTGGTTTGTTTCGCCCATTCGATCACATCTTCGCCTTTGAGTGTTTTGCCGGGCTGGACGGTGATGAATGCCTTGGGGCGTTCTCCCCAGTGGGAATCCGCCACAGCGACGATTCCAACCTCAAGGATATCCGGATGGGTGGCAAGCATTGCCTCAAGTGCCACCGAGGAGATATTCTCACCGCCTAACACCGGATTTGTGTTAGCAGATCTTATTCTTAGCAGAATATATGAAAAAATTTTCATCTTACCGCTAATGATAATATCCTTCGCCCGGTCCAGGATCTGAATTGCCCCGTCAGGATGACACACTGCTAGATCCCCAGAGTGTAACACTCCTCCTGCAAAGAGCTTCTTTGTCGCTTCAGGATCCTTATAGTAGCCTCTGGCACATATGTTTCCAACGAAAACGATTTCCCCAATTTCTTTGCCATTGCGCTCCACGTCGATAACGGTGCCTTCCGGAACTTCGGTTTTTATCACTCTCACAGGAAGACTGGTGACAAAACCGTGACCCTGTCTCGCCATCTTCTGATATTTGTCCTTCGCTGGCAGATTATCCCACTCTGGCATGTAGTAGCCTTTCGTGATAGGGCCATACGTCTCAGTCATTCCGTAGACATGGACTGGATGAAGGTTTAGTGATAACATCTGCTCGAAAAGATGGGGTGTTGGTGGGCTGGCAGCCACGGTAACTCGGACGGGAGATGGAAGTCTCTCCGCTTCTTTAGAGTTGCAGAGGATCGTGTTCACGGTAGGGGCGGCATTGAAATGAGTAATCTTCTCCTCTTTCAGCAATCGCCAAATTTGGGAGTAGTCAATTTTCCTGAGGCAGTAATGAGTGCCGCGCACAGCTGTAATAGCCCAGGGGAACGTCCAGCCTAAAGGCAAAGGTTAATACCGGGAGTCCGTAACGCAGAAGACAACCATCTAAGATGCGTACCCATGGCGTGGAACATTGGAAGCGTCCACAAATAGCGGCAGCGGCCTTGGTGATAATTCAGCCCAGACTCAATAATATTCGCGAGCGCTGCTAAATAGCACCCACGATGAATATACTCAACCCCCTTTGGTCTCGCTGTTGTCCCACTGGTGTACGCTAAAGCGATGAGCGACTCTTCATCCGCAGCGTGGGTTTCCAATCCATTCCACCCATGATTGCCCAACTGCGAATCATATTGAAGCCCTTCTAGAACCGACGCATCAAAAGGACCGCTAAGTTCACCCTCCGTGGCGTCGGTATCGGTATCAATGACAACGGGAAAATCCGGTCGGGTTTTTCGGAACTCATCCAGCAGATGTACATACTCCTGATCAACGATAATTATATCGACTTCGGAATGAGTAAATATATATGCGATATCCTCCGACTTTAATCTATAATTGACCGCTATTTGTCAAATAGTCTGTCAGCAGCCGTAATGAATGATTATAATTCTCCGGCAGGTGAAGTTACCGACGTTCACCGCGCCAGCGGCAGCAATCCCATATATCGATTCCAGGAACGCAGGGGTATTTGGACACAGAATGCCCACCCTTTTATATCCATGCTTCTTGATATAATATGCCAATCCTCTTGCCCGGTCGGCAGTCTCAATGTATGATCTCCTCAGAACCTTATTGTTCACGGTGACATGGTAGATGGCTTCGGCCTACGGAGTTGTTCCCAGTCAGCGTTCGTCCGATGCGAAAAGGGTGAGTAATAGATCAATTTGCAAAATCGTGCACTTACATCAGGCTCGATAGCAGCGGCACGAGGGAGAAAAAAAGTTGGAGAGAGCGTGTGTTTGTTGAAATTATGTTGGCTCTCCGGAGATCGGTGGAGAAGCTGTGCAGTTAAACTCCGCAACCGTGACGCCGCACCCGACATGTTGAAAAGCAGCGTTTTACAGGAAGATTACAGCAAAGAAAAAGGGTGAATGCAAGCGACGGTTTTGAGCAAGTTTCTTAGAAAAGAGGCACGGGGGCGTATTTATACATGTGTGTCTACTGATTATCCGCGGTTGTGCTGCTCTAAACTTCTCCGAAAATAATCCGACCTGACTTGGGAGGATCCAAACCTTTCCACTCCGCCCACACCTTTTCCCCACACCCATTTGTCCGAGAGACCACAACCGGCTACAAAAAAAAAAAGGGATCATAGATGGAGGAAGCGGTTATGTGTGCCGGTATTAAGCGTATGTGTTTGAGCTTGCTTGGAAAGATCATCTTGATTAAGGGGCCTGGAGCAACGGAGTGGTAGAGAGCTATGAACTAGCCTTATCCCTAACGACGCCATAATGTAGAAATCAATTTTGTTTTTTTAATTTCCTTACTCCCATCACGATGTTCCCTGAGTCATAAAAGGGCCTTCCTGATGGTAGAATGTGTACACATCGATCGGATCGCCGTCCCAATTCGCTCGTCAATGCCCACATTGCACCGAAAATTCGAAACCACAAATCCGCCAAGGTATTCTAACAACCGTAAGAAGCAAGCTGCTCCTTTGTCTGTTGAGACACAGAGGCGGTTCTCTGGGCCTGTGCAAGCTGCCTGCGGGTGGCCTTCTTGCGCTCGTAGTATGCAGAGCTCTTGGCCTTGCGTCTTTCCTCGAGTCTGTAATTGAAAAGGTAGCCCAGTTAGCAAGATCGAACCAGATCACTAACAGTCGTATCCTTGGGTTTACTAACCTAGCAACGACATCCTGGTATTTCCAGCCAACCTCGTGACTCAAACGTCCAACTGTGCAGTATTTGCGGCCCGGCTTCAATCTGAGGATTCGGAGAGCTTGAGGGACAACAACTCTCTTCTTCTTGTCATATGGTGGTGGGACACCCTCGAAGACCTTTAGTCTCTCCATGGCAGCGGCACCACGGGGAGTCTTGTGTGGGATCATGCCTCGGACGGCCTTGTAGAAAATCCGGGATGGAGCGCGGAAGTGGAATGGGCCTATCAAACCCAGGTTTAGTACATGCATCTTTTTCTTCATAACTCGGGCGCTCTAAGGTCTTACCTCCTCGGGTCGGGTTGAAACGAGTGATCTTGCGGAGGTAGGCATGGTACTTCACTATATTTCCGGTTCGAGTCAGTCGCGAATTCCCCAAAACGCATTGTAACCCTTCGACTCCTTCACAATCAAATGCAGATTTGTATATTTCACAGACAAGGAAAAAGGACTGATCATACGCTTGGCACGGAAGAATTCGCCAGAGATATTGAGAGCTTCGCAGCGCACAACGACGATCTTCTGGCCATTGAGAAGCTGCTTCGCAACGGTGCTGGCAAGGCGACCAAGAAGGTGCCCCTTGCCGTCAATGACGACCTATGGAGTCACGGCTCAGTCAGCGATTGAGGCATAAGATAGCGGGAAACGATCCGGACGAGGGTAAACGCACCACAGGCTCGAAAGTGGACATCCTGCTCTGTCACCGATTCACGAGGCAAATATCCAGGGTAGACAGAAGAGCTCTGCTCTTGGATATACCGTGTGCTGTGAGTTGTCGAAGTTAGTTGTCGTTGTGGTTCAAACCACGAGGTCGGATCGTTCTCCGTATTGAGCTTAAGCGAGGCTAGTTTGTGTGAATTCGATAGCCCTAAGTTGTCCAATCAGAGGAATCGCATCACGTGACCCGTTATTGACTTTTTTCTCTCCGTTCCAACTAGAAAACGATTAAGCCTTTGCCTCTGGATACAATGTACTACTCTTCATGGATTGCTTGTGATCTTTGGCCTGGGTTTGTGTTCTGGCGGGCAAAATTATGAAAATAGGGTTGGAGATGGTGGCCTGAGATAATCTTTTACTGGAAAATAGGATGATGAGGCGGTGATACCTACAATACACATCAAAGTATTGGTCGCCTCAGCCCGGGCGTCTTCTCTCCGGTTATGGCGCGAGGAGATCTCTGCAGCATATGGTTCATTTGATAGGAGTGGATAGACAGTCTTGCACTTTCCCCAGCTCGCAGCTGATTGCCACTAGGAAAGACCATCCAAGCAGATCTGTTTTCAAGGCTGAAGTCGCTTGGGCTTCGTTGGAATAAGATTGTATTTCTTTCAGTCTGGCATCTATTTTCAAAGATACCCATACATACATTATTTTCATATTTTTTTGGTCCTATTTTCTGCATGCAATAAGCCAACCTTTCCAATATGGTCCGCACGCGCTTCGTTTGCGTCTCAGATACCCACGGATATAGTACAGCTGATGCGGCGTTCAAGCTTCCCAAGGGGGATGTCCTGATTCATGCCGGCGATATTACCAATAGGGGAACGGAGAAGGAGCTTGACAAGTCTTTGAAGTGGATTATGGAAGCTGACTTTGAAGCGAAGATTATTATAGCTGGTGTGCAGTCCCCTGTCTGGCTTACGAATGTGGTAACAAGACTTTTACCTCAAAAGGCGCGATTTTACTAATGCGCGCTGGGATATGAAGGGAACCACGATACTCTTCTCGATCCCAATCTCTCTCAGAATCAGAAGCTGTCTTGGGAAGAGAAGCCATGGCGGAGACTTCAAGGGTTGACTGAGTATACTTTTGCATCACAGTTCATTTATTTGAACCACGAAGCAAAAGAAATCCGATTAAGAAGCCCTCACGGCCCCAAGACCAGATTCAAGGTTTTCGGCTCGCCGTACTCACCAATACTCCCCGGTTGGGGGTTTGGATATCTTCCCGAACACGCCAAATCAATATGGGATGAAATACCATCGGACGCAGATATTCTGATAACTCATACACCGCCGGCTGGACACCTTGATATTGCAAACGGGAAGTCAATTGGATGTCAAGCTCTTTGGCAGCGTCTTTGGGATGTGCGACCCAGACTAGTTATCTGCGGTCATGTCCACGAAAGTCGAGGTTATCATCGGGTACGATGGCCCAGTGGGCCAAGCAAAGAGTATGAAACGGTGTTTGGCAATTTACCAGCACGGCAAAGCAAAGAGCAGTCAACCATTGATCTATGTCGCAAGATAGAGAACCGACTTGATAATGATGGTTTAGCGAGACACGAGACGTGTATCGTCAACGCTGCCATCATGGCTACCAGCTGGCCGCATAAAGGAGGCAAGAAGTTTAATTCTCCAATTGTGGTGGATCTGGATTTACCTCAATTATGAGGGTGTCGAGTTTACGCTTCTACGATGCGTTCTGGTCTTTTTTCATTCTTTTGTGCGATACATTTTGAGGGTTGGGATTTGTCATAGCGTACCGGGCGGTCCGTTTGGTTTTGACGAAGCATTCGTATGCAGGAGCGGATGTAGTCTCTTATGATTATTATTATTATTATCATCAGGCGATAATATTATGTACTCGACCATGTCAATCTCAAACAGGTCGCCTTTGGCCTTGCGGCCGCCGTACGCCTGAGCAGCCGGAAGCTCCGGCTACTCCAAAGGCTGTGCTGATAGTATTACAACTACCAGCTTGTGCAAAGGCATCACGTCATATTTTAAGAGACTTTTTCTTTTTTAACGGTGCAACGTCTGCGTAACCCCCGATGCGTGGTTTCTTTCGAGAGAAATAGCGTAGTGCGAAGGTGTGATTTTCCTGTAGTTCCTGAGCTGAGGTCGATGGATCGAGCAGCCAGTCGACGTTGACAGCCGAAGATCATCAGCCACTACGTCGCCTGAATACCTACAATGCGGCTGCGCCCTTTTCGGCCAGCCGTCTTCAGGCGTGGCTCTAGCCTTGTCTCAGCCTGTTTCCCGTCCAATTTTTGGTGATTATTTTGTGCATGGAGAAATATTCACGTTCATTCCTGCCAAATGTATTCCCAGATCGGCGAGAGGGGAGCAAGGCAGTGAAATGTCATCAGGCAAACGGATTTGGAGTCTTCTGATGTGATTCAATGCCTCAGTTCCGGATAATTGTCTTGGGTTCCGGGATGGGTACCTCAGGCAGGTGGGGGTTTGCTCGCGGACCCCCAGACGGATGGCTATGTTCTTTAACCTGTATGGATGTGTTATTATTCCGGAGATAAGCTACGGGTGTTGTTTATGCGAACATGGGTGAGATTCGTCTCCTCTTCTACCGACTTACCTCTCCTTTGCCCTTTTTGGGGCTTTCGATCCCAAGATGTGGGAATGTCAGCTCGGCCAGGAGAAGGGCATAGAGGTGGAACACTTTCCCAGCCAACTAATGCACGGGAAAGCTTCCCCGCGTCTTGCCTTGACTTGCCTTGTCCGATGCAAAGCTTTGATTCAGATGCGCACGTTTTCTTTTCGCATTTTAAGTTCTTACCCTTAAGTCCGGAATATTGCCGTTCGATATTGAACGAACTATCGCCTGAACGAGGGATTCCCGTATTCCATGCGAGTTGGGTTACTAGGATGAGCTCGCTAGAAACCTTTCTCCCCCTCCCTTGCCCCTCCATCACGACGAGCTGGACAGATGATCTAGAAAAAAAAGGAAAAGCTTCTAATCCATGCACTTGTCCATGTCAGTCACGCCGTTTCGAAGGTTGTGATAACTTTTGCCCCTTGCAGCCAATGATCGCGGGAACCTGGGATTGCTTGGCTTGCTTATTGCGGTGCATCCTCCTTCGTTCCTTGCGGGTTGAGGTGTGTGATCTGACAGCTACAGAGAGGGAGTAAGAAGGTTAATCGATTGCTCGTAACCGCTGGAGAACGGCCAGCCAATCGCGGCGCCGGGGCACGGGGGTAAGTCAGGGTTGCCGGCGGCTGCGTGGGAATAAGGAAACCCTGTTTCCCTTTGCGAGAAGGCATTTTCTACGGAGCTCGAGGAAGAGGTTCTCCGACTTTATCAAAAAATTTAATATATATAACACGGAGTATATATACTGCGATGGCTGTGAAAGTGGCTTTTTTTTTAACGCCTGAGGATAGGGAAACTCTCAAACCTTGCAGATACATGGTGAGGATACTCTGTGGGTTCGCTTGGACTTCCGTGGAAAGAAGACTAAGGGATGAGAGTGCCTGAAAATAGAACAATGGAGGGCGGGGTACGGAGTAGTCAGATCGCTCTCAGCATCCAGCCGGGCGGGGGCCGGACGCCAGAACAGCCTGCAAACAGAAAACAGGACAAACAGCGTGATGGGGGTGCGTGTCGAGAGTCTCGCGAGGATCTTTTTCTCTTGGAAATGCAGTGGTGACACGACAAGGTCCACCGTCGGCGTTGAGCCAACCGGGTCGCTGCTTGGCCTGTCGCCCTGTTGTTGAGGAGGAGGGCTTTTCACTCTCCTTTGGTTGGTTGTTCGTCTTTTGGGGGTCGATGCAGGGAGGCCCATCGCGTCGCACGATTCTGATTTGAGCTTCATTTTCGGGAGAGCGTGGTGATTGGATCCAGATGACCCAAGAAGTTCTTCAGGCTTGCCCGTGCGCTCGACAACACAAAGTGTACGATCGCCTCGCCCTTGGGTCGTCGAGGCAAATGCGGCGAGATGCAAGTATTAGTACTCGCCATCCCACTGACTGACAAAGGGGTTTTGGTGTACCGATACACGGCGGTCCGGGCTCCACCAGGCTTTTCCGTTGGCTTGAACCGGGTTGTGATGTCAGGTCGCAGAAATCCCCGTCCTGCCGCTGATCATTCGCTGGGCGTGTCGGACCAACTCGAGCCTTGGACAGCATTCTAGTCCATTCTGGTCCAAGCCTGGAAACTCTCGCCATGATTGGGGAAGCGGACGAGAGCGCAACCTCAGACTGGTTCCATGGTTTTCTCCGTAGTACCCCGCCCAGGAACACTGAGTATCGAATTTCCCATGGAAATGAACCCGTGTGAACCAACAGTCTAAGTCAACATCGCTGAAACTTGGAACAACTCGCCAACGTTATAATCTTCGATGTATCCCAGGTCAGAACACCGTTGTATGGCAGCAGCATCTTCGCCGATTTAAACCACCCCCCATAGTTCTCCTGCTTGGGCCCGAGTGTCGGAGAGGCAGTTTCACCGTAGCTGATGCTAAACCTCCTCGATCTGTAACCGATCTCCTCCCATGAGCTTCTACAGTCCTATCATTCTGCTGCTGTTCATGTTCGGCCCGCTGTCAAGAAGTGAAACATCGAGCTGTTGACATGTTATGCTTGGAACTGCGAAGATGGAGCTCTGGCAGACTTCTCCGTCATCTGCTAGCTTCACAGCACCCTCGTGAGCCGTGCCGGGCGTCACTGTTGACTTTGACCCCGTTATCATCGTCGAATGAGCGTGCAAAAGCCCACACACCAATCCATCGCAGCGACATTGCTTTCGATGAGGCATGGGGCAGCAGATCAGTAGCTCATCTTATCATCGCGCATCATCAGGACCTGAAGAAAATGCATCCAAAACGTGCGCATCTTAATCGTATTCTGAACCGCTACGTATAAGTAAATCGCAGTTGGGAAAAAGGTTCAGTATTTATTATGGGCTGCCTTTTTGTGGCCGTCCTCTTCTTCTACCAGCAGGAAGTCTACTTCTTCTAGGCGCATGGAAACGTAGTTGGCCGGTAACTTTTCTGTTATATCATTTCCTTCTCGAATTCCTCTGCCTTGTCGGCCTTGTTGCTTCTCATCCGACTGAGCCCCCAACATCCGCTCGTGCTCATTATTTAGAATTATAAAATATAACTGCCAGGCCGGCCAGTGCAATCCATTGTCACTGTGACTGACATTCGTCTTGCCGCCCTTCTTCACTCCTTCAAAACCAGCCGCCACTAACAAACCCAACCGAAAAAGCCTGTTTCCCCCCTCCCCTGTTGGACTGGACAACACTCTCTTTGAATTCCAAGGAGATATTCCCCTCGTCGATTTATTTCTCTTCCACTTCCGCCGATTCGAATCTCTCCTTTCAGCGGATTCGATCACAGTAGCTCTCTCTCTATCTCTCTTTTTTTACGAGCGGAGCTTTTCGAGGTCTCCTTGTTGTCTGTTGCTTGGTTAACGGCAGTCATCGTGGCCCACACCGCCGAATGCAGATCCACCAGAGAGCGACCCTAGCACAAGCAGCCAGTCGTTCCACTCGCTCCCTGTCACGAAAGCCCAGAGACACAGAGAGGGGACGACTAACAGGCTATCTGTCACGACGACATCACCAGTCTGATTAATTATTATTATTATTAACTCACCCATCCCTTTCCGTTTGCCCTCCTTCGATCCTCGAATCATAAGGACCAGCAGAGGGCTCCCTTCTGCCCCCTTTCGCTGATTAAAAATCGAAAGTCTTGCCTACGAATTCGAGAGTGGCTTCTCGAACATACGGCCGTCTCACTGCTGGCCACCTCAGCAGCATCTCCAGCAAGCGTGGCGCAGGGGGTCTCCTGCTCTCGCTCTTCCTCGCGCACCCGAGCCACTCATTCTCGCTCACCAGCATCCTCCTTCTTTTCTTCTTATTGAAAGGAGCCTTCGGGTGTAAAAAGATAAATATACGCCCACCCCGGACCTGGACGTCCCTTTTGCCCACCCCATCGGCCCATCGCTGGGTGGCGATTTTCCATTTGATCTTTTAATCAGCAGTGTTCTGTTCTCTGCCCCTTTCATTTCTTGCAATTCAATTCTTGCCACTATATATTGTCCTTTTTATCATCTCTTTCTCCTCAATTAACGGCAGGCGGAAAGGACTGCTAAGGCTTTGCAAGCGATACGTCCTATCCATTCTATCGATTGACTAATGATTCCACGACCAAGGCCATCTTGGACAATGGATCTCTATTGACAGCATCACACGCGCCGACGAGACCACAATTCAAACAACCGCTAACCCGAAAAGCAAACGAACGTCCAGTCAACTCCTATAACCCCCACTCCCCTTTTACCCCTAGCTTCTCATCACACGGATTATCCTCACGTATCCATCCAAGAAAATGACATCGCCTCTCCCCCCGGACCCTTATGCGGCCTTGGGCGTGTCTAAGGATGCCTCCACAGCCGAGATCAAAACCGCATATCGGAAACTCGTCCTGAAATGCCACCCCGACAAGGTTAAAGATGAGTCGCTCCGCAGTCAGAAGCAGGATGAGTTCCAACGAGTTCAGGAAGCGTACGAACTCCTTTCAGACGACACAAAGAGAGCCAAATATGATCAGAAGGCCCGCATGGCCGAAATGAGAAAAGAGGCGATGGAAAAGGGAGGCCCATCCGCGTCATTCGGACACCGCACTGCCGGGTATGACGTCCGAAACGGAAGAGTCTACGAAGAAAGAGTCCCGCGTTATTACGAGGAGGAGATGGCCTTTGCTGATGAGCAATGGTCGAGTTCGAGCAAATATGACGGGTATGAGAAACGGCAGACCACCAAGGATTCGGACGAAAAGAAGAAGAAGAGCAGATCGTCCGAGTCGAAACGCGAGCCGACAAAGACACGCGATGATCGCGCAGGCAGGTCAAGCCGGGCAAAGAACCGGGACAAAGAGCGTCGAAGAGAACTCTCCGACAAATATAGCCACACTGCTACGTATGATTCTGATTCAGACGAATCATGCTGTTGCCCCAGAGACTTCCCTGAGCCAAAAATAAAGCGGGAAAGCCGCTCAAAGCACCCTAACCCTCGACCCAGAGAATATTCTGATCACTGGGAATCGTCGAAACATGATTCCCTTCAAAACGATGCTCGTCGATACATCGAGCGGACCAGGAACGACGTGGCCGCCGAACGTGAGCGTCGTTCGTCGGGTTCGCCTTGGACCTTCTCTTCAGTCTTTCGCGACGCACATCATGTCGATAGTCCTCGCCGCTCCTCCGCGCGACCTCGTGCTTCACGCAACGGATCTGTTGACATAATCGAGCCTTCGCCTAAACGAACTCATTCTTCTCGGACAATTCCGAGCCTCACAACTGCTACGTCTGCTCCCCCCAACATAAAGATCCCTCCAACTCTGGGTATGTCTCCCCCGACACGATCATCTACGTATCATGTACGAGAAAAACGGGACCCACCTCCAATCCGCCGTGCTGAGACACTCCCACTAGGCGTCTCATCTCGCCATGGAGATCCAATCGTCACTAAATCATCGAAACTTAAAGACCTGTATGACTCTGGGTACTCGAGCTCAAGTCCGGGTACTCCGAAAATATCCCCACCAAAAAGCAGCAAGCACGTGGTTGTGGACGAAGATGATGACTTTCCACGACACCGAACCGTCTTGGTAGATCCCCCCTATCCTTCTCATCGGCGTACTCACAGTACATCTCCTCCTCAGCGCGAGCCCGTACCGTTCATGATGCGGCCACCACCAAAGTCAAAACGATCGAAATCGCGTGATATTCATGCGCGTCATGATTCCATCCCGAAGCTACGGACCAGTCGAGATGGGTTATTTGCCGAGATAACTGACGATTATTACCCACGATTCTCAGACGAGCGAGCCCGATACTCGCCCAAGATCCGACAAGAAGACAGTTACCACGAGATTTATCCGAGATCGTATAGATCTGATCCTCGCTCACATACCAGGAAAGAATCATGTGCTTATTAGTTTCATTCCTCTTTCGTCCCGGTTCTTCCATAAGAACCGGCGTATAGTCTTCACACAATTTGTTTTGCATCGTCACGATTTTTCTCGTGATATCACAGGGCGGCTTATACACCTTCCAAACCCTCTTCTCTTCGGGAAGTCTGCTTTTCTGACTTTATCGAGTGTATAATCTGAAACTCAACACTCGGGATAAATACTGAACTATCACTCCGCCTATTTTCGTGGACATAACAGTCGCTCAGATTTGATTCCATTTACGAGACATGTTGCTTTACTGATGATGACCCCATCGCTACGAATTTCTCTTTTCTTTTTTGTTTTATTTTTCTTTAGCTTTTTGTTGGTGACCTCGCCCATCTTTCCAGTGGTCTGCTAATCCAGTTTCATCATCGAGATCCAGCAGGACCGACCCAACTTTGTGCATTTACTATCTGGAAGAGCATCTCAACCAATTCATGTGGCAACACACTTAGATCTGCTTTTTTGGATTTTTTTATTTTGTTTTCCCAATCCTTTCCGTCGGTATTTTTGCTCTTGCTCTCGGCCCTCTTTCCGCCTTTGCTTCCTTATTTTCATTGCCAGGAGCAGTGATTCTTGTTCGCAGTCGCCTGAAGCAAAAGAAAGAAAAATTAAGGGGAAAAAAAAAAAAATTAACTTAAAAAAAAAAAAAAAAAAATCCTGCGGCGACTCGACTTCGAAAGTTGTTCCTGGCAAGACAGAACCGGACTTACGGTGGAGGATCGGACTGGGTATCATATATGAAGGAGCATATGGTTTTCACTTTTTGGTTGGTTTCAGGGCTGTCCTTACGCAGCTTCGGTGTCTGTTGGATTTGTATGGAATTTTGATGGCCATTGGACGGGAGTATTTCCATTTTTATATAGTAGTGATAGTGGTTAGTGTGAGGAGGTGATATTTTGAATGGATGATATGCATTTAGTGTTCTACAATAGCCTCTACCCATGTCCTGCTGGTAGCAATGTTGATATTAAGTAGCGAGCAGCAGGATAACCTGGATCACCAGTCGCATCGGCCCTGATCAGAGGATGGGTTGGGCGGAGGCCTATATTATGCTGGATCACGCTTTACCAAAGCATCAAGCCAAGCCATCATGCAAAATGACCATATTTTTTAAAACGGTTTTCTCGATCTTTCACTTCCATGGGGCGGCCTGGGAATGGACCATGGCCTGCGGAATTAGAGTAAACCTTGTTATACCTTTCCGGCCAAAAGCAGTTCTAACCCCGTCTACGGTGCCTAACAACTATATGATAGTAACAATACGGAGTAGTTCTTGACATAATCGGAACTAAATCCAGCTCCGTTTCGTCCCTTGTATTTGGTCCAACCCCTATCACACTGAAACATAGTTATCGGCCCCAAGGACTCGCTTTTGGGGCCTATAAGGGGTTTGAACCTCGCTGATGGCAGGCCGGATTGTAAGTTTCTAGGCTTTCTGGGAAGAAGATCTCTGCTCCATTTGGGATCCTATACTGGAATGTGTGGGTGGAGTGTATTCCATAGTTTCCTAGGTTATGGAATGAGATGGTTGGCATTGCTCTAATTTGTTTCAAGACAGGGTTTAGGGAGCTCAGGTGTGAGCAGGTAAGCAAGGTGCCTTTCGCTTAAAGGATGTTTCCTACTTTCTTGATTCTCTACAATAGTCAAGGAGAATATTATCATTGGATACAAGGTGACTTCCCCAACGTCCAACCCCCTGGGTGGGTGCAAAAGAGCTAAAAGACAAGAACCAAGTAATCACCCTTGTTACGAGTTTCTGTCTCTAATTACAGATGCTTGAATGCTCTTGTGTGTTGCAACCGGAGGCACAGATCGGCGAGACAAGTTTCCTTGCAAAATTTTGCATGAGATATTGACCTGGTGACTCTTGCCTAGGCCAATCAATGTGAATGACGGATGAAGTTCTTTGAACAAAGGCAACAATAATCCGTAGCTACTTGGCTCTTGTGTTTAATCCCCACCTAACAGGCCTTTCAATGCTAGGAATTCTGTTGGGATGACGGGTCTTAGGGATGTGAAGAACGATGCAGATATCAGATATTACAGCACCATCAACAGATTTGAATAAGGCCCACAGAAGCATTGCTGCTTTCTAGCTAGGGCTTGTCTTCGGCTTGGGCACCTTACGATAGTTGTGTGCGGCAAAGAGAGAAAGAAGGTTGTCATCGCATTTTATAGATTGTATAGGGGGTAGCGAAAATCCTAGACAGCCGGCTAGAACGCGGTACACATGGCCTTATTTCTGTATCTGAGCCAACATGTAATTTGGATGGCAAACCAGGGACTCGCCTGGAAGGATCGCGGCTGTATCAAGGTATGGTGGATGGCGATATTGCTCTTCTTTTGGGGCTTAATCTGACATTGGGAATGGCTTCCACCCATCTGGCTGGATAATCTGTTCAATCTGAACACGCAAGTGCACTCCTTCTCCACCGAAATCGATGGTAAAGGGACCTGCCACGGGTGTGGTGAGAGAAAGCTATCTCAGCGAATATACTCCGTACAAGGTGCTCGCTTTTCCGGCACTGCGGCAAGATGAGAGCGTCCAGAGCCCAAGACTTTGAAAATTGAAGGCGCTAAATTATTTTCTGCCAAGACTGCTAACGGATTGATGGGAAGAAAACGGCCACAAAAGCGATTGTTGGGTTCTATAATTTTGTCAACCTGTTGCTTTTCCAGCGAGGAACTGTGAAAATTACATTTTCATTCCACTTCTAGCGCAGACCAAGTAGCCTTCTGTTGGGGTTGTGAGTCTTCCTGCTAAGCTGGGGCTACGGAGATCTGTTTGGTTTCAACGAGCAAACCTATTCTGAATGATCAGGCGTTGGCAACGGACCTTTCGTAGGATGGACGTGTTTCGCGTGCGTGTCGGAACCGCGATCGCGTTTGGGCGCGTTGGGATGCGGGGAAACCTTGCTCCGGCCCACAAGGCAGAGCGGGGCGCGCCGATCACGCTAACCAACCTTCCCGCTGCGAGGACCTGGATAAGATTCAAGAAGCTTTCTACATAGTTTATTGCCTTGCCATGGTTGAGCGCCATCCATCTTGGCTGTTGTGACCATGGCTTTTCCTGTTCACATCCAGAGGACAACGTTCTTCTACGCAATCGGGAACACCCCTGCGGTGTGCCTCACCCAGTCCCTACCCCCTGACCAGGATGCTGCTCTGTTATTGTTGGGATGCGGTGATGTCCGAAGCATTCTTTTCACCGCATATGCAGGCATAGGTAGCGGCAAGTAGAATTCTCCTGGAGCGTATTTGTGTGTCTTTAGTCCATGCTAAGCCTAGAAGACCGAGACCTTGACATAACTTGCTGCGATATCGAAGCAGAAATCATCGGTATGTACTGCTTGCTACACCTCGCGATCCAAGGATTATTTTCTGATGTCAAATAATATAGCGCGAAATATAATCCTCTTCACTCTCATCATTGATGACGTGAAGAGTGAGAATATTAAACGGATCTGGGATATCTACTATCACTTCCAAGTCGACGATGATTCTCTTGGCTTACTCCGAGAACAAGCGTCGAGGCTGAAAGGTATAGCGAGTACGGCTGAGGGATGGAACAACGGAAACTATGGACACATCCTTCGGTTTTGTGATAGCTACACATTTTCCCAGGTCATGCGACTATGGGACTTCTATGCCCTGCAGCCATGTAATGGCTCAGCCTTTGAAGAGCAGCAGAAGCAGCTAAAGCAAGGCATAGAAAAAGCGAAAAGTATACAGGCTCATGTCATAGGGGATGGTATTGTTACAACAGGGGCACGATCAATGGCGCCTCTCTTCTCGAGTGGCATTGAAGGTCTCTCGAAATTTTATAAAGATTATTGGAAAAACGGAACAACCGCGACGGACGAAGAACGCGTGAGGCAGAGCAAGAACCTTAACCCAATGTTTGGAGCCCTGAGTAAATCTCTAATCCTGCACTATGGCACGGATCCCATCCTTGGCTATAGTCTTGCACCTGCTTTTGCTCCGCTTTCAGAACAGTCTCCCTTAAGCCCTGATTCGCCTACAACAGGAGAACCGAACACCATCATTCGAGTGGTGACCGCTCAATTCAATGCTTACGCCAAAGCTGTTCGGAGATCTGTGGGAAGGTTGACGATCCGATTTGTGAATGCAGATGCCCTGGCTTTCTGCCACACTCTCCAGCATATCCAGGAATATGGAACTAGCACACCAGCCTGGTGGTACCGTAGCACACAGTGCTATACACCTCTCACGCTGGACTCTGGGGACTACTCACAACGGACGTCAAATAGTCCCGCTCCTTTATGCTTTGACATTGTTGACACGTCGAATCTGGTGGACCATCTCGGATGTCTTAATTTGCTGGCTGCAGCTGGCCCTCTACTGAGCCCTAAACCCACCTCGACCCTGTCGACCGAGATGCTTGTCCTCCGAGAAAGAGATGTAGATCAATATGCCAAAAGACTTGTTTGCGGAGATCTTTCCACTGTCGCACTTTTGTTCGGCCTGATCCCAACCCAATACTGGACGGGGACATGTGCTACCTCCTCTTTTTCTGAGTACCTAGCGAATAGTCTCAAAAAGGAGGATCCCTCGTCCATGAATACCCAATCACGGTATATCCTTCTCTGGAAGAGCTTAGGACTCCCCTTGAAACCAAAAGGTGGACCTAGCATAGAAGAGCGTGTTCCTGGCCTGTCCTTTGACCCGAAACAACTAGCCACGCTGATGTATCGAGTGTATCTGAGGATGTTTCAAGACGAAAGCTGGGTGAACACTCTAAGTAAAAGCCCAGAGCAGCATTTAAGGTCGCCATATAAACACTATACGCGCGCAAGCCTCGTTGCCATTCTCGGGTTGATACACGGTTCGGGATCTGTCGACTGGAACGGCTTTATATCACGCCTCTATGAACTTATTGTAGAGGATACTACATTGAACATGAGTCCACACTATATCCAGGAACTCAATCTGCATCTCCATACATTGGGGCTGCATAAATTGCCAGCTTACCAACTTTCTTCTCTTGAGGTAACTTACAAGGAGAAATCTCCTTTTCGAAACTGGAAGAATATTCCTTCCACCTTATGCCTCACCATGGTCGTTCCGCGTCGGAAGATATCAGTTTTTGAGAATGCATCAGTCGACTCCGGAAGTCCAAGTGCTCATATCATGTTGCAATGCCGTCGCAACCAGCGTGAAAATATTTTCCCAGGAATTCAACTTGGCTTCGGGAAATTGAGAACCTCTGGGGCTAACCACACCGAAAGCCTAACGCTGAAAATCGAAGATGATCCGCAGGGGTGGGATGGCACAGCACCATTGATTGTCTCCGTCATGATCCCATCTTGGTTGGTGTTTCAGTATTCAGACCTATCAACCAAAGTTATCTTCGCGCTGAAGAGCACTCCTGCAGCCCTCTTCAAATTTTGCGGCAAGCTTGGAATGCTGCTAGAGATAGCTCGATCTACGATTGCTGGCAAAGATATATTTATAACGAAGTACCGCCCAAATATGTCGGGTCATATGTCACTTTCCGCTAATATGGGTTCCACTGAAAGGGAGGCTGGTCCGTCAGAGTCGTCAAAGGAGTGTTTAACGGAGTCAGTTGCAGAGGAAACAAGCGTTCAGTTCCACGCTGCTCTCGACCCTAATGAATCAAAGCTTGCTAATATCACTGCGCATGTCGACATCTTCGCCGAGTCGTCCCGAGACATGCTGCGTTCTGGGGCCGCAGTCAAAATCTCGCAGATTTCGCCATTCGAACTCGCCATCATTTTTGATTCAGGGCAATTGGTCAAACAAGTGCGACTTCCGGTACCAATAAACATGGTTGGAAGCGTGACGAGAATTGCGAGGAAATCGTCCTATGTCGAGTTTGTCGCTCCAGTCGCCCCGCAGGTGCTGCTCTCTCGCCGCCCTGACAGCCTGTACTTAGTGTCTGTGAATCACGGAATCCCTACCGTTCGCAACCCACATTATATATCGCTTGACCACCTACCGATCCTCAATACATCTCATCCGTTGAGACTTGGGTGGCTCACCCCACATCTGGCGGACATGTTTTCCGCGAAAGAGAGAAGTGAACGAGATAAAAGCATGGAGCTATCCACTAAATGTGAGAATTTGCGTGCAAGGTTCAAGGATTCGCTTTTCACCTTGTTCATGCAAGTTACTGGAGCGCAAGGTGGAATGAGTTATTCGGTGTTTGGTTTGGATAATCGAGACAATGGCGGAATCCACGCCCTTATCTTCCCAGCTTGCCTTCGGCTAGACATGACAAACCAGACTGTTGTCCTTGATGCAGCGATGGTCCCGCTGACTGCCAAGAATATGCCAGAGTTGCGCCCGCTACTTAGGAGCATTAAAAGCCCCATGTGCATCCTTGTGGATGACGAGGAGTTTGTCTTGTGGAAACATGCCCTTCCGGTGTTCGTGGAGCGATGCCGTGACTGGAAACATTCCAAGTCGTGCGAGTATGGCATCGTTGGCAAAATTCCCATCTCAGTATCGAATGGTCAACAAACAATTTGCTCTTGTGGGAAAGGAAAATTCCCTGATGACTACCAGATAAAGGCATCTGCCCTGTGGAAACGAGTGTCTAAATATGCGGTCCGTGTTGCGATTTCCCCTTGTTTTTCGGTACCTTTCGTCGAAAAATCATTTCAACCTGAGTGTCTGCCACCAAGGAAATCCGTACGTGCGTTCGCAAAGCAAGAGGCCGACCGTACAATGGACGCCGTAAATCCAAAGGCGGGCGTATGCTCCGCCTGTGGGAGGAAGGAAGCTGAAAATGGCGGTGCGCTTTTGACGTGCAGTGGGTGCAAGTTTTCTCAATATTGCTCTAAGGGCTGCCAAGCAGAACACTGGAAGAACGGACAGCACAAGACTTTGTGTCGATTGTATCAGGGGCTCCATACAACGACATGAAAGACGATTTTTCGAGAACGAGCATTGGTTATGGTATTTTCGGGTATCTTAAGTTTCGGGAAAGGTTGGCACTTGATCAAGGTCAACGCGCATATCTTAATTGTGATTGAAAGAGTGGCGAGACGGTTTCAGGCGAATATGAGTGGCTCGAGGCATTTCCCAGATCTCTGCTGAGGAGGGTTGTCTAGATGTGATGTTATATTTGGTTAAAAAAAAGAAAATCGAAATCTTTGAATGGATTCTATAACTAGCTGTGCGCCCACGCTCGCGCAAGGATGAAGGGGACTGAGGCGGCACCCGTTGTCACCTTGCTGGGAGTTGCTGAGGATGTCGCCTTAAACTCGCGGCAGCAGTTTATTGTCTGATGCCTCTATTTGCATCTAAGCGAGCGTCAAGAACTAGTAACGCCGTCGGACCAATGTATTCCCAAGAATCTTTTCAAGAAACTCCCAGCACAAGTCAAGCGGTGGAAGACGCTTTAACTACCTGAATAGGCACACTATACTAACTTAGGGATTTCCGAGCCTTCTCGTCTTTCATTTGGATTCCAGACTCCACAAGGCAGAGATCGTTAGATCATTAGAATGTCGCTGTGCTGAGAAGCTTTCTGAGCGGGCGAGCTGCAACTGAGCGCATTTGGCGAAAAACTCAAGCTGAAGATGCGAATGCTAGGGGATCTGAACGGCTGGCGAGTGCCAAGAGCCGCCTGACATTTGAAGGCTCTGTTTCTTATAAAGCGCTGGCGAACGATAAGGTGAGAATGGGTCGTTAAAGAAGCTTTGGTGGGGTCCGGATTGGCTACCGGACGGACCGTACTGCAACCATCCAGGGAAGATTACGCAGGAGCCATTGCACAATACCTTCTAGTGTCGCCGCCTTCTAACACGCCGTTAGCTGAGGGTTGGATGGAAAGGGGCCCAAGCCCGCTAGGATTCCGTCACTGTAGCGTCGAGGAAGTCGCTGGAAGGAGCGAGGCCCATATGCGAGAGCTGCGAAGTTACAATATGAGTTCCTGGGAAATGGAGTGAAGGGATCAGGATGCCCCTGAAGGTCACAGATCTTGCGTTTCGCCGCTGTCGCCAGTCGTTTGCTCCCGTCAAATCTGTGGAATTGATGAGTAATACCGTTCTTGAAAAATAAAAGAAGCTTGTGACAGTGCCAATGTGTCCTTGGGAGTGCAGGATTGGAGAACTTGATCCAAAATATCCGGCGGAAGACCAATCCCCATCTGCTCCCTGTGGGCGAGGGATGCTTTCCAGCAGTACGAAGATAACACGTAGCACAGTAAACGAAAACCTGGAGAACATTGCAAAGCTGAGATATTGATGATGAGGGGAAGCACCGGAGTGCATAAAATGGACTTGGATGAGAGCTCAACAAAAGCAACATGTTGAAGTGATAGGATAATTAAACAGGCAGCATCCTTGTAAAAAATCCTAAGAAAGGATTCTGCCTTGGAAATAGCTGCGAGATTGAGGCCTTTGTATTTATACTTCTGTGAAGCACAACAAGGTATCCATGAAAGCAGAAAATGTCTGTTTGGGGCGCTTCCCAGCAAGGAAAATTTACCCCACGGGATATCGCCAAGTCGTTGGTTTGTCAATAAAAGATCGCCATACAAAGCAAAAGTTGAGGGAAATCCGGAATTGTAGCTCTTTCAGCGCTGTGGGCGGCCCAGGATGAATATCAAGTCTTTTCAGTGCGACTCCTGGTATCACAGCGACTTCAGTCTTCAGGTTCTAATATCTCGCCCGTGACGCGAGCTAGTGGATCCAGCGTCAGTCCATGGGACTCATCAAGGCAAAATAGCTGTATCTGGTGAAAAGTTTGTAACAGGCCATCAATGCTCTCCCATCGAGTGATAGTTAAAGTTTCGGCGTCAACATCGATCGTGTACACGTAGTCCAAATTCGACTGTAGCGGACTGGGGAAGGAAACTGGCTCCCATTCCTTCAAGTTATCTAACTAGCGAAGCTATGATGGAATTTATTCGCTGCACTATGCCTCGCTCGTATGGGGATAGGATACGGCTCTTTGGATCGTGAAAACGATACCATTTCCCTTTTTGAACGGTCTATTGGTAAATAATCCAGCAGTACGGAGTAATTAGAATGATGAGGAGATGTCGCATGTACCGGCAAAATGCGAGTTCCATAAGCCTCTCGTTCCCATCTCTCTTATCAAGGTAAGAAAGAGAGCAAGAGGAAGCGTCTGCTATCGTCAGATACTTTCGCCTTGTGTCATCAACGGGATCCCAATATCAATTGCAAACTACTCCGTACAGCATCTGGAGACCGGCGCTGAGGAGAGTGACACAGCAGATGCCCCCGACGCAAACGGATTTAGGAAAGCTGCCCTGGGTTGGGTAATCCGCCAGATCTAACTAACATACTTCCCAGCAAACTTGATCACCCGGCGAACTTGATCATTTGTCCATGTGATATAAAACTTTAATACTTGACTTGCTTGGCTTCACTGTACTCCGTACAAACCATTCCTGAAACAAAGGCCGATCCAAGATCACATTCTGCCTGTATGGCGGTTAGCTGGGACTGAACGACAGAGAGCCTTACACCTTTAGCCAAATAAATTTTGTCACGCGCAAGGGTCCGAGGGGGTCAGTGTACACATATGCGCCATTGTAGCATTCGCACCGGGATTCGCAAAGGGATGTGATCCGGGGTTAGTCTGTGTTAAGGAAAGTAAGAGGTTTTCCAAAGCCATCTCCCGCAAGGGTCCGAGGGGGTCAGTGTACACATATGCGCCATTGTAGCATTCGCACCGGGATTCGCAAAGGGATGTGATCCGGGGTTAGTCTGTGTTAAGGAAAGTAAGAGGTTTTCCAAAGCCATCTCCCGCAAGGGTTTCCCTTTTGGTCTAGTAGTTAGTCAGTTCGTGTTTCTCGTAGCATCAAAAACCGGATCACGTAGTGACGCGCAAGGTTAACTTCGCTCTAGATCAGCCAAACACTTAAGAATCTGGAATCATGCCCAACAACCCTGTGAGTTTTCTTTCGGTTCCCACTCCAGATTCTCGATAACCCGTCAAGAGATCTGACCCAAATCGGGCTCATCGCGCGTCTGGAAGCCTGCAATGTCCACCCTTGATGAAAATGTTCCCTCAGGAGCACCGAATGGGCCTGGAGACCCAATCTTCACCCCAACTATTGATGTAAGTATCCCTGCATCCTAGTAAGGTCTTTTGGTTCTAATACTTTGATAGCCCCAGAGCAAGGATAGTACAAATGTGTTCCCCTTAGATGGGGTCAACATTGAGAGTGTCTCAGATGAGCATTTGATACTTCTCGGGGACACTGCTCCTGTTCTCTACCAGATCGGTCCAAACAAAGTTGTACGAATCTCCCGCGATCTGGCACTGAAGTGTGGGCCCTCGGTTCTACCCAGTGAGGCCAAAGCACTCGATTTAGCCCGAAGAAAGACGGTAATCAGAGTTCCTCATGTCTACCGCTCATTCCAGGTTGATGATCCTTTTGAGTACTATGGAACGAGAGGCTACCTGGTCATGGATTACATCGAAGGCCGAAACCTCGGGGATTGTTGGATGCAGCTTGCTGCAGAGGATAAAGCTGATGTGATCTCTCAGTCAGCAGCGATAATAAGCCAGCTTCAGAGTACAGTCCTTCCAACACCCGGCCCCATAGGCGGGGGTCCTTGTCGAGGCAAACTCTTCACAGACTACGGCGCAGGTCCGTTAAACTCCGGTTCCGAGATGGAAGCTTGGCTTAATCACAAACTCGAAATATGCAAGCATTATAACCAAACCCCTCAGGATATTCCTCCATTCAAGTTCAGGAAGTTCGTACTGGTGCATCAAGACATAAGTCCTCGAAATATGATCTTGGATGCTGCGGGACAAGTCTGGTTGATTGACTGGGCACACGCCGGTGCTTACCCTCCCGCAGTCGAACGAGCCGCTGTAGCCGAACAGCACCTGTTTCCCGAATTCAACAAAATGCTATTAAACGCCCTGCCACACTATGATGCCGAAGTGAGCCAATTGCAGTCAATCCAGTATGGACTATCCGTCGCAAGTCTCGCATAAACAATGGGCTTTGCATACTTTTTACGGGGCGTTTACGGGTGGCTTTCGGTAAGCGGCCCGAACCCGACATGATACTTTTGAGTTTCGACACATCAACCAGGTTATATATCTCTCATACAAATTCAAAGCTCAACTTCCCCGTGCATAAAAGAGAGAGGAACCAAAGTCTGCGCTGGCCATTCTTTAGCCTTTCAGACAGCTCCAGAATGTTTTAAAGGCGCATATCCGATCGATCGATTATTCTTTCAACTCTCCGACCGAGCGGCCGGTTGATCTCCTGAGTTTCCCGGACGAGGAACAAGCACCGCCGGAGGTGGATGAGTTTGTGAGACAGTGGGAGCTCGTGTTGTGTGGACCGGAAAAGATATCCCGTCACAAGCATGTGAAGGAATCAAGAGTCATGATCCCACAATCAATCAGCATATTGAAGAGAGAGGCGGTCTATATTTTGTTTTCCTGAGATCAAGCTCAAGCCCAAAGGTTAGCCGGATATTGTGCTTTCGTCTATACTCTTCCAATCAATCCTTCGCTGCAGCAGGTAAGCATGGCATAAGCGTCCGCGGATAAAAAGCGGATCAAAGCTGATCACTTTACTCTAGCCTGCCCGTTGAATGAGAGCGTGTGGTCAGCAGGACGCCTCGATTGATTGAGTGATGGTTGTGCTTTTGCCCTTTCATTCCGTGTGTTGGTTGTGCTAGGAATGTTAAGTGATTTTTGGACATTGCCCTCTTTTCCTATACAGAGGAGATTTCTAAGGCGACGGGCGATTCATTGTAAATTCCTTGAGAGTTTGGACATGAATTTCCTGGAAGTTCGACACGACTTTTCCGAAGCTCCCATCCTGAAGGCCCCAATGCGAGTTCCTAGAGTGGTTTGGCGTGACATTCTGGAAAATCCATTGTGGACTTCTAGCGCTCCGGTATGTGTCAATTGGTTTCTTTTTAGTTACCTTGTCCTGACACTCTTATTGTCCGCTATAGTCACTCCAAATCCTGAAGCCATGGATGTTGTAGTGCTTGCTCTGCCGTTGGTCGTGTTTTGTGGTTGATATTCAAAAGGTAACGAATAGAGCTAACGCAATCTGAGGGAACATTGACTTTGGCAAACTCTTCTTCAAGAGATATGACTTTGATGAGATCCTGCTTCACAAAGAATTCTGCCAAGTCAAATTCTGACTTCTACTTGGGATCCTCATCTTGTTCTAATGGTCCAACAAGTTTCATAATCTTGCCAATGGCCCAGGCAGATTTGTTCATGTCAAGGGGAAATTCTTGGGCATGAGAATCTTGGTCCCAGTTTCCAAAAATAATTTTATTGGAGAAGAAATGCATTAGCTATGCAAAAGGTCAGCAGTGTTTTGGGATGCAAGGACTAAAACAACAAAAATCATGAAACATACAGTAACTCCAACTGACCACACCTGGCAAGGTGGTGTTGGCGACACTCCCTTCCAGATCTCAGGGGCATGAATTTCAACTCCCTGCAATTGGAAGTCATCAAAGCCCTCAGAGGTGATTACTAGTGGATGTAAGCATATGATTGCAGGTTAGAATTCAGACAGTGCAACATACCTGCTTTAAGATCAGCAAGCTTCACAGTAGGTTTTGGCGAGTCCACATTGGAGACAAGGACATTGTTAGGGTTGATGTCTTCCATTTTGATATTAGTTTACTGAACACATGCTGATTGTGGTTGTTTGCATATCTGTGTGCACAGCAGTAAAGTGACCATCCATGTCTGAGAAGACTTTTACAGCTTCAAGGATGGACTTGGCAGTGATTTTTCGAAAAGGCTGGCCAAGTTCCTGTGCCGTGGCCCTCAATGACCACAGGTCAGTATCCAAGCACTCAAACACCATGCATCTGTCTGTGCCATTATCAACAACTTCGTGCATCGCTTGCATATATGGGGAGCTGGTAATACAGCAGTAGCCATAGCAGTTGGCCTCAGTTTGGTATATGATTGGATCGGCACTTTCTGTTTTGATGATTACTCTTTTGTCAGGTTTATCTTCAGTCAGCACATGCATGTAAAGGAGAGATACTGGGCGGAGTGAGGCTCATGGTGTATTAGTTCCCACTGTTAAAGCTTGAAAGACATTTCACTTCAGTGCTTTTGTGACTTTGTACGAGCCGCGGCTGCTGTTAATGAGCACCTTTTGGCCTGTCGTGAACAGGTTGTAAATGGGACAAGGCATCCCAGGAAGTGGTATGTATAATGATCGCGAAATTCTCGACTGGTGCTTGAGATGGAATAAGATGGAGACAGACTGTTACGAAGCTCGCAGTTCTTGGGAAGTGAACCGCCTAGATTCGACTGATTAGTCATATATGGAGATCGAATTCAAGAAATGTGATTGGTACTTGCAAAGCAGACTATATCACATGGACAAATGATCAAGTTCTCCAGGAAGTACAGAGTACATTCACTAGTTAACCAGTTAAGTTAATTAACTAGTTATGTAACTAACTCCAGAGTACTCCGTAGTTACTCCGTAGTTCACTAACTTGCTCCGTAACTAAACTAGTTAACTTAATCAGATAGCTCCACCACATGACATCTTCTAAGTACCGCCTGCTAACTGACTTCATCTTCCTCTCGGCAAATCCCCAACGCAATGGAGTTGTAACTGCTAACTCAACGTCCGGCTTTGTCTCAAAGCCAACCGCATGCCCATTAACTTATTTCTGAACAATATCTTTTATACCAATACCTGCGTCTGTCTCCTGAATTTCCTTGGAGACGTTCTGATTAACCCTCAGCAAAGATGGCGCCCAAGGCGATGATTCCCGTCCTGGTCGCCATGATGCTGGTTACTGGGGTGTGCAATACACTTCTTACAAAATATCAGGACATGCAGTGTGTGCGAAACTGTGATGATCCGGATCCCAAAAACCGGGTTGTTTTTGAACAACCTGTACTTCAGACGTATGCAAGGATCTCAGACTGGTTATCAATGCACTCTTCGAAGCAGAATATGCGAGGCTAACGATTCTCATTTTACTATGTAGATTACAAATGTTTATCGGGGAAATGGGCTGCTGGCTTGTTTTGTTTGGCATCAATATGTGGAATCGTCATGTTAGGCCGCGTTGGGGAGGTTCCTCAGCACCTTTGATTGCAGGAGGATACGAGCCGGTTGGCGATGGGTCGGGCGACCTGCCTCCATATGATGATGATGCCGAAGAAGATATATCAGCTCACGACGATGTTGCGAAGTCGAATGATCATGATGACTCCCGAACCAAGCTGCGAGGCATGAAAATCTTCCTGCTCGCTGCCCCTGCATGCTGTGACATATCCGGTACAACTCTTATGAACGTTGGCTTGCTCTTTGTAGTGGCAAGCATTTATCAGATGACACGTGGAGCGCTCGTTCTATTTGTCGGTCTGTTCAGCGTATTGTTTCTTCGACGAAGACTATATATGTATCAGTGGATGGCTCTGGTTTGCGTTGTCTTTGGTGTCGGCCTCGTGGGTCTCGCTGGTGCAATTTTTAGAGATCACCATGAACCTATGGAAGCCTCCCCGAAGGATCTCGTCCAGCTTATGTCCCGAGCCGCCCAAGAGCTTCATGCAACCGCCAAATCTCCTGAAGCTGTAAAGGTAATCATTGGCGTGCTCTTAATTGCCGGAGCTCAGATTTTCACTGCCACTCAGTTTGTTTTAGAAGAATGGATTCTTGAAAGATATGCCATGAATCCATTAAAGGTTGTCGGTTGGGAGGGCATTTTTGGTGCCGTGGTGACTACCGTTGGCATGGGTGTCTTATATCTCGCCATTGGCCGAACAGAGCACGGCAGATATGGATATTTCGATGCTGCTGAAGGGTGGAGAAATATGACAAATAACAAAACAGTCGCTTTTTCTAGCCTTTTGATCATGATCAGCATTGGGTACGATCGTTTCCCCCTTGAAACATTTAACATTTTAATTACCGTTTCTAATATGTTCTCTCTATAGTGGTTTCAATTATTTTGGTCTAAGTGTTACCCGTTCTGTCTCGGCAACTTCGCGCAGTACAATTGACACGTCCCGTACACTATTCATCTGGCTTGTGTCACTTGGACTTGGATGGGAATCTTTCAAATGGCTACAAGTTGTGGGGTTTGCGATGCTGGTATATGGCACCTTCTTGTTCAACGACATTGTCCGTCCACCATTGAAGGCTTGTCTTCCTAAGAGATCGCCTGGGGAAGCCCACGAGAGTCTGCTTCCCGAGGAGCCAATCGAGCACATATAAATTATACCTAAGGGGGAAACCGGAGTATCATTGTACTTTTTCTTCGATCTTTATCTTTCAGCGTCTAGATATATACGCGAGAAGCGATCTCCTAACACTCTCCGTGACGGCCAAATGGGTAATTCCCTCGGCTCAATGGAACCTGATATACAAGTATAGTTTTCGGTGATTCGTTCCACTTTTTTTATGACTTGATTTTCATGGGATAATAGCGATTCTATGAGGTTCAGGACTCGCATTTTGGTGACGTCCTGGGAGTTGGCGATTGTCAGCATATATATTTCTATGTTCAGATGAGGACTCAAAGGCGTTGGGCGGTGGCACTCTTCAAATACATGTAGCTAGAAGCCGTCTTGGTCTCTCAATTAGAAGTTACCCGCAAATACTTCATTAAGTCATTATATATGTATGGCCCGGACTGATACTCTCAGAAAACAAATCATGCCAGTGAATTGTAAACCGCTGCCTCCACGTTTACCCACAATGATATCAACTTTGGATCTGCAAATGGCAAGATCTGAGTTGCTATCACGCCTGCCACCTCCTTCTCGCGATCACACCACCAGAAACAGTTCGCGATTCCCGCCCAGAATGCGCTGGTCGCCGTCCTGCCTGTAGGACTTGGTGTGATCATCCAAGTGAGACCCCATCCCTGCGGCGCGCCGTCTGGGATCGGATAGAGGTCTGGACAGGGATTGCTGAGCTCTGGATTCGCCGTGGCGATTCCGGCCCGGCCAAAATCTGGCATGTAGGGGATTTGGTTTTGGAACATGGTATCGACAGTAGACTGGGAGAGGAGCTGCTTGCCTGTTGTTGGCGAGACGCCGTTGTTTAAGAGCATAGCGAGGATTTCTAGGGAGAGGTGTTTGGCTTAGTGTCCAGAATATGTCGAGACACCTTTGATAGAGAAACTTACGGCCGTAATCTCGCGGAGTAGCAAAGCATCCCCCTCCGCCGCTGTTGAAGATAGATTTCTTATCCTCCTCGCTTGTACTGGTCAGTGGCCGGATATTGGGGTGTTTGCGGTGACTAAGAGTGCCGTCGGGGGCGCGCTGGGTCATAGAAACAAGTCTTTTCTTCATATCTTCGCATGGGAAGAATCCGATATTCTTCAACCCCAGAGGTTCGAAAATGTTCTTCTCAAAGTACTCGCTGAGAGATACACCGGATACCCGTTCAACCATGATGCCGGCCCAGTCAATATTGATCTAAATAACTAGTCAGCATCTGCTCCTTTTCGACAATATGTTCTAGCCTTGCAGAATAATGGGTCGCATACGCCATATTCCCAGGATTCTCCAGGCTGATGGACGAGCGGTTGCTTGAAATCATCAATTCTGCCGGAGAACTCATCAAAGCCCTGGCCCTTATAGTCCCGTAGCCTCTCTTGGAAAAAGGTGTACCCAAATCCAGCTACAAAATTGTGATCAGCACTCGACGTTGTGGTAACTAATTACACAGAGAGATGTAAATTCTAACCAGTGTGCGAAAGCAGCATCCTCAGCGTGATCCCCTTCGTTTTCGGCACCAGGGTTCCATCTTTCTGTAGAACCTGGACATCCTTCAATTCTGGGCAAACCTTCTCCACGAGCTCTGCATCGTCCAGGGCCAATTTTCCCTGTTCCACAAGCTGCATGCAGGCCACACCTGTAATCATCTTGGTGAATGATGCGATCCAATAAACCGAATCGGGCGTAACGGGCTCATTTTGGCCAGCTCCGCGTGTGCCGGCGGAATGGGTGAAGATCTCTTGCCCATCTTTATTGACCACAACAAAGGACACATTTGGAAGACCTTGAATTTGGTCTTTGCATGCTTCATCGATTGCAGAGCGAATGGCCGTTTTACCCTCGGGGGAGAGTGTTTTGCCCATTTTTGACTGGATATTCGAGCGTGAAGCTTGAATAGTGTTTGCGCACAAGAAAAGGAAGGAAACAGAAAGAAACCCTCAGGTCACTGTTCGAGTATGAAATGAGCTGAATGAAAGCGGGAGTGTCTTTCACCCCAAGGAAGGTTGAACGGGGCCCAGGATATGTCCCGTTCCAAGCTGGTTAAACAGCGGCGGGTAAACATTAAGTGTTCCACTTCCACGGGTGGTCATTGCATCAACCTCGGGTTAAATAGCCCATTTTCTAAGCTCTGTGTTACCATTTAGCTGTCCAGATACAGTTCAAGACTGTTATTGTCGGATGCGGGGAAAGCTGTCGCCCGGTCCTGTGGTTCGTCAAAGATAGTCTAGTATATGCCGAGGATCTTGCAGGTCGACGAAAGGAACCAACTGGGTAAACCACGACGAGCCACATGGATTATCGTGGAAAAGTAGTTTGGGAGCATAGAGGAGGCCGAGTGAACTCTAGACGTCCGGACAAGCGGGAGTGCTAGGATTGGCTTGGCTGGTGTCAGCCGAACCACTCTCATGTTGAGTAAATTGTATAACTTTCAATGGGTCTGTGGTACTGGAAAGACTTTAAATAGCTAGAAAGCTGCATGGGAACGGAGTGGCAAGGTTAGCACTTTGATGGATTACTCGTAACGGAGCGCCTTGAAATTTGATGGCCACTTTGCGATGGCCTCATCCAGCTAACTAGTTAACTTACTTAACTAGTTAACAATAAGACGAGCTGACCAACTAACATCGTACATAATTACTAAATAAATGCACCAAACAAATGCAGTCGCATGAACCCAGCAAGTTCAGAAATGTCGCAGAATGAGCCTAAATATATATATATATATATATATATATCATTTACCCAAATCAATCACTGTCCCAATGCGAAAAGCAAATAACACAGCTTTCAACCAAAGGCGTTACCTGCGGTATAGAGCGTGTCCCTCTCCTAAAGCAATCCATACTATGAAAGCATATGTTATACAAGTACATAGAGTGCACACATCTATGTGATTCGGCCTGTCAGTGGAATGTATAAGAAAAGGTCGTGGATAGGGGCGAATTCACGTACCATTGATAGGCCGAGAATCATGGAGATCCAAAAGCAGACATTCTAGATTGAAACTGGTCAGCACCCGTTTCAAGTTTTACATGGGGAGCATTACATTGAACGTCCTTCGTCCCTTGACGAATTTTGATCGCTGCGCTGCAACAATAGGCAGCTGAAGCATCATTGCAAGAAACCCGTACCCGCGGAGTTTCTTCGTAATGCATCCCATGACTAACTCATGCCCAATCGAGCTTACAAGGAATGTTATAAACATAGCTCCCGAATTCGAAAATCGCGTCAAAGAGGAAAAATAAACATGGCGTCGAAGGAAGTGATGGACGGGAATGTTCCATTCCCGGGAAAATTCCAACCTAAGGAAGACACCAATCAGTGGTTTGAGAGCTCTCCACATCAGCGAAAACCAAACTCACCAATCGCAGGAATTCCACCAGTCGGAGTAGAATCGACGGTCCGCAAACCGTGTTATTTCGGCGAATGCCCCTAAGACATATTCGAAAATCACAAGAAAAACGAGGAGGAATGTAACCATGAAGGGAAATAGAAGCATGCTGATCGTCTCAGCAAGGACAAGACTTTTCTCACACCAGCTATCTGCTCGGTGTAGTCGATATGCAGAGTCATTCAGGACAGGCACAATGAACTCTTCGGTTGTCAAGGTCAATAAGAAAATACAACCAAACACAGCCAACGCTTTTACTAGGACTCTTGTCCATTGCGTTTTTTTGGTCCGTGGGTATTCTAACTCATAACAGAGGGTTGGGCATAATAGGAAATCGATATAGTTCCACCAGGTAAGATTTTGTGGGTATGTCACATGACCAAGGGGTGAGGTGAGCTCCGTCGCGAGGTCTGAGCGAAGTTTGGATACGGGTTGCTTACAGTCTCGCTTGTCGTTTGACACCCCTATCTCGGAGTTCTCTTCGGCGGCTCGGATGGGGGACTTCGGATATCGGATAGCTGCGGACAGGGAATCCGAGTCTGGCTTATCTAGCGACGAAAGGCGTCGTTGGGTCTCACTCAGATGGCCGTTGTAGAAGGCATATGAGTGCATTTTCATCAAAAGCGTCAATGTATGCAGGGTAAGGTAAACTTGGGCGGTCCACGTCCAATCCAACATGAAAGGTAACCTGTGCGAGAGGAATTGATTAGCGGACTTGCACACCGACTCGCCTTGACATGGACTCTTACGCGACCCAAATGGTCAACCAGACAAGCTGGAAAGAGCTCTGAACGACGATCCCATATTGATTCCACCGGAGCCACCCCTTGCTCGAGCTGATGGCACGATGCAATGGCAAAGTCACGCCAGTGCTTACAACCATAGCAAGATCACAGAGCGCCAGTTGGAACACATTGGCCGAAAACAGCAGCCAAACCTGCATCCGCAGCGGATATCCCGTATCCTTCACGTTGCGCAACACCGTCGTGATAACCATGATAGCTAGGCTGATCCAGAACAGAACAAAGAAGCCCCGAAAGTTCTGGTTGTCAGAGTTCGGATCAAAGTGGGACAAACGGGGCTGATAGTCAATATTGTAGAATAATCGTGTCTTCGCCTGGGCACGGACTTGCTTCCTTGCGGATGATATGGACTGTACGGAAGGCGGCGCATCGTCGGCGACCGGCGTTGAGAGTCCGCTGCTCTTGAATTAGCACGATCGGAGCGGATAGATGACAACGATATTGATGGCTCTCACCTCGAAGGAGCCGACGACAACTTTTCCTGACTCGGTTGGCTCGGCAAATATCGATCTAGCTGTTCTGCAGCTCGCAATGCGCGAGCGCGCAGGACATGGGTATCACTTCCGTTGGCCAGCGCAGATGGCATATTGGCGGACGGCGTGCGTCAAATATGAATACCATTGACCCGGATTGTGCGAACAATGGTAACACAAATCCTAGCGGGCATCCCCATCGAAGAGCGAGCTATATGCAGAAGAGATAGTTCTGCAGGTTTTCAGCGCCTTGACGTTTTCAGCTCCGGCTGAGCTGAAATCCGGCATCTTCATCATTCTTACATAAGGTAAAGGCCGATTACCTCCGATACGCCGACTGGAAACCACGCTAGCTGTTGACGCTACCGCCATTCCGTTTATAGTTAGATCAGCCCCCGTCTTGGCGTCGACTCCCAATCTTACCTAAGAACAAGTCGCCAGCAGCATCTCGAAGGGCCGGGTTTGAATGTCTCTTTGGGCAGGCGATCAGACGCTGTGATCTTTTGACTGCGAGGGTTCAGTTTTCCAAGCAGCCATCGGTCAGACCCCCAATCTCCACGTGTTGTGGAGATTCAGAATTCCCCTGGACGTTAAGCCTGTTACCTGGAGCCCCGCCGGGGCTACTTACGACCGTCATGACCTCCCGTGAGTTCCTCTGCGAATCGAAGGCCCGAGAGTCCTATCAACTGATCAATTTTTCAAGTCAAACAATTTATCCGAAACGTGCGTGCATCGAAAACAATTGCCGATGAGCGGGCAGTGGTACAAAAAGAGAGTGCAGCAATCCGTGCCAGCTTCAGGGATGAGTACACGGATTCCAATGTTAGGTGGGTTGTTCCATAGGGCCCCCCCACGATAAATACACCGCTAATGGACACAAAAGGAGGAACAATGTAGCAAAATTACTCTATCTTTTCACGCTGGGCGAGCGGACGCATTTCGGCCAGATAGAATGCCTCAAACTTCTTGCGTCGCCGCGCTTTGCGGACAAACGATTAGGGTATTTGGGAACAATGCTTCTGCTGGATGAGAACCAGGAGGTTCTGACATTGGTCACTAATTCCTTGAAAAAGTTGGCCCCTCTCTATACCCCTTTTCTACTCACATTGCTGACCGAACTCACAGTGACTTAAACCATTCGAATCAATACGTAGTTGGACTCGCCCTCTGTACCCTAGGAAATATTGCTTCGATTGAAATGTCTAGAGATCTGTTCCCGGAAATCGAGTCTCTCATATCCACTGCCAACCCGTATATCCGCCGAAAAGCTGCCCTCTGTGCAATGCGCATCTGTCGAAAAGTACCCGATCTGCAGGAACATTTTATCGAAAAGGCGAAAGTCCTCCTTTCCGATAGAAACCATGGTGTCTTGTTGTGCGGTCTTACCCTTGCCATTGACTTCTGTGAACAAGATGAGGCGGAAGGTGGCGGGGAGATCATAGAACAATTCCGACCCTTAGCTCCCGGTCTAGTGAGGACGCTAAAAGGCTTGACAACATCAGGATACACCCCGGAGCATGATGTTTATGGAATTACGGATCCATTCTTGCAAATCAAAATCCTCCGTTTGCTCCGAGTACTGGGCAGAGGCGACGCTGCCATAAGCGAGCTTATCAATGATATTCTGGCACAGGTCGCGACTAATACTGACTCGAGCAAGAACGTGGGCAATTCTATCTTATATGAGACAGTATTGACTATTCTAGACATAGAAGCTGACTCTGGTCTCCGCGTTCTGGGCGTGAATATCCTTGGGAAATTTCTGGCCAATAAGGATAACAATATTCGGTATGTGGCTTTGAACACATTGATCAAGGTTGTCGCTGTAGAACCCAATGCCGTTCAAAGACACCGCAATACCATCCTTGAATGTTTACGAGATGCCGATATCAGTATACGACGGCGTGCACTCGACCTCAGTTTCACCCTTATCAACGAAGGAAATGTCCGGGTTCTTGTTCGTGAACTCTTGGCATTCTTGGAAGTTGCTGATACCGAATTCAAACCAGTTATGACAACTCAGATTGGGATAGCAGCTGACAGATTTGCGCCAAATAAACGTTGGCATGTTGATACAATGCTCCGTGTGCTGAAACTTGCTGGAAATTACGTCAAAGAACAGATACTCTCCTCCTTTGTCCGCCTCATTGCAACGACCCCCGAGCTACAAACGTATTCCGTGCAGAAGCTCTATGCTGCGCTTAAGGAAGATATATCACAGGAGGGCCTTACCCTGGCTGCGTCGTGGGTTATCGGAGAATATGGTGATGCCCTCCTCCGTGGTGGTCAATATGAGGAAGAGGACTTGGTGACAGAAGTGAAGGAGAGCGATATTGTAGACCTCTTCATGAACATTTTGAACAGCACATACGCGTCCCAAATCGTTACTGAATACATTGTCACCTCTGCAATGAAATTATCGACGAGGATGACAGACCCAGCTCAAATCGAACGGATTCGCAGATTCCTGAGCAGTAGAACCGCTGATCTCAGCGTTGAGATCCAGCAAAGAGCTGTGGAGTACACGAACCTTTTTGGATACGATCAAATCAGGCGTGGCGTATTTGAGAAAATGCCGCCTCCGGAGATACGGGAAGAACAGCGAGTTTTGGGTCCCTCTACAAACAAACGGCAGAGCAGGGTGCTGAAAGATAAATCCAAAAAGCCAGCAAAACCATCCGAACAGGACATGCTTCTCGATCTTATGGGTGGCTCTGATGTTCCGGCCACGGATACGAGCAAGACTGTTAATGGGTCTCAAAATACAGCGGACTTGTTGGCCGACATTTTAGGTGGTGGCACGTCTACCAGTCAGTCACCACCGCTGCCATCGAACCAATCCTCTAACATCAATGCAATTATGGACCTCTTCGGCTCGTCTAACGGAGGTTCTCCAATGCCGCAGCCACAAACTTCGGTGCCATCTAGTGTATTAGCAGCTACCAGGTCACAGCCTTCCCAAACCCCGCCTCCTGTCTCTGGCGGACCAATCCATATTGCATTTAACAAAAACGACCTTACATTATCTTTTCAAGTTCAGAGGAACAGTTCTTCTGCAGCGCAGATTCTCGCTAAATTCCGCAACACGTCACATTTGGACCGTTTCACTGGTGTTGGACTCCAAGCGGCTGTACCAAAGTCGCAAAAGCTTCAGCTTACGGCCATTAATAAAGCAGAACTAGACGGTGGAGAAGAAGGCTCTCAAGTAATGAAGGTGGCAGCTGCGACGAGCAACGTACGTCTTGTCGATTCTCAAATATCTCTATGTGTACGCAGCTTGATTTGCTAATTCTCAATAATCCTACTACAGGCACTACCAGGTAAACTCCGATTACGCCTCAGGGTGACCTACTCCAAAAATGGGTCGGAGCCAGTGACAGAGCAAGTGGATTGGACAGAGCCATAGGCTATTAATTTACATGTTTGCATTATGATTCCCCTTGCATAAAACCTTTTTCCATTGTCATTTGAGGGCCTCATAACATGTGAGGCAATGGGTCGGGCTAAGCGAAAATATATATGAGTAATGCATTCGGTTAATAGATATCAGAATCTGGTTCGACCTTCTATTTTGGCTTTGATTTGAGATTTGCTCACTCGATTCGATTCCGTCACCCTATGTCTCATTAGCCCGGCTAGAGCGTTTGGTCCTCCCGTTCGGCCAAAGCTTCTCGCTTGTACCCCCAGCTCTCTCTCGCGGATTGAGCCATCGCCTCTAACGCCCTGATGACTTAGCGGCTCCTTACCCCCCTTTTGAGGAAACGCATAGCTTGACGGACAAGAACTGCTTTAATTGACATCACTTTGATGTCAAATTTTGGTCACTTTCTCGATCTATCTCCCTTATAACAACTGTCTAGTGAAGAAATAATGATCCCACTTTTCCAGAAAAGACCCATTACAGTTTGGGGAAAGTATATTCTGTCAACTTGATGTAAAACTGAGCAGATCCAATTCTCATGCATCGGGGGTGTAAAAGCATCGTTAGACACCCATAATGGCCTTATCTCCGTCTCTATCTTCACCACTCCCGATATAGCTCTCAAGTCGTTTTTAAACTACTTGTATACTTCATTGTTCGTATCAACTTGGTCTATAGAAGGTCAAGTAGCTTTTATTATGGTATTATTTTCTTTCCTCCGCGAAGATGTCGATGTCGACGGTATGTGTCCTATGCATACTTTTCCTTTAACCTTCTTACGTATCCTGCCGTTATACATTCCCTTATTCCCTCTTATTTACTGACCCATACCCAGATAGTGGACACATCCCCAATTTGGCTAGAGAACACAAGGGTTCTCTCACAACTCTCGACCAAGGAAGCCAGCCAGCAGATCGAAGCTGCGATAACACTTTTCCACGCTTCCCGAGGTAGCCGTCCGGGCCATAGCCTAAAATCCCAAGCACTAGAGCTTGCCATGCAGTGCAAGGCCACGGTTTCACTACTTGGTTTCGGTTCCTCGAGGCCAGCATATTCTGCCTAAAGTATCCTCTCCCAGAGATCACTGTCTTCGGCAATCTTAAGCTCGACTGCAGCTTTGAATGACGTTACAAAGTCGGCATTAAAGCGCAACAGTGCCTGATAGCAGCTACCAAGTGAAGTGGTTGTGGGGACCGGATTGAGTACGTGGTATTCCCAACACCATACGGGAAAATGGGGACTTTTCTGCTTTTGGTTTTATCGTGCACTTATGTACCAATAGTTGTGGATAAGGGTGTGTTCCTCTGAGGAATTTATTGCATTTTATTTTGATCTCATGAAATGGTGTTTTGGAGTGGCACAAGGCAAAAAGGAAACTGGGAAAATAGGAAAAGCCCGGACCGGAACATGTATCATTTTTCAACATTAAAGGCACCATTGATTGCTCGCCGATGCGTATTACCCGGAACTCTGCTTCCGTCGAAGCATGCACCAACGGGTCCTTCACTGTGTTTTGTGCGTCGAAAGTGGACGCCCAATGAATATATCACGTGACTCAACCGTGGAGTCGCGATTGCGTCGTTTCAAAGAGTCGCGTTGACAGTTGGGCAGAACTCGCGGCCACTACTACAGCCGATGCAAATACGAATGAGCCTAATTGTCGTCCCAGATGATCCGTTGTACCGATATCCTCAGCGATGCCTCCCACTTCGTCATCCTCAAACCACCGCGGTCGGCGCATAGATGATGCCTTATCCCAACTCGTCGACTCCCTCCTCCCGTCCCTATCACCCGTGCGTCGTCACCGCAATGGTAGCGACAACGCGTCAGATGCCTATTTAAATGAATATGCGCGCGCAGAGATTGCCGAGGCAGAAGAATTGCGGCATCGCCGCGCATTGGACCTTGCCTGGAGGATCTTGGACGCTCATGGGACCAACAATAGTGGTGGTGGAAATCATGTTAATGGTAGCGGAGAGCAGCGGCGAGGATCAGTGTCTCCTGATGTGATCAATAACGCGCCAGATATGATTAAGCGAAAGCTATTAAGGGAGAATGCGTCGCCGGATAAAGCCGTGAGGTTTTCGAATCTGTATTCGAGATTGTTAACACAGCCGGTCCTGGGACAGAAATGGGCAATTCTGTATTTGCTTTATCGGATTAGGGACGAAGATGAAGACGATGCTGTTGGAATGCGGGATGGAGAGGGCGTTGTGACTGGAGGAAATAAAAGAATGGCGGATGGCCGCCGGAGTCCATTGATGGAGAATAATCAGCTGGATCATATGCTGCTAAAAGATGAGCCAGCCGGACGGAAAAACATTCCAGAAAGTATAGCTCCTGATTCATCTGTTTCCGTTGTCGGTAGGGAGCAGCGTCGTGCGGCAATGGTGAAGGATGCGATGGATGCGACTAGACCGAAGGAAAGCGAAAGAAAGAGAGCCGCGGGAGACGAGAATAAAGAACGCATGCAGGCCCGCAGATATGCTGAGGAGCCTATACCCGTTCCTCAAACACCAAAACAACCTCCGCAAGCGGATGGTAATGATGAAGGAGCTCCGCCAGCGGAGCCCGCCCTTTTACGTGACCTACCGTTCTGTCTTCAGGGCTTGTCAACGACGAATCTTCAATTTTCAAATACAACACTGAAGCTACCGACTACTCTTCCTATTCCACTCCTTTCGTTGTTGCACACTTTAGCGGAGCCATGCCTCCTATATCGAGGCCTGTCCACTTTTGCCGGCAAATCTGAAGGCGGCCTCATAGAACAAAGTCTACGGGCCGCCATAGGAAGTGAGCTTCGCTCTTACTTGGGTCTAGTAGCAAGCTTGGAGGGTGAGATTAGAACAGCCGTGACAGCAGTCACAGAATCGACTGATGACCCGCAGTCCGTGATGAAAGCGGGCGTCACTCTGAAACGCTGCGTCGTTTGGATGAAAGATGCTACGATGGCGTTACGATTGATGAGCCTTATGGTCGAAGAACTTGAAGGTAAAAAAGGTGGTCAACTGATATCAATGATTCACGGTTTTTCAACTTCGCACGGCGACCCCTTTGTTGGAGCATTTGCCGAACGCCTTTTAGCACATGTCACCCGGCCTTTCTATGGTATGTTGACACAGTGGATATACGATGGAGAACTGTCGGATCCTTACCGCGAGTTTTTTGTTGTGCAACCGGAGAACCGTCCAGATGTCGATCCGCGCCGGACGGCAACGAGCGTCTGGGACGAGAAGTATAAGCTTAACGGTGTGATGGTCCCTACAATTATGACGCATGATTTTGCTAAAAAGGTATTCCTGATTGGAAAATCCCTCAACTTCATCCGTTATGGCTGTGGTGATTCTGCCTGGGTTATTGCATATTCTCGAGATGCATCGAAGGAGTTGCGATACGGAGATACGGCGACGCTTGAGACGTCAATCGACAAAGCGTATAAAACTACAATGGCTCGTCTCATATATCTCATGGACTCAAAATTTAGATTATTCGAACACCTGAACGCACTAAAGAAATATCTTTTACTGGGACAAGGAGATTTCATCGCTCTGCTCATGGAGTCACTTGCTTCGAATCTTGACCGCCCAGCTAACTCGCAATACCGGCACACTTTGACCGCTCAGCTGGAACATGCTATTCGGGCGTCAAATGCTCAATATGACTCGCCAGACGTCCTTCGCCGCCTTGACGCACGTATGCTGGAACTTAGTCATGGTGAAATTGGCTGGGATTGTTTCACCCTTGAATATAAAATTGACGCACCCGTTGATGTGGTCATAACGCCGTGGGCGTCCACACAATACCTGAAGCTCTTTAACTTTCTTTGGAGAGTCAAGCGCGTAGAATTTGCGCTTGGAAGCACGTGGCGCAGATGTATGACAGGCGCAAGAGGAGTTTTAGGGAGTGTGGAAGATAAAGTTGGCCCTGACTGGAAACGAGCTCGCTGTGTTATCGCCGAGATGATACACTTTATATGCCAGCTTCAATACTACATACTCTTCGAAGTAATCGAAGCCAGTTGGGATCAATTGCAAGTCGCAATATCGAAGCCGGAATGTACGTTAGACGATCTCATCGAAGCACATACCAAATATCTCAACTCTATTACCCACAAGGGCCTCCTCGGCTCATCATCCTCCCGCGGCAGTTCTTCGAGTAATCGAGGCGAAGAATCGTTTTTAGCTCAACTTCATCAAATTCTCAAAATCATGCTTGCATATAAAGACGCCGTGGACGGATTATACTCCTTCTCTGTCGCAGAGTTCACGCGGCGGCAAGAATTTAACGCAAAAATTGAAACCCGGACCGCCCAAGGCCAATGGGGCGTAACAGAAAGAGACTTCCATTCGAACCAACATAGTCGGTCTGGATCTATCCTTCGGCGACCCGGAACGGGTTCTGGATCGCAAACTGTCGAGTCACCCCTCGATAACGGTGGCATACTCCGTTCCTCGACGGACGGCACACCTCTAGCGGACACGGTATCTCCCTTTTTCAGCTCTGGCCTGACAGGAGAAGATTATTTGCTGCCCTCTTTGCGCTCACGACTGAGCGACTTATCAGCGGAATTTAGGGCGAGACTAATTACGCTCCTGAGCGATTTGGCGTATCAGCCTGATGTGGATATGAGGTTCTTGGGTGTGGTTATGAATTTCAACGATGTGTACCAGGTTGTTCGAAGGCGAAGGGGTGGTGGGGGAGGGTCAGGGAAAGACAGGGAGAGGAGAAGGGCTGGCGCGGAGTCAGTGGAGAGGAGGGACGAGAAGGAGAAGGAGAAGGAGAAGGGGAAAGAAGGGGCGACGGCTTGATAGTCAAGGCTATTGCTTAAATATGGGAGACGGATGCCTCAGATACCCTAGTGCTGGCGAATATTCACGTTCATACGATAGTTATGATAATGGAACTTGATGTGTTTTTGATATGCAATGTGATTCACTATTTAAATGCAGCCCCAATATCAATCTGGGTATCTTTTCATACCTCGATGCCAGGGCGAATGTCTAAGTCTAAACACCAGCAATGTATGGATATTATATTGCAGCACTCAATTAACACGTTTCATCCGGATCATCAATGGCATCACTTCGTCAGTTATCAATCAGAATCTGATAATTGAGTTAACATCAACGAATAGTTTTGTTAGGATGAAGGTTAAATCAAATTACCTGAGTTTGAATTTGAAGTGACATCAGAATCCGAATCCGAATCCGAACCTAAACATAATACTTAGGTTAGAAAGATGAAGATACCTACGAAGGGGAGTCAAGTAGAGGCAATAGGGGAGCGTCTGCGAGGATGTGTAATTGGCCCTAGAATACAAATTGGACGAGCGACGATGGGAACGAAAAGCAAACGCCATTTTCACATACCTGAAGAAGTAGTATCGGAATCCGAACTCAGCTCAGATGAAGATGAACTGGACACACTTGGAGGCCAGCTGGATTGAATTTCGCTTTTCTGCAGCCCTTTCTGGTTGGTATCAGAGCTCGAGGAATCGCTTCCATCGTTTTCACTTTCGCTACTGCTTTCGCTGTCGTTGTCGCTGTCACTACTGCTGCTTGTGTATTTTTCTTCCACCATTGCAGTTCTTGTCTTTCGTTTGCGTTTTACGCTCGGCTTCGTCTCTTCCTTCGATACAGACGGCTTTGTTTCTTTGGCAATCTGACCAGATACTGCAAAATAGACCAGTTCTGCTCGTTTTCTCCTCGCAAATCTCTTGAGCTGGTCATCATTTAAAGAACCTTGCTGGGCATCGGCTTCGGCTTCGGGGATATTTTGGCCCAATTCAGCCAATTGTGCTCTGAGTAATGTAATGGCCTGCGTATACTCTGTATTATGTTCCTCATTGATTTTCTCATCCGCCTCGATTGCCTCCAGGGCCGATTGTGCGACCCGACCTTTTGCTGCAGCGCTTTTTAAACTGGTGAGATATGTACTTAAAGCCGGGTTATAGCTGCCTGGTATTCGATCCACGGACAAAGCATTTTTAAGAATGACGGTTTCTCGGTTTTTCTGGAACTTCCACTCTGATCGTGAGCTATAGTAGGTAGTAAGGTAGTCTAAGATTCGGTCTGATGGTGCGGACGGGGTTTTAGGATTGGAATTCTGAGCCGAGTGATTCTTTGAACGTTGCTCTCTTTTCTGCCGTTTTTCTGCCCTTTTCTGGTCTGATGTGAGCGGGGCTTGCTCGGACACGGATTCGGGCTCCAGCTCTGGGGAGCCATCTGCTTTCTTTGTCCCTTCTGCGAATGACACCGACTTCCTTGCCGAGCCTTTTGACTCCGACGGTTTCTGTCTCTGAACTTCAGAGGCCTCTTCTGCGCCTGATGCAGACTTCTTGTGTTTCCTTTGGTCTTTTTTGTCAGAAAATCCTAAATTCGGGGTTTCATTTTCGCTTAATTTGTCTTCGCGTTTCTGCTTCTTTGAACTGATATCCCCTCCCAGTTCCGGAGTCAACTTCCTCTTCCTTATATGATTCTCCAGCCCGGTTTCGTTATTGTCAATCGTACTAGAAAGGTTTCCGTCATCGGCATCAGGTTGAGTAGGTAGTTCTGTTGCAAATCTTAGCTTCAATCCCAGCCTTTTCCATGCGGGAACGTGCGGAACGGGAGCTGGTGAGGCCATCGTCGAGCCAGAGTCAAGGTTGAGCTAGCGAGCAAATCGACGGATCGTAGATGACTTGTCAAAAAAAAGCCTTCAACAAGCAAGGACATCCTATTAGACAAAGATCCAAATATACGCTTCTAGGGCAGCGCACACATCATTCCAGGCCTCAATTGCGTCCTCGATATGCGCCGGCGGGCTTTTCGGCAATAAATGAATTTACACTCTGTATTTACTGTTACCGCCTTTCTGTAAAATTTACCGTTCGAGCCAAATTTAGGCTAGCCTGAACGGGCCTAGCTTCCATCTCCAGGTCCCGAGTTTTGGAGCTAAACCCAATTTAGCTATATGGGACTGACGCTGGCAGCTTGGTCTCAGGCAGCTTCACCTACGCGTTCCGACAGATCATCTTCACTTCAGCATTCCACTCTTAATAAATAAAGCTGAAGTGTGCTTGCGACATCAAGACACGGATATCATCATTCTGTCAATATTTTGCTGGGAAAAGTTCTCTGTAATATCCTGTAACGATGTCGGGTCAGTCTTTCTCCTCCATCTGATCCAGCTGGAGCTGACCAGGGAGCTATATCAAACAGGCAGCGCGGGTTACGACAGGCATATCACAATTTTCTCGGACCAAGGGAGACTGTATCAAGTCGGTAAGTTGCCATTTTCTCCCTCGCGACTCTATTGTCAACATCGACACTCACTCAACGTCCCTACCCAGAGTATGCTTTCAAAGCAATCACAGCGGCCAACATTACATCCCTTGGAGTAAGAGGAAAGAACTGCGCTGTAGTTTTGTCGCAGAAGAAAGTTCCAGTGCGTATTCCCGTGTGCCACACTATCTTGACCGCCGCTCTGACCGTCGGACCATGGAGTTTAGGACAAGCTGATAGATCCATCCTCCGTATCACATGTCTTCAAAATATCACCAAACGTTGGTTGCGTTGTTACCGGTTCTATAGCCGATGGAAGAGCGTCAGTTGATCGTGCCCGGGGTGAGGCCGCTGAGTTCAAATATAAGTTTGGGTATGAAATGCCGTGCGACGTCCTAGCAAAGCGTATAGCCAATATCAGCCAGGTCTACACGCAAAGAGTTCGTATTCCATCTCCTGATTGGTTGAGAGTATTTGAGATATTCTGACTAGAGCAAATGCAGGCCTACATGAGACCCTTGGGCGTTGCGACGACCTTGATATCGGTTGATTCGGAATATGGACCTCAACTATTCAAATGTGACCCAGCTGGGTACTACGTCGGATATCGCGCAACTGCATCCGGACCAAAACAACAAGAGATTCTTAACCACTTGGAGAAGAAGTTGAAGAACAAGGAATATGCAGACGGGACATGGGAAGATGTTGTAGAGCTTGCCATCACAGCGCTCAGCACCGTGCTCAGTGTTGACTTCAAAAAGGGCGAGATTGAAATTGGAATTGTGGGAGGCCCGCGCGCCGATGGCAAAGAAGGGACGCAGTCAGAGTTCCGCACGCTGACTGAAGACGAGATCGACGAGAGGCTACAAGCAATCAGCGAGAAGGATTGATTCTAACCTCAGCTCAACACCCTTGAACGCCTACGATCGTTTGGATACAGCCTGTCTATGTGATAGCAACGGGGGATATTTCCTCCAGGAAACTTTGTCGGGTAGACTTTTGCCATCCTCTTTCTCCATTCCAATCAATGTGAAGTTCCAGCGCCTCGGATTTCTTGATTTGTTTCAGGACCATTGACTATCCGTGTTAGTAGAAGACTTTAAATAGATTGGACCTTTGCAGGTGCATTCTACCGATCGTGCCCAATGGCCTGCCCGTTCAATCATCAGGGAGGCAGAGCTTCGTATGATAATCTATTTTAATCGCAACTTGCATTACATTGGCTTTTGCTTGAGGGACTTATGTGACAGACATCAGAGGCAAGATGATATCCGCAGGGCAATTGAAGTGCAAGGAACCTTTCAGCTATGTTGAGGAAGCCTCCTGCATTTTTGAATGTCCTTTGTGCTATCCCTTGCATCACAGACAAGCGAAAAGTGATGTGTTGTTTTGGCCAAGCTTCGGAAAGATTGGACGGTATTCCGTTTTAGCCACGCGAGGCAAGTGCATCAGCTCCCCAAGCCCCATCTAACCCAATTGCGGCTAGGCCGCCCACCAGCCATAGGTACTAGCGAGTGGCGGATGTCATGTGGCTGGTGCTGATAATCTTTCACTTTCGGAGCGCGCATCGAGACGATGAGGTCTGCTTGGACTAGCGATCCCCACAATTGGGTCTCCCAGTCTAAACTATGATCTATGATGATGGCTATTTGCGATCTTGCCGCAGATTTGCATGCTCCCTTACAGTGCAACAATGGATCTTCTTACGTTCCCCTTCGGTACGAACGCCCCATTGGTTCCCATGGCTGCGTTACGTTCCCGCCAGGGAATCTGCAGAATACGGAGTTATATCCATACCTCCATTCCCATGACCATATTTAAAGATGGCAGAAGCTTCGTCCTGTTCAGTTGAGTTTCTCTTTCCATTTTCAGAGTGGTTGAAAGAGTGAGCCCTGAAGACATCAGTCATATACATTCTCTTGCTTAACTGTCTTATGTTGAGTACTGCTACATTTTATGGTGATAACTTCACCACAATGGCTGACGGATGTGAGTGGTTCCATTTTGCCTATATTTTTGTGTCCTTATTTTTTAACCCTACCAATAGTGAACGAAGCAAGGGCGCTTAGAATCACGGAATTGATGAACGACTTCAGAACGCTCTTACTTCATATATCCCAGCTGAAAACAGATGCCCCACAAGGCGAGGAGCATGAAGAGGGTTATGCAATAATGAGACAATGCTTCCACGAGGTCCAGGGATTGATCTCCGCCCAATTTAATGTCGAGGCCATACAGAACTCAAATGGAGACGGGGAATGGCAAAAAGTGCAGCTTCAAAGGTGTGCATTGCCTACAGCGCTCTCCCGGCGAAAGTTGTACGTTGGCAGTTCTGTCAACTAACTCGAATAGGATAATCCTTGATGCATCCGCGCGACGCTTTCAAGCTCACAAGATTTACCTGCGAATGGCTGCTGCCAGGAGATGGGCTATGAGCCGAATGAAAATCCTTCAGGGCCAGAAACCAAACCAATCGCATCTGAACGCTTTGAGAGCCATCGATCAGACATTGCGCAACGTAAGATGCCGTTCTCAGAATATTTTCCACTCCAGGCTAACCGTCCTCTATAGGAGCTTTCGTCGTTTACAGACCCTTATATCCGGAATGATCTCATGTCCGCTGATGTCCGTGCTGGTCACTGGCTCAGCGAAGACCCTGACCTAAGCATTATCCTTCATTGGTTTCGTACTCACTCGTAATAGGTACGGATTACTTGTGGAGGCGGGAACGGAACATGATCCTCGAAACCCGAAATTTGACGACTCTACAATCAAAATCCTCTAGGAGCGTCCACCCACACGCTTAACGAGAGCGCTTTACGCCTTGTTAACCTATAGTCTAACGGCGGAGGAGGAAAACTGGATTTTTCCCCCTTCTATCAGGAGCGCTGGACGTGTCCTTGCCCTTCAATATGGGACCAGTCTTGAAAAGTTCTGCACTTTTTATACAGACATAATCTTTGTTCCTTTGCACAATTGTTCTGCGCTTTTTTCTTTTCTTTTCTTTTTTTTTGTTTTCCCTTTTGGAATATACGCATTACTAGGGCATTCGATACCCCACGTAGTCCTTGCTGTTGATTATCTATGAGCATTATCGAATCTTGTTTGGGCTGGTATTGTTGGCTGCGGGACAGTTTGTGTACGATATCATCAGTTCAGGAGAACTAGTCTCATCTATTGTCTTGGGTCCGGATAGCTAGAGCATCCATTTGACAAATGGTACATCTTGAACATGCTTGGAAGGCATTCCCGCGAAATGTGGGGCATTTTGATCGAGAGCTTTGTCATAGGCACTCGCCACTGTGGCACAATAAAATGGCTGGGGAGGAACAGTTCCTGAGCGTCATGATCATTCAGAAACCCCGAGAATTGTGAATGGCTCGATATCATGTCGAACTGGCGCTTAATGCGTGACAATTTGCCTCCTGGCCCATAGTTTCTTCCACGCTCGGCGATCAAGGTTACCGAGAGCACGGTTGCAGTCAATGCTGGAGTGCCATTGGGTTGGAAACAAAAGACAAAATAAATAAGGTTTAGTCTTTTTAGGGACTTCTCCGCCAGTACGGGTCTTATATGCCAAGTATGTAGCTGCATGCACACCAACATGCAATTGACGGCTTTCAGAAAAGAGCTATTGGGACGATATTTGCCACGGACTAGAAAAGGAAAAAGGTTACCTCCGAGAGAAAACTCAAATCTCCCCTGTCCTAGGGCGTTTCCCGCTCGATTTTCGTTTTTTCTCTCTGCTTTCGTCGCGGCCGAGAAAATTTGGCGAGCAGAGCGGAGCTGTTGGGATCAATAGGGCGGGCGCAAGCCACCACATGGTCCGTGCACTGCAGACGTCACATCATAAGGTGCGAATTGAGTTTAGATGCTTACCTGAATTTGGTTTGGCCTGCAGGTCGATAAGGCTTGGCATACGGAAAATCTGTGGCTGTGCAATGGAAAATCGTCACCACGCAAACTTAGCCGACGAGACGGTTGAAAAGAAAAAGAAAAATTTTTTCTGTCAAAAGTATCCTACTCGATGCTTGAGATTTCATTTGCCGCCTCCAATTTTATTTTATTTTTTGTTTTAACTCTGTATGCATGCAACTAATGATACTACTTCCCATTGAGTAATCGCAAGAATTATACCCGTTCGCAGATCAAGGTTTTCAACTGCACACGTATACTATCATCCCTTCTGCTTTGCAGATCATCGATAGTCATTTATCGGCTTCTCCGTGGCCTGCTTCCTATGAGAAATCCTATGGCAAATTGACAACCATGCACGCCCGTCCAACCGTACCTCAGCTAGCGTATGTGGCAGGACATATCTGCAGTCGTCAACGAATTTCTACCGAGATTCAACCACGCGAGCAGCGTCGATCTAGGGGATCAAAGCCTCTTTGCCGCCCCAGTGGCTTTTGAGTTCGAGTGATTGCATTGTCAGGGACACCTAGATACAATTTTCACAGGGCAAATGATCAGAGTGGACTTCAGAGCCTTTCCTTTTCGGATGCGCAGAACGAGGACTCTCTGTCAACGGTCTTAGCGAAGAAGCCCAGAGAAACAATGAGATCCGGCCCTTTATTTTGTTCTCTAGGAACTGGGCTAGTCAATTTCCTTACCTATAGATACTAGGGCTTTAGCCGACGTGGTTCCACTCAGTTAACAATCCATACGCAAATATTTATCGCAATAGCGATGCAGGTTTTTCGAGATAGGATATTTTCGTTTTCATAGCCCTTTGAAGCGCTGTACGCCGCGTAAAGGACGGGAAGGCCACGTCGATAGTCGGGTTGTGATGCATCGATATAGAAATTTGACTCTGGTCAGAAGGGCGGCCTACATGAGTGTTAACAGCAGATTGCTAAAAGGAATAGAGAAGAGACCAACCTCCACGCGGCCCAAGAATATATCGTTAGCGAAGGGGATTTGTTCGTTCCCCAGTCATCCGCTACATAATCATGGGTAGCAAATGCTCCATGCGGTTCTTGACATTCATCACTGGCCTCTCTGCTCCAAACTAGCTTGAGTGAGTCAGTCTCTCTGAGCAGTTGTGAGCAGGATCTGTTCGGAGGACGTTCTGATGCGAAGAGCTGACAAATCGTAATGTAGGATTTGTTGCTCGCAGATTGAACGGCAATCCTCCTTTAGCCCAGTACCAAAAATGATTCAGTTTTCACTTGCGAGGATTGTTAGGGGCGGTTAAACTCGCACAGTCACGAGGCAAGACACACAATTAGGTAAAGTGCAACACTCATCCGCAGGGGGCTTTATGGAGGTCGAAGCATACTCCACCTGCATTCGAACGGAGAATAATTGTGCAAAGCCCACTAAACTGGACCGCGCAAACTTTGGCGTGTGCAGAATGCTTGGTATAGGAAAGTTCCTATCCCGTACTAATGCAGGATTTCCACAGCTTTGGAAGGGCGCGCGTATTCTAGCGGTCGTTGGCCGAATTACACGCTTAGGTTTATAAGCATAACCATTTGCGACTTGAGACAGACCGTATTTCGAGAGGTTTGTCATATTCGTCTAATAGTTGAATGATAGGTGTTGGCCGACGTCAGCCGTCGCGAAACTGGCTAGTTGCAGATAATCCGAAGGACCCCGCAAACATCCAAATCATTCAAGTTTCTCCTAGCTATTTCTACCTGTGTTTATTTCCTATTTCTGCGTCGACGGACGTGCGTTCGAAGTACTCACGAAACATGTTGGCAAACTCGGCAAATGCGACGACTATCGAAAAGAGGTTACATAGAAGTTACTGATTAGCATGATAGCCCTTAACGCTTGGACACCATTGTGATGGGTTCCCCAAAATAGTGCCCGGCTAATCCATGGAGGTTTTAAACGGCGACCTCCCAAGATTTGGATTGCGTCCACCTTCTGGATAAGGATTCGCCCACGTGTGATTCCGCCAGGCAACGTACCTATACTTTTGAGTGCATTAAGGCAAGATATCAGGTACCTGGCGGATATTACCGCGTATTACATAGAAATCAGATTTATGCTGTAGGCCGTATCTCTGGGGTTCCAAACCGTTCAGCAATGGCTGATTGCGTGTCGAATTGGATTCTCAGCCTCCACTTCTCCGGATGTTTCCTAGAAACGAAACTTGAGGTCGAACTGGGGCCGGCTAGGCCGATGCTACTACGATTGAATATTTGTCTTATACGGAGGAGCGTAGCGAACCGCTCTTTTCAGCTATCGTTGATCGCGGTAGCTGTCACTCTTTGCAAATGTGACAACATTTTGTAACTTAGCAGATGTGGGCATGGAGAGCTCTCACAACCTGACAAGAGAGCCGACTTCATTGATAGGATGATCTTCAACTACAGAAGTTCATGGGTAGTTAGTTAAATAGGCGTATATTTTGTGGAGAGAGGATCTGGGGTAGTCCAGATTCGGTCGCCCGCCAACCAGCCGTCAGGGCTCGCCCAGCAAGCAACAAGTGTTGAAGGAGCAGAACGTACTCCCTTTATATCACGCTGTCGCTCTCTACAGGGTATCAGAACATTGCGGAATTCTTTCGGGCCAGAATCAGCATGTTCGTCAGGATTTGCAAAACAGGGATTTCTTTTGGCTGTTGTAACGACATGCTTGGTTCCGATAAACATCCAAGGTGGTCAGCGAACAAGGGTCTCCGCAGAACGCACCAACAATTACACCCCCCCCCCCCCAAAAAAAAAAGAGAAAAAACTTGGCCAAGTCGTATCCTGGGTTCGCCTCCGATGATGCCGCTATGCTTCTGCTAAGACACTTCAGTCATAATTATTCTTGTAATGTCTAACTAGGAGGCCGAGGGTTCAGGTCTCTTTGAGTTGTGCTGCGTACATTTAAGACGTCACCGTGCTCCCTAACGTGGCTTAGTTGTGGGAATGATATCTCGAGACCATCCTCCCTGTCGGGCTCCCTGTAAGGTCGGTCTTTTAAGTACCCTTCCAAGTTTTCTCCCAGAAGTGTCCAGGGTTTGGAACTGGCGTACTATGCTTCGGGCGTCAACGATTGCATGGTTGCCAGACAAAGTGTTACGACAAAATACTCGATCTTCGGGCTCGGAGAGCTTCATTTGGCCTATGCTGTGTTTAATTTTTCTCGCAACACAACATGTGACCCCAAGATCGAAAGAGAAGAATTTTTGCTGTTGATTTGTTATAGATTTAATAAACAGGCTTCTAGTTCAAGGTTGCATCACTCCGCGCTTGGCTTCGAATGGCTCTGGTCTGAGGGGTTGAATAATCTTGTTCCCCCTACCGAAGGATACTCGCATCTATTCCCTCATTTCCTACATAAATGATTATACAGTGTTTCTCTGCACAGCATAGATGTCTCCTCCTTGAATCAAGGATCGAAACGAATATATACCTGCTGGCTATTCTCACTACATGTCAGGCTGACTCTGTAGTATTTTCACAACCCCCTCCCCCTCCCCCTTCTCCAACACACAGCCATACGTTTTGGGGTGTGTTAAACATAAGTAACATGCATGTACTCCGTACACACATCCATCCGTCATTGTGCCCATCTCAAGCCATGTGTGAGGGATCATCGCGAGTTTGCCTTACAAAGTCAATGGGCTGTACGAAGGTATAGTAGGTTAACACTTGAGAATCAGTCAATGAAATATGATTGGCAGAGGAAAGCGAGTGCTTTTTGCCTCTCTTGGTACCTTTAAGTTCCGGAGCTAATGTTCCCATGTACACTACTGAGAGATTGTGTATCTTGGGACTACTTTTCAACTAATTATCATAGCTATGGCCACGAGGGCGGCGAGGGAGGAGGCGGCTACATACCTTGGAGGTGGCTGCCAGGTGCGAGAAGCAAAGCTCTTGCAGCTTTGTCGGAAAGTTGGTATAATTTTCGAACAGCTCGGATCTGAATACGACCAATCACGTAATGTTGGGCGGGAGAACTGGAAGACGGCGCATAATTCCCTTGCCTCCGAGAGATTACGCCAAGACTTCCACAGCGTTTTCCCTCAGAACGACCCTCCGAGGCAATGCGATGGTCTGGGATTCACGCCATCCCATCCAAGCTCTGGAGACTGACGGCCGAAAGATTTTTGATGTGTTATGTAAGACATCCCAATCTCCAACTGGGGTAGCGAGTTGATCTGGAGAAAGTCACAGGCATGCACCCCTGCTTCCTCCGCACACCAGTCAGGATCAGTTTCCCCAGGCCCGAAACCGTTTCTCTTTTGATAGGTATGTTGTCCAGCGCGCCCATGTAGAATCCGCATGCTGGCAACAGACGTTTGAACTAGAGCTAGTTGATAGGGACCGTATTCTTATCTGAGAGGTTTTCTCAAGCATTTCCAAGAGGTGCTTGGGCGCAGCGAAGCATTCGTGGGGCTCTTGGTGAGCCGACGCTAGTCTAAATAAAGGAATGATCGGTGAGTCTTCAGGTTGCCGATGATCCCGGCACGGACAACTCTAATGCAACGTCCCCTGGTTGCAGCTGTGGATGCTCGCCAGCATGGCAGAATTTTGCACACTGATTCACGCACTCTCTTTCTTTCTCTCTCTCTCTCGCCCCCCCACGCCACAACAGTTGCCTCAAAGCCAACATCACACCCGGGAATAGCTCTACTGTTTGGCTTCACGTATCGCGCAAATCTTTGGGATCCTTGGACGAATTTCAATCACGGCCTGGATATTTGTCGGGTTCGGACTGGCTTGGTCGGTGGATCTCCGTGCCGGCTTCGTTCGTTTTCTGGAATGTTTTTTCCCCAACCTTATTCCACTTGGTTCCAAAGTCTGTTCGCCGTCAAACTGCGGGTGGAGGACAGTGGGGTTGAGGTTGCATTCCATGGACTGACTCAAATCCGACGATCGTTGCTTCAGTGAGCCGGAACCCTGCACGCATTGGACGAATCACAGGCTCAGCGGAGGATAGCAATGTACAGGTACTTTTTGATGTTGACAGGCGACTCTGTCTAGTCTCCCGGGCGAAATGCTGCCTTCATTATTTCAGTTTCATGACGCGTCCCATACAAACATCCTTACGCGTAAGTAACAGTCATCCTCAAGCATCCTCTCTCTCGGTTTGAGTGACGGGGAGGGTGGGAAGAAAATGAAATTTTTTTCTCGGAACCGGGCATTGCGCTCTGACCTATGGCCTCTCGCTTCAGTGCCCCCGCAACCAAGAGAACGGTCCCCGAATGCAAAGATTTTCTACCGCTATTTAAGAAATCTCTTGCACTTTGCCACTGGAATGGGTCCGTCGCGATTCTCATCACTTTCCATCCCATCAACTTTTGAAATTGTGTGAAACGGGACTGAACCGCGGAATGCCTAGATCAAGGAGCCTACCAAACGGTCATAATTTGCCTGCAGGTGGATTTTCAAATCTTACCTGCCTCAGCGACCGCATATTTCCACGGGGGGGGTCCCTTGGGTCCAGCCACTTGCGCTTATCTGCGCTTCCAGTTCTGAAGAAGCTCACCAATTTCGAGCCTCTGGTGTAATTTCAAGTATCGAGTACGTATCTAGAGCACGGCTGGGTGTTCCGGATACTGAACTTGAGACCGTACGGGAAAAAAAAAAGCCATTAGAATACGGAAAAACAAGTGGGCACCTTTCGCCCCCGGGATATATGCTGTCAACTAGTCACCGTTTTTGAGAGGGATGGACTCTGTAATCTATCCATGATGAAGTGCTTGGGGCACTTTATCCCTGTATGCTTGGGCATATCTCCGGATGACCCAGCGGAAAGTCAGGCTCCTGTCCTCCGTATGGATGTACTATACTTGTGTTGGCAGGAACCGGTACGTATGAAGCCATGACACTTTGCCGATCCGCTATTCCCATGTGGTTTCGCGTGATTCACCGTCCCTCGTCCGTCAGCCAATGGTATTAGTCAACTCCACGGGGAGGCACTATGGCTGGATGGGTGCGAATAAGCACGATCGCCCCGGAGGATCTGTTACCTTCTCTCTCTTTCGCAGCTCTAAAATTTTTTGATGTGGGGATTTGGATAAAAGGTGATCAATTTCCCCGCGAGGCTGTTACGATTCCTTTCTCTTTTTTCTCCCCTTTTGATACTTGGGAACCCTTTTGGCCTTCGCTCCTTGAGCTTTGTTTCTTCTTCCTCTTTCCGCTTCGTTGCCGCTCGCTTGTATTCGTCGGCTTCAAGCCCCCAGTGTAGGAAAAAAAAGGTGATCCCTAAATATGGCCGACCACGAGTCTCAAGCAACTCGGTGCGTTCCCTCCCCCCTTCTCATATATGGTTGAACCGGTTCGGCTTGGTTCTAACCACCGTAGCAAAGACCGCACCAGCAATTGGGTGACCCTGATGCCAAAGTTATGGCTGCTGATGGAATGGAAAAGGAGACCTCTCCTGATTCGCGGTCCATTGAAGCAGGATATGTGACCAAGGAGGGCCAACTACATGAAACGCCGGACGGTGAAGAGCCAACAGAGGAAGAGAAGCGTACCTTGAAGCATGTCCCCGAAAGTCTACCCATCTCCGCTTGGCTTGTCGCTATTGTCGAACTCTGCGAACGTTTTACCTTCTATGGTATGCAAGGTTTGTTCCAGAACTATATCCAAAGACCCCTGGATGGGAGTTTGGGACGTGGAGCTCTTGGTAAGGGTTACCCATCTATTAAAAGAAGAAAAAAAGGCCTCATCTGTCACCGACACACATTAACCGCCATGCAGGTCTGGGCCATCGAGCGGCTACCGGCTTGAACACTTTCTTCCAGTTTTGGGCTTACCGTGAGTCTAAATTTTACCGTATTGTTGTGTGTATACGTCAGGCGTCTGTCTAATATCGGGCATAGTGACACCCATCATTGGTGCTATTATTGCTGACCAATACATCGGAAAATACATGGCCATCTTTTACTTCTGTATTATCTATGTGATCGGTCTCTTAATCCTGGTCCTTACCTCGCTGCCAGTGTCCCTCCAAAATGGTGCGGGCTTGGGCGGATTTGTTGTTTCCCTTATCGTCATAGGTCTAGGAACTGGAGGTATCAAGTCCAACGTCGCGCCACTGATTGCTGATCAGTACAAGCGGAAAACTATGGCAATCAAGACAACACCTGAGGGCGAGCGTGTCATCATCGACCCAGGCTTGACTATTCAGCGCATCTACATGATCTTCTACGCCTGTATCAACATCGGCTCCCTATCCCTCCTTGCGACACCTTACATGGAGCGAGACATTGGTTTCTGGTCTGCTTACTTGCTCTGTCTCTGTATTTTTGTTGTTGGTACTTGTATCCTTGTCCTCGGACGCAAGTTCTACGTTGTTCGTCCTCCAACTGGATCAATTATCACCAATGCGTTCAAGGCCCTTGGCGTCATGGTTATGAACCGCAACATGGATGCGCCCAAGCCATCATGGCAAGCCGAGCACGGTGCCAACCGTACATACCCATGGGATGATCACTTCATCGATGAGCTGAAGCGTGCTTTGGTTGCTTGCAAAGTCTTCACCTTCTATCCGATCTACTGGGTCGTTTACAGTCAATTCTCTACCAACTTTGTTTCCCAAGGTAAGTCGTTCGAGCGTGCCCAGTTGATGATTTTCTGCATTGATCCCGTGCTGATCAAAGCACTGTAGCCGGTCAAATGGAACATCATGGCATTCCTAACGATCTGATGCCAAACTTCGACCCGATTGCCATCATTGTTTTCATTCCGATCCTCGATAGGATTATTTATCCCTTGCTCAACAAACTGCATATCCCTTTCCGGCCAATCACTCGTATTTCTTTCGGATTTATCGTTGCATCATTGGCCATGGTCTACGCTGCTATCGTTCAGAACCTCATTTACACTTCGCCGCCATGCTATAACATGCCACTGGCCTGCCCCGAGGCAGAGGTAGATGGTGTGAAGCAAGGAAACAGGATCCACATTGCTATCCAAGCACCTGCATATATGTTGATTGGTATTTCTGAAATTTTTGCTTCCGTCTCTGGGTTGGAGTACGCATACACCAAGGCGCCGCCAACGATGAAGAGTTTCGTTCAGTCTATGTACCTTTTGACGAACGCGTTTGGCGCTGCTCTTGGCGAGGCCTTGACGCCGGTCGCTCACGATCCGGAGATCATCTGGCTGTTTACTGGGTTGGCCTGCTCGTCCTTCACAGCTGGTGTCCTTTTCTGGATCGTCTTCCGTCACCTGAACGCCAAGGAAGAGGATATGAATGCTTTGGATAAGGACGACACGGTGGAGAGCAACTAGGTGGCTTCATTTTTGTTTAATTATAATCTCCCATTCACCTTCCGATACCCTCTCACGCGAAACGGATCATGCGACTATGGGAGAGATGGCTTGTATATAGATTATACATGGGATATCCATGAACATCTTGGTTGCATGTATGGGTTATTAATGTCATATACTTACGTACAAGCAATACCACTCGAGAATTTTCTCTGGAATAGTGACTCTTATCGTGCGCAGTGATTCTTTGGATATGTGAGCATGCAGTGTGAGCCGCGAATTGCTGGAATTGACAGACAGCCCGCTGTCATATAGTTCTGATCGCTCGCACTTATTACCCAGTCAGTCACAAGAGCGGACTAGTTTCTCCTTGTCCCCATGCTGCTGGAGAATATATTATCACTAACAGAGAAGGCCGGGATTCTGCGTTTCGCGGGCGGGGCTGCTTGGATGATTATGCTGCTGTATAAGTCTGACACTGACGTCGTAATATCATTCAATTTGGTGTGTATGTGTGAAGAGGGACTGTGTGCATCGTACAAGATAAAGTGCAAAGGGCAGCGGAGTCATGAGATCAGGAGCGGATGTGGGAATGGGTGGGCTTCTCCGTTTCTCCTTCCCAATAGTGATACTATGGGCGATATTGCACTGCGGAGTTTAGATTTTTGAGCAAAGTCCTTTGGCTTCTGCGAAGTGTTTGTTAGCCATTGTCCATGTGCGTACCTTAGAGTGACATCCTAGCAGTTCATTGCTACTACCGGAGTCACGTTAGCCAACATGTTCGTTGGGTTGAGGCCCATTTTTATGATTAACTATGGGCGTGCGGGTTTTCATCTAACTGCATGTCACCCCTTCACCGCAGATATGTAACAGCAGCGTAAATATGTAGAGAGCGGATGTTGTGTAGAACATGTGTACAGTACGTTGCTAATGTATCCAGATTGAAGAATGATAGTGGGCACAATGTGAGTCGGTGAGGGAGCATGGACATGCCGGGCGCGACTCGGGCCGACAGGAAAAAGCGGCCGGCCCCCTCAGGCGGGTTCGACGGGTGGCAGGGAAGATTACCCGCCGTGGGGGATGCCAACCGGGGGGAGGCTGCAGAGGTTGTTTCTTTCTTCTGATATTGTTTTGTTGCACCTTCCACAACCCCCTCCGAAAAACGCAGGTGCACGGCTTTTGCAGGAAGCGGCGGGCTGTGTGTTGGTATGGGCAGCGGAGGCAAGTGCGACCTTGGCTGGTTGGATTCGTCAGCCACGCTGGGGGCTTTCTGCACCGATCGGGCCTAGCGCCTTGTGTTGGGCTGAGCCCCATCGATTCCCTGACTTCTTCGACGTTCCTCCCAGTGACGTCCGTTCTCCCACGTTGTGCCTCGCTGAGAGCGTGATCGGTCAGCCCGAAGCTGACAGTTTGCAGCCCCCGCTTCGTGATTTGACGATGTGTGAGCGATATGCTTGCCCCGTCACCGTGGTGGACGAGCGACGAGAGACGATGACTGGGATGTTCCTGTTAGCGGCGCCAGACTGCAGAATTCCATTCGTCACAACTCCTTGCCGGGATGATTGTGATGCCACCTCATGTACTTGGCCATGTGGGATGTTCACAACCAAAACATGTTTGAAACAGCCCTGATTGCAGGCTTGGCCGGAGAGCAACAGGGGATTTTACTCGTTTCGGCCCCAAGCGCCGTCGGGTTGGTCAGATCTCCCCTCTCTCCGTATATTTCGAAGACTTTTCGAAGGCGAAAAGTCTTCAGGCTCCGCGTATACCCCGGTTCGCCCTGGCATGTGGCTCGCACCCTGTTCGTGATTATGAGAGGGCTGCGTCCTCACTGACAAGGGGACGGCGCCGCTCGTCTCGTATCCACCGGACTGTTCATTTCGCGCGATTTGTGTTTAAATGAAGCCATTTCTCTCTTTGAAAGTGAGGGAGAACAGATCACAGATCTTTTTTTTTTTTCTCTCTGTCTTTCCTTTCACAGCTGGGTTCTATCCCTCTTTTTTTGTGCGTTCTCTTTACTACACTCCTTTTCTTGCTTTCTGGGCTCTGTCCAGCTGGTTCTTCACCCTTCTATAGATCGCAGCGTGTCCGCGTGTCACTCCTTAAACAGACCACCGATTCTTTGACAGAATCTACCTGGTGCAACCAAGCAGAAATCCGAAAGGCTTTGCGCTATGGATGGCCGACAATCGAGCTCGTACGGGGATGCTGTCCGCAGGGCAAACAGCAACTCTTCCTGCCGATCCTCAGGCTGGTCCAGGGGGATCCTTTCCTTTTTGCTGATTTCATGGGTTTTTTTGGGATTTTCGTCTTTCACAGTCGGTGAGTGAGAAAGCTATTCTTACTCTATAATTTGCAATGCACAGATAATTTTCAGGATCTATTTCCTTTGATACAAAGCACACACCCTACCACTATACACTCTTGCTTTCGGTGGGAGTATTATCCCAGATTGGCAAGGGCTGAGCTTCTATATTTTTTCTTCCTTGAGCCTTTTCTTTAACCTGTCTTGCCACCTTTTTTGTGTCCCTCAAAAATGCTACTGTTGCGAGCAGAAGCAGATCTATGATATCACAAGCCTTTTCATTGCCAAGGACGGTTGGCTAACAACGGAAACTTCGTGTAGCGTCAAGTGTGGCGACGGATAGTATCCGATATCGAAGAAGCCCCTTTTTCCTGCCGCCGGCTCCAGAAGCTAGAAGTGTATCGGCACCGGGAAATGGGGGAAACTCTTCTGGTTACAAATCAGTTGTCTACTACGTCAACTGGGTACGCAACGTTTCTGCCTCGTCATGGGTCATGACGCCAATATCAAAAAAACTAACGGATCATGTTTAGGCTATATATGATCGGCAATATAACCCGCAGGACATGCCAGTCGACAAGATTACACATGTCCTCTATGCTTTTGCAAACATTCGACCGACCACAGGAGAGGTTTACCTGTCCGATGAACAAGCTGACATCAAAAAGCGATTTCCCACGGATTCTGCAACTCAACCAGGGAACAACGTCTATGGATGCGCGAACCAGCTCTATTTGCTTAAGAAGCGTAACCGAAATTTGAAGGTTCTCCTATCAATCGGAGGATGGACTTATTCCGAAAACTTCGCACCCGCTGCCAGCACGGAAGCGGGACGCAGCATGTTCGCTGAGTCGGCAGTGAAACTGATGTTGGACATGGGCATGGATGGTCTGGATGTCGACTGGGAGTACCCTAAAGGTAAGCTCCCTACTTCTTGAGTGTGAATGATTTGCTACAAGGCCTATGCTAATACTGTGAGGTGTAGATGACAAGGAGGCTCAAGATTTTGCGGCTCTTCTTAAAGCTGTTCGACAGGTACAGGCTCCCGGCGTTTTCGGGTCTTGAGACGTTAGACTAACTTCTGCGAATAGAAATTGAACTCCGTAGCAGGAGGGCGCAAATTCCTTCTTACCATTGCTGCTTCAGCTGGTGCGTACCAAATTTGATGTTCAACAGTACAGAAGCTAACTGTTATTTATTAAAGGAGCGGAGCATTATGAGAAGCTGCACTTGAAGGAGATGGGCCAGGACCTTGATTTTATCAATATTATGGCGTACGATTACGCTGGCTCTTGGTCTGCCATGGCGGGCCACCAGGCAAACCTTAGACCGTCAATGTCAAACCCGCAGTCAACATCCTTTTCCACTGAAGCCGCACTCGATTACTACATCAACACGGGCGGCATCCCCGCCTCAAAACTTGTCCTCGGAATGCCTCTCTATGGCCGAGCCTTTGCTAACACGGAAGGTCCTGGCAAGCCCTACCAAGGAAACGGAGGTGCTGGAAGCTGGGAACCGGGAATCTGGGACTACAAATCTCTCCCACAGCCTGGTGCCAAAGAATTCATGGATCCGATGGTAAACGGCGGAGCCGGTGCATCGTGGAGTTATGATCCCAGCAAGAAGCTTATGATCTCCTACGACACCGTGCCAATGGTTGAAGCAAAGACGAAATACATCGTTGACAAGGGCCTGGGCGGAGCCATGTGGTGGGAGGCCAGTGGTGACCGCGGGGGCAAGGACGCAACCAAGGCTGGTGGAAGCTTGATTGCCACATTTGCCGAAGATGTGGTTAAAGCAGGAAAAATGGGGCTGGACAAGACGCAGAATGCACTACAATATTCGGAGAGCCAATACGACAATATCAAGGGTTAAACGTCGCGAAATTAGATAGTGGGATGTGGCGCTGGGCTTGCCACACAGGGCCTTTCGATTCTTACCCCTTTCTTTTCTTCTTTTCTTCTTTTCTTCTTTCTTTTTTTCTCTCATCTTTTTTCTGCCCTTTTCACTTCATGCTGTGCATTCTCCACATGCTGGACTTACATTCTTCGTTGATACCCCGCGCTATTGTGCCGGACGCAGTGAGATTCCGCTCTAGAAGGGCTGGAACTACTTATGATTGATGTGAAATGATTGCTCATCTCTTGATTTGGCTTTTTTTTTTGACTTCGCCTGTATATGAATATTGTGTGGTAGATCTGTGGATGCATTTGCGCTCTGGATCAGAGTTTTACACAGTTAACTGCTTGCCCTACTGGGAACCAAACAACAAAAAAGGGACCAAGGTACTTGATGATATTTGAGGCTTCTAAGCTACATAGATACAAAAAGCTTTTCAGCTCTCACAATATATCAGTGCAGCAGGCACCGGATACCATTCCAGCTAGCTACATTTATTTGGACTCATCGAAGACATAGGTAAGATGGCACTTGCCGCAGTACTGGCGGTTGTGCATGGCAGCCATGAAAACACCAGCACCGCACTATCATCAGAAAATAGGAATCACTTTCGTTAGCCCACAGTTCAAAGCCGGATAAAAGTAATGTTGGTTTGCGAAGATATCTATTTTACTCACCTCAGCAGAGGGACACTCGCGTCTCAAGCGCTCGATCTTGCCATCGGCATCGACCTTGTAGTATTTGAGCACAGACAACTTGGTCTTCTTGCGCTTGTGCTTGATCTTCTTGGGAGTGGTGTAGACCTTCTTCTTTCTCTTCTTAGCACCACCGCGGAGACGGAGGACGAGGTGGAGGGTGGACTCCTTCTGGATGTTGTAGTCGGAGAGGGTGCGGCCGTCCTCGAGCTGTTTGCCGGCGAAGATGAGGCGCTGCTGATCCGGGGGGATACCCTCCTTGTCTGGATTTGGGGATTAGTCTAGTGTGTTTTTGTGTGAGAGGGAGTGTGGGCGGGTTGATGGGACGGTACCTTGAATCTTTGTCTTGACGTTGTCGATGGTGTCCGAAGACTCCACCTCGAGGGTGATAGTCTTACCCGTGAGGGTCTTGACGAAGATCTGCATTTTGACGAAGGCCTGGGAGACGAACTTGGTTAGTTTGGCATGTTCTCCGTTTGCGCTGCACGGGGGGTGTGTTCATGGGCAGCCGATGGAAAGGAGAGATCAACGGTAGTCGTAGAAAATCGATTATTGTGAAAGCATGATGTGCGGTTTCATCAGCTGGATGGGTGGAATGAATGGGAACAAACTCACCTCGACAAGTTGTCTTCCTCAACCTTCTTGGGTGCCAATCTCTGTTGAAGGAGATCGATATTTGTGCGTTTCGAAAAAAGTTCGCGATGTGGGCTTGTGGATCACGTGGTTTCTAGCGTCGCTGCTGAGTCAGCGGAGATAAGGCTGAAGTGCTGCCTGTCCGCATTTGGCGGTTGCCGGGCCGACGGCGCTTTATTTACTCGGCTTCCGGTTCGTGGCCGCCTGGGACGTCCCATGTCCGGCGCGCGCATCCACCTCGACGTCGAGCTCTCCATCGCGCTGCACGACTCACCGGACGGCATCGCAAGAGCAGCAAGACACGCGCTTGTCTGTTGCTCTACCAGAACTCCTGTGATCCTCCTTGAATCTTACTCTTATCCTTTCAAGTTTTCTATCCTAGTCGCGGTATCCTGCAGTGCGCTCATTTACGCATAGTTCGGTTGAGGATTTTCGTCCTATACTCCACTACATATTAATTGTTTACGATATCTTGTTCCAACACTATAATTTTTTGTTTTCAACATTGACCTATCTACCCTAATGAAGATTTGAATGGAATCACCTTGCACTGCTGTGCCTTAGAATACTCGGTGCCGGCCTTCATCAGACCTATCACCGATTTGCATTCATCCGAACCACCGTCCGTCAAAAGTGAACTGCCGACATGCTGGCGGCCTTGAATGTGAACTTTGACCGCCCCGAGAGTACTCTTCAGCACCGTTGTTTGTTCCCTGGGTCGGTTCAACCCGATGCCGCCACTAAATCAATGCCACCGGCAGTCCGACACCGTAGAGGATTGAGCCTCGATCAGGGACTAGCGAGGAGTCGACAAAAGGTTCTCAGTCCCAGATATGATCGTTTCGAGCCACTCCAATGGCAGGACTTTACCGTGGAGCTCGCTGGGGGAGCAACACATCGTCCCAACACCCCAAGCCAACAAACCGGCTCAGGTGAGGCTCCAAGCCCATCCATTTTGGTGAATGCCTTACTGACCCGAAGAAGACTCGCCTCCTTTGACACCGTCATCGTCTCCATACTGGAAGCCGGCACGTGTTCCACGCGCATGCAAGACTGCCCAGTCCTCGCCGGTAAAACAACATGCAGTCGCGTCTCGTAATTTGGTCGCGATGGAACGAGTAAAATCTCTATCTCTGCAGGGGATATCGAGTAGCTTCTTATCGCGGGAAACCCTTGCACCGCTTTCCAACACGAATTCCCTTCAGCCACCAGATACTTTCGATCTGCAAAGCCCAAAGTTAAGCGACGATGTTTTCTCAGAGTTTACCTTTAATTCGCCGGAGAATTTTGAAACTGCATCGGTATTTTCTCCCATTCCACCCAGTATGCCGTCATTCCTGTCATTATCCAGCATAATCGGTGATAGAAGCAACCCCGCTACGGCCAATAAGGCAGCTAAAGTACCGATAGCGCCTGCGGCTCCACTAAATTCTGCTTCACAACGGACAACAAGTCGCTCTTCCTCGCCCGCAAAGGCACTGTTATCGCCTCGTGCTCTGTCTATTGCGGATCTCAACCTTGATGCCAGTATAGATGCCTCGATTGAAGAAACCGGCATCACTCTAGAAGATATCGCGGCACATATCGAAGGACCCGATCCGATCGACAACAAGTGGATATGCACGTACGAAGGCTGCAACAAGCGCTTTGGGAGAAAAGAAAACATCAAATCCCACGTCCAAACGCATCTTGGAGATCGCCAATTCAAATGCAATCATTGCAATAAATGCTTTGTTCGTGGTCATGATCTCAAACGCCATTCCAAAATTCACACCGGGGTCAAACCGTATCCTTGTGAGTGTGGCAATAGCTTTGCGCGACACGACGCGTTAACCCGGCATAAACAGCGGGGAATGTGCAGCGGCGCATTCGCAGGTGCGGTTCGCAAGCCTTTGAGGCGAGGAAGGCCGAAAAAGAGGCCAGATGCCGACGAGAGACGGGAAAAGGCCACAAAGACCCGCGAGCGGGCGAAGCAGGGCCACACACGCACGCTATCCGAATCTTCCTGTGCTTCTTTTATCTCTTCTGCAAGCGAATGCGCCGACTCTGCGAGTGTTCGGGAAGGAAGTCCATCAAAGGACTTACCGTTCATGCCAAACAATACGTTCGGTCTACACCCAGATACGTTTTCATTTACTCCACCCGCGTCGCCTAGCCATAGCACCGGGAATATGCCATCACCTGCTCGAAGTTATCACTCCCTAGCTTTGGATCCGGAACTCAACCCATTGTACCTCTCACCAAGCAAAAGGCCTCTGGACGATATCCCTGAAGAGATTCCCGATATCCCATTGCTCGCTCCTGACTCACCGCTGCCAGTCAAAACTGAAGTAGGCACCGAATCCCCGGCTAGGATTCTTTGGCCAACAACGATAGGGTCGGATGGTATAAACAAGACAGATAATCCAAATTTGGACGATGTGTTTATTAGCCATACAAGTGAAGCCACGATGCGCCATGACCAACTTCCCGCTCTTGACCCATCAACAACTGATATTTCGGAACCAAACTCGTCTCAGTACGACGATGAATATTTCCTAAGCCATGGAGACGCGGATGGATCCGATTTACTTAACACTCATTTGTTTCCGGTATCTTTTTCTCCCGAAACCGAAGCCTTTTTTGACCGGTTCACCATCAAAAACGGAGCTTAGGCGTCATGTTCTCCCTTTCTACTCTCCTTGATTTATACTGGTATGTCTTTTAGCTCAGCGTATTTTGATTCTTTCCCTGGAGTCAGTTATCATGATTGTTTGGAGACTTAGCTTGGCTTTCTTTTGTCGTATTTCCGCTTCATCTGGTGGTTAGAGTATGTATCTGTACAACATTATGATCTTCCCTTTGACGAAGATTTGGGTGTTTTGTGTTTGGATGCTTTTGCCGTATGATTTCGATCTATTTCCTTCGATGCCACGACCTCCCTTTTTCCCCTTTTTTTTTTTTTTTTTTTTTTTTTTTGGTGCAGATAGTTTCTCGTGCTTCACTTTGATACCATCGACTTCCTGGCCTTGCGATCGGCTTTTGGTTTTTGATCTTGGATGGCGTTTCACTGTACGGAGTAACTAGCCAATAATTAACTAGTTAGATGCCAAGCTGCGCTGGGCTGCAGTATAGAAATCTGCGCGCTTAATTCAACTTTCACTGTTCCTGTCCAAAATATGCGACGCATCGACGTCAAGATGACCTTCAAGGGTCTTTCAGGAAAGCTACGGCTCCGTACCATGGTTATAGCTGCTCGGGGAAAGGGCCTCTGAACTTTTCAGATGGCGACAATTTCATCCATCCGACCTTCAATCCCACAACGGGAGGGTTTTCTCTGGGTTCTCGTTGTGTTGGGACGCCCATATCCAACCCTAAGATGAGAGCCTGCGCCGCAGTTCTTTTTTTGTTACCTTGAAAAATGGAATAATAGGCACTCTCCGTGCTTTTGACTGTGGTGTTCTATCGATTCAACAGAAAGAGATGGTGACTTCATCGTTACCACAACTTGATATGATTTCAACCTGAAGTTAAAAAAGAGCAACATGAGTGCTGGCTTGTGGCTTTGGATATGACAATATCCTATTCCTCCTTTAAAAGTTCCTCAGCATGTAAAGCTGACAGGCCCTTTTGTGCTCCTTTCCGATTCCCCATAATACCCCGTGATCCATTAGGTGTTCAGGTATCTGTCGACGCGTGTCTCTAAGATACTACCTAAAGCCCTTTCTTATCCTTTCCCGCGAAATTCACCAAGATGGATGGAGTTCTAGAGTTATCCAAGCAGGCGACGCATGCTTATGCTGTATCAATTCTATGCTCTGTTTTAATTTCTCTCTTTTTAGTTGCTGCCTTCATCTCTTTCACTTGGCCCTGGCGCGTGGCGTTGCGGGAAGTGGCCACTCTCGCATCTATGGTATGCATTTACAGCTTCCACTGAAATCTGCTTTGACACCCACTGATGATTGTCGGAGCAGTTGTTGGGCCTGGTATCTACCATAACATTATCTGAGGGTAAGTAAATACCCTCACCATATACTTTAGTTGAGGGTAGTTGAGCAAGGCAATGCTCACAGATTTTTGGGTTAGCGATTCGCGAGCAGTTTTCTAAGGACCCCTTCGATGCTGCAGATTCCTCTAGGGTAAGCCTGTTATCTGAGTCTCATACACATTGTGAATTCACTAAGTTGTGATATGAAAATTCTTAGGTTGCTGAAACTTATGTGGTGGCATATTCTACTTTCCATTTATCACTCTTACTTGCCAGAACGTTTCTATATGCAGAATTCTGGAACCTGTACAGATCAAGTCGATTCCGCCACATTATCTTCTGCTGCCTCCTGTTACTTCTCTATGACTTCAGCCTGCTCCTACCGACACTTGTGTCATGCTATGGGGAAACCATGGGTGAGCAGTGCACATATATTACTCCTGCCGCACCTTTTCCCAAGCTATCCTGGTGGAGGCTTGTTGTTAGCAGCAGCCTTGTTTGTGACATAGTCTTCTTTCTCCTCCCGATTCGGTGGATGTTTTGCTTGGCCTCTAAAAGAGAAAGACAGGTTTGGATTGCGATAGGGCCAGTGTTAGGTGCCTTGTAAGTGAAGCATTGCTTGCGTCGATTATATCTAATGAATGCAACAGCGCTTTATCACCACCCGCCATGCGTTACGCGTACATGCATGACGCAGATGGTAAAGAAAACCCAGTTGGTAAGTACTATGAAGATTCCCTATTGCCAAAAGACCCTCTGTCCTTTATTCAAAAAGAGTTCTGAATCATTTCCCCACAGCTAACATTACTAAAAAAAAGCGCAAATCTTGTCATACTGGCTTCTCAGTGCCATCCAGTGCCTCGCTATAGCACTGATTATGTCGATACCCGCAATTCGTTTCTACGGGGTTAAATGCCAGGCCTTGGCCGCACAATTTAACGCCAGCCACACCCCGCTGCCAGTACGTTTGCCTCGCTTGGACGTACGCTTGCGCCGGTTTAGATCCAAACATCGTTCTTCAAAGGAACCCCTTATCAGACATTCGACACGCTCTTGCGATGGACACCAGCTTGCAGAGCTTGATGAGATACATGTTCCATCGCCTTCCGCGAGCAGTCTGAGACGATGCAGCGCGGATGATCAGCCCTCAGATGATGATATTTTCCTTGCGGTTGGGTGTCAAATGGTGCGCGCTTCTAGAGGCACTCAAGTTCAGGGAGACACAATTGAGCCCCCGCCAAGAGCGGCTCGCCCGTGATTTTATTGGGACAGATATTCGAACTAAGATGACGTTTTGAACAAATTTTTAGTTCTGGTAGGTATCGTTCGCCATATTTCCATTTTTTAAGGCGACGAAAATAAAAAGGACATATGAAATTTGACTACTTGCCTATGTTATGTGGTTATGAAATGCAGCGCTTACAGCTACCCAAGGTTATGTCTTGTAGGTTTAAAAGCAATACAATCAGATTCAACTCCAGTATGACGTTCCCAGACTTATATCATATATAGATCAGTCATGACCCATCAACATAAACCCCAGAAAAAGCACCACATCTATACTCAGTTGAGGGAAGGGGTATTTTCGCTAAAATTACAGACCAGCGCCGAAAAACGCAGTGATGGCGTGAGCAGAATATGTATAGCGAGTATGTACTATGTAGAGATGACCGATTCCTAGGCAGAAGCCTTTTTCTCCTCGGCTTCCTCCTGCTTCTTTTCTTTCCATAGCCTTAAGACTTCAAAGCCCACCTCAACGGCAATCAATAGAATTATGGTCCATTCTAGTCGTAAGCCGTGCGTTTCACTCAGTCTTTCACGAAGGACACTAGCGATTTCTTGGGCATAGTCCATCTTTTCGTTTAGAATCTTAATACGTATTCCAACGTCAAGAGCCCTTCCAACTTGATCATAATTGCCCTCAAGGCCAAGTTCATGCTTGCTGTCCCAGAACAGGTCGGGAAGAGAATCTGTTAGCTCCGAGTAGAGGTTCAACTGCGCTCGTAAGCTAAGAAGCTGGCCTGTCTTGCGCAGGATAAATCCTCGTGAGTACGGCAGTCGCGTTCCTTTGGAAAGGAGGGTGGGGATATTGCGTGTCGAGTCAAAATAGTTGGACAACAGGCTCTCCAGGACAGCCAGCTTTGTGCTTCTAGCCAACCCTGAGGAGAACGCGATCTTGGTAAAAACCGTATCTACCGACTGCCTCTCTGAACGGTTGTATTCGTGGCGATTATTTTCCAGGGTGGGCTTTGTTCCCAAGATGATCTTATCGCCTTTCATCGTACTGCTATCACGCTGGGGATCTTCTGAATATTCTAAATGCTCCGTTTCCATATCGGCGATATGCGGATTCTCAGCTGCGGGTAATAGGACCGTGCTCGCAAGGTACGACGTGAATCCTTCCGGTAGAGACCATGATACAACTGTGCCTGACGGGAAGATGAAAACGTCTCCAACCTGATCCGCCGGTAAATCCGATGCGGCCAGGCTTGTGGTTCTTCGTATCGAGTCAAGAGGGACTTGTACGTGGATTACTTGAGGATAAAGGCCGGTTTCGAATGGATCCGGTTCATAGCCCTTTGCTAACAGAATTTTCATCACCTTTCCGATGTCGAACTGTTCGGCAACAGCGTAGGCTGTAACCATCTGTTCCAAGTAATACAACAATAAGCGCCCATAACGAAACTCCCCAAATATAGCAGAACTAACATACCTTGGTCTGAGCAAGCGGCTCTTCGCTCGGGTGAGGTCTTCTTCTGCCATCTTTTGAAAGCTGTGCTTCCACGGCGGCCCGGCGCAGAGACGTTTTCGCTGCTGGAGATCTGGACGATCGTTTTGCCTTCGATAAGTCTACCGAGGCATTCTCGCCGACGGGAGGTTCGGGAATTGATTTTGATGAATAGAAACCAGTTTGCTGAGGGGAGCCGCGAAGGGAAAGCAATCGGATGCCGAAGACGGGTGCAGACCGTCTTGGAGCTCCGCAACGCACAGAGGGCCCTAACAATCTGGATACGGTTCGAGGCGCAAACATCACTTGGAGAGGATTAAGGACAAGACTGACGGGGACGGAGAGTTAGGACCATTGCTGGCTGCAGGAGCAGCGAAGGCATTCCTCCTTCCTTGAAGCAACAGGCAGACAGGGCGTCGAATTCCTCAGAGAAGCCGCCGGACAGGTGCAGCTCCGGAGAGAAGGGAAGACGGGGAGAGATTTTGCGGCGGGTGTTTTATTCTGCTGATTCTTCCCGTTCCTCCCGGGTTGTTCAGAGGCAATCCGGATTTACTATCGTCCGTGAAGGCGCCAACATGAGGGCAATGAGCTCATCACCAACCCAACCATAAACAACAGCTCAGAATGCTCACTCTCTCCTCTGTGGTTATCGCGCAATTCCTACCTTAGATTGCTATGAAGCTTCCCAAACGATAGACTTACTGTCATGTAAGCTCCAATTCCCTTAGCCTCCTTGCTGGTTCAAAAAAGGCGGTTTGAAATGGCGGATGACGCGATCCTACCCGAAGCTGGGGACTCAAAGTCAGCTTCCAGTCCCAGTTCGTCCGCCAGGGAAAGACAAGCGGAGCAAGATAACAACCATCGGAGCGAAGAAGAATATGATGACGATGACGACGAAGAAGAGGAGGAGGAGGAGGAGGAGGATGAGGAGGAGTCAGACGGCGAGGATGAAGATGAAGAGCCACGACTTAAATATGTCTCCTTCACCAAAAGCATAGGCCCAGTGTACCGCAATGGCGATGCGACAAGCAGCTTTCTCGTTGGTGGGGATAAAATGGTAAGTCCTGGCTTGGATGCGAAACAGATGTGTGAATTTGGCTGATCATCTCTAGATTGTTGGCACTCATAATGGGAATATTGTATGCACGAGAAGCTCACCACATGTGCATTTTCTTTTTTTTTTTTTTCCCCTCTTTTTCAACTAACAAGCTCTGTAGCTTGTCTTCGACGCTTCGACCTTCCAGCGCTTTCGAGTGTATCATGCCCATTCAGCCAGCGTGACCTCCGTATCGATGTCTCCTTTCCCACCACCTCTGCCTTCCAACACGGGTGGAAAGAACGCACCCCTGGCGGATTCATCAAGCCGCGCATCGGTGGACCTGTCGAAGTCTCCTGGACAATCGCGACAAACGACAGTACCCCATTCTCCTTCAAACGCGATATACATAGCCACATCTTCCATCGATGGGAATGTATGTGTCTCGTCGCTGTTAGACCCCAAAGATGTACTCCTTCGGAACTTTGGTCGCCCTGTCCAAGCCGTCGCCCTGTCCCCGGATTATAAAAGCGACAAAACTTATTTATCCGGAGGACTTGCTGGCGATTTAGTCCTTACGGTCGGTGGACGTGTTGGAACAAGTTCAAATTCAACCACGATGGCCGGTGCTACTGCGAGCCCGTCCGGTTGGTTCGGAGCGTTAGGCTTCGGTGGGAATAACGGTAAGGACACTGTCCTGCACTCTGGCGAAGGGAGTATAAGCGCCATCAAGTGGTCATTGTCGGGGAAGTATATCGTCTGGGTTAATGAGGAAGGGATCAAAATTATGCGGTCTCACCTACACTTGGATAACGCCGACTCGGACTTCGCGTGGAAACGGATGAACCATGTTGACCGTCCTCGCGGCCCACAGTGGGACGAAATGGCGGGTGTATGGAAGCCCAGAGCCGAATGGATAGATGAAGATACCTACCCGGGTGGGCCAGGTACAGGTGAGGCGCATACTGGGCAGCTAAAGCTTGACCATCGAGAAAGATTGGTGGTGGGCTGGGGAGGAACCATCTGGGTGATCAACGTTTTCCCCCCAGGGCGCGATAAAGATCCCCGAAAGAATGTAATCGGTTCCGCAGAGGTTGTCGCAATGTGAGTTTTATATATATATATATATATATATATCAAATGCGTCTGTCTATGCGCAGCTAATCATTTCATAGATTACGCACAGACTGCATTGTGTCCGGAGTTTCGCTTTATAACCCCAATGTGCTGCTTGTCCTATCATATGTTGCATCCGAAGACGATGGCAAGTCAAAACGGAAGCAGGTTGGGCCCACTCGTGGCGTTAGACATCGACAAAACGGCCTCGAGCCAGAGATAAGGCTCATTGACGTCGAGACCAAAGAGGAACTTAGCGTCGACACGCTTACCATGCGCCGCTACGAGAGTCTTTCGGCGTCCGATTATCACCTTGGGGCTCTGCCACCGGCCAAAATTCTCGATACCCCCATACGCCGAGGAACGTTTGAAACAATCGGAACGGGTATACTGGATGCTACCCTGTATCCGACTCGCCTTTTCAGTTCCGCAAGTAGTGTTCGGAGCGTGACAAGTAGTGGGGATAGAAGATCGAGCCTGAAGCCGTCAAGCTTGGCCGATGCTCCGGTTGCCGATCACGATAGTAAAGAACTTGCGATCCTGGCTAGCGAAGGAATCAAAATTTTCATTCACAGCCCATACGACTGTGTGGTTGCCGTGAAAAGAGATGTTAAAGACCGTCTTTCCTGGTTGAAGGATCATGAGAAATATGAAGAAGCCTGGGAACTTCTTCAGCAACATCCAGAAGCCGTAGCTCAAGATATTGACGAAGGTGAAAGCCCCTTGAGTACTCCCAAACAACGTCGAGGGAGCGTTATTGGGCTATTTTCAGAGCCAGTCGACCGAGCAGACAACATAAAGCTGGAGAAAGAGCGACAAAATGTTGGTGAGTCGTGGCTGGAGCAGCTTATTAGCAACAACAACTGGGAGAAAGCTGGCGAGGTGTGTGGTAAGGTGCTCACCACAACGCCAAAATGGGAGCACTGGATCTGGATATTCGCGAAAAACAACAAGTTTGACGAGATTGTATCTCATGTTCCCCTCGATATTCACCCTCCATTGCCTGGCCTAGTTTACGAAGTGATCCTTGGGCATTACGTCTCACGAAATCATATGAAATTCAAGGAGTTGCTTGACCTCTGGCCGCCCAACCTTTTTGACATTGATAGCGTCATAGCTGCCATCAATGAACAGATAAAGTCTTCAATTGCAGCGGAGGAAGCAGATGAGAGCCGCCTTTTAACAGAATGCCTTGCACAGCTGTTCTTGGCCGGAGGACACTATCGTGAAGCATTACGATGCTATATTCGACTTCAGGACGCAGAAACTGCCATGTCTCTTATACGAGAGCACCATTTGCTTGATGCAGTCGCAGACGATGTGCCGGGTCTTATTCTCATTCGAGTGTCAAAGGATCAAATTAAAAGTGCATCCATTTCCGAGCTCGAAGCAGCCACATCTGAACCTATCAAACTCCTCGTACGCGAGGCGGTTAATGGAATTGTACATCCAGCCACCGTTATCTCCCAGCTCCAAGCGGCAGATTTGCATCTTTTCCTGTACTTTTATGTTCGCGCCCTTTGGAAGGGGGATTTTCTCTCAACGACCACCGATAAGGGGACAACCCCAATACGAGGGCATCATCGAACAAGCGCTGCGGATAAGCTTGTCGCTGATGAAGGGAGGCTATTGATCGATGCCTTTGCGGATACGGTGGTCGAGCTATTCGCAGACTATGATCGGCCCTTACTTATGGACTTTTTGCAGTCCAACACGTCATATTCGTACAATGCAGCGTGCGCAACTTGTGAGCTTCGTCACTTCACCCCGGAACTTATCTACCTCTTCTCCAAAACCGGTCAGACCAAACGAGCCCTTCACTTGATTCTATCAGACTTAAGAGACGTCTCGCATGCTATATCCTTTGCCAAATCCCAAGATGACCCCGATCTCTGGGAAGACCTTCTTTCGTATTCCATGGATAAACCAGAATATATTCGATGTTTGCTTGTTGAAGCAGGAACAGCAATCGATCCGATCACGTTGGTGAAGCGAATCCCGAGTGGATTGGAGATCCAAGGATTGAGAGAGGGTCTGACAAGGATGATTCGCGAACATGATATCCAAGCTAGCATCAGTCAAGGCGTTGCCAAAGTCCTTGCGGGTGAAGTTTCGATGCGAATGGACACCCTTCGGAAGGGACAACGGCGAGGCATCAAATTTGACATCGTACCCAACGAAGAAGCCAAACCTACGAGTGCAGTGTCGCAACATAATGAGCCAAAAGAAGAACTAGATGCAAAAGGAAACGTGGAATCATCGGAGAAGAAACAAACCTTTGAGCCAGGCCGCTGCGCTGGCTGTCATTCCAAATTCATAGAACAAGGTGAGATTTATCTATCCCAAATATACTCCGTCACAGCAGGTTGGATGCTCATATTTCAGCAGAAAAAGAGCCGCTGGTCGGCTTCGCTTGTGGACATGTCTATCATCTGTCTCATCTCCACCTGACTCCACGGGGCCATTCATCTGGCGAAGGAAATTCGCAGTTGGAACCCCCACAATCAACGCTGTACGAAGACTCGTCACCTCTTTTGTCGCGTACTGTTGGTCTCAAAGTCACAAATGCTAGACTGTTACGTGAGAAAATCGGCGATGGATGTCAGATCTGTGCGTCGAAAAGGGTGACCCAAGGCCAGTAAGAGTAATAGACGATATCCATCTGCACCTGGTCCCAGCGGCTTCTTGAGAGACATGAAATGAACTCGATTAAGCGCTGCGCGTACATTTGCCCTTGTTGTGGTTGTATCCCAGGCAGTTCACCTTGCTGAAAAGGATAAAGTATGTAAAGACAGTTCTGCGGGGTCGAGACTTTTGGAACGTGTCTAATTTATTTTCCTTGCAACCAAAGATGACGGGCACCATAAACACTGACGAACTTTGAGATTGTTGATGATGCTGTCTGACATCCCGGTCTGATGTATTCTATGTTCGACAATTGGCGTGCCCATGGATATCTCTCGCGTCTTCCAAGGATCTAAGTATAACCTCTAGCTCTTTCGACATCAATTCATAATGATGATACGAAAAGAAAACACAGCCGCGTGGAGGGCGGGAACGCGGCTGTGGGGAGAGGCAGGGGTAGTCGCCTTGTCGACAATTTCCAATTGTGCTGTCATGGGAACTACAGCCTACAAGCAACACAGGCAAGATTGGGAAGACAATCGTATCAAATGATACTATCGACAGGAGCAATTACAATAATTGTTCAATTCTTCTCTTCGTTACATTACAACTTGCTAGACAATTTCATCAATTTCAACCGAGCATCCAAGCAAGACAAACCACCGAGAGATGACTCAATCCGAAACGAAGATCCATTAGAAAATATTAAGAATTGCAACAATCAAAGCGCCGAAGACACCGCCGGTAACGCCAGTCACATGGGTCGCGTCGTTGCTTGGGGCCGGAGCAGTGGTGGAGGCCGGAACAGTTGAGGTACTTTCTGTTTCCTCGGTCTCAGTGGACGAAGACACCTTGACTTCGGTGCTGCTCGAAGTGACATGGGGAGTGGTGCTTTCGCTGATGGTCGAGACGCTGGTGACAACCGAGCTGAAGACGCTGCTGGTTTCAATGATCGGAGAGGAAACAGGAATGGAGGCAGCAGTGGTGCTAACGACTGGGCTTGTGACGCTTGCGGGGCTGCAGTCAGTGACGGTGACGGTAACGACTATCGGGTCAGTCGTCGAGTTAGCAAACTGGCTGTTGTCAGTGTTTGCAAAAGACTTACCATCAGTAGCGGCAAGGTCGCCGTTGTCGCGAATGTTGACCTTGTTGGCATCGATGTCTGATACGGAGTCAGTGACAATGTCGAGCACAGCGGATGCAAGGGAGGGTCGTGGTTGGTTTTTACCGGCGTTGATGTTGACTGTAAGAGTGGTGAAGGCCAAAATGGCCGCTGCGATCTTTGTGTTCATTATGTTGGGATTCGGTTTTGAGTATGTTTGAAAATTTGAAAAGGTAGCTAATTATTGGTTTTGGATAAATAGCTGTTGAAAAATAAAGAAGAAGAAAAGAAGAAGCTTTCCCGGAGAGAAAAGAGTAATTTATACTGCTGGGGGCCCCCACGCTATCGCCAAGCGAGAGACGTGATCTAGAGCCTGTTGCTGATTTGGTGAGCTCTGATTCGATCCTCCGGCTTCGAAACAGGAGCAGGTGACTTTGTCCTGATCTCGCAGAACAGTCCACCCGCCATGTCGGAAGTGTACCAGGCTCCGGAGGTCGTTTGATATCGTATTTAAAGCTATTTCCGTCTTACTCAAGAGCAATTAAGGAGTCTCAAGCGTGTCTAATATACGTAGCATACGCTTACCTAGTCCTTACATTCACGGCCCACGGTTTGATACCGCCATTGTCGACGTACTCCTTTGGCTGTCCCAGGGGATCTATGGTGGCTGGACTGGAACATATATGGGCCCATAGACGCTTGGACGGCGTCCCTATTTTACGGCGGGAGTGGCGCTGGCACTTTCGGGCAGCTTCCTTCCTTGCACTCTGCGAAAACAAGCCCGTCTTGCTCCATTCCACTTCGAACAGCCGGTGGAAGGGCCTCACGATACCTTTCGTTTTTGGATCCCGCAACTTCTCCCTTTTGTGAAGAACAATTGCAGTTCCTACCTTTCCTCTCCGAGTCCTCCGTCTCCCTGTCCTGCTACCCGTTGATATTGAAATAAACTTACGCTAAGGCGGGAGCTTAAATTTAGCGCATACGCTAAATGTGCTTACTTTCTCACACCAATCCATGTGGCAGCTCCTCTTCAACACTGTCCTACGTCACTACAGAGGCTACTCCCGTTCACGCTAAGCCCCTCCAGGCTCTTAATAACAATGTGAATCTGGTATTGGTCCCCCTTTGGCTGGGGAAGGGTGGTGGCTTTGTGCAGGGCTGTGATGGGAGTGATGGGAGTAAGCCCAGAGTCGGAACGGAACATTCTATCTCCTCACGCTAAGAAATTTCTTAGTTTTTCTCAGGGAGGCGATTCTTTTCCTTTCAGGTTTATTCTTCCTTCATTTTTTGTATGTAGCTGTCAGATAATGCAACGCCTAGCCCGCCGGCGCCATTTCCGATAGTGATTTTGGATAAGATCGGATACCCAACGTCTATATTCTTGTTTATATCTACATTATAGTCTCATCATCTGCCTGGAACGATTAATCGAGGCCATGGCCGTATATATGTGTGTATATATATATATATCTATATATCTCGATGCCGTTGCTATGCTACCGTCTTCCTCGACGGTAACATATCCAATTGCCACCTTCCCGGTCAACCTTACAACCATTAATCCGTCGCTATCTCGCCCTCTACTTTCTTTCTCTGATCTTCCGCACCCACAGATCTAAATTTCTCGGAGAAACAGCCAAGCCTCTGATCCCCATGGCATCCAGGATGGACCTGCCAGGAAATGATCTGATCCTAATGGGCCAGCGGGAAGATCAGAAAGTTTCTAATTCGCTATGGGTTGCGAGATATTACCCAACGGCCAGCTACAGGAGAATAATTACATACGGTACGATACCGGTTACTTCAAGTTGCATACGTGGCAGCTGATGTCACGGGAATATTTTTTTTTTCCCGCAAAGAGAACTCGGCCCCCGATAGGTAGCGGGCCAGAATGGCTTCAGCAGTCGAACGTAAACATGGTGTCTATAGCCAGAGAATAAGTTCCAGTGGCGGGCTAAATGGCTCTATCTACGGCAGCGAGATGTCCCCCATCTACATTCTTATTCGTTTCTACCGGTGTTTTCTCGACGACGACTACTACAGTGTCTTTCTCGCTTTTGCGCTCATGGTCAAACAGTCAATCAGGGAAAACAATAAACATATCGAAGATTTTGGAGCTTGGAGAAACTTCGTGGGTTACCAACAAACTCCCATCTCTTCTTCCCTCACCATCTTTCGAGGGATCTCAAACATACCAGAACGGTCAGGTAGTCCTTTCGCTCCACCAGCATTGATTCCCAGTCCAAACATTTTCCAAGAACACTTGAAAACTGCAGGTAAAGAGAACGTTCCTTTCCGCACACTTGCTTCTCCAAGGAACGGGACTTTGAGAGCATGAACAAAAAACAAGATTACAATACATCTTCAAGCATAACCTATAATGGGAGGCACACGTAGACGGCCTAACGCCAGAGAGATATCGATACCGGCCAGGTAGTGGTTGGTTGTAGCATTAAGCCCCGGTGCTGGAGGGGTACGAAGTGGGGTTTACTACTGATCAGAGCAGATCGCCTTTCGAGGATATCATGTATCTAGCTTGCTCCACGACAAGGGGGGCAATAATTAGTTTTACCCCGATATATCACTCTGGTATATAAAGTGGAGCTTATTCTACATACTTTGATTGACATATTTCCTCACTTTTTATTTTAATAAGACGCCTATTAAACCTAACCCCTTAAAAAAAAAAAAAAAAAAGCAATCCAAGGTACAAATACACACCCCATATCAGGATATCGAAGCAATAGGCATATGCATACATGCACTATATCCAGCGCAATCAATACAAAAGGGAGTCACTCCTCAATCCTATAACCATAATTTCCCCAACCCATCTCACGCCATTCCATCAGAAGAGGGGGGAAGTTTCTAGGCTAAATAGGCACAGCCAAAGGAAAAAAAAGAAGTTTGAGTTCATCGAGATACACACACAGGACTTCATCCCACATACAGAACAGAAAATGGAAAAAGCAAGCAAAAGATGATGATAATAATAATACTAATAAAAGAAGCAAGCAAAAGAAAAGAAAAACGGAAAAATGAAGATTAGAAGAGCCGAATGTCGAAAACCGAGGTGGTATCATTAAAGACATAGTTATTATATCAGCCACCAAAAAAACATAACAAAAATAAATTAGGACACTGCCTGGAAAGAGACTGAGGATTACCAGGCCAAAAAGGTCCTCAAGGGGGAGAGAAAAAAAAGCGAGAGGCAATGCCATGTTTGAATTTCCAACTCCTTTGCTCGCCCTCGTTTGTGAGGAGAAATCTTGCAGACCTGCGACAAAACTGCGCTTCCTCAATCAAGAAAAATAACCAATGTACACCGTAGGAAGAAAAGCACATAATATCAAATGGAAGTAAAGGTAAAAGAAGAGGAGAGCAGTAAACAGCAAAAATCCAAGATAAGACTTCATTACCCATAGTGCTTTTGATCCTTTTTTTTTTCCACCACAAATATTCGCCGACGCTTGAACAGAAATGAGAGCCAACAAGATTTGCAAAAGCCATAAGAAGGTACCCATCTTTCCAAAATGGTTTAGCAGCCAGGAGACTTTGAAAAAGGACCGAATGCGCTCAGCTTAAAATAAACAAGAGACCTGGAAAGTCAATGATTTGTACAAAAAAGAAAAAACAAAAGACCGCTCATGCATGGAATACAACAGGTATCTGCATTTCTCAAATTGCAATTCACAAAAAGAATCGCATTTCAATATCAGACACTGTAACCGGCGACTTCGGATCGTCGAGGTCCATGCCCGATTGGCCCGAGTCTTCCAGCTCGGAGAATTCAACAGTCATGTCTTGGCCTTCCGCCATCTCGCGGACAACATCATCATCTAAAACGACATTAAAGCCATTGCCGCGAATAACTAGAGCCCGCACAATTCGTGCCGGATCGAATCGACACTTCTTGGCAACTGTTTCCATTAATCCTTTCGCAGTGCGTTCCGCTAGGTAGATCGCATGATAATAATCTTCGCCCTTCTGTCCCATGCTTTGCCGGGCGCGGACGTAGAAGCAACATTCTACAAACGAGAACGAATTATATCGTTAGCCAATCGGATTTAAGGTACAAGTGGACAAGGATTTTCTTTTTTAATTTTCCTTTTTTTTTTTTTTTTTTATAGAATGCTGGGGGGGTTCGAACATACTTGGCTTCTTTGGAGTGTCATTAGGAGGTTCATAATTACTGTCCACGCCCATAGCTTCAATCCAGGTATCAGATCCGGGATTGGAGTCATCAGCGGAGATGCGCTGGACTTTGATCGGTTGGTTTATAAATTGTCCATGCTTCATATTGTCGCCACCGCGCTGCGAAGCACTTGACCAATCCAACGACCCATGTCTCGAAGTCGAATACGACTCGTTCATGAAATTTGCGCCCTTTGCTTCGAAAGAATGGTGAGAGGAACTGGGTGAGTGGTTGCCAGGAGAAGGAGAGAAGGCATTAGTTGCCGACGCACCATCGTTGGACTGCGCGGAGTCGAAGCTCATGCGTTGTACAAAATTCTCATCAAGCGTCGTGTCCAGTTGAACGGGAAACAGGTCGGGGTCGTCTTGAGGGTCACCTTTCAGGTTGAGAACGCTGACGGGTTGTGTGGACGAAAACATGTCGTTCAAGTTTGACAGCTTGATTTGCAAATCCTCCTCCAGAGTCGACTTGACTCCGTCTTGCGACCCGATCGACCACGGCCGTTTACTCTTTCCGAGTTTCGCTGACTTGACCATCCCTTTGGAGCTGATAGAGCAGCTTCTCTTCCGCTTATCAAAATTCGCAGACCCAATTTCGGCCTGGGTGATCTGCTGTTTGATCTTTTCCATCAGCTTCTTGATGTGCGCAACATCATTGGACAGCTTCCTTTCCGCTCCGTGATCTCTAAACAGTTTCACTTTGCAGTAGCAGACTTCAGGAGAGTCACCAAGCGGAGGCTCTGAGCTACTCGTGGCTATGACCTCCGTCTTCGCGCATAGCCTGACCGGAATGCCCTTCACGCCCTTAGAATGGCTAAAATCAGTTGACAAAAAGTTGAATCGAACAGATATAGCGCATTCCGGATTTCCCGTGGTTCTGCTGGGTACCCAAAGGACAGAAAACCCATCAAAGTTTGCCTTTTCCAACTGTACACGGGGGTGCCGGCCGTCTCCAGCTCCGCCTTGGTTAGGATCAACATGTTCAACAGCTAGAAGTTTGCCGTCACGTTGGTGGGCTTCATTTGTCCCGCGACCTTCCTTCCATAGCTGCCAACAGCTCGCTGGTTTGGAACGTTGTTCCTCCTCTTCAAATGAAACACGGATATAGGTGCGATACCGAAGTTGCTGAGAGGCCGAGGCCATGGGAGCAGTATCTATGATGTTTATCGTGTACGCCTGGCCCTTATTTAGGTATGTTACCGGGATTTCATCAGGATCCTTCACCATGGCGGTCGATGCGCGGAGCGTGGCATGGAATCGGAAGCTGTGGCAGCAGATAAAGTTAGGAACGACTTGTCTCTTAATTTTTTTTTTTTTTTTTTTTCGGGGGAGGGAGTTCTCGAGAGAGAATGTCAGCATACTTTTCATTGTTATGGCCTTGTAACCCATCAGCAGATTCTGAGAGACGTCCCGGGACCAGTCCCAGAGATGGGTTGTTCAAGCCCAAGCTGTTACTGAAAGTGGGATCTTCCAGTGAGCGGCCCAACGCAGACAAGTCTGGGTCACGACGAAGGAAAGTACTCGGTGCAAAACCATGAGTTTGTCCAAACGGGTCCACGCCGTGTCCTTGATGGGGGATAAAAGGTTGATGGAACGAGCCAAGGTCGATGGCTGAGTGAGGCATCGAGGGGTCAGCAGAACTGGACTGAGGTATCGGGAGCGGTGTGAGGAGGCTGAGAGCCATGTTCGGGGTGGGCATATCTCCCGAGTGAGCTGGGTTGGCCAGAGCACCGGCGGTCGGGCTCGCAGCGTAGTATGCAGGCGGCTGGTTGGCGAAGGAAGAGAAGGCGAAGGAGTTGGGGTCCATCAGGGATGGGGTGAAATTCCACTGTTCCGGGGGAACTTTGGAGATGCCATCGGTATCCTTCTTGTCCTTTACGTCCATCATCGGCCTATGGGAGGGGCGCGAATCCGTCAGTCAGATTCCGACGCTCAATTGATACTATTTTCTTTTTTGCTTTTCTTTTTGGCAGGCAGTTAAGTTGTTAAACAGCTGGGCTGGCTTTCATTCGAAAATCCCACTCACCCCCTGGATAGGGAGGAACCAACCTCTGGGTAAGAGTCTGGCCAATTACGGGGTCGACGAGGACACCGTTGTTCTCGTGAGCGGCGTCCAGCGTGGTGGTGATGCTGGAGCAGATCTGGGGGAAGGACTGCTTGAAATCGGTGTAGAGCTCCTCAGAGGGCTTCTGGGAATTCTTTCTACAGGCCAAAGGATCAAACGGTCAGCATATCTCTTCCAGAGTGGCCTGGGGCCTTTTGTCCGGTTGCCACCCAAAAAAAAAAAAAAAAAAAAAAAAAGGAAAAGAAAAAGAAAAAGAAAAGGAAAAGGAAAGTCTGCTCCAGATCTCTCTGTGCTTGAGCTTTATCTTGCTTTATTATTTTCTTTTTTCCCTTCTCGCTCATTGCCACGTTTTGCTCCTTTTTTTTTTTTTAAACGTACCGATTACGAAACATCCTTTGGCAGCAAGCGACGCAGGAGATGGGAGGAGGATGAGGAGGAGGAGAGCAGACGGAAGTGGAAAAAGAGTCTTGAGGGACGCACAGACATCAATTGAGCTCCAGTTTCTAGTTGAGGAGAGGAGAAGGGATCGAATGATGGTGTGTATATGTGCAGAGAGAAAGGTCTCGTGGTCGCTGGCTTATGAATGTAGTAGAGAGAGGAAGGGGGGAGGAGTATGAGGTAACGTGATATATGAGGGCCGGCGGTTGGAGGAATCTCTAATTGCCGGTAAGCGGGAGAGTTTATACGCTCGATGGATGGGAACCAACGGAAATCAATTGGGATGGAGAGTAGAAGAAGAAGAAGAAAAAGAAGAAGAAGCAGAAGCAGAAGAGGCAGCAGAAGCAGAAGCAGCAGATGATGCTGATGATGATGAGCAGTAGAGAGGCAATTGGAGGGAGACGGGGCGGAAAGAAGGGGAAAAGGGAGATTTTTCCATTCGGCGACTGGAAGGGGATAGGGCAAGCCCGTGAAGCTTCGAATATATACATTTAGAAAATTTTGGGGATGGATGATCTAAGACGTCGATGACGGACCGGGATGGGGGAAACATGGGATGGGGTGGATGGGAGGTGGGGGGGGGGGAGGCAAGACGGGCGGGCAGGCAAGGTGAGTGAGTGAGGGAGTGGAGGTAGGAGAGGGGGGGAAGGAAAGTGAGAAGGCGGCGAACGGCGTATTGAGTTGTGGAAAGAGCGAGCCGAGTGAGTCGAGTGAGTCGAGTGAGCGTGAGCGCGAGAGAGAGAGGGAGACGAGAGAGAGAGAGAGTGCGGAAGTGCACGAGAGACAGAGAGTGTGTGTGTGTGAGTGTGGGTGAGGGGGCGGCGCGCGAGGGCGGGGCGGCAAAAAGAACGATGGCGTCACGAAGCAGAAGCTGCTACCGCGAAGGTTCCTTCTGGGCCCCCGGGAGGCAGCCAATCCGAGGCCTCGTCCGCGGGTCCACCGCAGCGATCTTTCCCCCTCTGCCGTCAGCGCTGCGAATCTGATAAAAGGGGGAGGCTTGCCGGGCGGCGGACCTATGACGCGCGTCTTAGTAATCTTATTCCTTTTTGACTGCTTCCGGCTCTTTCCCCATCGGAACAAAGGACAGTGGACGGCCGCATGATTGGCCCAAAGCCGAGGGAAAGCTCGAACCTCGTAAAGTCAACAAGTAGCAGTAGCAGCAAGCAGAGAGAAGGGGAAGGAAAGGAAAAAGCACAGAAAAAGACAGAAAAACGCAAACCGCCGCTGGGTGGTGAAGCTTTGACGTAACAGAGACTCGGCTTTTTTTCGTTTCTCACACCAGATTCGTCACCGCACTCCAGTGCACCCATCATCCCCATCCATGGGCGTCCAGCCTGCGATATCTGCTGTGTTTCCCTCTTTGCTCTCCTGGATCCCTGTCCCCCTGGTGTGCGCAACAACATCATTGCATTCATTCATGTGCTAACGACAAGCAGAAAAATGGCTCACTTCCCCGTCCCCCTCTCCCTTCTCCCTACCCCTCCCCTCTATCTTCCGCTACCTCTCTCTCTCTCTCTCTCTCTCTCCCCCCCCCTCTCCCCCGGCCTGCGCGCTGTCTCAAGCCACCCAAGGGCGAAGTCGCGCCGGGAACAGCTGCGGGCAAGCCACAGGTCCAGGCGATGATGTCATGGAAGAAGCTTGGCGCCCGTCCGTGGAAAGAGCAAGTGGAGCACGTCTGACGCCACATGCAACTCTATTCCCCCGCCCAATCACCGCCCGCCATCGCTTCAGGAGACCAAACTTTACCAGACACGCAGCTTCCAGCTCTTCTCCCATGGGCGCGCCTTCCCCACCCCTTCAATCGTCCGCCGCTTTCCTTTTTTTTTTTTTTTCTTTTTTCTTTTTCTTTTTTCGCTTTCCTCTTCCCTATCTTGTCCTCTTTAGGTTGTGCTCTCCCTTTCGCTCTCTCTCTCTCTGCCCCCGCAGTCCTTTTTTTTTTTTTTTTTATCTTTTTTGGGGTTTTACTTTTGGTTTTGGAACTCTAGCGTGCGGCTGAAGATACGGTTTCTCCCTGTGTCCGTCTCCCGCCCAAGGATCGCTCCGTCGACCGGGCGCATTTAGGTCCGGTCGAATCTCCCTTCTGGCGCTGTGTAGTCGCAAGCTCACGCCTCCCACACCGACCCATTGTCTAGAACGCTCTGGCTAGGGACCACTGACCCTCCCAAGCCCATAACTCCGTACTTCATGTCCCTCCGTATTGGTTACTCGTACGTATGTATGTTCTTCCGCCTGCGGGTCCGCGGGAATGTCGCGGGATTTGCCCTGTCGTTTAGATTCTTATTGCTATGACGTTACCAAAAAAAAAAACGATAATTAGTCTTGAGAAAGAAGGCGTACTGTGGCCACCGTCAATTGCCTCGATGCCCCGTTGCCGCGACAGATCTCGGCAGGATGTTTCGCTTTTCGGTGGCTTGTTCGAGTAACTAGCCCGGGGAGACGCGGTGTTTGACCGAACAGCCAGCCCCTGTGTCCAGGCTGGCAGTGACAATGGTCGGAGTAATTTAATAGTTCACTCTGGACGGAGTACTCCGCCGTATGTCCCGCCTATTTACGGAGTGCCCGTGTAATGTTATTTTCGGTACTTACTTTCTCTGTGAAGAACTCAAAAACAGAGCATCCAAGCATACATTCCTGTACATACAAAACATCATGTTTTATGTATCTATTGTCTAGAACCCCCCGGGGGGGGGGTACCTTTGTGGTCGACAACAGTGTAAGAAAAACGGCGGCCCGTGCAGAGTGCACATCACTCCATACCTTTTTGCAGTTAATTGTCAGCCACCCACTCCCCTCCGTACTGGGATATGTTCAGATGTACGGGGTAGTGAATCTCATCTCAAGCAATGGAGCATGACGCATAATGATATGGGCTTATCTATGGCGTGTACAGTTCATTCCTCGCATTTCTGAAGCACATGTGCTCCACGATGATCCACGTCGATATCCCTGCCCTAGCAACGGTCCCAGGGCTGTGTAGAATCCATGCTCGTACATGCATCTGCCTGCATACATACATATTAGACATCCACCTCTGAGCTCGTCTGAAGAATAAGGAGCACTAAGAAGAAATCCATTGAGTAGTTCAGCGGGGGCGTCCCCGACACACCAAAGACGTCATCACAACGGCGTGCGAGTGGGTATGGTGGACTTTCCGACGATGACGAACCCAAAAACGATGTCGCTCAATGGGCACCTTTTTCATCTTCAACATCCTTATTCTTTTTCTTTTTTTTTCTTTTTTTCTTAGCAGGACCCGATGATAGGTACGGAGTCCTCCGTCCAGTCATATCTCCACATCCATGATTCATGTCATGGAGTAATATCCCTACATATGTTTCACTATTCCCGCAAAATGGGGTTCTTCGGGCGGGCTCTGAAGCTCTCTTCCGCGCATCCATCTTAATTTTAACATCCGCGAATCGACAATGACATCAACGAGTGCGTTCTCTCTCTGTCCAATTACCCATAGACGGGGGGGAGGGGGAGGATCCAGCACGAAAGCGCGCACTCCGGACTTAACCCTCTCTACATACACATGTCAAATGCTAATTGTATCCCGGGAGGTAAACGGTACAGAGGGACCGGCAACCCAATCACCCGCAGTCAAGAAATCATCCATTTCCTCCGTACTTAACTAGATAATTTTTGGAAAAAAAAAAAAAAAAAAAAAAAAAAGTAAGGGGAAAAAAAGAAAATGTAAATCTTAACCAAAACACAAACTTCCCATCAACACAGGAAGGCCACCCTTCTCGTTCCTCCACAAAGATCAGGGAAGGAAAAAGAAAACACAGGGTCTCGACAATCTAAAAAAAAAAAAAAAAGGGAAAAAAAAGAAAAAAAAGAAAAAAAAGAAAAAAAAGAAAAAAAAGAAAAAAAAAAAAAAAGGAAGAAGGCCCCCTGGGCTTTCTGCAGCCAAACCAAACATAAAAAATCCATTCCATTGAAAATGCTGTACTTTATTTTATTTGTTTTAATTTTCCTTTTTAACCCTCTGCCTTCAATTTGCTATGAGAGGCGCAAACCTCCATCTGGTGCAGAACCTAATTCCGAATTTTGCTTTTACATATTTTTTTTTTGTGATTTTTCGGGGGCGGACGGGACAATTATGATGTCATAATGCATTCTTAACTAACTCCTGATGCACCCAACATCCAGATACCGAAAAAAAAAGAGAAAGAAGCAAAAAAAAAAAAAAGAAAGCTCTCCGTCCGTTTAAATTTATGTACAGGGAACCCGATTAATTTGAAAAGGTATATTCTGGGGAGCATTTTGACACCTTGTGCAATGTGAGTGGTGGATTCAAGCGAAATGCGTACATATGCGGAGATGAGGTAACCAGGAGCTCTGTATGTACTTCGTATGCATGTCGTGCATATACCCCGGAGATCGGGTTGTCAACGATGATGAATAGACGCGTGTACGGGGTACTCCCGAGTATGCATATATGTACTCCGTACCGTACATGTGAAAACCGCACCAGGTGTCAGCAAAATGGTGCGGACATACGGAGCAGCGCGTCTGTATCTTTTTTTCTTCTTTTTTTTTTTTTTTTTTTTTTTGCGCTGATAGTGGAAGGCAAGGTAGGAACCGGGATTTGGGGATGAGGAATCCTTGCGTAGGTTTCAGAAAGCTCTCATCGTCTCCTTGAGAGTAGTCTTCATAGTCACTGACTGCATAAGACTATAATGAATAATAATAATAATAATAATAATAATAATAATAATAATAATAATAATGAAGAGTCAGAACAAAATCTCCGTTGATGGTGTGGGATAATCTCCAACTTGTGTGGGTGTGTGTGTCTGACGAATATTCGTATTTCAACCGCAAAAAAGAACCACAAAAAAAGAAGGGAAGAGAGCGCGTCGTCAACAGCTTGGCTCGACGGTTTCTTCTCCTTAAAACTCTACATAACCTCTTGATGGTGGTACATGTGAGACAGCTGGAAGATGATTACCTCTCCTCCAAGAGTGTGAGAGAGAGGCGCGCGGCCTTGGAGCTTGTTAACAGATGCAGAGAAAAGGAAGGCTGATCGTACATGTCTGATAAGCGCATGATATCTGCCTGCCCCCCAAAAAAAAAAAAAAAAAAAAAAAAAAAAGAAGAGGAAAAAAGGAAAAAGAACCATTCCCAGTGATTCATGATGAGATCTCTACATAAAAGGTCTTTCTGCTACCACTTCTTCTTATAAGTCCAAACAAGAACAAAACATTCCTATGGTACTTCATTAACTTATGTGACTTATCTTTCAACACGGACTGATTCTTCAGTTTCTTGCCACACAAAGTGATTTACTGTGTACAAGCTATTCTAGATTTGACAGATTCCCTCAATGACTCTACTCTGTTTTACTGGATTCGAACTCTGTGGCCTGGCTCTATGTACTCTGGTAAAACAATCTAAATGCAAATTCAATTCGGCTAATATAGTTACTTTGCCATGTGATTGCATTCTTCTGCTTCAAAGGCTTTCCATTTCGCACTGTGATGAAGCTGCTCATCTGGCGGGTTGAAAAGTTATTCTTCGTTACCAACACCAACTAACCCCTTTCGACTTACCGTGTCTGTTTCAGTTAGCTTTCACTTCATCACTCGCAGCCTTTTGTTCCTCTTGTAGTAAGCTCGTGGTAGGGGTTAGAACTTGGGCCCAATAGGGTGCTCAGACTCCCGGGCCCTGGCCTGAGTTTCCCGCCTTTCAGCCTCTCGCTTAAGCTCCAGCCCACCTGTTTAGCACGCCAACTGTCATGCGCGTCGTCACATCTTTATCTCTTTGCTTCCCCTTCTCTTCTGTCTTCCCTTTCCTTTCCCCAAGCACTCCTTCTTGGCTAGAGCTACACTTTGGTCGTGCGAGTTCATCCACCGGCTTCGGCCCATGATAGCTTCTCAGATCTTGCCTGCTAGAGGTGAGATCCTAGCTCTCGGGAGCCATGCTTCACTCAAGTTGCCCGCTCCTTCAGGCTGAGCTGTCTTTTTTTCGCGCCGTTTTTGCAGGGCATTTAGTCCCCCACTTGACCAAAAGACATTGCGCTCTGTTTGGGTGGCCGGGCCGTATCTGGCCCCCAATCTGCACCCGATGACAGGGGTGATGGTGTCAAAATAATGATAAACCTTTGCCCAAGCACCCAATCACTTCACCTGTTGGGTACCTAGCGAAAGGCTGGCCTTGTGAGGAAAAAATAAAAAACATGTAGAAGCGCGGCTGGGGAAAAAAACACACACCAAAAGTGATTTAAAATCCTTCCGCATCCCCTACAGAGACGATGCATCCGTGTTTTCCTTTTGTCTCTCTTTCATCGCTGTCGCCCCCAAAAAAACGGGAAATCGTATTCCCTTGTTTCCCACCTTGCTGAGATCGAACTGAATCGGTCTAATAGCCTACAATCTACCTTCCGAGAAAGCGATGCACCTCAGATACTTCTTCCCACTTCTACTTGGCCTCGGCCTTCCTCTGGCCTCTGCCTATGAGCGGATCCCGGCCAACGACACCGCGCCTTGCCCTCATCCAGACGACATCGTCTACTCCCCGTTCACCCCATGGTTTAACTTCTACTCCGGCGGCAAACGCTCATCTTTCTGCTGGAAAGCTGCCATCTGCACCCTTGAGCCCGCTGACGAGGCGCGCAAACAGCAGTTCGGCGCCACGGCGCTGGTCATGGGTCTGCTTCCACTTACGCTGCGCGACATCGCCTGGCCGGAGCGGAGAATCGTGTTGGTTTCTGCGCCGTTGCCGCGGCTCGCGGCAGTGGTGGTTAGGGGGTTGGGACTGGAACCAACGGTCAAGCGAGAGATGATGACGTGGGGAGAGGATGATGTGCATCGGTGGATGACGTGGGTACGCGGGAGTTGGTTCGCAGGGTTTGCGCGGCAGTCGAAGTCTGCGATGAGAATGCTGCTTGCAGTATGCTTTGCAGCGTTGATGGTGACGTATGGGGCACTAGCGGTGGTGGAGTTGTATTCAAAGGGCAGCGCGCTGGGCTGTACCTATCCAGTTTTCGCGGTGACTTGGTGCATTACCGGCGTTCTTCCGGCGATTGTGCATACTTTGTTTGAAAGCTGGCGCCGGCGGAAGGATGTAAACGGGAAAACCAAAACGGGCAGGCCTTCTGCAGTGCAGGGTGTTGACGAGGCATGGCCTGTGCAGCTCTCGTGGGCGATTTACTACACTGCTGGGACGCTGATATACACCTCAATCATGGCCGTGACAGTCCTGGAGCTTTTTGTGTGGGTTGCTATTCAGCTTTGTGTGACTGCGGCGAGCAAGCTGCTTGCTCTATATATCTGCATATCGCTGCGTGATCCTGTCGAGGATGATGCTACATTGGACCTTTCCGCGGCCACGGAGAATGGTGGCCCGTTGAAAGCTGACAGATAACCAGCACAATAATGGAACAACGGAGATTCATCTGAGAGACCGCATCGGAAAGATAATACCATGGGATGTCCGGGAACGAGCAGTGCGCAGTGTTGGCTGTCATCATTCTCACTTGAGTTTGTCATGTTGCAGATGGATGGCCACTATGATGTACAGTACATTTCGGACACTGTAGATAGCATGTTGCTATGAGTTTGTAAATAGACTATACCGAAATAATAAACAACATACATCCATTAACTGTGTTGGAATAAAATCCTATATGTGGCATTTTCACTTAACCAGTGATGAACGAATTTTGACAGACTGCTCCCTATAGTCTACTATAGTCTGTACGGAGTACTTCGTAACTCCACGCTGATAGAATCAATTCACTGGCAAAATAAAAATTTTTTCTTCTAATAAGAGATGACTAAACTAACTAAGCCAGGCCTAATATCAATAACTAGCACGGAGTATGGGTTACAAGTACCCGTGGACCTACCCATCATCCCTATCTGTACAGAGCCAAACAAGCACACACAGCTTCCTCTCGAAAAAATGCCCTCGAAACTTAAATTCCATGCCATTAGCTAGGCCGTTCAAGACTATCAATAGATTAATGACTGGTTTTCCACATTGCCTCAGTGGTACCTCCCTGATTCATTATAGTACCAAAATCTCTATCAAGAGTTCTTGCTGGGTGATGGAGTGATCAGTTCAATCATGGTGATTTACATCAGGGTGACACTATGATCTTTCCCGCAGTCTGCTTGCGTATGAAATGCGGAAGAGCACTTTTTGAGGGAAGATAAACACAAATGATTGAGAGTCACTCCGATCTCCTTTTTAATCCAGCTTTCCAGCTCAGTCCACCAGAGCTTTGGCGCGAGTCGCAGATCATGCGCACCGAGTACGCACTATTTCCAATTTCACTCATTCCCTCTCTTGAACCCAGTGCGTAACCCCCTCTACCGTTCCAATGTCGTGACTGGTGGCAGATAGGGGATGAGATTCGCAAAATCACAGGATGAAACCCCGATAATGTTCACGAGCTCTCTTGTGTCTAATCTTCGCAATGAATTAATGTTTTGTTGCAAATGTACGGGCACCACTCGGCTTGAAAATAGCATTCAAGACACTGGGATCGTCAAACATAAAGCAGTTCCGCGGCACAGCATAGTCCAGGCGAGGCTACACAGAACTCGCTAAAGTAGCGAGAGGGAAAGAAGGGCCTATTTTCCAGCCTGATGCGGCGACGCGCCGGTCACCTAACCCGGATGGGCATCCCCCTATTTACCGGAAGGCGAAATCTACTGAAGCCCTACTCCGTGGAGTAGGTCAACCCGGGGTATATCGATCAACCTTCGGAGCATCGTCGACCTCCTGCGGAATCACTGCGTATTGGCCTATGTTTAGGGCACGTTTGTAGGGTTTTCTGGGGTAATTTAGAGCGCCACCGACGTCTTTGATGAGTCGAGTGCCAGAGCAATCCCTTCCCTCCGGGAAAATAGGGGTTACGGAGAAATTCTACGCCTGCGCCGGCTGTGGGTTCAAGGGAGATATCGCCTCCAACCAATGGAGCCGTGATCGACATGAGCATCCAGAAGGCGGGAGAAACAACCGCTGAGACCACCGCTGTGGGCTCATCTGCTGATCATGAATCATCATCATCATCGTCGTCGGCGGGGTCACGCCATCCCGCACAAGGTGTGATATAAGCTCTCTGTTGTATCACATTAAATACGGCGGAAGGAAGACAGTACTCTGTACTCTGTTAAATATATTAATATCCACCTTGATGGAAAAAGTCATCTTTTGAAATTTGGGTGCAGGACGCGTCAGAATATTTGGGGGATCGACAAGAAGCTTGCAGAACTGGCTCGTACTTCGTTCCATGTGGTGTGCTAATCGATCCCTTCGAGCTGAACCAGCTCCGCTGATACATAGCTTGTGGCTAATATGCGCGTAGTAATACCCCCGTACTTCATGGCTGTGGGCGTAGGTTGGTCATGTCGTAGGACAAAAGCAAGGGAGTTACAGCAACGTCTGGTTAGGGAGTTTGTCGCTCCATCTCGGCCTTGTAAAATTTGATACGAAGGACGGACTACTCCGTGCTCCGTGGGGTGTATGAATTCGCGAACACTCTAACTCCACTCTATGATCGACAACGTTTCGTCACCCGGGAGGAAAGCTTCTGTTCGCTCCCGGGATAAAACCACCGATCGGCTCCCGCATCCTCAAACCGTTATTCATGCATAAAGTACTATACATAGACAATCACCTGAATGCTTAGGACGAATCATAATCAGCGAAAACCACCCTGGCATCATTAGGTGTGGGAGCGGCGTGTGTCAACGCAATTACTACAGCCGGTCGATGTTGAGTGGCGAGTATGACACCACATCTTCACTGCACATCGAGACCTGGTCTACCCAAGAAGGGAAAAAGTGGAGACAAGATTGAGATCTGGATCGAAGGAGCTTGAGCTGGTCTTAAATCGTTTCGCCTTGGGCCGTCGGGCCCCATGGCGCATAGCAAGGATGTAGATAAGCCAGAAGCCTATTCGTGCCTCAATCTATACAGTATGACGTGCTCTCAGGACAATGCAGTCGATACAGGTCCCAATGAGACAAATTGAGCGAGTTCGATCCTTTTCTCTCGGGCTTTCTTGTGGAAATTCAGAGCTTCTGAAAAACCTACAGTTGTCTATCCCAGGGGTCTACGAACTGTTCGCACCATTTCAAACTTAGGTAATTCAGTTATTATCTGTAGGTATTCTATTAATTAGTTTTGCACGAATGGATGTGCAAGAATAGTAGTTAGATCATCCCGCCAAAGGCCCGCGATGCTTGCATAATGAGAAACCGCATATCTATATTGTCCCAAAGAATTTTTTTTTCTTTTTTTCGTTCTTCTTTTTTAGTCGATGGCATCGCAAAGACTGACCCGATCGGATATGAGGAGCCGTTAAAATGAAACACACAACACAATGCCGCCCGTTCTCAAAACAACAAACCGTCCCATCCTATCGGATCTCACAAGAGCAAAGAAACGACTGAGTGGACTGTCGTGAGTCATCGCCAATGAGAAATTGCTTCAACCCATGCAACTGGGATTATCGTACACCGCATAATAGAGAAACCAAAAGAGCCCCCCAAGGCGGTGCGACCGAAGGAGATTATGAGGACCGAATCACTAAGGAGCCGTCGACGGAGCTAATCCACCTTTTGGATCGAGGTTAGAATGATGGATTCTTCATACAAAGTCTGGACAACATCGGCATAGAAGAACTCACCCTTATCGACTAATGATTAAAGAGAAGGTGTCGATGCTTTCAGAAAACGTCCCTGAAACGCCGGCAATTTTATACCCACGTGGTGCAATCAAAGTGTGCCTTGGTAAAAATCAGTCAGCGCACCGATGCTTTGCGTAGCTGTGTAACCGAAATCGGCGTACTTAGAATAAAACGAAAAAAAAAAAAAAAAAAAAAGAAATATTGTCGAACTTACCCAATTCCCGCTGTTGCATTACCGCAAACGCCGTTTATTTTTCCCATATTCGTGATTACCCCAATTCCTTCAACCTTCTGCGTTGCTCGAACATAGAATCCGGTCAAAAGCTCGCCTTTCCGGGTATCTATATAAGTTACAACGATAGGCGATAAGTACAAACCTAAGCAAGTGGAGTCATAGGAGGCTGTACTCTTACCAAGTACATATTCGCTGGTATTCGTAGATTGAGAGTCTCGATTACCAAAAAACTGAGTTGTAGCATCTTCATAACAGAACTCGATGCCGCTAATAGAAAATGGGTCGTGGTAGACCTTAAGCGAAGTAAGTAGCTTTGTTTGAATAACAGCAAAATCTAGAATCAGATCCTCAGGCACGCTCCCGGGGAATGAGTGGGTGCCTAACATGTTGCTCCTGTAACCGACTTGGTTATTAGACAGCTTGACCAGTGAACTTTTGGATTTGAGCTGAGAAAGGTCCTCCACGATGTGGCTGTGGAGAGAGCTGGAAAAGATTACAAGTTTCAGTCTCTTCGCTTTTTTCCGGTTATCAGGAAGCCGAGCACGAATACCATCCTCCGTGATAGTGATTTGCTTTGGCATCCCGTTGCTGCTGCTATTCCCCAAATCGCCGTTCATATAATCAAAATATGCGGTGCAAATCTCGTCTCCATCGGCAAAAATTTCAATAAAGGCAATGCCGGCCATGGATGTCAGCACAATTTTGCCAGCATCGACTGGCCAGACTTGGAGGGAGCGATTCGGGCATGCCGGAGGGTCACTTGGATGGCGAAAGCAAGGGTGCAGGCGGAAACGCAAAGCGTCAAGGCGGTGCCAATTGGTTTCATCTTGGGCTAAACAGAGGCGTAAACCCTGTTCTTTGGTTCTGGTACAAAATGGCTCCCAGCTCGTAAACGATCTGTTGAATCGCAGATAATCCCGACTCATTATCCCACTTTCTCGTCCATCGCAACCGAACAGACGGCCTATTTCACGAAGATGAGCGCCGATATTCGCACTCGCCATCTCCCAATAGCTGCCACATTCGTTGTTTGGGTTAGCAAGCAGGTTAGTATTGGTTCGAGTACAGTCCGTAAACGCTGGAACTACCTCTTCTATGCAGGACGGATAACTGTGGAGGCCATGAGAGCCAAAAATAGCTAGGCTAATATCGTCATCAGCAAACCCAACCGCTGCGTGACCGGCAACAGATCTGATATCGCTATTCCAATGGCTATCAAGGATCAGAGCTGTCACATAGAATTTTTGGTCACGTTTTTGCATAAAATACTGGCTGATCGCTTCCTTTGCGACCTTAAAGAGTTCATTTTCGCTCGGTGGGGTGTCAGGACGCTGCTCAGCACCAAGCTTTCTCAGTTCATCCACAGTCTTGTCACATCGAACGAGATGAATTTTGGCTTCATTTCTCATCTGATTGGAGGCTGCATCTCTCGAGCTAAGTGTTCCAGTTTGCCATTCCTCTTCAAACCTGAACGAACGTCTGGCGAAGTTGTTTCGGAACATCTGTTCCTGGGTGAAAGCCTGCCAAAGATACGCAGCCATGCGGAACTTGCGAATAGCAACATCAAGGCTATCCTCTCCCTTCAGTGCCTTTTCGGAAGGGGTATCAAATTGGCCATTGGAATCTTTGCCGAGAAGGATCACAAGGTGCAGAGGTGGGCAGTTGATCATAGGCAGATAGTTCACACTGATTGTGGATTGATGTGCCGTTGCATTGGGAACTTTTTGAGAAAAGAAATCCAGTCGAACTTTGTTTGGACCGGGAGCCAGGTGCAACAGAGCCTTGAAGTGAGAACCGCGAACAGGCCAGGTGGTGGGGGGGAATGATTCGTTCAAAAGGTTTATAATCACCATGCCGTCCACCGGTGCACTTCGAGCATCGCCGATCTGGCCATAGATAAGTATTACTTTGTGATTGACCTAAGCCAAACGGTCAGTTCCACCGGCGATACACCGTATGTGCTTCCTTTATATTCCGAGAGCCATACCCATGAATTTTCTGAGATAGATGTCACTCGAGGTGCAAACGGCGATACCGGTATTGAGGGTCTGGACGGTGGGCTTATCAGATAGGGATTACTACCCTAGATTCGATATAAAATTCACGTTAGATACAGCGTCAATTGGGTTTGAACGAGGTAAAGACTTACGGCACCACTGCTTCGACTCGACGGGGAACTGATAGGAACGGGTCTCTGGGGAAGAGGAGCGAGCGGATATGATGGTTCCGACTTGGAAATGCATGAGAGATGGGTGGAAGACAGGGTCGGAAGAGACGGAGGTGGAGTTGTGTGGGAGCTGTTGGAGGAGCAATTGTCGAAAGTTGGAGTCGAGGCTCCGTTGATCGTATGGCCGTCGCCATTCACGTCCGAGAATGAGCAGTCATCTTTTGGCTTTCTGGGGCTTCGTTTCTGGAAGCTTGATCGTGAGAGACGGCGCAGGTCCTTGATGAATGTCTTCGGAGACATCTTCAGCAGCCAGTGTGAAACCGCAGCAGCATCTATGAGAGTGCACAGCAAAGGTGAAGCGAGGAGGGAGGAGCATGAGCAAGGGCTGGAGAAAGAGAGGGAGGATGCGGCTGGGACACCTGGCACAGCACGCAGCTAAAGGATTGACGGCATTGGGCCACAAAGCTGGCTGCTCCTTTTTTTTTTTTTTTTTTTTTTTTTTTTCCTTCTGGGGATTTTCTGGCGATCACCGAGAGCAACAAGCCCACCACCGGGGGCCAGTCCAGGCTGACTTGACACAAAGAGTCAATTGCAACAGATAGAAGATGAAACAGCAAGGAGCAAAGCAGAAAGGAAATAACAGAAATAGAGGAAGGGAAAAAAAAAAAAAAAAAAAAAAAAAAAAAGAGAGAGATAAGACAGGGAATTGGCAAGGCTAAGATATGCTGGAATGGCCAGGCATCCGGAGGAGGAGTGACGATGGAGGTCGCACATGGCCCAGGAGTGGCTGTTTGTGAATTTTTGCTGATGACGAAACATGGCCAGAGTGACATGGCTTACAGCGATCAGCTCCAGCCAGTGAACCGCCATGCAGGGACATACATAACATCCGCGATCTGCTCCATGAAGCGCGCCCCATCACCCTGGCCTGCTTGAATATGTAGCGATGCTAACGAACTAACTGCTCTATCCTGAACTACTTCTCCAGACAACAAAACAATGCCTGCGAGAACTCCCGGGTGCACGCATTGTGTACTATGGCCCTCTCTGAAAATACTTCCTCGCGCTCGATGGTCGAACGACGTCCTGGACGAGCCAATTGGAGCGAAAAGCTTGATTTTGGCTCCCCGGTCAGGGGCCACTGCATCCAAGCAAAAATAGCTCCATGGATCGACCGCGCCTTATCTGTGTCCCAAGCTGATTTGCTTCTGTTCACAAGTCGCCAATAACTGTTGATGGGCGTCGCCATCCCGACACGCATGCGTGTACTACCATAGGTATATTTTACATCGTTGTTTGAACCTTCAAAGCAGTTTCCATGACCTTTTCTGCAGCCTGAACTGTCTTAAACTGGGTCATGCGTCTCCTGAAATGCCCAAGCCGGTTTAACACACACGGTGGGGTGTGGTGGGTGGTCCACAACTGGGTTTTTGTGACGACATACTCCGTAGCCACTCTGGTTGTCTAGAGTTACAGTCTGCAATTTGCAACTCTCCCACAAGAGGGCATGTTACTCATTAATCCTTTTATTATTATGAACTGTTGTTCAAAGAAAAAGGATTGTCCTGTTGTCGGCATATTATCTCTAAGGGTCCTCCAGGCGTCGGTGTCACCCGGAACTGGAATCTCAGGCTAGTTTCAGAATTGGTACCCCCAAGCGCACCGGACCTGACACAAACTGTGGACAACAGCGCGCCCCGTACGGGCCGGACATGCTGTGAAACCTCGAAGGGAAAATTGTTCATTTCTCTCTCTCTCTCTCTCAAAAAAAAAGGCCATTCTGTTTGTCTTTCTGTCGGGTTATTATTATCCTTATTAATAAATCTCTGGCAAAACTACGGAGTACTCTCCTTTGCTTCATTCCTTTATTCCGGGAACTGATTATCGAACGCCGGAGGGTTGGAATATACTACTCCGTCAGAAGTCTCCCGGCGGCTGAAGGCCCCGCCAGTTCTCCAGCCCAGGGGACAGCGTGGGTGGGGGCTATGAAATTGGAAATCATATTGGATTTTGGAGGTAAATGGTTTCAAAAGGCGACCGGCGGGATTCCAAATAGAAGGTCGTAGCGAAGACTGGCATGTAATGTAGCAACCGGGAAGAAATAATGATGCATCTCCGAAAGTGCCGAAGCCGATTCACTACTGTGCATTCTACGGTGCCGGGTGTTTTGTTCTTATTGTACGGAATTCTCCGTGTCCTCGAAACGGTCCCAGCGGTCGCGGAATGACAGGGGCCGTACTCCGTATCCCATGAGCCGAAGATTGCACGCATCACCGTCATAACCCCGAGGCGAACTGAGCTGCAGCACGAATGAGTTGATATATGTATGTAGTTGAAGCTCCAGCTGTAAATATGTTGATGCAAAATTGATCCATCCATACGAACAAAGGCTGCTGATTGATTGATTCCGGGCAGGTAGTCTAGTTGAGCAGCGTCTTACGCCAATGGATCTCCTAGGTATACCAATGGCAATCTAAACCAGTTGTTTCCAGGTTTTGCCTAGGGTATCATCATCGGAGGTGATCACAGCGGTTTGCCAGGATTATATTGAATGACTGGAGGACCTGTTGACCCACGCATGGAGTGCCCTCGCAAGAAAGAGATGATTGAATGTGAGGAGTCGCAATGTAAAGATCTAAGCGTCGGGTCACCGGCTCAAAAAAAGTTTTTCGGGGTGAAGATACAGATAGGTCCAGCAGACCTCCCAAGATCTCACGCGGGCCTTTTTTTTTTTTTTTTTTTTTAGACAATTTGAAACTCGGAGAGCTGGTTAAGCTTAGTTTTGATAGTGTTTGGCCATCGACGGTTCCCTTCTTACTATCTTGAACATTGCCCCCCCACCACCTCGTATGTTTCTTCCTCACACACGTCTGCCGCCCTCGTTTCAGGTCGTCGATGCCATCCTCCGACGACGCAGTAGTTACCTCTCCAGCGCAGCGGCGGCGGCGGCTAATCGTGACCACTTCACGCGGCCCCCAGCCAACTCTGCGCCCACGGCGGCGATCAAGAAAGGGGGGATCACTCGTCTGCCCTACGTGTTCAGAGCTGACGGATGGCGTCAACGACACCACCCCCCTGCCAGCTCACCCCAGCTGCATCGCCAAGTTAGCGCTGCAGTGGCTGGCGGAGCTCGGTGGTCTGTTTGGCCTGTTTGGCTGCCCAGCCCTGCAGGGTTTAGCGCTCTCTTAACCCCAATCTTCGCCTGCAACAAGCTCAGGCGGCCCTTCCAATGGCCTTCCTCTCTCTCAGTCTCTCTCTTCTCTCTCTCTCGCTTTCGCTCTCCGCCTCGCCTCCTGCCACACCGTACATGGTTTTCTCCCCTTTCACACTCTGCTGCGACGGGACATGAAGAGAGATCTCCAACTCTGTCTGCTGCGTTTCCTTCCTCCGTCACTCCTTTGCTCTCTTTGATTTTCTGTCTTGTGCAACTGTCCCTTCCTTCGATCCAGACACTCTTTTTTTTTTCTTTTCCCTTTTTCTTTTTCCTAGCAGCCTTCTGTTCCCCTTTCATTTTATTGTCTCTTTTTTATTTTACATTGTATCCCTTATTTTACCACCCAATAATTACCTTTTTTTTTTTTTTTAAAAAAAAAAAAAAAAAAAAAAACCAAAATTTGCTTACATTGTAGTGTGCGTGCTTGTATGTGTGTGTGTTCAGTTGAAAATTTCCTGCTTTCCCACTTCCCATCATGACGATGTCATCACCCACAACCTCTGCGCGGAAGGCTGTTCATAAGCTCGACATTGAAAAGGTATGTACTCATCCAATCTTAGACACGGCTGTTGAAGGGAATCAGGCTGACGCCGGTGTTCCTCTTAGGTCTCTCTAAACCTTCAAGACCGCCTCGGACTCGCCAAAGTAAAATATGAACAGATGTACTGCCTCTCCACGGATCCATTGGACGGCAGCGAAGGACTTAGTGCGAACGGAAAACGCTCCTCCTCGACCTTCTCGAATGGATACCGCCGCTTTGAGACTCCGGCAGCTTCCACTCCCGTCACAAGCCCAATTCTCACGAAGGACCTGCCACGCTCTGCCCGAAGCAAACATGCAGCGATGTTTGACCTGAGATCCATGGAGGCAATGACGAACGGTTCCCGGAAACGGAGAAGATGCAATTCCATAACCCAGGAACCTACTAAGCTCCCGCGTTTTGCTGGGGATCACCGCTCCGCGATTCCACCTTCGTCTCCGACCATTGGCCGACAGCGTCCTGCAGTTCTTGTCCACACTGCTTCGTTCGTATCGCAGTCCGATACCATCCCAGACGATTCACTGCTATCCCCCGAGAAAATTTCAGAGCATGACATCGACCCGGAACTCCCAACAAGCGCTTCATTGATAAGCTCCTCTCCTCCGCGTACGCCATCCCCGCGACACAATCGGCTTCCCATCAATAACCGTAATAACCAAGATGGCGCTGATCTTCTGATGTACCTTGCAAACTCGCCCACTCCCATGAATCTTGGAGAGAAAGGACGTGTTCCCGACTTTCTTCCTTCCACCCCGCCTGCCCAACACACCTACCTGCCCTCCCTCCTGTCCACGCCTGGTGGAGGATTCGGAGCGAATTTCAGCACACCCGGCCAGCCATTCAATTTTGCTGACTTTGTCAATGTGACTCCAAGCCCTGCCCAGCGGCGGTGGGGCAGCCGTACTCCGCAGGTTATTCCAAAGACCCCAACCACGACGAAGGAAGTGCGGAAACGACTGAACTTCGATGCACTCCCCCCACCGACGGGTGCCAGCCCAGCGTCGGAGTCTGCTGAGAGGAAAGTCAAACTGGCACTCCAACTTGGTGAAGAATTACATTTCTAAATGGTTTTTTTTTAACTGACACTTAATTGCCCCTTTTTTTAGCTACTATTTTATTCATGAATCCTTATGATATATGGAGTATGGATGTGTTCAACTATTCGAATATTTTTTTTCTTATTTTGTTGCTATTTTCACACAGGTTGATCGCAACCCCGATGTCGAAATACTGCCCTTACTAGTGTCCTACACTTTTTTTTGCACCCTGTGTCTGTGTCTGCTGTCTTCACAGAGCGTCTGTCCCTCCAAGTGATATTTCCCACTGTTGACTTTGTTTCCCCAGCACGTCACGGGCAACACCTGTATTTTCTGTCAGAGTATACCCCCGTTCTCAAGATTGCTCCCTTTTGAGCAGTGCCAGTTCCCCAGCAATGTTCTCGTAGCCGAGAAATCCATAACCAACTACAAAAACAAGAATTGAAGCAAGAGCCATGGAAGAGCGTTCCAGCCGCTTGCCTTGTGTCCGTGTGTGATGATCCTTCCCGAACAGGCCAAACCTTGTTGCGTCGCGCGTTTTCTAGAGCTTATTTGCGGCTCCCAACGCGGGGACACGTGTTACTTTCGCGTCTATGCTAGGCCATATATAGACTAGCTTGTATATTAGGTTTGCCAAGACCGGGTTGATAGTGGGGCATTCACCAGCCACGCCCCTCTTCAGCCCCTCTCAGTACTCACGTGTGGAAGCTGTAGATGCCGGTCCTGTACCCTGCGTCGCCCTCAAGTCGGTTGTATGCACGTATATTTGCTAGAGATACAAGTGATATTTTCAGACTTCACAGCTCACTCCTTTCTCTAGCAAGCGCAATAGGCCATTATCTCTCTCCTGCATGCATCAACATACATAACGACCCCCTGAGCTCTGCTCCAAAGACGCGGCGCCAAAATTGGCCAAGGAAGACAAGACCCAGAGCCTAGGCTGACAGTTAATAGCGCTGTTTTATGTGGTTGCGAGTGACAATGAGACAAGAAAGGCAAAGGATAATCCGCCAGTTCTGAAGGGTCGGGCTCTTTGGTATCGAGGCCGAGAAGCGCTTGGGGCCGGGGAAAGGACCTAAAGGAGTCTGACGAGAGGGCGTGAAGGTAAGGGGATACATCTACAAGGCTCTCGGACAACGTGATCCTGTTCTCCGCTCCGTTGGGTTCGAGGAGGGCAGTCATCGCAGGAACGGTGTCCCAAAAGCTTCAGCCTTACCCCCGGGGCGAATCGACCGAAGCAGCAGATCTGGCTGAAGCTAGCAGGTTAGTTTACAGAGGGCGTTTCGCGCATATGCGTTAGTGTGGCGTTCGTTTGGCGCGACTATTCCGTGCGCAACGCGCTTCTGCTTGATAAGTGGAATATCAAGCTCAGTGATTTCCCCTGACTCCAGCCCGATAGAGGGCTATCCTTCTGACTGACACGAACGTCAGGTGCGCTACCGCCCGCCTAGGTCTATCAAACCTCAGCATCAAAAAGGCGGGCACTATGAAGTGCGAGCTATTCGCTCTGGCACCCTGCTATCTACGAGGTCGTTGAATCGAAGGTGCCATACGGAGTTTTAGACAGAGATCTGGGATGACGATATCATTACGGCGTTTGAAAGCTTCAAGCTTATTCCGGCTAGCAGACAGCAATTCTACCGAGGCTGTTATCCGCCGGTGCTAGACATATATGGATAGTTCACCATCACTGCGACAGGTAGCCGACAGCTTGAAGCGCCGGTTGTAATGCCTGTAGCATTAGCCCTGCGCGCACGTACGCACAATCATCACATGTCCTACAACTACCTGTACTGGACAATTCAGCGAATGCATAGGTTTGAAGGGGCGTGGTTGGCAGGAGACAAAATATGATAACGGACACAAGAAGCCGCTATTAACCATCTGTCGCCGGATAAATTCTAGTTAGCCCCTATTGTAGAGTGTTACGACAACTGACTGCCGCAACTAACTGCCGCTCATCGTAACATGCGGGGTACTTTAAGAGACATCGGGTTTGCTGCTGCGCTCTGTCGAAAGCACACTCAGGGCGAGCAAGCAGTGACAGGGAACTTAATGCTCAGGCACTGTGGTGCATCCTTGTTGGGCTGATTGCATCTTTCATCCAAAGGATAGTCGTATGACATGCGGCGTGCCGTCAAGATAGTCCTTATACTTGCGCGTGACCTTCGCTTGGCCGCACATTGTTCTCGCAGCTTAACTCGGGTATATAGTAAGGATATGTCGGTCCCGAGACCTTATCAGGCTCTAACACTGGCGTTTGTGTGGATGAGAAATAGCCAAGTTCAAAGCAAGCCTGAGGCTGATTCTCCTTGCTGCTGCTGTGTCAGATGGTAGGTCGAGCTCAACCTATGGCGGGAGGACCAGCAGGATATCTGTCGTGGATGATTGTGTCAGTCGATGGAAACGTGCATGTAGAGCAGATTGTAGTTTAATAAAAAAGGAAGAAGAAGAAAGGAAGAATACATTCTTATTTCAGAAAAAAGGAACAGTCTCTCTTTCGATATTACCGCTCTTCCCGGTTTCCACACATGCTCCATGCTCCGTCGGATCGCCCGCACTTGTCGCTTGGCGCCCGCTCCCCTGAGGTCAGTTCTCGCTGACGGGACTCCGGCTCCGTCGCAAGAAAATTCATGCTCCCGACGGGGCGATGAAGAGATGCGCCAGAGTTGCAGATCAAATCCTTCATCCGGATCAATCCCAAGGCGCTCGCCGAAGAAGATCAAATTATCACTGACGCTACGTTACCCAGTTTCTATGTTGAGCCGATTTTCTCTCGTGTAAAGCGGGGAAAGATATCGAGATGACAAATGCTTCTTATCAATATTCGTATTCCATTGGGCGGGGAATCGCACGACGAGAAGGGAATGATAAGAGAATAGCTCTGCTCCGGGAGGCAATGAGAGTGTGTTAGTTCTCTGACCACGGAACGGGGGAGCAAAAAAGGGAATATAAACCCCCTCGTACAATCCTACTGATGTGGATTGATTCGTGTTTCTGAGTGTATATTTCCTGAATGCCAGAGTTGATTGACTCATTGGATTCTGGGCTGAGTTGCTGAAGCAGGTCTTAAATTTCTTTTTTGGATTTATCATTCAAAATATTTTTTGTGTGTGTGTGTGAGAGAGAGAGAGAGAGAGAGAGAGAGATCTTGACTCCTCATCCAATTGCTCGAAAGATGGCTTCTGGTTCAGAGAAGGAATACACCGTCATTGGTGCCTGGACTCGATACTCGAGTGAGTTCATAGTTGTTGGGCATTGATTGCTCTCGAGTGATGTAAACGCTCAACTAGAGTCTCTCTATGGCCAGGCTGGACGGCGCGCGTTACTACTCTGCTAGACTTCTACGAGATCCCCTATGAAGCGGTGATCACATCGCTCGAAGAGGTATTCCACACTTTATAAACAACCAATATTCTGTATGCAGATGGCAAACAAAAAAGAAACCTTTTTTAGGCCACGAAGCTCTCCCACTCCGGCCTCGTCCCCGCTCTTACCGTCCGCTCATTGGGAGAAGACATCCAGGTCAATGACTCTCTTGCCATCCTCGAATTCCTCGCCGAGGCTCACCCCGATCTACCGTTTTGGCCAAAAGACCGTGCTCTCCGTGCACTAGCTCGGAGTGCTGTAGCGCGTATGCATTCTGGCCTGTGCCGTACATTACAGGCTACGTGCGGTACGAACTTTTTGGGCCAATATACGGGGAACGTGCCGATCAGCGATGATGCCATAGTAGAGGCGAAGAGGACTCTTGCGCTGTGGAGCCAGTTGAGGAAGAAGACAGCTGAGCGGTTGAAGGAACTGGGTCAGGACGACAAGGGCTTCTTGTTTGGCGAGTTTGGTATTGCGGATTCGGTGTTTTGGCCGGTGTTGTGGGTATGTGCGCAACCTCTGTTATTGTCCTATGATTTTCGGTTCATTGCTTGATGGCTGATTCAAATAGCGATTCCGCTCGTATGGGCTTCCTCTTGATTCTGCCACTCCGGAGGCCCTTGCCTGGATGAGGCAAATGTGGGCGCATCCCAAGATGAAGGCAATTCAGCAGGGATATCATCGCCAAGGCAAACGGGCCGAGACGGTTATACCAGCCTATGACAATATCTTCAAGGATCGTTTGGATGTACAGTACAGTTGGTTCCCGGAAGATTGGGAGCTCACGCCTTGAACTTAGTGGCAAAAGAACAAGGTTGTATGATTCCCAAAAGATACAAGATACTAGCCATCGTGTTTGATTTGCTTATTTGATAATGTAAGTACATACATACACAAATGGGCTGTAAATCACTTCTCAAACTTCATTGAATGAGTGGAATGCTCTCTCCGTGGTGATTTTCGCACAGAGCTGCCGATCTTCGTGCTCCACTGACATGGAGTAGCAAAATAACGCAATGTTTGTAAAAGCCGGTTCGAAATGACGATCGTGCTTGAGTCACGCCAAACAGATCCACGGATATTTATTCGTTAACAATGCCTTCGTACACTTTGATCGTATCCCTAGCCGTATTTGTTGCGCTCTGCGGGTTTGCACCCGTGACGATCCTGCCGTCGACTTTGCAGAAGTCGTCCCAGGGGTCTTCGGGAGGAACATATTCGGCGTTGGCGGTCTGAGCCATATCGGCGATAGTATGGAGATGATCTTCCCGCATCTTATCGATGACCTTAATCATGATCTCGCCTTTTGTTGTGAACCCAGTGACAGTCTTGTCCTTAATGACCGAGTCGCCATTCTCGTCATGGATTCCTGGTAGCATAGCTGGACCGTGACACACTGCACCAATGACCCCACCGCGTTTGTAGATGTCTTGCGCAATATTTTGAAGATGTTTGGCATGCGGGAAATCATATAATGCCCCGTGCCCTCCACATACAAACATCAGTCCGTAATCGTGTGGCGCTAAATCACCGGCCTTGAACACCTGCTTGTTCATCTTCTCCATAAAGTGATTGTGCTCAGAGTGCAAGACTTTTTCGTCCTCTTTGGATAGATATTCTTGGGTGAGAGAATGCTCATCCCATCCAAATGTTCCCGTCTCGGACGCAACGTCAACTTCGAAGCCCGCCGCAGTAAGTTCGTTGAACGGGTGAAGGGCCTCAGAGAAAAAGAGCCCTGTCCTCTTCCCGTCCGGCCAGAACGGCGGGTGCGCACTGGTTATTGCAAGCAAAGCCTTTCGCGGAAGCGGTGCCATCTTCAATCGGTATATGGTATCGTTAATGTTAACTTCTCGCTATGATGTGGAAAGAGGAAAAATCCAACACCAAAGGTGAGGGGATGCCTGTTATATACATGGCAGTAAAGTGGCAGAGGTCGACGATGGTGTCGTCACGGAAGGAGAACAAGACCAATGACATCGCAATTCCAACGGTTATCGAGCAAGTTCCAGAAATGCTACGTCCACACACTTTGCTGTATGTGTAGAATTGAAGGGGAATGGTTCCATTGAGTTATGACGTAATACACCAACGCTATTCATTAACCTGCCAGTGGTCCCGAACCCAGCTGTTTGCCAGGATCTTGTGCAATATGCCCTAGCCGTGGCATCCGTGGAAGACACCAGCCAGCTAGAATGGTGCGTTGTCCGTGTGGAAACAACGGGAACCGGAAGGTCCTCCTCATGTACTCGGTAGGAAATCAGCCGTTTTCTTCTTCTTGCGGCAAATCAGCACCTTCGCTTTGCAGTCGCGCCATTTGTTTCTTCCAGAGCTCAGCAAGGGTGCTGGAAGTGCTTGCGTCTTCAATGGTTTTATCTTCACGAACCCTGAGGAATCTTGGAAACCTCAGGCTTAACCCACGTTCCTCGCTGGCCATCCCGATGGCTGCCGTGTACGTTGGGCTAAGTGTGATATCTGCGAAAGCAATTTCCCAAACCTCCTGAGGTTCAAACCATACCTCGGGCTCGTTCCTATACTCCACGTAGCTTGGCCTTGGGATAGTATTGTTGCTATTCTCGGCGTACTTCTCTTTGTTTTCTTGATAGAATTTGTCAGTAAAACCAGACATGCACTTGGTGACAGCTTCCAGTGAGCCAGTTTCCGGATTTCGAACTGCAAGGAGAATTGGTGACCACCATTGGGCCTTTCGTCCCTGGCCATGCCAACCGGCAATGGGAATTAAGTCCAGAGTATCGAAGGCTGCATTATAGTCTTTCTTCACCTTGAGCCACGAATCGAGTCGTTTATCAGGCTCATAAGTAGAGAGCAAAGTGCGCCTTCGTGACCCTTTCTGTTTCTCGCCGGAAATATTGGACGACTCTTCGCTGGTGAGGATGCCGGGTGCTTCGCCATCGGTACCATCATCCAAGACCTTCACCATAATACCTTCGCATTTTGCGTTTGTGGCTTCCTGGAAAAAATTGAGAATCGTTTCCGACTCGGAAGACGTTGCATCAATGCTCTTCACCCAGGAAAACCGGTTGGGTATCTCCACAAAAAGACTTCGCAAGAGTTCACGTCTTTCTCTAAAAGGTCTTTCTAACAACGCTTCTCCGTTCAAGTACATAAGATCGAATGCAAAAAGACAAACATTAATTTTGATGTCCCCTATCTCAACGTTTTTCTTCGCCCGATTAGAAAGCGTCTGGAAGGGTAACAAAACCCCAGATTCTTGGTCCACGGCGACCACTTCCCCTTCAAGGACGAAGCTGGACACACCGTCTCCCCGAATCTGCGGAACGAGAGATACTAGATCCGGATATTTATCCGTCATCAGCTCCAAGTGGCGGGAAAAAAGCGAGACTTTTCCCGATGAATCGCAATGCACTTGCGCGCGCTGGCCGTCATATTTGTATTCGCAGCTGAATTTTCTGCCTTGAAGTTTGGTAAGCATCTCTGTCAAGTCACGCGTGATGCTTCCTAGCATTGGCAACAAGGGAACATGAAGTGCCAAGCCACATTTAGCGAGGACAGCCTCCGAGATACCCGTTGCTAAAAGGCATGGTATCAGGTCATTATAATTTGGGTGACGAGCGTAGCTAGCTTTAATCATCTCCTCTGCTTTTGCATATAAACTGGCAAGTTCATCCCTCTTAAGCTTCATAAGATCAGCATTGGTACGAACCCTATAACTAGCCGACGGAGGCCTTGAATAGAGGAAGGCACGAGCCAATGCAATAAGCATGGTGGTTCTGACAGCTCCGATGCGCAAGTGCTGGACGAGGGTTCGAACAATATATCGACTTTCTTCAGCTCCTCTCGCGTCTCGAAGTAACTGTTCCACAAGCCTCTGTTTGTTTTCCTGGCTGCCTGTCCCTTTACTGTTAGCGATTTTCATTAGCGAATCATAAACACCTTTGATGGAGAGCGGCTTTGGTCGTCTTAACGTAAAGGATTGCTTCTTTTTAGCTTCATAGGCGACATCACCGGCATCTCCATATTTGTCATAAAGAGTTTTTAGACCCAGGTTATCCAATCCATAAGCCTTCTTCAATGCCTTTGAGATGGCAGATCCTCCCAATCCTAATTCAAGCGGAACATATGGTGGTGCGAACGCGTTTGTAGCAAGCCAGACCGCTGGGAGCAGACTATCCGGATCCCCTTCGATTAAAATTCTCAATAAATTAACCAAGATATCCACAATCCTGATCCTGCTTTGTGTGCTGTTGACTAGAGAGAACGCCCTGGCCAATATCGAATAGGAAGCATGGCCCCCCTCGGTATTCCAGAATTCCCTAAGTTTGTCGAGGTAGAGAGACGGGTTAAATGTTAGAGGTGGCTGATCGAGCGGCAACGACATAGATATTGTGTCTTCCGCGGATGTGGAGGTTTGGAGGGACAGAACACTTTTCTTTTTTTTGGAAGAAGCGAATATACATGGCTTAGGAGGCGCGGGGATGGGGTGCTGGCCGTCGCTGGCCTTCATGTCTTGAGACGGCGGCGCCTGGTTTTCGTCCGAATTTGTGGGCGTGGCATTTCGGAAATTCGAAGAAGCATCATTATCCCATTCTGCTTGCAGCTTTCGAGCAAGCTCTTCGTCTGTCAGTAATTGGTGTTCCGAAGGGCTTTTTGGTATGCGACAGTCGGCTTCGTGTGGTTGCTTTCTTGGGCTTTTGAAAAAGGAGTCAATACTCCTAAATGTCCTCGGCGGGTCACCAGGATCGCCTCTTTTGCGTTTTCTGACGGGATTGGACATATCTTCATCCCTACTCAGTAGACTGTATAGAGTCTTCCAAGTGCGTTGGAACTGAAGCGGCGGTTGAACGGAGACAGAGCGGGATATGCCAAGCCTCTCTGGATCTTGGAGCAACTTTCGCATGAAGCTCCACGTCATGCTTCAAAAGCATCCCAGCCGTTAAGCTATCAGGAATACTAATGGCATATTTCTGCGATTCTCCCGCTGATATGGAAAACGAAGCGCCATTTTGATCATAATTCGATTTCCGTCGATTAAAAACAACCACACCTACAATGGCTCGGAGAGTCACGCCAGGCCGGCGCTCAACTACGCCATCCATGACAGAGTACCTCAACGAAAATATTCAAACAGTCGCTGACCTACAATCGTTGGACTCTCTTCTGGAGAGCCTTCAAAAGCAGCAGGAGCTCCAGAAACAGCAGGTCGTGCCAATTGCCACTTTGTCATAATTGCACATTTGCTGACACCTTCATAGTTACGAGAAGCGGAAGAGATTTTAAGCAAAGCGACCGAGGCATCGAAACAGCACACTGAAACAGTGCGAAGACGGGCCGAAGCCTTCAATGAGCAACAAAACGACATAGATAGACGGCTTGTGGAAGTTACCCAGTCGAAAAGCAGTGATGAAGCAACGCGGAAATTCGAGGCCAGTATGGAGAAACTTGGGAGGCTGGAAATCGCAAAAGGATATATGGAGCTGCTAGGCAGGGTGAATCGCATCAGGTTCGTTCTTCTTATTTTTGTGGGCGCCTTCGATACTTATTTTGTTGCAGCGAAGACACGTTATCCGTGATACAATGGTCTCCAAATGATGCGTTAAGTTTATATTCCGAAGTAAGAGCTCTGGCTTCCTCACTGGTGTCTGTCCAGGTGGCAGCTGAAGGTGCTGCTCCTCACCTTATAGACTACACTACTAAGCTGGTAGGAAGTCTAAAGGATGCGCTGCAGAAGGAATATTCGGGTAAGCTGCGCGCTGTCCTTGAGAAAATGAAATGGCCTTCAAAGGAACTTCAAGTGGACGACGCTCTAGTGAGGCAATGGGCGGACTGGTTTGAATTATTGCTCCGCTTGCAAGAACCGTAAGTGCTAGTGTTCTCTACGCTATCTTAAACAGAAAATTCATGAATTGCAGGGACGTCATTCCCCAAATTGAACTGCTTCAAAACGAAGCCCAATACCAGGAAACCCCAGCCCTACTCCCTTTAGAGGAAATGGTGTCTCCGCTGAACCTCCGATTCAGGTACCACTTTAGCGGCGACAAGCCAACCAATAGGTTAGACAAAGTACGTAGCCCATGTTCAGTGCCGTGGTCATGCGCTGTGTACCACTGACAATGATTGATTAGCCCGAATACTTCCTCTCACATATAATCGACCTTATCAATACTTATAGCGACTTTTTTATGACGTATCTTCAGCCCATCCTCAATAGACGGGCACAAGATTGTGATTCGCGACTTATACCATTTTACTCGAATGCGATTTTCTCCTACATAACGGCGCTGTTGCCGATGGCACGACACAAAATTAACTCAACTCTCCCACATATTGCAAATCACTCTCAGTTACTGAGCCATTTTATACATGAATTAATGCAATTTGACAACGATGTACGCGAAATATGGGGCTACTCACCTGCCTTCAAAGAGGATCGCGGTTGGAAAGGGCTAACTTGGGAAGTTCTCGTGAAGCAAGATTGGTTCGCTCAGTGGCTCCAGGTTGAAAAAGACTTTGCTCTCTCCCGCTATCAGGATATCATCGATGCGCCTGATAGTGGTGAAATTGATTACGACGGAGTTGAAGCCACAGCAACGAAACCTACCAAGGCAGCAATTCGTGTCAATGACCTCCTTGAGACAATTACAGACAGATATCGACCACTGTCTTCTTTTAGCCAAAAGCTTCGCTTTCTCATTGATATTCAAATTACAATATTCGACCTCTTTCATGAGAGGTTACATTCCGGACTTGAAGCCTATCTTGCGATGAAATCAACAATTGGTCGGACAGTGCAAGGCTCTTCCGCAAGCCAGGTCAGTCTGGAAGGTATTGCGGGGCTTGAAAGGCTCTGTAGAATATTTGGCAGCGCCGAGTATTTGGAAAAGAAGATGCAAGACTGGAGTGATGATGTCTTTTTCCTAGAACTTTGGTATGAGCTGCAGGATCGTGTCGACCAAAATGCCCGAAGCGGCAGGCCTGTGGCGGGATCCATGTCCATTTCCGACGTCGCGGCCCGCACGTCGTCGTCCATCACGGATAGCAATGCCGATCACGGTGCTGGAGGCATTGAAGGCGCATTGTTTGATGAAACTTCCTCAGCGTATCGTCGCATTAGGATCCGATCTGAGTCAATTATTGTTTCCACCTTGACATCAAGTATGCAAACGTCACTCAAAGCGTATTCTCGATCTTCTAATTGGGCGTCATTGGCACCTTCTTCTGACAATGAATCTACAATTACACCCTCCGTCGAGCTAGCTATGTTTACCCGGAACCTTACCGCTGAGGTCAAGTTCCTGTCGCGAGTCCTCGCTCCTGCGCCTCTAAAACGTATTGCCAGACAGCTTCTGCTGTCAATTCAGACGTATCTTTGGGATAATATCCTTATGCGACATAGCTTTTCAGCTGCCAGGGCTACTCAGTTACGGATTGATTTCGAGCATACATGTACGACTTTTGACGCAGCTCTCGGGGTACCAGCTGGTAAAATTGAGGCGAAGAAAATCGCCCAAAAATTAGCAGAAGGCCTATTGCTCTTGGAACTAAATATCAATCCTAAAGATAGCGTACGAGAGGCGGAAGAAACTGATAAGAGAAATGGCGATGGCATCCATCCAAACTTGGGTCTTTGGGAGGTAGAGAAGGGTCTATTTGCTAGCAATGAAAGCGCCCGGGAAGTTCTAAAATCTTTGGGAATAGAAGTTTTAACGGAAGCACAGGCGAGAGCAACATTGGAGAGGCGGGTCGAACTTCGCGGTTAACAACATTAACTGGGCTACGCACCGAATGCCAGCATGCTGGCATATGGCGAAAGTGAAGACAATAAAAGGCTGACGACTACATAATTTTATATACCCACTTCTAAATTAAACCAAAACATACCCCTTAAAATCTGGTTCTTCTGAATGAGGAATCGTAATTGGTTATTCAAAGACAACCGGTCCATGGCCTTTTTCTGCAGGGTTCTTTGGACGGAATCCGGAAGTAGGCGCCGGGTATGCTGTTGGAGTCGGTATGTTCAACTCTGAGCCCAGTCGCCGTTTTACAATGGTTGATCCAAGTTTCACAATAGTATTCACGAGGGAATCCACCGTTTCCTCCTTCGTAAGAACATTGACCACACAGCGGAAAAATTTTCCATCCTTAGCAAAAGTGTCGCCATCACTTGGGGGTGCGTAGTCCACCATGAAGCCTTGCGGCACAAGTTTTTGAACAATCTCTTCGGTTATTTGGCTGTTGAGTTCGGCTCTCTCTTCTTCGCTGAGTGCCTTGCCGTTGATCTCTCTTCCTGGGGGGTATGCCATGCGTCCAAGAGGAGCATAGTAAAAGCAAACTTGGAGACAGGGTGGGGGATTCTCAGTAAGGAGAATGAGATGAGGATTGTTTCCAACGACGGTGGAAAGATGCTCAGCAACACTACAAGCAGAGTCGATCTTTTGCTCGTAGCCCTCAGATCCGTAGTACATCCAGCTGAGGAAGAGCTTGAGGGCGTCTGCACGGCGGCCGCATTGTAGAGTCAAGTCACCCAAGTCCCAGAATCCCTTCGTGTATTCCTCGTTATGGAATAGATATCCCGCTGGTAACGTGTTTGCACGGTGGAATTTGCGAATATCAGCGGCCAAGAGGAACGAACAAGTGACCGGCACACCCAGCATCTTATGTGGATTGAAAGTAATACTGTCAGCAAGATGGGATCCTGTAAGTTTGCTTTTCTGCTTTGAGGAGAAGATAAAGGAGCCTCCCCATGAACCGTCGACATGGAACCAAAGGTTGTGCTTTCGGCAGATCTCAGAGATTTCCGGCAGAGGGTCGAAACTGCCTACAACCGTGGTACCCGCAGTGGCATTCACGAAGAATGGCTTCTTTCCTTGGCTTTTCGCGGTTATAATAAGGTCATCGAGCGCCTTCGGTATCATCTGCCCTTTCTCGTCCACGGGAACGACCCAAACCGCTTTGCTACCGAATCCAAGCATTTGTGCAGCCTTCTCAATACTGTAATGTCCATGCGCACTTGAGAACAAGACAAACTGATTGCCGCTAACGCCTTCAGTTTTGGTCTCCGGAAATAAAGTATTCCTCGCGATAACAATTGCCGTTGTATTGGATGCTGTACCACCTTGTACTGCTATCCCTCCAGCGTACAGGCCATTTAGGCCAAAAAGGGAGGCCAAACGGGCAGCAGTACTCTTCTCGATAACGGTCAAGGCCGGAGCGACCTGGTACACATGAACATTGGTATTCAAGGCTGCAATGATCAACTCCGCGGCAAGTCCGGGCGCATTCGTAGAGGCATAGAGTTTGTCCAAAAATCCCTGATGCCAAGTGTTCACAGAATATTGAAGTATCCTGTCCAAGATCTGAAGGAGGCCATCCGCACCCTGCCCGCTATCCGGGAAATCTACCTGGAGTTCTTGCTGGAGCTCACTGGGCCTTTTCAAGTTTAATAACCCGGAGAAGAAAGGGTCAGTTTCGTCCGAAGGGTCATGCGCTATGATTGCTTTAGAACCTCTATCTGCAGACTGTATGAACTGCAGAATGCGTTCCTGCACGGGGTCAAGAAGCTACAGGCATAAGTTTATCAGCGCGTGCTCAATGAATGTCGCGCAAAAAGCATTCTCAGAACACAAGTTCACCATTCAGCTCGAGTAACGGCTGTTTACTCACATTTCTGACTTCGTCCGCCCGTTCCATAGTTATTTACTCCCTACTGGGCAAGCAAGCATTCAACCATTTCAATTTACGGAAACTAAAGAGCAGAGAGTGATGTATGCGCAGACATTCTGGCTCCCGTTCAGCCAATATTAGAGTTTGGTGGTGCGAGATTTAATCGGAATGCTACGACTTGACCGGGGTGACATCACATTCGGGCGATAGATCCACACAACTCTGTTTCTAACTATGACCTCTATGAATAACGTGCTGGACGGCCAGTCCCTGGAATACGCTAATAGTAATCCTCGACCCTGGCTGGCCCGGCCTGGAGCGGGCATCCGCAAGGGACCGTCACATCCCTTATTAATCAACCCAAACGCCATCAAGGGGGTCACCGTTTCCTCCAGCAAAGCCACCAACCCCCCGAAGAGAACATACAGGGGGGTGGCCCTGATTGACCGTTGGTCGATTTGGCCGGTACTATGCGCTGAGTAGACTCTTCGCCGATAAGGCGGCCGGCTTCCTTTTCTTTCCGGCTTTGATCTCTTCCTTTCCCTTCGGGTTCTCCGACTCTGGTTTCCTTGCCTTTTCCTCCACCTGCGCTGCAAATCGCTCTCTTGCCAAGTCCAGTTTTGATTTTGGCTTTGTGACCTGTTCATTGTTGGATGAATCCGCTGTCGATGCGTTTAGATCTAATCCTTTGGCCCTTGATATCCATTCGCCTCGTTTTCTTTTGTACAGGTCCATGGACCAATTCCTCCATACAGCCCTTCCCAGGAAAGAATCTCGCAGCGCCTTCTCATTGGCCACAAGCTCATCAGCCAATCTCTGTTTAAGGAAAAGCAGATCACTGGTAGCTTGCCATAGTATATCAACAACATGAGATCCGCTCGTGTTTAATGCGAGCTCGCACAAATGTCCTGAGAACTTGGGTATTATTTGTCTGCGGAATTGGCCCGTTGCTTTCGAGAAAATGAGTGATTCTTGGAGAACACGGGAACCTGTTGGGCTTTTTGCAATATCCAATAGAAAAGGCACGGTTGCCTCAAGGAAGCTAGATCTGATCATCTCTGCTAGAGGTCCCGGCACTCGCAACATTGCCTGTGCAAGAAGCGAGCCATGAAGTTGTTGTGAAGGTAAGTTAGTGGCGCTCTTCGTGGGATCCTCCTTGCTAGGCTCAGATGCCTCATCCAACTTCAAGATCTTTTTAAGTCTTGAAACGGCCTCCTCTCCATAAGCGGATTTAAGTGTGTTAGCTAGAGGAGTAAGATTGGCACCTCTTACCGCTCCTCTCTCTATCAAAGCTTTTATCACATTCAATCTTGATCGCTCAACCATTGAAGGTACCTCACGCAAAATGGTATCCATGGTAGCCTGTAAATCCTCTTTGCTAAGCCTTTCCAGGACACGAACCGCAACATACGATGCTATCTCATTCCTGGAAAGAGATCCAATGCGTTCACGGACGATGCTTTTGTATATCATTTTGAAGAATTTGCCTGGAACATGCTGGAATAGCGTCTCTAGCAAGCGGGAGCCAACTGGATCGTAGAATAATCCGTTAATAAACGTTGCGCTCTCGGTATTCTCCAGAGAATCATCTGGAATGAGTCGCCGGAGAACCGAGTTAGGATCCTTGGCCCTGTCCTTCCCAAGGTGAGTCAATTCGACCGCTAGAAGTACCTGGAGCACTGGGGACCCGACGGGATGAGTAGCCAAAGCGCGTAAATAGGTGGTGTCTAAACCGGCAACCAAGCCGTTGATCATCTTTTCCAACGCGTCTTGGAATACCGGAGGAACGCTTCGCTTCCCAGAGGAAGACTGTGGGTCTGTTTTGAAAGCATCGAAATTCTCCTTTTTCCGACTGGCAACCACCGCGATATTCGAGGAATTATCCAATGACTTCCCCGCTAATATCAAAAGGAGGACTCTTATCGTATGAGATGCAAATGACTCGGTTAAGAGGTAGCCCCAGTTGCCTTCAAGTTCTGAGATCGCGTTCAAGACTAGGTCGGCCATTGGTAGGCTGGAAGCCGATTCTCCACCGTCTTGGTTCTCCTCCGCATCATCTCCTTTCTTTGTTCGAGGTTTCGACTCGTATGTTACGATGGGCGCCGCTCGTAGGAAAAGCCGTTCACAACAATGGCTAGCGAACCGGTGTTGAACGAGATGCAAGAAATGCCCACTGAATTTTCCAAAAAGTTGCTTCAGCTGGCTCGCACTTGACATCGAGATTAGTTTTTCCATCAATCTTGAGCAAGACTGGCTGCATGCGATTTTCAATTCTTTCCCACCGGCCTCTTGCAGCACACTGTCAATAAAGAGCTGTCGGTCCTCATCATTTTCGAATTGGTTCAGCTCCAGGGTTTGGTTGGCACGGGAAAAGTACTCTTGTTCATCCGAGTCCAGTAGTCCATAGAACGGCGTGTCGTCTACTGGAGCAGCTTCCTCCTCGAGAGGAATGTAATCGTCTCCATGTCCGAACACACTGTCGTGCGGAACAGGCACTTCGGAGCTCTCATCGCCCTGTATTTTTTGCCGCTTTGTGATTTCGGCTTCGGTTGCTTCGTGCCCTCGCTTTCGCTTTTGACTATCCTTATCCTTCTTCGCCTCTGCTCGACGGCCTCTCTTTTGCCTTTCTCGTGGCATGGTGGGCAGATATCGTCGACTCTCTCTGCACGCTGCCTCCAGTGTTTCCATCAATTGAGGAAAAATTAGCTTAGTCAGCTCTGGCCCTTCATATCACGTGACTAACCACCGTTGCTTATGTCGCTGAATCGTAGCAACTGCCATGACTCCGATAAAGCCTTGAAACGGGGTCTTAACATACTAGAATTCAGAGTAGACATGCTATTCCTACGCTATGACTATTAAGCTAATTATCTAAGGCACGGACATACATAACTAGACCGGTATATGTGTGTGCAAGATGTAGACTTCCTTGGAAGTTACGCAATCGAACAATGGAATGTCCGATGCAAAAAAGTTGAATCAAGGAAGTAAAAGGAGCTTTTTCTTCGGATGGAATGAAGGATGCAGACCATAGAACAAACGGCTCATGCAACCCAAACACATCCGTTGGTAGGGGAAGGGAGAAAAAGAAGGTATCAACGGTAAAGAGGTATCAGTCATCAGATATATGTACTGCATTAGGAATATTCGCTAACCGCCTAGAACACGGAGCGTCGCTATAAGCGAGACAGTCTGACTATCAAGCGTCACCTCGCCGGACAACACGCATTAATTTTTTGGTTTGTTCCGCAGCTGATCCCTCAGTTCATCTCGGAAGAGCTGGAAGAAATGCTTGATGCCGGGCTCTGCGACGACGAAGAGCAAGCGGAAGTTAGCATCGCCAAGGCATTGTATTGATCAAAGGTTTGACTCACTGTCGATGTTTGTTCCTCCCATATCTTCCGGGGCCTTGCCGTGTCGCAGATCCTGGATTGACTTATGGACACGGCGCACAGCTCTATGGAAGGTCGGGCTGGCTAAAAGCTACTGTAGATGAGTGAAAAGGCCTTAGACTTGAAGCCTGGGGCAGGGAGCACAGACCCTACCGGTCAGCCAAAGCTGTAGCGCATGTCAGAAGATTCGCTGTTCAAGTTGAATTGAAGCAACAAGAGGACAGGCGAGCATGACGTACTTCAAAAAAACGAAGCCACATGCCGGATGACTGCAAATCACATCGTGGCTCTGTGCCTGTGACAGTGGGAGACGCCTTGCCACAGCCTGCTGCGCGTTGCGACACAGGGGTTGATTGGGATTGCTGAAAGGAGAAGAAAGTGTGGAGGAGCAAAATCACCCGGTAACCGAACTCAAACTGGTTACTGTATTAGAGTGTGGCTTGTGCAGCTGTGGCGAGTGTGCGCTCCATCGAGATCGTCGTCCACCAGCCGGATCTTCGCTCGCTTGCAATTCCGCCTGTTTGCCGCCCACCTGCGGGCGTCTGGATACAATTTGCGGTGCTGCTGTGGAACTTCATTGGTCTAGTACACACCGGTCTCCCTCTCCTCCTCATGCTCTGCACACAGCATTTCACCCAATACATTGTGCAGAGTAAACTTTTAGGCCGTCTACTCTATTTTTGGCTCCGTTCATTTTCTTAATTTTTTTTTTTTTTTTTTAATTTTTCTTTTTTAAACTTTCTGCCTTGGGAGTGCGGGTTGAAGCGCCTGCTTGGGCCTGGGGAGAGAGGGACAGCCGTTGGTGGGCATCCATAGACACACCTGAGTGCCGCAAGCACCAAGAAAAAATCGCCCCTCATCATCTTGACTTTTGGCCATTCGCATCTGCAGACAAATATGGGTGTGGTTCACGCTTGGAGCCTTCCATTCAGGGTCTGATAGTGCCGTCTCTGCACTACAGGCCACAGCTGTCAAACAAATTCCTTTTGGGAAATCATCCCCCTGATTGTTCTCGCCTTCATCCCATGAAGTGTGTTTCTCCTCTCCCGCATCCCTGAGTTGGTTTGCATCCATATATGCCTCTGATAGTCTCAAATCGCACGTGCTGACTCGCCCTGGCGAGTGCTGTGAATCCGGCCCCCAAATCCATGCGGGACGGCTCAGCCAGTTGCCCGGACCTGCTACTACGAGACACAGCGCCTCCAGACACGCCAACGTCGAATTTTGACTCCAACCGGGCACGCAGCAGTGTACCCTCTGAAACTTCTAGCCTTTCTGACAGTGTTCATTCAAACCTATTCCTCAAGGCCAAGGGTGGCCCGAGCAAGCTTCGCCGCTTTATGAAGCAGGCTCGGAACTTTCGCCGTATTGCAGCTACCAAAATGTCGGAAGCGCGTTTCCCACAGACCCTTGGTAAGCGGGAACGTTCTGCAGATAGCAGATCGTCCGTCAATGGAGGCTCCGTCGCAGCCCTAGATGTGAGCAGCAGGGAAAGCAGCGTCGAAAGAGGCGCCACGCCCACAGTCCCCGCATTCTTGACGCAGTCCTACTCAGGTGAGCTTTCCCCGTCTGGCGGACGTTCTCGGTTTCCTTCAGTTTGTTGTCTAACGAGAGCTCGGGACGCATAGAGCTACGGTCAAAGTTCGAAGAACTCGAATGGATCCAAAGAAGCCGGATCTCAGCTGGACTTCTGGCTGGAGATCCTTCGCATAAATGGGCGTTGGAGTCCAGCCCTATGGTCAAGGAGAGAAGCCGCTATGCAAACGTCCAGGCTTGGGCCAATTCTCGAATTCACCTAAAAGTCCCCCCCGGAGAATGCGACTTTATCAATGCTTCCCCAATTGAGCTAAAGGATACCCAGTCCCAAGAAGTTGTTCGCTATATTGCAACTCAGGTCAGCCCCGTTCCGTATATATTTTCTGACAGCTCTCTCTAATGAATATCTTCTTGTAGGGTCCGAAGGAAGGTCACTTGGCACATTTCTGGAACATGATTTTTGATGAGACGGGGGAAGTGGCGGTAGTTGTAATGCTCACCCAAACCTTCGAAGCCGGTAGAGAGAAATGCGCACAATACTTCCCGCTAGATATGGAGGTTCCCACTTTCCATTTCTCTTCTGTTGACTCAGATCCATTTGTTGACCACAAAGAAGACGATACTACATCCGACCATCCTTCTGGGTCAGTTTCACTTTTGGAGTGCTCCTACGACGAGTCATGCTGCTCTGAAGTTCGCAAGCTCAAGCTAGAACTCGGTTCAGAATCAAAACTTGTTTGGCATTTCCTGTTTGCCGGTTGGTCCGATTATGCGAAGCCAGAGGGCCACTACCGCGATGCGCTAATTGAATTGACGAAAATAACCGCCGACAAGGCGAGATCCCGTGACAACCCGAGAATCGTCCATTGTAGCGCTGGTGTTGGAAGAACTGGCACCTTTATCGCCCTTGATCACCTTCTAAGGGAATTACGGAACGGGCATCTGCTAAATGTGGCCGATGACACTGTCGACACCGTCTTTGATACGGTAAATCAACTCCGAGAACAGCGAATGATGATGGTATATAATGATATACAATATCAATTTATATACGACGTCGTAAAGGAACAGGCCCATGCTCTCCTTGGAGACAAGGGTGTGACTGGTACTTCCGATGCTGAAGGAAAGGATACCACGAAGGACGAAGAAGATACTCCTACAGAAACGAACACCAAGGGAGAGCTGGAACCCATTGTTGATTAATTGGTCTCCTTACTATCGAGGGCTGTGGAAACGATGAGATCGCCCGCTGGAGCTGATCTGAACCACCTGAAGCGGAATCCCTACTGCTCGGGAATTTTGGCCAGACCATCCTTGTTTTTCATTACCCAGTTTGTATTAATTTTTGATTTCATATGTTTTGGGAGGCCTTTGTGTAAAGTTATTGGCATGCATACCTGCGTTGGACCGGGACAATAACCAGGCATTTTTCTTTCAAGTCTTGTTTTTCAGTCTCTTTGCATAAAACAGTTTATCATTCATGGCCTATACTTTCATTGTTACCACATTCCAATCATTGGTATAAAAGTAGTAAATAAAATTCCTACGGAGTTACCACATTTTCCTGTTTTGTGAGCTGTCTTGGAGAACCACCTGACCATGTTGCTTTCATCCTATGTATGTACTTCCTCATGTTTTCCAGTGACTACAATGGGACAAAGTAGAATATATAATATAATATTATGCCGCACTTTGATCATGTCCCATCAACTAGCATACTTTTCCACCCACACTCCAGATTCAAAATCATTCCTAATTAGACTCACTACATGTCAGCAGAAACAAGCAGCAATTCATGGCCTATAAAAAAGGTAAACAAGCCAAAAAAAAAAAAAAAAAAAAAAAAAAAAAGAAAAAGAAAAAGAGACAGAAAGAGAGAGAGAGATTTTTAAGTATACATGAACCGCAGCTCAACAAGCTTTTCATCATCTCATCATATTCATATTAAACATTGATCAGTCACTGCGTAACTTCACATCATCCTTCGCCTGGGCTGTTTTTGGTCTATCTCCACTTCCCACAGGGTTACTCTCGCCCTGCTCTCCATCTTCCTCATCCCAATTGTCAACCGCGTTCTCGTCCCAATTATCAACCTCTTGCTCCAGAGTCCTAGTAGTCGTAATGCCAGTTTCCTGGGTACCCAGTTCTGTGTCGTGTGTCGAATTGACGCCTAATTCAATATCATCCCCACCAGCTCCATCGTTCATCAAATTTCCAAAGCGAGATTTTCTTCTCCGCTCCAACATCCGCTTGTGGTACCACGTACAGAGTCCCACCGCGCCCAAGCTGCCAACTATGTTGGCAAGGATATCAAAGGGATCGAACGAGCGGCCGTTTGGAATCAGTGATTGTACTATTTCCGAGCCGATTCCTAGTACCAGTGTGCAGACGGCGATGGTCAGGTGGAGTGTTCGCCGACGAGTCGTGTCTAGGATCCAGTAGAATGCGATGGAGAGGATAAAGAAGGTCACGAAGTGGAGGAATTTGTCGTTGGGCTGGAGCGATGGCGGGATTGTCGAGTCGCCGGGCTTCGATTCATTGTGAGGAGTGAGGCCAATGTAAGCGGATAGAAGAAGAAGAACAAGGAAAGCCCCTGAAGTTAAAAGTGAATTTTCGAGTTAGCAAGCGAAGGAAATGCTGAGGTGATATACGAGGCTGAGAGCTTCGGTGGACCGGCTGGCAAACATACCAGCAAAGGGATATCTTATGCGCATTTTGAGCTGCAGAGTATTATCAGGGAGCTTTTTCTATTCTGCTTTTCTTTTCTGTTCACGAAAGAATGGAGGAGATTGCCGTGATCTAGGTGTTGTTGGGTACGGAGTAGTTCCTTGAGTATTGGGGGTCTGAGAGGTGATTCACAAAGAACTCATGCCGCTGACGCTGTGCGCTGACCTGACAACAGAAGATCTATTTCAACGTGTTCTATTCACTGCGAGCAACAGCCCAGCCCTGGCTGTGTATGCCGACAGCCCGTTTCCACCTCACTGTGATCTCAAGCAGCCGAAGCTTCTTTTTGGCCCTTCCCCAGATCCCGTGACCTGCTCGGTTGGTCAGAATGGTCTGTCTGGGCAACCTTATGACTTTCCACCTCCGCAAAGAATCTCCACCAAAAGAGTCTCACTCTTAGCCATCGAGAACTCAGCACATCCATCGGTTTTCGCTTCGGATCCAGCTCCGGAGTGGTTATCACGGCTTGGGTTCCATCTTATGCGATTTTTCCGCGACCCAGGAGTCCAGATTGTTCTCCGCTGAGGTGGGCTCGTCAGCTGAGGGTAACCCCCTCGCCCGCCCAGCAGCAGGCGGGTTTGGCGCGGCCATGTCGCTCAACCAGCACTGCGCCTGGCTTCCTCCAGGTCATCTCCGCCCCCCGGATAATCAACACAATGCCATTTCCTCCGCCAATGGTCTGTCAAACGGCCCCTCCCGGCCCCGCACCCCCCAAATACCTTCGCGCGCAAATGCGGAGAGCTCTCAGAGCGGAAACTTGATACTGGACAGCGATGGAACACCGGAGGAAGACCCTCGTGTTATCGCCTTTCGAGAAAGCTACAAGCGCACGGAGGCGAAGATAAATTTGCTCTTTAGCAACAAGAGGGTTCTTGATGTCTCCGCTTCAGTTACCGAACCGAACGGAGCTCCCGCAGAGGATCATGCGCCCGCCGATTCCCAAACAGAGGCCGCTCTGGTGCCTTCGCGACGTCCGGCCCGGAAACTAGATGAAGATGATTACGATGAGTATGACGACGAGGAAGACAATGAACCCGAATCGCAAGCTCCTCCATCACCTAAATCCAAATCTACACCCCCCGTCCCCGAAATAAAAGCCTCGCCATCTTCTCCGCCAAAACCTTCTCGAACTCCAAGTTTAGAAAATCAAAAAGAACAGAAAAAGGATTTGTTAGAGGATATCCGGAAAAAATTAGAGCAGGATAAAAAGGAAACTGAAGAGTCGGCAAAAAGGAGCTTCCGCACAATGTTCTACACTTTGGAAAATGACCGCGATGCGATGTTAGATCAACAGAGGTTGGAAGAGTCTGAGAGGCAAGTTGAGGCTGAGATGCGAGGTCAGAGTGGGAATGACAATAATCCCACCAACGGTCAACCAGGATACGGTTCACTAAGCAGCGCCAACCTCGGGGCTTCAAGCTTGACGCTGAAGAACCTTATCGCCCGGATCGATATGAAGCGCAGTGAAGTTCAAGCTTCAGATGCTGAACTGCGCAGTTTAATGAGCGAGGTCAGAAAGAACCGTAGCAAATGGGCGAGCGAAGACAAAATCGGTCAGGAGGAGCTCTATGAGGCCGCAGAAAAGGTACTGAGCGAGCTCAAGGCCATGACCGAACACTCCAGCGCTTTCTTGACCAGAGTTAACAAGAGAGATGCGCCGGATTACTATACCAGTAAGATCAGATCCCCAGCTTGGGTGGTCACGTTCTATGCTAATAGTGTGTGACAGTCATCAAGCGGCCTATGGATCTTGGAACAATGACAAAGAAGCTCAAAGCTCTTCAATACAAATCAAAACAGGAATTCGTGGATGATCTCAACCTGATTTGGTCCAACTGTTTGAAGTATAACACTAACCCTGATCATTTTCTCCGAAAACACGCCTTGTACATGAGGAAAGAGACAGAAAAGCTTGTTCCCTTAATCCCGGACATCGTAATTAGAGATCGCGCAGAGGTTGAAGCTGAAGAACGTAGACTGCAACTTGCTGAGCTTGATGGCGCTGAAGAGAGTGATGACGAGCCAATCATGTCGTCCAGAGGGCGGAAAGCAACCGCGACAAAGGGTAAAAAGGGTGCAGCGACAGGACGCAAAGCTCCCGCAAAGGGTCTTCAGGCAGCTTCTTCCGATACTAAGAATCCGGTGTCTGATGCTACCAGCACAACCCAAGATTCAACGATCGAAGGGATTCCGGGAACTCTGTCAACACCACCCCCCGGAACCCTGACGCCCGTTACTTCAAATGGTCAGGGTGCTGCTGCCACTGGGAGTCAAATGGATACTATGGATATCGATAATTTTGGGCTTGCTGTCCCAGCGTACAACAGTGCACTGTCTGGCTTGGGTGTCGAGTTCGAAGACCCTGAGTATAAGATCTGGAAGCAGGCCACCAAGAGAGATCGCGCCGTCGTGGCTGCTGAGAGACATCGGCTCTTTAAAGGGGACAAGCTGAACCCTGATGAGCCGGCTCTCCTGCGAACCAAAGCTGGTATGAGGCGGTGGCTCAGAGGCCAAAGGGAGGCATCGAATGAAGTTGACAAGCACGTTGATGCCAGGCCTGAAATAAAAGCACCTGAGACGACTGGAGAGACCTTGGCCGAAGGCATTGAGCAGGAGGAAGATCGAATGCTTCCAGATTATTATGACTTGATGTCCGCGCTGCCAGACCTCCCGGAGCATTTGCATTGGAACGAGGACCCCGAAGGAAATGTCATCGAAACCTCAGAGGAATTTTTAAGGATCCTCCCCAAAGGACTGTTCACTGCACCGCGTAGCAAATTTTCGAAGAAAATGGACTCAAATATGAGGCAGATGCAGGAAACGAGAAAGATCTGCTCGAAAGTAAGCATCGTGAAGCAGATGCAACAGCAATCGCAGGTATGTCTTCTGTACTCAGCTTTGGAGTATGCTCGGGTTTAATAAACTCTTCCAGATGTATCAAAACCAGTTCCAGAAGTATCAACCCGAGCCGCTCGTAGAGCAAGACGTCCATCCACATGTAATGAATGATGAAGGGCCAGTTATAAGTCCCTGGGTTTGCAGAGCTGCCCTTCAGCGATCCGTTGCAAAAGTTCTTTATCATACCGGCTTCGAAGAATACCAGCCATCAGCGTTGGACGCTGTCACCGATATCGCTGCCGATTTCTTCTTCAAAATCGGAGCCACCCTTAAATCGTACATGGAATCGCCGAAAGTTGCCAGTTCAGAGCAAGCTTCTACCTCATCAAATCAACACCAATGGAAGCGTCCTTACACCCAAGAACAAATGATCCTTCACACGCTTCAGTCGGTTGGGACAGATGTGGAAACCCTGGAATCTTATGTTAAGGACGATGTTGATCGCCATGGAGCCAAGCTTGGTGTGATCCATGAGCGTTTAAAGGCTCATCTCGCAGAGTTGCTGAGACCAGCTTTCAATGATACTGCTGGTGATGGCTCGAGTGCTTTCAACGATGGAAGTGAACAGTTTATTGGTGGTGATTTTGCTGAAGACATCGACGAAGATTTCTTTGGGTTCAAGGAACTTGGACTCGATAAAGAATTTGGTCTTTCGAGCCTGAGCGTCCCTCTGCATCTTCTCCAGAACCGGATGTATCATGCACACCAAGCTCAAAATCTAAAGTACGTTGACTTGACCACCCTGTTTCAATTGCTCTTTGCCAATACTAACTTGTTTTCAAGCTCGTCGCAAGCGGTATCTGCATTATTCCCGACTCCTCAACCCTATCCACGAATATCACTGCAAACACTCCCACAACACATTGGCCTAGTTCAAAATTTCTTCTTGGCAAAATTGCACGCCAACAACGACGAGCCACTGGTAGAAGATCTAGAACTGCCGCCAAAACAACGTCCTAACGCAGCACGGCCCCGCGTGCCAGCGTCTGGCAAGATCCCGCCTCTAACAGGCCAGGCAGTGACTACCAGCCCTCAGAAGCGACCCGCACCACCCTCGTCGGGTATTACTGCTATCAAGTCCGGACTTTCTGAACCGAGCAAGAAGAAAGTGAAGAAGAATCCCAGTACGCTCGGTGCTACCAGTGCAGATGGTACAGACAATTCACACCTCGCCGGTTCTCATAGCCCCATCAAAGTTGAACCTGCGTCGAAATTGAACGGAATAAAAGAAAACGGGAACCCCACTGACCAAAAAGGTGATGTCAATGGTGTAGATGGTGCCGAGAATCCTACAGGGGCGTCCCAGACTACTCTATCAAACGGCGATAGCATGGATGTTGACAATAGCAATGCTGTAAATGGGGCTGCAGCGACAGCTTCTGTAACAGGAGGATCTGCTCCCAACGCTACCGCTGTTAACGGTCACGTTTAGCGCAAGAACTTGACAACCCAGTTTTGGAAAATTCACGAATGTTATGTGGAGGACTCCTCAGATCACTATAATCTTCGCTTGTACCTTTTTGACCATTCTGCTCATTTGAACATTGAACCTCTTTCTCACGGAGTTTATAGGATGTGTACACTTCCAATTTTTGACTTGGAGTAACATTTCGCATTGGGGACCATATCTCCTTGCTTTCCCCTTCCCAACCCCATATACCCTCATTGACAAAGCTCTAACCGCATCTTTGAACCTTGTATATTCGTTTTCTACAATATGTGATTATATTCCTCAATGCCTTGACTCATTTTAACGCATCAGGGTGGTTTTGGTTTGGTTGGGTTTGGATATGTTTTCCCAACTACTATCAGGCTTGGGTTTTGCAGGCGTCGTTGCTCGTTGTTTTTCTTTCTTGTCAGACAAAGTTGTTCTTTTTTTATTACTTTCACTCTCAAAATATGGCTGTGTATCCTTTTTTGGGTCCCAGGCATGTTATTTTCTTTTTGTGTGATGGCTGGCACCTGATTGGGCATTGGCAGTTACTCTATGCCTTCTTGATCCTGTGTTGTTCACGTTGTTTTTTTGCCCTTTTTTATTGCATTTAATATCAATAAATATATGCAGATGTCATGAGTATTGATGTATAGTTCTTGCAACTAGCTCCTTTATGTGGTCATGATAACAGGAATACTTCTCCCAGGTAGGACTTCAATAATAAATTTGTTTACACCGATTTTCTTCCTACTAGAAATTGGTATTGCAGATCTTAATAACGCCCTGTTTACTATGTATGCTTGCTTTGCAAATCAGGAATAAGTTACTGGTTCAAATGAATGTAGCTTCTGAGCAGATCTCGATCGTGTAGCTCTCTCTAGACTCTCCCATTTGCACCTCGAAATGGCTAGAGACGGAAAAAGAAATTTTTCATTCCAGGGAGGTAGTCAAGTCATACGACAAGGGAAATCGTCTTTCTAGAGAATTACTGCCCCAGAAAATGTCTTTGTCATTCGAACACTGCCCACCTTCTACCTTAAAACCACAGGGATGTATGCCACAACTCCTGTCAACATCATATTTTCCTCAAACTTAGTCAGTAATAATAAACATTGCGCAGATATTCGCTGGAACTGTAATCGAGACAGACAAGCGTACTTCAATCCCAGCAGGCATGCCTCTCCAAGGCGGCAGATGTAGTACCTCGTAGGGGAGCAATATCCCTGTGCTCGTACTTCTTAGCTATACCAAATACCACATAGCTCGGCCCAGTCTAGTATAATGTATCGCTAATACAGTAGATCCCCGCTATAGCGATTTAAATTTGGAAGCTTGTTCGATTCATTATATAGGGGAATTCACTATATAGGGGGTGCGCATTGAAAATAGGCATGAATATCTTGCTGCTGCTGAGTTTAAAGCCTCCTTGCTGCTATTTTGCTCTTATAGCTGTTGAGCTGCTGAATTAGCTGTTGATCTTCCTGATCTTGCTGCTCTTTGTACAGCCAGAGCCATTTAACTAGATCTAGAGTCTCTGAAGACATAATCAGTAAGAGCATCTCTGTAGCCAAATCCTCATCCTCTTCACTCTTATCTGCTGGATCTAGCAGCACAATAACATGCTGCTCAATAATCTCAGAAGAATCCTCTATCACTTCATCTGCTGAATTAAGAAAGTGCTGAATATCCATCAGATTTTGAACTGCTGAGAGAAGGCAGAGTTTTTGAAACTTGCTGATGATCTCTATAATTAAATCATTCTCAGAATCCAACTATACAAGTCTTTTGGGAAACAAAGCTCTGTTGAAGCAGTGAATAATTAAGGCTGTAGATATATCTATATATCATGTCTTGATTTCCCAGTGCAGTGCCATCAAAATATTAACTGTAGCAAGAGAATCCTGGCCAGACTTATACTTCTCAAGTATATACTGAATCCACTGCTGCTTCCAGTATTGCTTTTATATATAGATTATCTCTTGATCCAGTGGTTGATATTTGCTTGTTGCATTTGGTGGAAGCCAAATAATCAAGATATTCAGCAAGAAATAAGAGCTCTGCTGGATATTTTTAAACACAAGCTCATGTACAGAGAAATTATTCATAAGAAGCACAACTTTACAGCCTGTTATTTGAGAATCAAATCAGTAAAGTCATTTCTTCATGATATACTCTGTTATCCAGATCTTCTTATTTGATCTCCACTTGAGCAGCAGATTCTTGATTTTGATATCAGCAGCACAGAAGACATGTAATTATTTAGCTGTGCCAATAAATCAGATAGATAGTTTCTCTGATTTATCTACATTACAGTATATATAAGCAGTGATTCATGTCTTCTCTCTTCTTCATCCAAATATTGAGTATGTAGAAAGCTCTTGATCTGATATCAACTTCCAAAAGAGCCCAGTTTCATTACAGTTAAAGATATTTTTGAGATTATACTGTTAAAGAAGCTGCTCTATATCTCTCATCTCTTGCTCTGTCATCACAGCACTTCCAGCTTCTCCATATTGTATGTAATTCTTGATGAACTTGCAGAACTGAAATTAGCAAAATTAATTATTACTGAATGCTGGCATCTTGTAATCTTTATAGACTGACAGATTCTTTCAAAAGAACTCTGCTTTATACTGAATTATCTCTTCTGAGATAGGGATGTGATTCTCTACTTGTTAAATCCACATGTAAAGAGCTGTTTCAAGCTCAAGCCAGTGCTCACAACAGTAGTATTTCTGCTCTGAGTGGCAGACAGTCTAATCAAGATAATTATAACATGATGATAGAATCTTGAAGACAGAGAATAGAGCAATGGTTTGATTATAGTATTGCTCAAGCCACTGCTTTAAAGTCTTGTTGCTGAGGCTTGAATGCTGCAGCTTATAAACTTAGAGAGTCTTCTTTTGCTCAATTGGAATAGCAGTCCAGCATGGTATTGGGTCTCATTATAACAAATTGCCTATAAAATATTCAAAATAGTTAGTGAATTTCAGTTTATCAGGGATTAACAAATTTTGTATGGAGATTCAAATTTGGGAAGAGATTTTGTCCATTATATAGGGGAATTCGTTGTATTGGGGTTCGCTATAGCGGGGATCTACTGTATTGAAGAGGAGATATAGGAAAGTAATACGGTGAAAGAAGTCTGGAGTCGGTTCCGCGTGAACCATGGACGGCTTTATGGTCGCATCATATTGGAATTCCCAGAATCGACTTGAAGCAAGAGCCCAGGCTGCTTGATTTCAAGGTTTGGCAATTTGGTGGAAAAATGGAAAGCGAAATTGAGAGAGTAGTTGGAACTACTGTCCCCAATACGTCGAGGACATGCATGCAGGGTATTCGTATGATATCTCCCGGGCGCTTGAAAACTACACTGGGAAGCATACAGGCCGAAGAAAAGACACATAAGGGAACGAATAAATGAGATTTCTGATACTGGGAAACCAGCTACCTGCAAAATTTCAATCGAAGGCATTGAGGCTATAGTACAGAAGCAAAAGCCTAAAGGACAATCTTGTCGCTTGTTTCAGGCATTCCAAGTAACATGTTCCCAATCAAGAAATCAGTTCCCAATTTCCGATCGTTCATCGTACCCGGTCCATTATGATGACAGGCGAATGACGAGCTCATCAGGCGAAGATCGGTATCATGAGCAATTTGCCCGTGGGCCATCCGTCAAAAATGGAGATGACTAGGCGCAATCTAGGCATTACCTTGAATCAAATGTACCACATATTAAAAGCAAGTCTGTCCACTGAGGGCATTGCAAGCAATCTAGGCGCCTCGCTTGGTTTTGGTCCTGGGGGTGGTAGGTTATTCAACTTGATACCAGGGCCTGACCGTGGACCCGAGCTTGCCGGGACATTTTCGTGTGATCTTGCACGGTTTGAGGCAATATGAGCGTAGTACACCGCGGGAACTACGGTAGTGTGTTAGCCTCGGGAACTTTAAAGAATAAAGAGCATACCTACACAAAGACACAGAAGTCGTCGACCGCATATACTGATAACAATGCTCATAAACCATATTTTGGAGCTTATTTGGCGAGCTTCCAATCTCGTCAATAAGGACTTGATAATGTACGGGTCGGGAGGTTCCTTGAAGAGCGATATGAGACCACAAGAAGAAATCGTAGCCGTGGGGGTTTGTAACATCTCGTTCAACAAGAGTGCCCGGGAGTGAATTCGCATTCTTATCCGCGGCGTTACGGTCGTGGGGGTCCGGGAAAGCTCGGATATGGTGCCTCTTCGAGCAAATAACAACGGTGAGCTTGCCCTCCCATTCTTTACCCATGGCGATTTCCTTGAAAATATCCTTGATATGTCGAATCTCGCGCTGGAGGATGTGCTGCTGCTGTCCCTCAGATACACCGTCACGGAAGTAATAAAGGTTCTCGGGATTTCGACCATTTCCAATGTTCATCACCCACTCACGGATGAGAGGGCTCAAAATTTCTTTAATGTTTAGGGGGCTAATAATTTCACGGCGCTCACCGTTAGTTTCGCATCCAGCAGTGTAGCGACCACCGAAAGTGTCCATGCACACTGTAAAGGACGCCATGCTTGGCGCATAACTTCCTGGGGACGAGTGGGAAACATCTGCACCAATTATCATTGTGAATGGTGGCAGAGATGTATTGTAGCGCGAATGAGATCGGGCAGTGGTCCCGCCGAGTTTCGCGTTTATTTTCATTAAAACATTCGAAATGTATTGACCGCTGCCTTTGACAACTTGTCGTCCCTGTAAAACCTGAGAAGGGACTCCAAAGCGGCAGTCGCACGACTTTTTGATTCGCAAATAATGGAAGCTATGGCGATCTTGGACAATTAATATCAGAAGTTGAGGGCGCTGATTGTAATTATTTCCAACCGCGTTATACAAGTCATAGACGGCCTTGGCAGGGTCCTGTGGGAGTTCCATGATGAATGGTCGCTTGGTTTCCACAATACCGCCATGACCTTGATACGTCCGAACGAGGTTATCACAGAACGCCTCGATTTGAGGTCCATTGATAGGATGACGTCCTTTGAAGTACCCAACGCCCCATGATTTTAAGGGTCTGGCGTTTGGCAAATAAAATTTCTTCCCCCGCAGATCCCAACGACCATTTGTCCCAGGGTTGCATTTCTGATTCCCTCCAAAGAGAATCTCAGGGTTTGGAAGAAGACGAGCTTTGGTTCTCATCATGGAATCAGCAACTTTAAGGCCGTATTCTTTGAGAATAGGATCCTCGGAATGCCGCAGATTTATCTTGCAGCGCTCAATGGCCTGGCGCCTTTCGTTTGGTTTGGATGCCGCGAATTTTATCATTTCAGAGGTCTGAAATTCATTGAGCTTGAATGGATATTTTTGCGCCCGATAGACTGCAAGGAGTTCCATGGGATAAACAACGCTCCCTTTGGTCATTCGGACCACAGGAAGTTGCCAGTAGTCGAGAATAATACTGTATTTCTCCTTGAAGTAATCGTAAATATTCATTGTACGAGACTTACCAGTGGCACGATCTTTGACGTCGAATGTATACTGCTTCGCATTCACAAGGAGAAATTCCTTGATGGTCCATTCCTTCCCAACGCACGGGCATCCACGATAATTGGCCTGGACTCTGAGTTTGTGCAATCTATTGAGTAACTGGAATTCT